ATTTAGGATACATGTTGTTTCTTGTTTGCTATTCGTCAACTGAATGTATCTGCATCCTGTAGTGAACGAGAACATACAGATGGGGACAATCAAATGTGTTGGAATACATAATTACAGAACAGCTTAGTAAAATCTGAAAACCATAAAGTAAATACTTCATTTACAAAATGTCAATCAATCGTCTAACGCTTCATTGTTCCTTCATTTCCACACCAATCACTATCTGTTCTCGTTCTTTCTTTCTTTCTTTGATCTTCTTAACCTACTGCTATCAGACATTACACTTTCTGTTGATGATACATACTATTTATACGTCTGTCGATATCAATATCACACATCATAGTGTGCTATGAGACAGTAGCAACCGATGGTTAGAGACCCTGAATAATATGGCTTAAAATCGTTTGCAATGGCGCAGGTGCATCCATTCTTTGTGTTCTCCCGAATTCTAATCTTCTGTATTCATTATATCCCTTTTCTTTTTCTCTTTCCAAGTTTATTTCACTGGATTATACTCCTTGAATAACATCTTCAAACACTAATCTTTCCGATTATTGCTTATACTTTTACTACCTATACCACTATGGGATTTGAATCGACGATTGCATCTCTGTGCTAATGTAGTATGGCAACTCGAAATGATGTAAGTACGTACGAAGGTCTACGTTGTTACTGACTGGCTGATACAAATCAGATTTGAATCGGTAAATGTGATCGAAGATTTAAACTCATTAATCAATAGTTATTGTTATTAGTGTAGTAGTCATAGTCGTAGCCGTCGTCGTCGTCGTCGTAGTAGTAGTAGTAGTAGTAGTAGTAGTATCGGTCCAAATATTAAAACGTAAATAACCGTGACATTCAATAAACTAAATTGTCATCATTGTGATTTAAAACGATCTAATTGACTGACATTAACTTCAAAATATGTTCCCTACAATATTTGTAACAGAAACGTAATTACACAACTTAACATTAAAAAGTAAGCAGGTGAAAATAATGAATGATTGATCTCTTTATTCCTTTCTCTCTGCTTCACTTTTCTCTCCTATTGTCCAGGGGTCTAGATCTCTTCACCCTGTATCTTTTTCATTGATCTAATTCTTTTGTGTATTCTTCTATTTGGTTTTCTTTCTCATCCTTTGTTAATCTGTAATTCTGCACCATCTCATTCCTTTTTTATGCTCCTTCCTTATCCTTTTACTAACTTACTCTTTCTTCTTCTTCTTCTTCTTCGTCTTGTTCTTCTGTATTTTCCGCCTGCTTTTCCTCTCCATGACTCTTCAACTTTCCTATCCATTCTTCACTTACTTATCAGTTTATTCTTCCTTTTACATCACCTTCCTTATTGGATCTTTCTTCTATATACCTACTTATAATAACAAGAAATAAGTAGTCATTTCATACTTGACTACATAATGCATGAATAACTAAGTTAAGGCATTGAATTTATTCAGTGTAAAACGTGTGAAAACTATACAAAATATGATCAAGTATTTTGTTAAAGTTTTTATTTGTCTCATTGTTATTTAATAATAAGAACTAAAACTGATCAGTTTTCTATGTGCATCCCTATACTAAAATACCTTTAGATTGTGAGTTAGTTGCAAATTTTAATAAAGTTGGATTTATAACTTACTTACTTTTGCCTGTTACTCCCAATCGGGCATAGGCTACCGACTAGCATTCTCCAACCCACTCTGTCCTGGGCCTTCTTTTCTAATTCCATCCAATTCTTGTTCATTCTTCTCATGTCTATCTCCATTTCCCGGCGTAATGTGTCCTTTGGTCTTCTACTCACCCTTTAGGCTTGAGGATTCCATGTGAGGGCTTGTCTTGTGACGCAGTTAGGTGCTTTCCTCAATGTGTATCCTATCCACTTCCATCGCTTCTTCCTGATTTCTTCCTCTGCTGGGATCTGGTTTGTTCTCCCCCACAGTTTGTTAGGGGGGCTACTGCCGGTCCCAAGCCCAGATAAAGGAGGAGGGTTGGGCATGGGGTTAACGACCCCATCCCATAGAAAACTAACTCGATAAAAAAACGATAGCACAGGACTTATCACTAAAATAGAAATATCAAGATAATCTATTCACGATATATAGATGTTAACAGTGAGTGAACATTTCAGGTTCTTGGTTGTAAAAATGAGAAAAAACAAAAACTTACTAATAAATATTTATCAGTGCTTGTCTTTTTGCTGTAAAACTGATCTTTTAGTTTTTAGTAGATACTACACATATTGGCGATGATCTTAATGATCAAGTATTTCTGCTTACAAATCCTCGATCTTATTCAAACTGTTCGCTTAAAAAGAGACGAAAAGGTGTGATGTTTCAGAATGTTTATTGTTTCTAAGGATGATATTTCACGAATGGCATTATTCGAACTGAATATTCTAATTATAAAGCTACTGTAGTGAATGAGAACACAATCGGGAACAACCGAATGTATTTGAACATGAAATTACAGAGCATCTTAGTGAAATCCGGGAACCATATAGTAAATATTATAAGCAAAGATGGATAGTGGCTAGCAGTGGAATCCAGGACGCGCGTTTCGTCCTGTTTGGGACTCGTCAGCTGGATGTACCTGCATCTGAGTTGGTGTTCACTCCGGGACTCGAACTCAGTACCGTTCGCTTCAAACGCCATCGCGTTATCCACTTAGCTACTGAGTCCTGATAGCCACTTGCTTGTGCAATGGGTTGAAGTTGAATTCACTTGATATTGTTTTACTTGAATTTTCCCATTGATGTTTTTTGGACAATAAGAGACTGATCAATTTCAGTCCAAAAAACATCAATGGGAAAATTCAAGTAAAACAATATCAAGTGAATGCATACAGTAAATACTTCGATAACAAAATGTCAATCAATTGTCTTAATGTTGAATGTTCCTTTTTCAGTCAGTCGGTTCGGACAAAATTGTTCCTTCGTTTCCACACTAATCATATTTTGTTCTCGTTTTTTTTCTGATCTTCTTAACCTTTTGCCTCTAAACGTTTCACTTTTGTTTGATGAGACATACTACTTATATCAGTCGATATCAGTAGCACACACTACCCGAGAACAATAACTTGGGACTGTTGAGTTGGAAACTATATAGTCAACTTTTCTGAATTCAGTATATGGATGATACATTTTGCTTACCTCCAGACTTCAAAGCTTCTAGAACATTTGTAATTTTGTATATTTTATACCGATCTTACATTCCAATCAATTATGAAGTATCGAATAAAGCAAGTATTATCATTTACAGTATGAGACTGTGGAGATGGTTGAATTTCATTGTAATCATAAAACAGTCCATGTTAGAACACTGTTAAAAACCTTGACACTGAATGGCCATTTCGTCCTAATACGAGTTTCCTCAGCAATGCACATCCATGATATCGCATATGGGACTTCAACTCCGAACCTTTGATCTTACACGCAAACGGTCAACCTCTAGACTACTGATTTATTATTGAACGATGTTAATGACTAATTTCAACCTATTATCATTATTCCTTTATTGTTTTCTTTTGATTTTTACATAACCATAGATTGTTTCAAATGACTTATCATACATTATAAGCAAAGATGGATAGTGGAATCCAGGACAAGAGTTTCGTCTTATTTTTGAGATTCATCAACTAGGTGTACCTGTATATGATTTTCAGTCTATGACACCATTTCGATATCATCCACTTCAAACGCTATCACGTTATCTATTTACTCACTGATTAAACCCTTAATAGCCATTTGCTTATATAATGGGATGAAGTTTAAATTCACTTGATATTGTTTACTTGAATCATACACAGTATATCTAACCCTTTTCAAAAACAAACTTTCAAAACCGATAACCATCTAACCACAGATAATTCAAGTTCCGACTATTTATGATTATAGCTGTTAACGGAACATAGATTAGATTAAAACATGCTCCATGCACGTTTGCTTTGGTATGCGTTGATTAGACTAATTCTTATCCAGTCAGCGCTAGTCGATATTTGGACAAGAATCTAGAATTCTCTCATGTAAAAACTATAAATATACTAACGTTTATTTTTCCTTATTCTCCTTCATACTTTTAACTACCCCTATGTTATTTGGAATATAATTCCATTCCTGTTCAATTATGTTCTGATTGTGGGACTTGCCGAATGAATTGATATCAAAGACTGACTAAGCAATAAGAATAGCTAGGTTGTAATAAAAGAGAATTATGACAATTTCAATGATTGAGATCATGAGTCAATTGAAGTCAGACAACCATGGAAAACCTGAAAGCACTGGACTGCCATTTCATCTTATTGTGGGACTTCTCAGCAGTGCGCATCCATAACCTTGCCTCGTGAGATTCGATGCCACGGTCTCCAGTCTCGCTTAACCACTAGACCATTGAGCTGGTCGGCATCTAACGATGTTAATGTCTAACTTTAATCAATCCACGACATTGAACGATACACTGACTCATAATATCAACCATTGAAATTACTAAAAATATCCATAAAACCCTCCTGATAAGAATTATAACAGAAAACAGTCAAAAGTGTACTTGTATATCGAATAGCAATAATCCTAATAGGGAAAGCGGAAAAAAAACCCAGTACATATTCATATAATAATGATAATGATAATAATAATATTGATTATAGAAATGATCATATTACTTAAATAAACAGATAAATACGTGATTATTTATAGGGTGGTATTACATTCATTCAAACGAATTTGTAAATAAAGAAAGAAATAAAGAAAAACAAACAAGAAGAACAATAACAACAACTTTAAGTAAAATGACAATAATATTTGTTTTTTGTTTAATTGGGTTAATTGATTATCGATTTCTAATATGATAAGGTGTAGATCTATCATTGATTGATTGATTGATCAATCGATTGATTGACTGGTTGATCGATTGATTGATTGATTGATGGATGAATGGATGGATGGATAAAATAATTGATGAATTTTATCTTTTAAATTCAATATTAACAATTGAATCAGTGAAATTTTATTAACCAGCAAATGCACGACGAATAATTCTTCGAACAAACTTTAATAGAGAGAACAAAAAAACAAGAAAGAAAGAAACAAATTATATAATGAATAAAAATGTCATTTTAAGTAAAGATGGATAGTGAGTAGCAAGTGGAATCTAGGATGTGTCAATTGGATGTATCTATATCTTAGAGTTGATTTTCACTCGGGAATACGAACACAATACCGTTTGTGTCAAACACCATCACGTTATCTACTTTGATAATGAGTTCTGATAGTCACTTGTTTGTTCAATGGGGTAAAGTTTAAATTCCCTTAGTATTGTTTGCTTGAATCGTTTAACTATTCATCTTTGTTTAGAATGCTTGTGAATCAAGACAATATCTAGACAATACGCATAGTATACATATATATCAATTAGAGACTGATCATTTGCAGTTCTAATCATCATTGAGAAGATTCAAATAACTAATACACAATCAATTGGCTATCAGGGCTCAGTAGCTAAGTGGATAAAGCGATGGTAGCTTGACAAAGACAGTATTGCACTTGTGTCCCAGAGTGAACATCAACTTTGAGTTGTAGGTACATTTAGTTGACGAGTGCCCCCCCCCCACCGAAAAATGAAACATACGTCCCAGATTCAACTACTATTCACTATCATCTTTGAATAATCTTATTTCTATTTTTTTAATCGAATACTAACCATTTCTTAGAGACACATTGACATATTGATGTTAACAACACTAGTAACAATAACACTGTTAAAATCAAATTGATTTGGAAGTGTTTCAGAAAAGAAATGAGACAATACTAATGAATGATATTAGTTACTATGGAATGAAATATTCACTTCATGTTTTGATGGAATCAATTAAAACAAGTAGAATATTGAAAGAACTGGTGAGAGAAAAAGAAAAAGGAAAAAGAGAAAAAAAAAAGAAAAGTTTGAATATTATATGATAAGTATAATTATTAAAGAGAAGATAATAGAAACCTTATTTAAGGAGAGAAAATTCTTATTGAATAAACACAATAGATAAGTGAACAAGTATTCATCTATGATTCCACCAGAGGAGTAATATCATGAATTGATTGAAGTTACACAGATGTACCACTGAATGTCGGCTCAGTGGTCAAGAGTTTAAGTGGTTATGAGCATAGATCAACTTTCTGTGAGCATAGGAGGTTGTTGATACCTATTGCCAATGTCTAGCACTTTAACCGGCTTAGTGAACATAGACGGTTCATCTAAGGCAGTTGGAACACCTTAGTACATATTGGCTTCAGGATCTTAAGGGAGCAAATAACTTATGAACTTATTGTTGATTATCAGCTACCATGGGACTGCATCTCTATATAACGCTCCACTGCTTTGTGGATTAGACACCTCCGACTGAAAGGCTCGGAGAGCAGTCCCATAAGAAAGTCACTTATTTCGGTTTGGACACTCGGACAGTATTTCAGCCCTCACATATATCGAATAAAGTGTTGCGTACTTATATTTTGTTCCCCCTTCCCTGTACTAATCTTGATATTTCAGTTCCATCATACTTTTTTTCTTTTAGAAAGTTCATTCATGACAAATACAAACTATAATTCAAACAAACAAATAAAAAAACTTACACGAAGTTTTCCACGTGAAAGATCTTCAGTTACTGTTACTGTAATTGAACTATTAGCTGTTCCATAAGGATTTGTAGCTATACATGTATACTTTCCTGAATGTTCCGGTATTAGTTGACCTCTTGCAATTCTATATAAGTAGAAGAAACCCAAATGATTAAGAAAACAATCGAAGAAAAACCAACTTTTAACTAGATTCTTATGGAAGTCTTGAAGAAAAAAACAACTCAGTGGTTGTAATTTCATTGTTGTTTTCTATCAAATGTGAACTTCATTCATGAAACCGAATGTCCTGTAGTTCGATTCCTACATGAGAAATTGTGAATGTACACTATTGAGAAATCGCATACTGAAACGAAATGACCGTTCAGTGCTTTCAGGTGATCTAGCTTAGATCGATTCACAGCTTCAACTGTGATAGTACAAAACATCTTATTGAGCCATAGACATTCAATATACAACATAATAGATTCCTTTTTTAAACTAGTCATATAAAACTTAATAAGCCATTCTCACAGGAATTCCTGATAAAAATCACAATGTAATCACGACATTATTATTCTATTGTTTACTAACTAAAATATTTACAATTGATTGATCAATGGGTGGTGATCCATTTCTTGTATGTCAGATCCTTCTTAGTGCATATCAAGTCCTATTGATCAAGCCTCAATGTGGCCACTAGTCTATGTGACTCGATATTGTGTGCACTATGTTGAGATAAAATGGTGGTTCAAGGTAGTCAATAGGAAACCCTGTTGGTTTGCATTAAAGTTTTACATAAAAGTGGGAGCTAGAGTCGGCCTCATCATTACGAACCGATAATACTACACTAGAGCTTCAAATTATTTATCACACTATCAATCGATTCCAATAATATACATATAAATACCAGTAAGAGATGGAGATATTCTAGTCACCTGTTTTTCTAAACAATAACTTACGCAAATATATAAATTCTTCCATAAGCATATGTATTTCCGATTAATTTTGGTAATCTACGTTCAGGAGGAGGTTTACCAGAAGGTTCAAATGTCCATTCTACTTTTGATTCAGGTGAAGATGATTCATCAGTGCATTGTAATGACATTTCATCATTAGTTGTATAAGTGATTGATCCACTACTATAAATTGCTGGAGCAGCTGTTTGAAAGGAGAAAAAATTGAGAAAATATAATCATACGTATGAGCTGTTTATAAGGGGGGATTGTTTAACTTTCAGGGTTAAATCGCTGACGTCAGTCAGACAATTCCTAAGACCGAAGGTCATTGGGAACTTCTTTCATTTTGAGCATACCTGTATAAACTGGAATTCTTTCTGAATCATCTTCAGTGTAAATATTTCTTTATGCTAGTAAGCACATACACCATATACAAATTATTAAAATTAAGACCTTCAGAATTAATCGTTGAATTCATGAGTCCATTAAAGCTAGACCACCATGGAAAACCTGGAAGCACTTGACAGCCGTTTCCTCCTAGTGTATGACTCCTCAACAGTGCACATCCACGATCCCTTTGAAGTTAAGCACTAACACCGTTGGAGGCCGGCCGGCTCAGTGGTCTAGAAGTTAAGCATTCACACACGTGACTGATAAGTCCTGGGTTCGAATCCCGCAGGCGGGGTCGTGAATTTGCACTGCTGAGGAGTCCCTTACTAATAGGAAATAGCCATCCAATGCATCTAGGCTTTCCATGGTTGTCTAGATTTAATTGACACATGAATTCAACTAATAAATTACTAAAATCTCCACAAAATCCCCTTCTGACAGTAACTTTCATGTTTGGTAGCAAATCCTTAAAATTCAAACCATATATCTTAGTTTACGTCCATAGCTTCAGTTAGTCCTTAATATTGTTATACCACCGTATAGTATACCTACTAGTATTGCCCGTCTCACTGAAAACATGAATGAATCTCATTATTTATGGAACATAAACTTCAGTTGAATTCAATTCGGTATTTAGCTAAGCACCAGTATAATTTAGTTGAATTGATGAAATTCGATCAAAGCATTTATATGGTCATTGCACACTACAACGAACAATGAAGTTGTTTCTTATTTTACCAAATATTGATTTATTATCTGGAATGACAGCTGATATACATCTCAGGATAGAGCAGTTCAGAAAACTCATTGAACTATTGAGTTTTTAGTTCAAAGAACATTTCCGACCTTGTTTTACATTGTGTTTAGGCTAAAACTGTTGTATCAGAAGGGGTTTTGTGAAGATTGTAATGATTTCAATAGTTGAGATCATGGGTCAATTGAAGCTAGACCACTGTAGAAAACCTGCAAACACTGAATGGCCATTTCGTCGTATTATGGGACTCCTTAGCAATGCGCATCCACGACCCCGCCTCGTGAGATTCGAACCCAGGACTTATCAGTCTCGCACGCGAGCGTTTAACTATTAGACCACTGAGACGGCATCCACCACCTGTTTTAAACAAACGCTCATGTAGGCAAGACCAAATTATTATTTTTTAAAATGCACATTCACATATCGGTTTAGCAAAATGTGAAGATCATTTGCATATTTTTGAATTGTCTCTTACAAGCTTCATTGTTCCTTTATTCTTATTTTTATCTTGATTGCTTTCAGTTTCCTTCTCTCTTCTCTTTATTTCAATTTTCTCAAACATCTACTCGTAAACATTGATGTTACATACTACTTATGTCTATTAACTTATGTAGCATACCAGTATCAGTTTTCAATGGTGTTCAACTGTAGTGAACTGCTCTTATTACTTCCTATATTCATTTTAATTGAACGTTTTTTTTTTAAATCAAGTTTGATTTTGATCCAGGAGCGTAGACATAAATACAAAATGTGCTGTCATGTTAGCTCTAGGATCAAAGAAATGAAAACTTCAAACAATACTAAATGTAAGATTGTTTTTTTGTCATGGACTGAATTCAGTTGATAAATTGTTTTAAAAAAAAACAATTGTCCATTTATCCGAAGGGGGGTTTTGTGGAGATTTCAGTAATGTTATCGTTGAATTTATGAGTTTATTAAAGTTAGACCATTATAGAAAACTTGGAAGCATTGGACAGTGCAATGTTCTAGAGGCTAAGCATTTGCGCGTAAGACCGATAGATACTCGGTTTGAATCCCGTGGGGAGGATGCTCATTGTTGAGGAGTCCTATACTAAGACGAAACGACCGTCCAGTGATTCCAAGTTCAACCGTAAAAATTAACCATTTCTCATTGATTTTAAACAGTTAACAAAATGAAGATCAACCATTTAAATCATTGTACAGGGTTGAATGGAGAATACTGGTGAGCGGCCTAAGCTCCTTCACGAGGAGTAACAAGCGTAAGTAATCAGGTAAGTAAGTAATTCAAATCATTGTAAACTCATTGAAATGAAATAAACTTTATCAACAACACATACCTTGACGTTTAATGATGACATCTTGATATTCAATAAGTTTAAAGTTATATTCTTTTAATTGTAAACTAACTTGACATCTAAATCGACCTTCATCTATATATCGAGTTGAATTAGCAAAATAGAATAATCTATCACCAGTTAATACAATTTCTTTTAATGAACTACAATCATCATTTTGACACTATAGAAAGAAGAAAACAAAAAATAAAGGATAATAAAATAAGAAAAAGAGATGTAAATCGATCAATATTTATTGTTAGATTATTGAATACAAGGAATTGTATTTGGCATAAGTTTGGTCATTCAGCGCTCGTTAAAACGATGTATTCAGGATCTAGAAATGAACTGGAGATTATTGTGGGATTTGAATATGTATGACGTAATATTATAATCAATTATTTTACTACTGAGTTAATTACTCTGTAAGTGCCCTTCTATATGAATAAGATCATTGTAATAATTGATTCTTACTTAATTACATATGCCTGTTACTACTCGTCGAGGAGCATAGGCCACCCACCAGAACTCATCATCCAACCGTGACCTGGACAGTCCTTTCCAGCTCTTTCCAATTGTTATTCATTCTTTTCATATCTGATTCTATTTCCCGACGTAAAGTGTTCTTTGGCATTCCACTTTTCCTCTTCCCTTTATGATTCCAAGTTAGGGCTTGCCTAGTGATGCAGTTTGATGTTTTGTGTAATGTATGTTCTATCAATTTTTCTCGTCTTTTCCTGATTTCCTCTATAGTTGGAACCTGGTTAATTCTATCCCATAGAAGACTATCTATAACGGTATCCGGCCAATGGATGTTGAGTATCTTGCGAAGACATTTATTTATCAATGCTTGTACGTTCTTGATGATGATTGTAGTAGTTCCCCAAGTTTCAGCTCCGTATAGTAGCAGCTGTCTTGATGTTCGTATTGAAGATTGTGACTTTGATATTGGTTGAAAGCTGTTTTGAGTTCCATCAATGCAGCCCTTGCTTTACCATTATCGTACTTATTCATTCATTCATTAATAAATTTCAAGGTCCTAATTTTGTAATTTTATTTTGAAAATTTGAATTTCTCTGTTTTCGCTACAAAAGCGCTCTTTACACCTTCATGTCGTATTTCTCACTTGAGAGAATCTTAAACGATATTGGTCCTTTGTGTCTTTTAGTATGCTATTTTGTAACCTTTTCCAAGGACAGTTTTGTGCTGTATATATACGTTTTGATTTGTGCTTGTTGTTATCACTAGTGCTTATGGCTTTTTGAGGAATATACTTCCCCATTCGAACTTCGATTTCTCTCTCTCTCTCTCTAGTTAGCGGGGCTGGGACGTAATAGAGTAGCTAGTTTATTAGTCTTTGGTCACAAGTGTTTGTTCCGTTCGTAGACTAAGTGAAATCGCAACCGCTTGAAACCTAGCAGATAGTTACTGGGTTCGAGTCCCAATATGAAATTTAGCACTGAGATGTAAGTGTATACACTTTTTAAAATAAAAACAAGATACTACTCAAAAGTGCATAATCATTATATGAGTACAGACAATATCAAAATAATCGATTAAGGGCTATATCAGACATATCAGACATTTTAAATGAATATTTACTTTAAACCATGTCGCTACAGCTTCTCCTGAAGTTACTTCCGGTTTACAACCAAGTTCATAATCTTGTGTTGAATCATATGAATCTTTAGGCATATCAACTGGTTCTAATATTGATTCATCTGGTTTTACACGATCAATACGTATTGATTTAATCATTGGTTTATCTAGTAAATGAGAAAAACAAAATAGGAGAAATTTTGTTAGGGGCATCATTCAATATGGATATTAGACGGTTACTGTATAGCGAAACCAACCTGAACGGGACAATACTTAAATTTCCATAGTTTCTGTTCATTGCAATACAAGAGAGGCTTGATTAAGTGACTCTTTAAGAGGACTTAAAGAATTTGTACTTCTGATACGGTGGAAAAAGATGAAAATTTACTGAATGACACATTAATAGTAAATGGTTATCCACTAAAGCTTATTAATAGGTATAAAAGTCAGTTAATGCCAAGACCTCTTATTTATTCAGTTCCAAAGAAAAAGAGTTTATTTAGATGGTAGTTGGAGGTAGTCAACAGGAAACCCTGGACCCGGGTTTCGTGCTACTTGGCACTCGTCAGCAAGGTGTACCTGTAATCTTGAGGGAACTGGTGCTCCCTGGACTAGACAAGCATGACATTGATCACCACCCAGTGATCAATCAATTGTGATTACATCTCAGTCCTACAGGAGGTTAGTCACGGCTCGGATAGCTCAGTGGTAACGTCTCTGACTGTGAAGCTGGGTGACACGAGATCGAATCCGCCAGGGAGCATCAGTTCCCTCAAGATTACAGGTACACCTTGCTGACGAGTGCCAAGTAGCACGAAGCCCGGGTCCAGGGTTTCCTGTTGACTACCTCCAACTACCATCTAAATATCAATACATAGTGCCCGCAGTGTCGAGTCACCTAGACTGGTGGCCACATTGCAACATGATCGATAGCATTCGATCTGCACTAATAAGGACTAGACAAGCATGACATTGATTACCACCCAGTGATCAATCAATTGTGAAAAAGAGTTTATATCTATCTACCATATAGAGGCGAATCAAACAGTATAGTCTTAAGGCAGAGATTGAAAGCAGCCATCGAGAATACGTATTTTGCTGCTCAGTTGGTAGTGATTGAAAAGTCTAAGGTCATGATTCCTAATAGACCCAAACAATGCACTGATGATTACATCACATCCCATTGTATTTACCAATTCATATGTTTGTATGGACACACATACATAGGGAGGAGTAATCGAACAATGCAATCAAGAGTCAATGAACATGTGCCTAGATGGCTTCAACATCAATGTGTGTCAAATGATCCGATCACTGTGGGAGGTAGAAAACCATGTTCATCGATAGCGAAACATATAATTGAAATGAGGCACAAAATTAACATTCATACAGCTTTTAGAATGTTGTATAGAAATTGTCAAGGACGAATTCTTAAGTTTATTGAATCCTTGGGTACTCGTAAATTTAATCCTCCCTTATGTGTACAAAAACTGTTTGTCGTAGCCTTGAATGTACCTTGATAATCCTTAAGTCACTCTATGGCCTAGGTTAACGCGACAGTTTCTTATTCTTTCTCTCCCCCCCCCTTTGTTACTTTTTTACTTGAACTTTCATTTAATTGACCTTTATTAATTTTCATATAAAATGCCTTGACAAGTATGTGTGTGATTAGATTGTTCACAATGTATAGCTCAATTACATTACATTTTTCAGATCAACTTTGTCTTTTCATTGTTCTATCGAAATATGGATTGTATTCAAAGTTTATGGTTAATGAACTTATTAAGATTTATTATTATTATTAATGGCTTGATTCATTATTCGGTATTTAGTACAATATAGAATTCCCAGAACAAGTTTCTTATTTGTTGATTGTTCCTAACGATCAATATTGAGTGATCATCAGTTAGATGTTAACAGTTCACAAATCCATATCTGAATAATGTTCATTTATTTCAATTTATATTGCGCCATCAACCATCATGTCTCTGATTGGACTCTTTTGTAACCTGTACAGTGGAAGGTTGTAAAACTTTTCAGAAACACACCTTAATACATTATGAAATCGATTAATAGACATAGTGAACTGTTAAAACAAACAAACAAACAAACAGAAAACAGATAACCTGGTGTTATACGGTGTGGTTGGATTTTATATAAACCACATGTCTAAAATACATAATTCATATAATAAAAGCTAAGATTGTGTTCTGAAGTCAAACGACTAACGCAAAGACAATAAGAACTAATAAGGGTTTGGAGTTGACTCTAGGCTAGTTTTAATAGTTAACATATTATTGATTAGGCACAGAGCCATGGTCGTATAAGTCGGTGCTTTGAATCTGTTATAACTTGTGGCCTTGTGCCCTCTATCAATATATATATATATATATATATATATATATATATATATATATATATATATATATATATATATATATATTACGTAATGAATAGTGATTAATCGTCCAGACCAATGACGTGTAAATCTCTACGAACATCCTATAGTACTTATCGGTCCTACTTATTGCCTAACCCTGCCTGCCTGTTCAGTCCAGGACACTAATCTCAGTTTCCACGACATGAATCAAGTATTTCAAATAAACTGGGTTTATATACAAACCAAACAGACCATATCGTACCATAAAATATGAAACAACATTTGTACAAGAATTAGCCAAATGTGGCTATGAATGCGGGATACTCTAATTAATAGACTAGGCATAACTGAAGAACGGTAAACCGTATAATAATCGTTTATGAGTCAAACTAAAGCTTATAATAAGAGGAGTGTAGATAAACATCATCTAGTTACTGAATAGTTATACAATAAGAATATACGTATAATATTTGTCCATAAATAGTTCCCGAAAGTTAACACTCATAATTCTCGTCAGGATATAACAGAATCAATGAGACAACGCTCCGGGAACTATACACATGGACTTTGATTCATCGACTATTTTGATGATAAGTAGTATGAAAGAATAGAAGAACAAGTAAACGGTTCACGTGACAATGCTTTGACTCCATATCATTTCAGATATTTAATGAGACAAACAATCTAAGTAACGCATCTTCTTAAAATATACTGCATCACAAGGCAAGTCCTCACTTGTCATCCTCAAGGTCAAAGGAGATGAAGAATACCAAAGAACACATTACGCCGAGAAATAGAGACAGACAAATATGAGAAGAATGAACAACAATAGGATAGAACTGGAAAAGAAGGTATAAGTAAGTAAGTAATCTTCTTAATATACTCATCATCAAGTCTAATCTCAACAGATTTCTATTGAGTTGAGCGTAAAATGACATAAGTCATTATTTAACCTTATCCTCACTAAATTCACCAGTTTATTATAATCTTCTCATTCAGAGATTTTTATATCGGTTTTAGATCAGTTCATGATCTGAATAAAAAAACTTAACAATCTCCACAACCCCTATACTGATAATTACCATGTACTCACTAGTGACTAGCTTCGTGAGAAAATTCTCGGAGTTCTGGTGAGAAGCCGTGACCAGTGGAGCTAATCCATGTCGGGTAGAAACAGGTGTCTACAATGGAATATGGTTGCACAACTTCGTGGATTGGTTGACGTTAAACATTAACACCATTGGATGCCGGCTCAGTGGTCCAGTAGGTTAAGCGTTCACGCACGAGAATGAAGGGCCTGGGTTCGAATCCGTTGAGTGTGGGATCGTGGATGCGCACTGCTGAGGAGTCCCACGATAGGACGAAACGGCCGTTCAGTGCTTCCAGGTTTTCAACAATAGTCTAATATCAATTGGTTCATGATCTCAATCAAAAAACTTAACAATCTCCACATCCCTTATACTGATTTTTATATATTTGATTATTAAAATTGATCATTACAATTGACTTACTTCTCACATTGATAATAAATGGATGTGATGATGTATTATAAGTAGCATTATATGATGCAATACATCGTACTTCATAGACTGATTCATCTGATATAGTTGTACTTGGTAAACGTAATTTATTTAATTGTAATTGATTAGATCTCCAACCAGAAATATCTTCAGCACCTTGTCTTGGATCTGTATCTCTTATCCATATACCATTTTCATTACCTAAATTCATTTCCCATTGATAATTTGATGGTTCTACACGTTCACCAGTAATAAGATCTATAAATTAAAATGCGAATACATAAGTTTCTAATTTACAATGTCTAAACTAAATGAAAACAGTCAATAGTTTATAAACTAACAAAAACAACCTAGAAGAGTGTTATGCTCTTGTAGTGACCTACTTTTATCAAGAGAACGCGATTTGTTTAGTGGAGACAATTATTATTATAACCAATTGTACCAGTGATCGTTTTACTGTACTTGTTTGTTTAAATGAACTAAAGACATTCTTTCTTCCGTTGACTGTGACCTTGCACACTCTCGGTTACGCTCAGTAGTTTCACTTGTACACTTTGGCACGATCTCAGTATTCTTTCGATACCACGAGATCGTCAACAAATACATCTCGACTACAGCCATCAACTGCCTTCTGATATTTGGCTTCCGGGGGATCTTATCGGTTAACTGACATATAGTCTTCCTGTAGTGGTGATCATAGTCAACCGCAACTCGACGCCACACTACACTAATAATTTTTAGATGTTGTCGAAGATTTATAGTTCAGTTGGAGTTTTTTTTCTCTAAGACAGATTGGCTTGGTTGGGGATGAGACTTTCATTATAGTTAGACGTTTTTACTAATGATGATGTTGTACAGAAGAACAATGAAAGCTACACAACTAAACCATTCAACTCAGAGAATAAAACTCCACCGGAATAAAACGAAAATAAGAAACCAATTATAACGTATAGTGTTTGAAGCATTTATGGAATTAAACTTTATATCTGGTCAATTAGTCTTCATTAGTCTTGGAGAACTACGAAAGCCATCATCCAGAAGATATAAGTGTTTATTAACAGTTGTCTACACAAAATGCTTCGGATCCGTTGGCCAAACACTATCAGCAACAACCTACTGTAGGAGAGAACAAACCAGATCACAGTGGAGGAAGATATCAGGAATAGACGTTGGAAGTGGATAGGACACACATTGAGGAATGCACCCAACTGCGTCATGATGCAAGTCCTCACATGGAATCCTTAATGCCAAAGGAAAAGAGGAAGACCAAACAACACATTAAGCCGAGAAAAGGAAACAGACAAATATGAGAAGAATGAACAAGAATTGGATGGAATTAGAAAGGAAGACCCAGGACAGTGTTGTAGAATGCTGGTCGGCGGCCTATGCTCGATTGCGGGTAGCAGGCGAAAGTCAGTTAGTAATTGTTTAAATAACAGTAATTACGTAATCAATAATTCGATAATAAATATAATACTTACCATCAACATAACATGTTAATGTTTTAGAGGTACCAGTAAATACATACAATTTACTACGTGATTCTTCATCGAATACTCTTACATTGAACATTTCACGAATCTCTAAAAATATCAAAAAGAAGACAAATCATGATGATTGTTGCAAATTGGATAATAAAAGCACCAGTAACACTGGCTACAGCATTTGCAGACGTTACTGAAACTTCAGCTGTTCAGTGGTATGAGTATTGCAGGGATATATGTGCAATGAAAATGACAAGTTTACACGAGTCGTTTAGAGGAGTTAGTAGAATCGTCAAAATAGACGAAACAGTATTCCGGAAGTGAGAATATAACGGAGGACGTAGTATTAAGGAAGACTGGGTAAGTAGCACGTCCATAAATATACCTCACAGGTCTTTGGAATTTACAACAGATCAACTCAAAAGTGACACTTTTAAAGGGTCCGAAACCGAAAAGGAATGACAATAATACTATTTATACGGGAATACATGCAGCAAGGTACCACGATATACACGGATGATCGGAGAGCCTACGATGCCTGCACAGACTTGGATATATGCATTATGTCGTTATCCACGAGCTTCATCTTTTGTGGACCCTACAACAGCAGTGCACTCTAACAATATTGAAGCTATGTGGTCGAAGCCATAGGAGTTCTTACGACCTTATCGTGGCACGAGAGGTCGACTATTATACAGCCGTATGGATGAGTTCCTCTACTGTATGCACTACGATTTCAGAACCTCTGAACCTCTTTCAAACCTTGATATGTTTTTGAACTATGTAAAAGAAGTATATCCACTTTAATGCTTTGGTTTTTTATAATATATTTTTACTTTATACTAACTGTCTTCTGATTAGCTAATATTTTCAAGATCGCTTAAATTCGTTCAAAAGTCATCCATAAATTAGAGTCTCGCCACTTCAACTAATCCACGAAATTGAGTAACACGTCAACCATTATCTTCTGTGAGTTACTATCTCATAACAGATCCGGTTGAACGCCATAGGTTACTGTTTTATATATTTAAAGTTGACCAGATAAAGAACTATTGGTTAACGAAGGATACTCGACATTATGATTAGTAAACTCTTCAGAACTACCAGCTATAGTTTCATAATCAATTAAATACATCATATCATATAAGTTAACTCTGTATATCACTGATGTCAGATTCAGTGGCAGATACTTCTAACTACAGTTGATTTAACACGACAGATCTTTAATGTTAAATTAGACTTGCAATACTTAATATTCAAACACATTTTGTTATCATTACAGCCATACATACAATCATTGAAATACATCTACACTGTGAACTAAAGAAATGGCTACTACATCCAAGGACAGCAGCAGGCGCGAAAATTACCCAACCCCGGCACAGGAAGTTAGTGACGAATAAAATATGGATACGGGACTCAATTGAAGCTCCGTAATTCGAATGACTACAATTTAAATCATTTAACGAGGACCAATCGGAAGACAAGTCTGGTGCCAGCAGCCGCGGAAACTCTAGTCCCAAAAGTGTGAACTAAACAATTATCCACAGTCGAAAAGAGATCTCATGTGATTATTTAAAATAAATGTTGAAATCACTATTGATATTTGTGGAGATTTAACAGTTGAATTCGCAGTTCAGTCTCATCTAGACCACCAATAAAAACCTGAAAGCACTACACGGTCATTTCTTCCTAGTATGGAACTATTCAACAGTGCGTAGTCATGATCCTGCACGTACGACTAGAACCCAAGGACTTCAGTCTCACGTACCGTCATCCAATAGTGTTAATGTTTTGAAATTGTGGACGTACACTACTGAGGAGTCCCATATTAGGACGAAATGGTCATCCACTGTTTTCAAGTTTTCATTGGTTTCTATCAACTCATGAATCCAACTATTCGTGGATTGGTTGAAGTTAGACATTAACACCGTTGGATGCCAGCCGGCTCAGTGGTCTAGTGGTTAGGTGCTCGCGCGCGAAGCCAGTAGGTCCTGGGTTCGAGCCCCGCGTGGTGCGGGATCGTGGATGCGCACTGCTGAGGAGTCCCATACTAGGACGAAACGGCCGTCCAGTGCTTCCAGGTTTTCAATGGTGGTCTAGCTTCAACTGACTCATGATTTCAATCTGTGATATTAAAAAAAGTTTAAAAGTCATATTAGTTTCAAGCACAAGATACTACTAATTCATTTGATCAATACCATTTGTTACTACTTTGAATTCTGTTGTTTAGGGCACCGAAAAATTGTAAAAACAATGATTCATTGATATTAACAAAAGTGTTGACATTATGTTTATTAATTTAAATGTTGTTCATGTCTGTTTGTTTTTTTTTATTTCTACGAAAAAATATTTCTTTATCTTCATCTCCCCCCCTCCGGTTTTTAATCACTAAGGTAGTTTTCTGGACATATTTAGATGTTAGTGAAAGGAAGAACACAACTACCATGAAATTGTATACAAAAATTAGAGGAACATTACAGTTTTCAATGTGAGCAGAATAAATAAGAAAATAATAACAGATGTTTTCATTGAACACCAAATGTTACTGTAGTTTCAATAATCTCGGTTGTTTATATCAAAAATATGAAGGGTATTGGAAGGGTGGCCTGTTTCAATATCTAAGCTAACCACTCTTACTTAACATCTAGATATTTTCACAATTGATTGATCATTGTGTGGTGATCAATCTCATGCTTGTCTAGTCCTTATTAGTGCAGATCGAATGCTATCGATCATGTTGCAATGTGGCTACCAGTCTAGGTGACTCGACACTGCGGGCACTATCTATTGCAACATGATCGATAGCATTCGATCTGCACTAATAAGGACTAGACAAGCATGACATTAATCACCACCCAGTGATCAATCAATTGTGATTACATCTCAGTCCTACAGGAGGTTAGTCACGGCTTGGTTAGCTCTGTGGTAACGTCTCTGACTGTGAAGCTGGATGACACGGGATCGAATCTGTCAGGTAGCATCAGTTCCCTCAAGATTACAGGTATACCTTGCTGACGAGTGCCAAGTAGCACGAAGCCCGGGTCCAGGGTTTCCTGTCAACTACCTCCAACCATCATCTAATCTAGATATTTTAGCAAGTTATATGTTTTCTATTTGTTTATTAATTGATTCTATAATCTATTCAGATGTTTTGATAAATTGTTTACAACCTTTCGCTGAACAAGTTACAAGAAGAAAAAATCTACAATCAGAGACATTGTTGTGATTGACATAATATACTTTAAGAAGAATGAATATTATTCTGATATGGATCCCTTAACTGGTAATGTGATATGGGTTACTTATATCCACATAAGTAGTATATAACGATGGTCAGTAGAAGATCGATGAAGAAAGAACGGAAACAGAACGCAATTTGTATGAAAATGCATAAACATCTATCATGAGTACCACTACAATTAACAGAAGTACAAATTAGGATCTAAGCATCTAATCAAAACTGATCAAATAAAGTTCGGAATGTTAATATTAGGAAAATATGAATTAACATAAATAATTTCACATTCATTGTGTAAATTGAAACTCAGTAAGTTGATTGATAGCACATTTCTGCTTGAAGTGATAAGGGGTGTGAAGGTGTTAGGTTCGTGTCCCCCACTATAAACATCAATTGATTCATCTTAAATAAAGAGAAGGGAGAGTCAAAGATTTCATTATTAGGTAAATACATGCCCCCAAATGCCCTGGTACGGCCGAGAGTGCGGAGAGTCTGCTCTCCCTCTCCAAATGCTCTCACATGAACACGCATATATAGCCCCTGTCAGGGAAGTCCTACTCACTGCCTTCTCGTGGCGAGGTTGTTGCTTACGAAATTGAGAGGACGAAAAGCGATTGTCGGGCATTGGCTTTAACCAGGTTAGTGAATATGGAGAGTCCATCTAGGAGGGTTGGAAAACCCTCATTCCTAACCAATGGTACACATGGGCAACAGTATCCCGAAGAAACAAATAACGTATAAACCAATCGTTGGTCACCGGCTACACTGGGACTTCATCTCCTTACGATGCTCTACTGCCTTGTTGATCAGACCTTCAGGTCGAAGGCTCCGGGTGTGGTCCCCTAAGCAAACCATCTGCTTCAGTTTGGACACCTGGGCAGTATCACAGCCCTCATACAAATCAAATGAGATTTGTGTGGCGCATATGTATTTGGTGCCTCCTTGTATCAATATCTATGTGTTCAGATAAATAAATAAAATTAATATTTATAAGTCAATGTATGTTCAAAACAGATCGTTCATAACAACAACAACAAAAAAAGAACGCTCACTCTGTATGAAAATAGTTATTTTATCCACTGGTTCATCATCATTCATAAAAGCTTGACACTGAAATTCAGCATTATCATCTCTAAATGTGTATGTATCAGAGGATATTGCTATTTTATAATCTGTTTGTGGTAGAATTGATAATGTTTCCATACGTGGTGGACTTATTGGTAATAATTGTGATGGAATAGGTACATCTCCAGGAATTTCCGGTTGACGATAATACCATATAAGTTTAGGGAATTGATCATTAGTTTCTGGTGGATTATCAGTGAAAACAGCTTGACAACTTAACTAAAAATTTCAATGATGATAAAAATAGATAATGTAGGATGGTTACGAACTTTTGTTAAGATTTAAATGAGTGAACAGCTAACATTTCAACAACAAAATCAAAGCTATTGTCTTCTCAATAGATCTGATCTTTTTTCCGAGAGTCAGGTTTTAATATCTTCGAGGAAAAAAAATAATGATGACTTAACCGAACTATAATGGGTGAAACATGTTCTTTTAGGTCCTATCATGCCAGACAGGTCGGTTGAAGAGCAGTAAGACTAAAAGCAGTAAACTCAGGGTCTATGGGTGAAGTCATACTGCTTACTGTACAGAGATGTGATCGGAGTGAGATGTTTCTTGCAGACAACTAGCATGACAGCGATGCTGCCTTCTGACAATGAAGGGTGGGGTTAGAAAATGTTGACCCTTAAAATGTACATCTCACCTTAACCCACGGATTTTTGTCTCCGGTAGTAGTATCTGAACAAGTACGAATCTAACATAAAATTACTAACAAAAATATCGTGTATGACCGTTCTCAAGTAGTTGTTCCTTGGGCACTGTGGTCACGTTCTCAGGTCACTAAAATCATCAATAAGCCGATTTCGTTTCCAGATATCTCTAGAAGAATCCTTCCATGGTTTAGGCAACGTGGAAGTGATAACCGCCTTCATAACTCTAACAGCACTCAAGATCATCAGATTTCTAACTACTTTGTATTTGGTATTTATGTTACAAAATGTTTGTCAGCAACAAAACTGATATATTTAAACTTGAAACAACTGTCTTAACAACTAAAGACTATCCAGTCAAACTCTATAGAATAATCCGGAATAAACGATTCCCTTGATACTTAAACATTAAGCTATTGACTAATTTGAATTCAAGTAAAGTAATGCTCAAATATGTTAATTTGACTAGTCTCACAAAGAGAGTTCTTTCGGAAAAAAAACTGCCAAGCATTACCTTACGTGACGTTTCAAAAGATTATAGAAGTTAATTCAAAGCTTAATCTTAGAGCATCAAATCAATTTCGGTAATTGTACTGAATAGAAAATTGATTACAAATACGAATTGTATAACTTAAGTAAATGAAATCGTTGAAAAGAATGTTCTCTTCACTGAATAGTCTTTCTTCCTTCTTCATCATCTTCTTCAATGACACAAGGGGTCTCTATTGTTATCGATTTTTTCTAATAATCTTATTAAATGATATACAATGCTGTTCTATTTCATTATAGACTAATCTATTGACAATAAACCTAAGTAAATAATAATAATTCAGAAGAAGATTCTCGTTTATTGAAGTATTTTCACTTCAATAGTTAAGTTCATGGAACAATTGAAACTAGACAACTATAGAAAACCTGTTGTAAAACTCTTTAGCAATGTACATCTACGATCTTGCTTCAAAACATTCAAACTTGCAACTTATCGATCTCTCACCCAAACTCTTAACCACATCCAACAATGTTAATATCTAACTTTAACGAATCTACTAAATTTAACGACACATTCATCATTATCTTCATGATCTTAAGTATTGAAATTACAATAATATTCACATAAACCTCTTTTTAACATTTTTCATTTTGATTAAGATTATGAACCGATTGATGTTAGACCACCATTGAAAACCTGGAAGCACTGGACGGCCGTTTCCTCCTATTGTCGGACACCTCAGCAGTACTCACAAACGATCCCCCCCGCGGGATTCGAACCCAGGGCCTTCAGTCTCGCGCGCGAACGATTAACCTACTTGATCACTGAGCCGGCATCTAATGGTGTTAATGTCTAGCCTCAACCAATCCACGAAGTTGAGCGACCATCTTTCATTGTATTGAGGTAAACACCCGATAGCGATTAGCTCCACTGATCACAGCTTCTCAGCAGAACTCCGAGAATTTTCTCATGAAGCTAATTTCAATCTTGTTTTCAATATTATCACCGTAGTCAATTATCAATAATTCATACCTTTAATTATTATTAATTATTAAAGAGATTCATTAACTCATCACTACGACAACAGCGGAAACTTCCTCTTCTTTGGGAAACTACAAACATTTTACTTAAAAATTCTCTTTACTAAATGATAAAATGATTTTGCTTTATAAATGACGTAACTCATTGTTGTCGTTGTTGTTTTTTTTTAGTTTTTTTTCTTTAAAAATTACAGTAAGTACTACTAATCAACATGGATAACCATAACAAAACTACTAATATAAATAAGTAGTGTAAAATAGATGGAGAGAAAAATTCTCGAAATGATGATAGTTTATTACATTTTCTATTCAACTTATATCCTTTAATAGTTGAGATCATGAGTTCATTGAAGCTAAAACATTATAGAAAACCTGGAAGTAGTGGATGGCCATTTCGTTCAATCGTGAGACTTCTCAGCAGTGCGCACTCATTGATGACAATGGTAGATATGTGGCTCAATTTCGTGGATTAGTTAAAATTAAACATTAACACCGTTGAATGCCGGCCGGTTCAGTGGTGTAGTGGTTAGGCGCTCTCGCGTCAGACTGATAGGTCCTGAATTCGAATCTCGTGAGGCGGAATCGTTAGTGCGTACTGATGAGGTGTCCTACAATAGGATGAAATGGCTATCACGTGCTTACAACTTTTCCATGATGTTCTAGCTTCAGTTGACTCATGATCTCAACTATTGAAATTACTACAATCTCCACAAAACCCCTTCAATTTGTTGAATAAGAATCAGAGAATTTACTTGTTTTGTGAGGTTTAATTATTGTAAAATGTTTCAAAAATCTGGTGTTACTTTAGAGATGTGTTTGAGTAAGATTATACGTTCACTAGTTTCCATGGTTGATTTTGTACTTGGTCATGATATTTGATTAGTTAATCACCATGAGTTTATTCAAGTGATTGTATCATTTCATCATGTGATATTTGTTTATGCCCCCTAAAAGTCTTGTTATGACTGAGGGTAATAAGAGTCCGCTACACCTCTAGAAATGCTCTCACATTGCCATGCGTCCACAGACACTGACAGGGAAGTATTACTCACTGCCTTCTCACGAGATTACTGTTGTCTATGAAATTGAGATGACGAAAATCGAATGACAGACGCTTTAACCGGGTTGGTGGACACAGAGGATCCATCTAGAGGATTTAGGAAACACTGATTCCAAATCAATGGTGCACACAGGCTCCAGGGTTCTGAGAAAACAAATGGCATATGAATCTTATGTTGGTCACCAGCTACCATGGGACTGCATCTCCTAAAGTTGCTCCACTGCTTTGTGGACTAGAAACCTCGGTCGAAAGGCTTGGGGAGTAGTCCCCAAAAAAATCACCTGTTTATATATATATTTCTACTACAGTTGGAATAACAATTTGATAACAAACATTTATACCCTTATTCGACAGAATCAATGTTTATCAGTATAGGGTTGTGGAGATTATTAAGTTTTTGATTGAGATCATGAACCAATTGATGTTAGATGTCAATCCGTCTTAGGTAGAGACAGATATATATTTCAGTACAATGGAAGATTGTAGCGTAATTTCGCGGATTGCTTGAGGTTAGAAATTGACACCTTTGGATGTCGGCTCAGTGGTCTAGAGTTTAAGCTTTTAAGCGGGAATGAATGCCCCGATTTCGAATCTTACGAGTGGGATCGTGGCTGAGCACTGTTGAGGAGTCCCACAATAGGATGAAACGGCCGCCTAGCACTTACAGGTTTTCAGTGATGGTCTAACATCAATCAATTCATGTTTAACTACTTTAGAAAAACTTTTAATAACTCTCTTCCCCTCCGAGTTTACACTGAAACTTTTAATCTTAAAAGGCAACTAACTATTTAGACTACTAACAGGTTAAAGATACAAGAGAATAATATCAATCAATAACATACGTCTAATGCTCTTTGAACACGTGCCAGAATTGTATACTTTGATTTATCCATAGGATAAATGGTATTTGTTGAAGAATCAATCTTCAAATGGAAATTACGATCTATGAATGAAACCAAAAAGAAAAGAATTATCAGATATTAGGAGGATTCTTATATTTGTGAATTAGAACAATATTGTTCTCAATTGAATCTTTCTCGAGCTTTACTCTACTATACAGTAATATTTATATGAATATTCCGAAATTACTATACCAATCATGACAGTTTATGAGCTAATAATGATAACAATGGAATAGACTACGTAATACGTAAAATGTACAAATTGATAGTGTGATGACAAGTGTACTAGTGATGATAAGAAGAATAAAGGCCCCCAAATGCTCTGGTATGGCCGAGAGTGCGGAGAGTCTGCTCTACCTCTCCGAATGCTCTCACATGGCCACGCGTATATAGCCTCTGACAGGGAAGTCCTACTCACTGACTTCTCGCACCACGGGTGTTGTTTACGAAATTGAGAGGATGAAAAGCGAATGTCCGGCGCTTTAACCGGGTTGCTGGACATGGAAAGTTCATCTAGGGGAGTTGGAAAACCCTGATTCCAAACCAATCGTGCACATGGGCTCCAGGATCCTGAAGGAACACATGGTGTATGAACCAATCATTGGTCACCGGCTAACATTAGATTATATCAAACACTTCACAACACTATCAATGTAGTAACTACATTAAGAAAACAGATTTTTCCGAATTTTATTCTGTAAACTAATCTAATGATAGTTCCACATTAGGAACTACCAACAGACTGAACTACTGAAGCTTATAGTAATTTTATTACAGCCTCAATTTAAGCCTAATCCTAACATTTATGTACGATATGTTCAGATTAACAAATCAACTCGGATACGAGAAGACGTCCCAGTTTGGTTCCTATAAAAGTGAATGGAAAGCAGTTAGGAGTTCTATACTTGAACATCTAATTGACTGTAATCATTCTACAGATCCACAGTTTGATTTTAAGGTTGTTTATATGATTCGTTCAAATCTATTGAGATTTCTTCGTATCCAACTCCTAGTAAAATAGTCGAAGCTCTTACTATCCATGAGTTCAAACCAGAATTATGCGTACAAAAGAAGTACGTTCTATCGTTATCATTACCTTGGCCTTAATTATTATTATTAATATTACTGCATTCCCCTTTTACTTATGTCTTATATTCTCATTATTCTATTCATAAATCATCATCATATCACTTTATTTAATTTTTACACCTCTATGACCTTTAATGACCTTTAATTATTGTAATTTCAATAGTTGACATTGAAGCTAGACCACCATGGAAAACCTGGAAGTACTGGATAGCCGTTCCATCCTATTGTGTGACTCCTCAGTAGTGAGCATCCATGACCTCGCCTCACGAGATTCGAACTCGCTCACGAGTGCTTAACCTTTAGACCACTGAATCGGCTGGCATCCAATTGTGTTAATGTCTAACTTCAACTCATCCACAAAATTGAGTGACACATCCACTATTGTCATCAATAAGTTACCATCTCACAAAAAGAGATCCTTTCATTGAACTTCATGTTTTTAAATCAAAATCAATAATCATTTTAAATGTGATACCTTGTATTGATTCGGTTACTTGTTCTTCTTCTTCTTCTTTGACGGATGTAGTTGTTTCTTCAATAGATTCTGTCACAATAGTTACAGCTGATTCTTCACCTTCTTGTATACTTTGATCAGTTGTGATCTTTTTTGTAAATTTAAAATATGATGATCCATATTCTTGAATCGGTGGTAAATCATCTCTTAATTCAATATCTACTGGAATTGGTACACTCATAATAATAATACAACGACCACGTATATGATCTTGTATAATAGATTGATGTAAATGTTTAATATAAAGTATACGTCCATTTTGTATTTCAACATGTTGACCAATTCGATTAGGATTAATTGGATTATTATAAAGATCAATAAATTGCCATGTATAACTGGAACTTTTTAAATCTACTTCTAAATCAAAATTATCTATAAAGAAAAAAGAACAAGAAGAAGAATTTAAAGGTTACAACATTTCATGGAACGAATTCCGATAAGGTTACTTACTCACAATTGATTAATCACTAGGTGGTGATCAATGTCATGTGTGTCAAGTCCTTATTATTAGTGTAGATTGAATGCTATCGGGATCGAATGAGTCAGGGAGTACTAGTTCCCTCAAGATTACAGGTACACTTTGCTGACGAGTGCCAAGTAGCATGAAACCTGGGTACAGGGTTTCCTGTCTACTACCTCCAACCACCATCTCAGGTTACTTATTCTCAACCATTTCTTATTCTTATATTTGATAAGATTATGTAAGTGTTCATAATTCAAGGGAAGCATGGAATACAATGATTAGTAGTGAATGCAATTAGACAATTTAAACTTTGCATATAACCTAGTTTGGCGAAACTCTAATTTATGGACGAGCTTATCAGAAGCGTTTTAGAGATCACAACGTTACGGCGCCAAATTCTGTGCTTAGTGATAACGTACAATCGGTTCACAAACAATTTTGTGCAAAACGTGATAATTGAGCGTCTATAACAAATAAAACGGTGAGACCATAATTTGTGGACGAATCAATCAGGTATAAGATAATAGATCTCGGATTTTAACGCGAAGGCCTTTCATCCATTTGGCATTATAGCTGATGTCACTTCATGATGAAAACCACATATATAATTCCTAACTAAGGTAAATTACGACAATTATTGCGAACTGGATAATAAAAGCACCAGTAACACTGACTGCAGCCAGGTACTACAATATTTAGGAATGACTGGAGAGAGTACAGTCTCCCACATAGGCTTGGTTATGTGCATCGTGTCGTTATCCACAAGTAGCATTTTGTGCACTCAACAACCGAAGTGCACATAAACAATATTGAAACTATGTGATCGATGCTGAAAGAGTTTTTGAGACTTTTTCATGGCTCCAGAGGCTGACTATTCCGTAGCCATATGGATGATTTCCTCTACTGTATGCATTACGATTTTAGAACCTCTGAACCTCTTTCTAACCTTGATAAGTTTTGGAACCATGTCTAAGAAGTGTATCCGGTTTAATTCTTTGGTTTTGTATAATATATTTTTACTCTGTACTGACTGTTTGATGATTGGCTAATATTTCCCAAAGTTGTTTGAGATTCGTTCAAAGGTCGTCCATAAATTAGAGTCTCGCTCCTAGTTCTTCTATCCCACACACATGAACAAGTGAATATGGAGACAACTAATGAATTGGTAGCCTTGGTATCAGTAGACCTCAATAAAACATAACGGAAAAAGAAAGATTCTCAAATATAACACAATGAGTATCAAATAAATCATATTTGATGAAGAAACTCTGGAAGAGGTTGAATTAGTCACATACCTGACTGAATAGTATCATCGATGAATGTGGAGAATTTGATGAAGGTGTAAAGACAAGGATTGGTAAAACATGAGCAACATTCATAAGGTTGAAGAATACATGGAACTTAAAACAACTGTCTGTCAACTAACATCAAAGTCAGAATCTTCAACATGGACGTCAACACAGTTGGTTCTACTGTACAGAGGTAAAACTTGGAGAAGTATTAAAACTATCATCAAGAGAATACAAATATTTAAAACTAATTATCTACACAAGATAGTGAATGACCGTTGACCGGACACAATCGGTAACAACCTACTATGGGTAAGAACAAACCAACTTCCATCTGAGGCCGAAATTAGGAAAAGACGATGGAAGTTCAAAGGACATAAATCGTAAAAATCATTAAACTGCATCATGAGAGAAGCAATAACTTAAACTCGTGAAATAAAGAATAAAAGAGGAAGGTCAAACAACACACTGTACCGAGAATTGGTATCAGACATGAAAACGATGAATAACAACTGGAAAAAACTGTAAAAGGTTGCCCAAGACAAAGTTGGTTGTGCGGTCTATGCTCTTCCATGAGGGGTAACAAGCATAAGTAATTCTATTCAATGATTCTATTTTTTTTATTTATTAGTTACAAAAGGAGTTGTGAAATAGATAAAATTGATAGTTCATCAACGGGAAAAAAGGGAAAATAATGATTCATTCAATCACTTAATTATTGCGTAATCTAATCAGTAAACAAGTTACTTATCAAAATCATTCAAAAGTAATTGATAAAGAAAGAAAGAAAGAAAAGAGAAGAAAAGTAAACATATCTGATTTAATCAACTAAAATAGATTTCACATTGTATGGCTGTTTCGTCCTAATGTGAAACTCCTCAGCAGTGCGCATCCCCAATCATGCATGCGAGACTGTAGCGCGAACGCTTAACCTCTAGATCATGGCTCAAAAATAGATGGAGAATAAGTTTCCATACATGTAAAACGTAAATGATCTCAATCGGAAAATGATTGAAAACCAATATACCATTACTTTTATACCAGTACTAGGATACCTGTCCTTGTCATCTATATATTTCAACAGTCATCTGTTTTTGTGTTTGCTTGTTTGTTATTGACACATCTTTATGTTTATTAATTGATCACATAACCTACTCAGGTGCATTTATGAAAAATCTATGACCTTTCTCTATACAAGTTACAAAACGGTACAATTAGAGACGTTGTTGCGGCTGGGCACAATATACATTGAAAGGAATGTACATTATTCATATGTGAATTCATGAACTGGTATCATCATAATGACGATCAATCGATATTTATCAACATGCTCAATCAAGAAATAAGAAAAAAGAAGCTTGTTGAAGTACTTTGTGTTGAGAATTCTGTATTGTACCAAAAAGACAATATTGAATAAAACCAGCAATAGGAAGAAGAAGTACGCTAAAAAACGAATCAGAATTGATGATTTTCAACTAAGAAACAACTACAATTCAGTGGAAATACATTATATACAATGAATAATAACAAAATAATTTACATACCTAATACTAAACACGTTAATTTCAAATCTTCTCCAGGTATTCCAGCTGCATTGCCATTATCATCAAGCCCATCAATTTGTACCTTGATTGATCTACCACTTACTGAAATTGTAATTAAGTAGATAAAAAATATATACTAAAATAAACGGGAATGGTAATAATGAATAATGAATGTTCCTTCTCATTACATATTCAGTTGATAAGTGTATTGTTACAACAATAAACTTGAATGATCTGAATTCGCTATTGACTGATGCTTAGATTATCATCGTTCAATTTGTTAGAACTATTCCCATTTACTTCAGTGATCTTCTTTGTATTAAAATGTTAATCACTTACTGACATAGTAAAATGTCGATGATTTCACTGTATAAAATTATCGTCAGTGTTGTATTTTAGATGGTAATTGGAGGTAGACTACCTCCAATTACCATCTAAAATCTCAATACATAGTGCCCGCAGTGTCAAGTCACCTAGACTGTTGGCCACATTGCAACATGATCGATAGCATTCGATCTGCACTAATAAGGACTAGACACGCATGACATTGATCACCACCCAGTGATCAATCAATTGTGATGAATGTTGTATACTAGTTTGTGTGGATTAATAATTAAAGACTACAGTCATACTTGGATGGCTGACAACTTATCTACATTGAATTGTTCAAAGTAATACTTTAATAACTAAAGTCTTTAGTTTTCAAACATTTAACACATTTGAACACATAAATATTGGTACAGAATACATATACACCACATAAGTCATGTGATTTATGCGTGGATGGTGAAACTACTCAAGTGCTCAGATTGAACCGGATGATTTTCATAGGGAGCCACATTCGGAATCTTCAACCTATAGGTCTGATCTACAAGGCAGTAAAGCGACGTAAGACGATGAAGTCTCATGGTAGCCGCTGACCAACAATAGGTTCACACACCATTTGTTCTTTCAAGATACTGGAGTCCATGTGCACGATTGATTTTGAATCAGGATCTTCAAACTTGCTTAGATGGGTCATACATATCCATCAACCAGGTTAAAGCGCCGCATATTTGCTTTTCAATAATGTCGCGAGAAGGCGGTGAGTAGAACTTCCCTGTCTGTATATGCGTAGCCATGTAATGGCATTTCGAGATACAGAACGAACACTGTCCATTCTCGGCCGTAGCAGAGTACTTGAGGGCTTTTAAATATTGGATCACAGATTTGTACTTCATTCCATCTATTTAAATTATGACAAACCAATAATATAACTCACTTTTCCTCCCCTCTCTCTCTCACACACACCCACATTTATAAGAAGCGTAACTTAAAACTTAGTAACATAATCAATATTTGAATAGTTGTCTATCTATCTGTTGTATCTTAAAAAGGATATGATAAGTAAACTATTACTGTTCAATCTGTATTTTAGTTAAACAGAAAAATGATCCTACTAAATAAGCATTCGTGCGTGAGACTGAAGGCCCTGGGTTCGAATCCCTTTTGTGAGGGATCGTGGATGCGCACTGCTGCGGAGTCGCACAATAGGACGTAACGACCGTTCAGTGCTTTCAGGTTTTCAATAGTGATCTAATATCAATCGAATCATGATCTCAATCAATAATTCAATAAACTTGTCTATATAGTTAACTTACTATCATAAACCGGTACAGGATGTTTTGACCAAATTGGTATTTCACTTTCATTAGCTGATATAATAACAATAGGATAATAATCTGTTCGATATCTTTTCAATGGATAATTAGATTCCTTTTGTTTATTATCTAATTCATTTGGTTCTTGTTCATTTGCATTATTATTCAATTCATCAATAGATTTCACAATAACATTAAATCGTATTTTCAATGGTTTCGTTGTATAATGTGGATTCATTATGATTAAACTACCATTTTTACTATTGAATAATATTGATTCACCTAATTCACCAGTATGAGCTGGTAAACCACTAATATATGCTAAATCATATGAATAACGAATTAATTGTGGATTCGTTGTATCATCTAATGGGGAATCAGTTGTAGGTACTAGAAAATACAAAAAGAAGAAACAAAACAAAACAATACAGTTATGAATATCAATCAATCATGAATGAAAGTTATCACTGCTACAATACACTTGGTATCCTGAAGGGAAACAGAAAAGAGGAAGGCTACGTTGAGGAATAGAAGCAAATAACAACTAGAAAGAGCTGGAAAGGTTAGCTTGGGACAAGGTTGGGTGGAGAATGCTGTTGGGAGGTTTATGTTCCTTTACGAGGTGTAACAGGAGTAAGTAAGTAAGTAAGTAAGTGAGTTGATTCACCATTCACCGTTATTGATAACATATCCTATGAGTTAGTTGACGCATGGAATGCAAAGGACGAGAATTGCTGATTGCTTTTGGTATACCACAGTCCAAACTGCTAGGTGAGTGAAGTCTTGCTAGATGGTTTCAACACTTTGTGACCAAGTGGTCGATATTTAACCTTAAAAGACTTTGATGCATCTACGGTAAACTAGAAAAATCTGAGAACTGGATTGTTAGAAAATTTCTTGGAAAATAAATTAGTTGATGTCGTTGTTACATAAGACCAAGGTCAACATTTGGAAGAAGTTACCTGGACTCCGAATCATTCCTACTAGATCTCATTTTGACCAATTAAGAGGATTACGTCACAAACCACTAATATATCCTACCCTTAGGTAAAAGCGACCATGCGCTTTTAATCTTTCACATCTATTTACTTGTCAATAACGAGCATGTGTCAGCTGAAGATAGACCACACGTCTGAAAAGAAAATATACAAGAAATAAAACACTCAGCATCCTTGGTAGATTTGAAAGTAGAACCAGAACTCCTCATTGAAACAGCTTGGGAGGTATTCACACATTTTATATAAGAGTCACCACACTGCACATCTTATGCACTACACCAAGGGGTTTGTGAAACTCTCCACCATGGTTCAGTAAAGAGGTTCGCACCCTTCTCCGTAACAATAAAACAATGTGGAAAAGAATCAGGTTACTGGATAATAACGAGACAAAATTTAGATATAGAGAAGCCCGAAATATTTGTGTCTCCACACTCCGCAAATCCAAAAGGTTATGCAAAGAAAAACCTGTTAAGGAGTCTATAGAAAATCGTAAACGATTTTACCCATACATAAAGCAAAAGACTAAGAGAAGAGGAAATATTCCAGAATCATAGTGAGACAGTAGTACTTCATCACTAATGGAGGACGATTATGATAAACCTCAGGTATTCTCAAACTACATTGGCAGTGTATGTATAATAGAAATGCCCTCAACTTCAGTTCATACAAAATCCGTTGACCAACAATAGGTTCATATACCATTTGTTCCTTCAAGATACTAGAGTCCATGTGCACTATTGATTTGAAAATCAAGGTTTCCAAGCTTCCCTAGATGCATTCTCCATGTTTACCAAACTATATAGATATGTTTAATAAACAACTATTAACTAACTGTCATGATAACGAGTGATAGATATGGGACAATAAAAGAAAGAAAGAAAGAAAGACACTTAAACATAATCATAAACTTACATTTTGCAATAGCACGAATCTCATCAGTTTTATCATCATTTATAGTTAAACTAATTTGTTGTTTATCATTATCCATAGGTATAATGTCAATTATCACTTTATCATCTGATACTACAAATTAATAAGGAAAAACAACTTGGATTAGGAATGAAGAAGAAATCTATGGATTTGTTTATATTTATAAAAGATGAGAATGATTAGATGAAGGGTACATACGAAACCATGTGAACAATCATTTCCATAAAAGGATCTCTTTCCTACAACCCTACATCACCAGACCCCCCCCCCTCCTCCAAAAATCGAAATACATGTTTAATAAAATAAACAGTGATAATGACTATCCTGTCATTCAAACAACAGTTTCTTTATTCATTGAAAGTGTGTATGTGTATATGTGTGTGTACGTGCGAGGTGTGTGCTTGTGTGTGTGTGTGTGTGCAGGAGGGGGGGTAATTATTTACTTCATTTAAAACTGTTAATCATTCATTATAGTATTATTGAAATCAATTAGTTTTCTTGTGAATCATTTATCTTGGAAAGATAATAATAATGTTTATTTTTCTAATGTCATTCATAATGAATCTTTATACATAAAGTCAAGACCAAAGGTCCTGGATCGAATCCGTCAGAGAGTATCAGTTCCTTCAGAATTATAAGCACATCTTACTGATAAGTGTCAAATAACATGAAACCTGAGTTCAAGATTTCCTGTTGAATACCTCCAACTATTATCTTACTATTCAATTCTATTTGAAAGATCTATTTGATTTCGACTTTGTGTTAGTTAGTTCAGATTAACAAAATGTATGTGGAATCCAATAACCCATCAGTATAAAACATGTAAACTATGTATTGAAATCAAACAATAAGTTACGCAATCATAAACAATCTATCTTAGAAATATTTTTGTTCAAAGTTATCAATAATCTTGTCTAATTCCATACAAGATTCCATTTCATTGTTTTACATTCAAACAGAAAAATAAAAACAACTCTTCCATGGTTGAGATCATGAGTCAGTTGAGCCTAGATCACCATGAAAAACCTATAAGTAATGAATGGCCGATTCATTCTATTGTGGGACTCGTCAACAGTGTTCAACAATGCAAGATTCGTACACAGAACCTATCAGTCTCGTTTAACCTCTAGACCACAGTCAGTCAGTCAGTCAATCAGCAGTCAGTCAGTCAGTCAGTCAGTCAGTCAATCAGTCAGTCAGTCAGTAAGTCAGTCAATCAGTCAGTCAGTCAGTCAGTCAGTCAGTCAGTCAATCAGTCAGTCAGTCAGTCAGTCAATCAGTCAGTCAGTCAGTAACAGTGTGGAACTTCGTACGTACGTACATCAGTTCGAGTTACCACATCACATTAGCACAGAGATGCAGTTGTTAATTCAAATCCCGTAGTGGTAGAGGTAGTAAAAGTATAAGCAGTACTCGTAAACATTAGTGTTTGAAGATGTTATTCAAGGAGTATAATCCAGTGAAATAAATTTGGAAAGAGAAAAAAGAAAGGGACACGAAGAATTCAGAAGATTAGAATTTGGGATAACACAAAGAGTGGATGCACCTACACCATTGCAAATGATTTTGAGTCATGTTATTCAAGGTCTCTAACCATCGGTTGCTATCATCTCGTGGTCCCCAACCAGATAGTCTACACCTACCAACATGGTTCAGTCCACTTGTCAGTGACTTCTAGACCACTGGAGCCGGCTATTATCTAATGATGTGAATGTTTAACTTTTGTTTACAAAATAAAATAAAAAAAGTTTACCATCAACTGGAAGTATTTCCTCTGGTTGTAGACTAGGAACTGTATTCAATGGTTGTATATTTGTAAAGAATAGATCAGATGAATATGTCTGTGGTGATTGTTCAGTGAAGTTATCTTCTTTAGGCCATATTGTTATAAGACATCGACCTTTTTTTGGTGTATTATATTTAATATTTGTAATCTTCATTTTATTTCCTTCAGTTGTTATTATATCACCAATTTCACTGATATCAGCTAATTCACCATCGATCTGACGCCAATCCCATCCATAAGTCACTTTACTGTTAATGTATGGTTGACCAGTATTATGATCTAAAATAAATGAAGAACAACTAATTGATCTATATTTCTACATAAGAAACAAGATTATAACTAGTTGAATGGTAATCTGTCTACCGTAACATTCAAAGTCAAACTCCACGTGGAGTCCCTCAGTGGGCTACTGCCGGTCCCAAGCCCGGATAAAGGAACAGGGTTGGGCATGAGGTTGGTGACTCCATCCCGTAGAAAACCAACTCTCTAAAAACCAGTGTAGCAGCAGCCTCAGCAGCAGTAGGTCTCAATATACACAAAGTAAAAACTAAGATTCTCCGATACAACACAACATGCATCAATCCAATCACAATTGACGGAGAAGATTTGAAAGATGTAAAAACCTTTACAGCATCATTGATGAACATGGTAGATCTGATGCGGATGTGAAAGCACGGATTGGCAAAGCAAGAGCAGCATATTTACAACTGAAGAACATCGGGAACTCAAAAAAACTGTCAACCAACACCAAGGTCAGGATTTTCAATACAAATTTCAAGACAGTTCTACTGTATGGGGCGGAAACCTGGAGAACTACAGAAGCCATCATCCAGAAGATCCAGGTGTTTATTAACAGTTGTCTACGCAAAATACTTCGGATCCGTTGGCCGGATACAATTAGCAACAACCTACTGTGGGAAAGAACAAACCAGATCACAGTGGAGGAAAAAATTAGGAAGAAACGCTGGGAGTGGATAGGACACACATTGAGGAATGCACTCAACTGCGTCACAAGACAAGCCACCACACGGAACTATGAAGGCCAAAGGAGAAGAGGAAGACCAAAGAACACATTACGCCGGGAAACGGAGATGGACATGAGAAAAATGAACAAGAATTGGATGGAATTAGAAAAGAAGGCCCAGGACATAGTAGGTTGGAGAATCGTGGTCGGCGGCCTATGTTCCATTAGGAGTAACAGGCGTAAGTAAATAAGTAAATGATGATTGGCATATTGGGAAGTCGTTATTAATGTTCTTGACTCAACTGGTAGAGCTAGGAGGACAAAAAACCGATAAAGATGCTAAGCTGCTCATACCGATTGAACGTCATTGATTTGGCACAATGTTAAGATTGTATGAGCCATATTTCGATTGGCGAATAATTCACGTGTGATAAGTAGCCGGCCTTAAAGTTACAACATCTTTCATCCATAGAAAAAAATAAAACTAACCATATAAATATATTCTGTAAAGGATTTTATAACTTACCAATTGCATGACACATTAATTCTCCATCACTACCTTCTGTTGCAGTAAATAATCCATCATCAGATATTCCTTGAACTTGAACATAAACACCTTATAAGAAGGGTGCACGGCGGAAGGGTCAGGCGGCGGGGGGGTCGGAGAATAGAAATAAAACGTTAGTAAACATAATAAATATTACTGATGAGTTAATCAGTAATTAACTACTTTACAATGATGATCTAACCGGTAAACTTTACAAATTTCATTATACACAATCTAAACGGAAAATTGATATGGAGATCATCAACCTACTGATAATTATCTTGAGATGGTGAAAAAGATTTTGTAGCTGAGGTAAATGATTTTAATGAAGTTTCATTCTTTGAACTGAATGATTTCATTGTGGAGTTTTCATCATTCTTTTGAACGATATCATCAGTACGTACTTCATGTAGAAGTATAATGATGATATTGTTCAGAAGAACTATGTAAGCTCTACAATTAAACTATCTAGCTTAGAGTAGAAAACAATAAAGATTAGAATTGCTGATAGCTTCATAGATGTCTTGAAAACTGATAGGTATGCCTAGATGATCAGTGTTGGTTAATATGAAGAAGGAAATCAGGACAACTTCGTGCCAATATTAATCTATTTGTGTGAATGACTTAGGTCACCTATTAAAAATACTTTTACTCTTAAAGCTTTAAACATAAATTACACTTGAATACTGACATACAATAAGTAGAATTTCTAGGGGATCTTAGTTAGTATACACACAGGGTAGAACTATTTTACGATGAAAATATCAGAGCATTAATGAAATAGTATGTCTTGAAAGAATGAATTAAGATGTATCTGTTCTATTCGTTACTTGACTAACGCAGAATACGGTATACAACTACAACAGTCGAATGTATAGAACCACACAGTGGCAAAATTAGAAGACAGAAGAAAACTGAAGAAGTGTTTTTGTTGAATAAGAATCAAAGACTGACAAATATGGATAATTGACATAAATGAAACTATTCTCTATTGTAAATTAATTCTATTGAATTCTATTTCAGTGTCTGTATCTTTTATGCGTTAATAAGGTTGTAGCGGTAAATAAATCCCCAAAATAAATAACTCTAAGTTTTCGACATTGAATGCTGACCAGGTTAGTTTTAGTGGATTCATCTAGCTGAAGGCGCTCGGTCATGCATCCGCACCAGATCACGTGTGGTAACGCTGTGCTTAACATCTACCGCAATCGCTAGCCAGATTAGATTAGAGAATTCCGATATATTGGTAATCGCCAAATACACTCTTCCGATCTCCTCGACTCTGTCTTTTGATTTCTCTGGGTTGGAACGAATTATATTAGAAGGTGTTACTGGTAAAAGCGTTGTCAAACACTGAATACCTGTGTCATCTTCAAGGTTACCACTGAACGGTCGGGTTGTGTATATGAAGTTACGTTACTTGATGCAATCATAATTATGACATATCGAAATGTGTATCCTCTGGAGTAGAGAAGTATTTCAAAAAAAAATGTATTCACAAGGTATTTTGACAAACGAATTCTCTGATCATAGAATAACTTTTAAGATGATCATTACAATCCCAGTCAGTAATTATCAACATAGTAACTAGCAAGAATGTTAACCGGCTCAAATTTTCATTCTACATATCATTATAGCTAGACGAAATTAAAAAGTTGGAACACTATCACAAAGAACATTGACAGTTACAAAAGATAAATATATTAAGTATGGTAATTATTAACATTTATCGGCGAGACACCAATTTATGGACGACCTTCGAACGAATCTTAAGTGACCTTGAGAAATATTAGTCAATCAGTAAACAGTCATTATAGAGTAAGTATATGTTATACAAAACCAAGGAAATAAAGTGGATACACTTCTCTAACGTGATTCAAAAATTTCTCAAGATTAGGATGAGGTTCCGAGGTTCTAAAACCCTAATGCATGTAGTAGAGGAAATTATTCATATGGATACAGAATAGTTGGCCTCTAGAGCTATAATAAAGTCTCAAATAGTCTTCCAACCTCGAACACATAGTTTCAATATTGTTTGTGTGCACTCCAGTTGTTGAGTACACAGAATGCCACTTGTGGATAACAACACGATGCACATAACTATTGTGCCTCACGTGCAATTGAGTTTATTCTCATTTAACTCAGTTAAGCCCTTCTGCTAACTTATTTAGCGGACAAAGTCATCCGCACTATAACAATTTATTGTACCCTTATTATTATTTTGTGCTTATATGGAATACGTGTGCTTGAATATTGCTTACGGCCTACGCATTTATTCACACTGCTAGTCTTACTACTAACTGATTATTTGATTCGATTACTCATTCATTTCACTAGATATATATATGTCCATGTTATTCATATTCAACACACACACTCTCGTCTCGCTCTTGCTCTCGCTCGCTTGATTGTATTCGCTTACCCATATTCGCTCACTCGCTCGATCGCTTGCTTGCCTTTCGGCACAACTCTTCTATACTTGTTTAACGTATCTGTACTTTTGGATATATGTTTGTGGTCTCGTAATAAACGTAATCAACGCTTCGTATTCGCCTTCTGATTAATATACCGTTGGGACGTTATATAGAACGGTTATCAAGACGAGCTGTATATGAAGTTTATGGATTATATCGAATACCGACCACCGCATAACCAAGCCTTTGTAGTAGCCTGTACGGTCTCCGAACTTCCGTATATATTGTAGTACCTGGCTGCAACTAGTGTTAATGGTGCTTTTATTATCCAGTTCGCAATAATTTTCGTAATTTGCCCTAGTTAAGAATTATATATGGGGTTTTTATCACGAACTGACATTAGCTATAATGCTAGAAATTTATTTAGACAAATCCGAGATCTATTATCTTTTACCTGATTGATTCGTCCACAAAGTATAGTCTCGCCGTTTTATTTGTTATAGCCGCTCAGTTATCACGTTTTGTACAAACTTCCCTGTGAACCAATCGTACGTTAGCATTAAGCATTGAAGTTGGCGCTGTAACCTTGACATCTCTAAAGACGCCACTGATTAGCTCGTCCATAAATTACAGTCTCACCTATTTCTCCTAAACAAACTTCCTTCATTATAAATGAATAACATAGAATTTATGATTCACACTAAATTCATTTTATACTTACCATCTTTTCTTATTAATGGGGTACCTGTAGTCATATCACTAATTTCTTCAGATATTACACCTATATTAAATGGTTCTGATTGATAATGTTTTATACGATTATCATCTTGAATATCACCAACACAATAACCCCATACATTCCAACGGTAATCTTGTTCACCTGGTATTTCAATCTCTTTTAAGGTTAAATTATTCCCACTCATTTGTGCATTATTAGACCATGGAATTAAATAGGTATGTTTCTCAGGATCAATAAATTGCCAACCAATTAAAATTTGATCCTCTTTTAATATTTCTTGAGTTTTTGTATCTAAGTCAAAGAAAAGAAAAGAAAAAATAGTAGTAGAAGGCTAATTATAAAAATTAAACGGTATTTACAATTGATTGATCACTGTATGGTGATCAATGTCATGTATGTCAAGTCCTTCATAGTACAGTATTGAATTTGATCGACCTAGTATGGCAATATGACCACCACTATAGGTGATTCGACATAAGTATGTGCACTATGTTGAGATAAGATGGTGGTTGGAGGTAGTCAGCAAGAAACTCTGGAAATAGGTTTTGTGCTACTTGACACTCGTCAGCACCTGTAATCTTGAGGGAACTGGTGCTCCCTGACAGATTCGATTCTGTGTCACCTAGCTTCACAGTCAGAGAAGTTACCACTGAACTATTAGGGCGGCGATTGACCTGTTGTAGCACTGAAATGTATTCACAATTGATTGATCACTGCATGGTGATCAATACCATGTATGTCAGATCGTTTCTTAATGCAGATCCAATCTTATTGAAATTAAACAGTTAGTGATAAATACAATAGTAAAATACAATTGCTTGGATGTATATAGCTCTATGAATCGAACGAAAAAAATAAATCAAAGCCTTGAGATGGTGAAGATTTGTAGCTGAGGTGGATGGTTTTGATGAAGTTTTGTTCTCTGAGCTGCATGGTTTGGTCGTGGAACTTTCATCGTCCTTCTGAACGACATCATCAGCACAAACTTCAGGTAAAAGTGAAGTGTTCAAATTTCTCCATATATGTTTCACAGCTGGTTCTGTACACCTCGACGTTGATTGGTTTCTAATGAAGCCTTGATACACAGTTTTACTGAAAACTAAATCATTAAGTTCATTGAACATGTGGTTTTACATGGATTAATAGAAGTGTGTACTGACAGCTTAACCTAGAGATTTTGTACCATATCGAGTTATTAGTATAGTGATATCTGAAAAACTAATTTTATTCACGTCTAAAAATAAATTTCTGTGGGAGAGGACAAATCAATTTCCATTTGAAGAGGAAATCAAGAAAAGACGTTGTTAGTGAATAGGACATACATTACGGAAATCATCAAAGTGCATCACGAAGCAAGCTCTAACTTGGAATCTTGAAGGGAAACAGAATAGTGGAAGACCCAGGAACACACTACGTCGTGAAAAAGAATGAGATATGAAAAGGATGAACAACAACTGGAAAGAGGTGGAAAGGATTCCTCAGGACAGGTTATTGGTGGGCGGCCTATGCTCCTCCATGACGGATAACAGGCGTAAGTAAGTATGTTGTTATTTGAAATTGTACAAAAATTAATTTTGCAGAAAAACTATTAACCAGAACCAAGGTATTTCCGTATTCAGAACCTATTTAATGGCTCACATATTTTACATATATGGAATAATATGTATATTATAATGACCAAATGTCGATATTCAAATCACCAGGTTTGTTATCCGCATGAAATTGACCACTAATGAGAAATTAATCAGTGTAAATATCTTAATCGTAAGGGAATTCGGTCGCTTCTGAATAGCTAACCGATAGTGTCTCAGACAGTATCACTTAGTGACATGGGTTCGAATCCATTTAAGAAGCACCATCATTGTCCCGATTAACTCCCAACCCACTTGGAGGAAACTTTCATGCTTAATATATCCCATCAACTGTTATCCAAACATAGTGAACAGGATGTCAAATCATTTATACTAGTAGTCATATTGTGATTTAATTGATAAAAATTGATCAACACTACAAACTAGACTAACATGATACTGGTTACTATTCACTGATCAATTAATCTTTGTATCTATGGTTAATACTTCTCATGATCTAGTATTTCTATACTAAAAATTAAAAGGAAATAAATGTTGTTTTTGATGGAGTTTTGTTTTCTGAGATGAATGGTTTGTTCGTGGAGCTTTCGTCGTTCTTTGTTTTGGTTATATCCCCTAAAGAAGTAAACAATGACATATTTAAGATCAACAAGAACTAATCAACATCGAGGTATAGATGACAAGCTGTGAACCACATGTAGAGAAATTCGAACATTTCACATCTACCTAAAGTTTGTGCTGCGGAAAAAAAACAATAAAAGCTCCACGACCAAACCATTCAGCTTAGAGAACAAATCTCTATCACAATCATTCACAAATCTTCTCCAACATGTTGTTTCACAAATACTTACTTCGTGCTTCACATGTTAATTCAATATTTGAACCTTCTTGAACAATTTTATTCCCATCAGCATCTAATCCTTTTACAATTAATTCAATATTCTTATCATCAGCTGTTTACATTCAAACAAAGAAAAAGAAAAGAAACAAAAAATATCATCGAAGTAATTATTTAGAAAATTTCTTGTTACTACTTATATCAGATAAATGAGTAGTTTTCTAATCAAAAGAAATAAATTAGAGATAAATAGTGAATGAAATCCCTTCTCATATATCAGATCCACTTATAAAGACACTGAATACACTGTTATCATATTGAAGACTGATCTACTTATTAAATATACTGAAATTCAAAAAGGCTATTCTTGTATGGTATACACTTCTTACGGTTGACTAGATGTACCATATCACACGACTTGTGTATAGACACAATCTGTTATCTTAACACTTTACATTTCACACTACATGTCTGTTGTACACTAAAGTAAATGCCTAATTTAAACATGAATAACGTTGATTAGATGACCTATTCAGTATACAATGAACCAGAGAACCATTTCCCCTATTTATATTCGATAATATTGATGTTTGATTAAATTTCCTTGAAAAAAGCTTGGATCAGATTGTCAGGTGAAACGTTGGATTTATGTCAAATTCTTTCACTGAGATTTTCACAAATACAACATTTTTCCTCTTTAATGTCTAACCATCAACTCGGTATACAAATACTTTGAAACTATTTAGACGAAAGTTCTTATATATAAATAAAAGTCCTTTGAATAATAAGATAATGATGATCAGAACTATGTGATGATATACATTAACCGAAGTACATGTTTAACAATCTGATCACACATATACTTGTTAATGACATTTTTATCCATAAAAGAATTCAAAGGTCAACTAGACAAACTGAAAGAAGGGAACAAAACATGTGATGTTGAAATTAAGATGAAATGTAATCAGGAGGATCATAGGAACAGAAATAACCTAGTTAGGAGTAAAGGGTCTCATACAGAAGACAAAAGAGAGAAAGGAGATGGCTGTCAAGGAAGAAAAGTATGAAAAACGAGGAGGAGGAGAAGAAGAAGAAGGAGAAGGAGAATGATGAAACATTAAAACCATGATAGAAGAAGAGGTTGTACCAAAGGTAGTCACAATAATAAAGATTTTCACATTATGTACTTTATTCTTTATCTTTATCTCAGACTCCCCTCTAAGTTGTTTAGTTTTCTCAAGTATATATGTGATCAGAATGGTTGAAATGTTATGTGCAAATATTTGTCACATATAGTTCTGAGAACCTTCTTCTTCTTCTTCATATCTCATTATCCAAATTTATCAAACAAATTGAAGGTATGGTGGTATGTGCGTCTAGATTAACAATGTGTAGTATTGATAAAATAAAAAATCATCAACGTTCAGTCTGATAATTAAAAAAAAAACAGTAAAACTTTTGATTGAGATCATGAACCGATGGTTTAGACATTAACACCGTTGGATGCCGACTGACTCAGTGGTCTACAAGTTAAGCGTTCATGCGCGAGACCAAAGGCCCTGGGTTCGAATCCCGCAGGCGGAATCATAGATGCGCAATGCTGAGGAGTCCCACAATAGGACGAAATGGAAGCGCAGTGGATTCAGGTTTTCAATAATGATCTAACATCAGTCAGTTCATGTTCTTAATCAAAAACTTAATAATCTCCACAACCCCATACTGATAAATAATAAAACGTCATAACAGAACAAATATTGGAAAAGTTGAAACTCTCGGTGCTATTTTCCAGAATATTATCACTATTTATATTGTTACTATATAATCAGTGAATAACTATATGGTTACATCGCTATACATCCCTTATTCTAAATTTCATTGAACATATTAGAGACTTTCAATGGTTAAGATCATGTGTCGGTGGAAGCTAGACCACCATGGAAAACCTGGAAGCACTGGACGGCCGTTTCGTCTTATTGTGAGACTCCTCAGCAGTGAGCATTCACGACCTCGCCCCCTGCGAGACTGTTACACATTTTATTATTCCTTAATTATTATTAATTGATTATCTACTATTTACTCCTCCCTCTATCACTAATAGAATGATTGTACTTCACAATGTGATTTCTTATTTGATGAAGCATATAGTTAAACCTTTTCAGTATATTAATATGTGTGAATTTGTAGTTGTGATCAAATTGGGTAAACAAAAAAACAAAAGTGAAATTATTTTTCTTCTTCTATTATCATTTTCTAATTGGTTACTAGACTAAAACAGAATTTGACAGCCAATAAACATGAAGGCTTTACTGGTCTTTGTTCATAAAGTCAATTAATTGGACTTCATTATATTGGTTACTAGTTCAATTGTCAATGAAGTGATATCGATTAAGAATTGTCAAACTTTAAAAAAGTTCGTATTTCTTTTCATCAAGATACAATATAGAAAGACAAATGATGCTGATTAGTTCAGTGATATGTTAACTTTATGTAGTAGATGTCTGACTCGAACACAGTTTCAATATTTCAGGGGATTAAGTTTATAGATTTTATTAAGAATAACATTATTGTATGATCAGATTGACTCCAATGATGTAATATAGAGGAATCAATTATGACATTATATTGGGGTATAAGCAAAGATGGATAGTGGTTAGCAGTGGAATCCAGTTTGACGCGCGTTTCGCCCCATTTGGACTCGTCACCTGGATGTGCCTGCATTCCGGAGTTGATGTTTGCTCTGGGACTCAAACCCAGTACCGTTCGCTTCAAAAGCCATCACGTTATCCACTTAGCTACTGAGTCCTGATAGCCACTTGCTTGTGCAATGGGTTGAAGTTTAATTCACTCGATATTGTTTTACTTGAATCTTCCCATTGATGTTTTTGGACTGAAATTGATCAGTCTCTTATTGGCATATGTGCATACTGTGCGTATGCCTCGATATTGCCTTAATTTACAAGCATTATAAGCAAAGATGGATAGTGGCTAGCAGTGGAATCCAGGACGTGCGTTTCGTCCTGTTTGGGAGTCGTCAGCTGGATGTACCTGCATCTGAGAGTTGATGTTCACTGTGGCACTCGAACCCAGTACAGTACCGTTCGCTTCAAACGCCATCGTGTTATCCACTCACCTACTGAGTGCTGATAGCCACCTGCTTGTGCAATGTGGTGAAGTTGGGGTATATTGCAATTTATCAAATAAAAGTCAGTAAACAAACTATAAAAGTGTAGATTCAGACAAATCAAATATATGACTTGTCAAATCACTTTATACATAAGTGAATGAGTAAACAAACATATACAAGCAAACATACATAAAAATCTATCATAGATAGGAAAGAATAATTACTGAAATAACCGAAACAAACAAACACAACTAAAGAATAGTTGAATAATTAGAATTGTAGTGTATGCTATTTATGTCGACATAAGTAGTATCAAATGGTAGTCAAGAATAGAATGTCTAGAGGCAGAAGGTTGTGAAGATTGAGGAATAAAGAACAGCAACAGAAGGTAATTGCTATAGACATGTAGAAACAATGAAATCTGAGACAATTGATCAACATTTTGTAAATGAAGTATCAGAGTATGGCTTTTCTATTCTCATGAGTAACTCTGAAATTTTGTGTTAAACATATAATCGGCAGTCCTCACCTATGTTCACCTTCACTGTAGAATGAGTACTTACTTATTGAGATATTTCTTATAAAATTATTCAAGTCAACTATGTAATACACTCATCAATTGAAGTCGTATAACACTGTATCATAGTTTAGCTAGGACTAGTAATTGTTATCTTGGCTTTTAATCACATATTCTGATATAATGGAGGATTTAAAGATTTCTGTCTCTGCAACTGTACTACTTTGGTACAACAGTGTGATCATGAAAAGAATCTGGGTGATCAAGTTTATAATACTGTTGAACTGGTTGTTCAAACGGCACATAATACAGAGGTTGGATCATGTTCTATCAAATACACGATTCTCGATCTAGAATAGAGATCCAGATTAACACTAGATAATATTTTATTCAATGAAATTACAAACAATCATATTCAATGTCTTGTGTGCATAAATCAATGAAAGCAAAAGAAATCACATATTTGATTGTTAGTAGGCTAAATGCTTGTTTGTCCATCCTCATTGACTAATCACATTTACTTACATTACCATACATCACATACTGATAAGGTTTTAATGAAAATAAGACTTATTGGACTCAATTGTATGCCAGAGTTTACCGTTCGTGAGTTTTGCAATCAGAATAAATTAATTGCAGGTTACAATTATTTTCTGACATAAAATGTGAAATTCTTAACACCTCATAATACTATAACTCTGCCTGGAGCCCCCTCTGAGGCTACTGTCGGTCCCCAGCCTGGATGAAGGAGAAGTGTTCAGCATGAGGTTATCGACCCCATCTCGTAGAGAACTAACTTACCAAAAAAATACTAACCTATAGTACTGTACTATCTACTCAATCCCGCTATTATAGTGATTCTTTTCACTATTTTCATCAATAACCATTACCAACATTACGTAATATTGTTTACAATAAATCATAATTCTTTACCATATCTCTATTTATTTATAAATCAGTTCATATTAAGATATCTCGGTGAGATTATAATTTTTCGACGACCTTTGATCAACGTTGAAATGACTTTGTGAGTGTTCACCTAATAACTAGGAACAAATGAAGGTTATAAACCAGTGTGAAGACTTAGAATTATGATTTATAGTTGATGATGGGTTTCATCACGAATTGACATCAGCAGTAATGCTAAAACTCTAGTTAATCAAATGTGTGGGTGAATTTCGCGCCAACATTCAAGACGTGTTATCTTACACCTGATTGGTTCGTTCATTATAGTCTCGTTGATATTCTCATGTCACTGGTTATGACAGAATTAAAAACTCATTATGATCACTTTCAACCAAGTTGTGTAATGTGTAAACATAAATGATTTACTTACACCAATATGATTTTGGTAATGGTGAATATGTTTCTATGGTAGCTTCTTTTTGTAATTGAATATGAAAATATGGTGAAGTGAATACTTGCTGACCTATTTGTACAACACATCGACTCCATACACCATTTGGAGCATCAACCGGTAATCGTATAGTTTGTAATTCCATTGTACTAACACCAACTTCTTCAGCTGTTTTCGGATCTTTTAATGGTTGTTTTATAATTATAGAACCACTAGCTTGTTCAGTATATGGTATTAGTTGACCACCAATACTTGAACGTAATTCCCAAGTGAAAAGTGGTGGTATTTGATCAGTAGAAGTAAGTCGTCTTAAACGAACTGCATCTAAAAAACAGAAAGATGTATTGTATTGTATGTAAATAAGGTATAATTATTCCTTTAAGGATTATCAGAATGACGTTGGATAGATCTTACAGTGCAAAAGTATATGTATTATACATCTCTTTATTAGGGTATTATGTAAGATCAGTTAGTTATGTGAACTGGTGAACTGGCAATTTTTATTTTACTAAATTAAATATATTCAAGTATTGGGATTGATGCAGATCTGATGAAGATGTGAAGTTAAGGATTAGCAAAGTAAGGACAGCATTCCTAAAGTTGAAGAGAATATATACTTCACAAATGACCTGTCCCTCCTATCTAATACACATGAACAAATTCAGGTCAAGACAAACAGTGTAACAACAGCCTCTGTATCAGTAGAACTCAACATACACAAGGGAAAAAGAAGGATCCTCAAATATAACACAGAGAGAACCAACAAAATCATACTTGATGGAAAAACTCTGGAAGAGGTGGAAACAATCGCATACCTGACTGGATAACATTATCAATGAACGTGAAGGATCTGATGCAAACGTAAAGGAAAGGATTGACAAAATATGGGCAGCATCCTCTACAGTTCAAGAGTATATGCAACTCAAAACAGCTGTCTGTCAGTCAACATTAAAGTAAGAATCTTCAATACGAGCGTCAACACAGTTGGTTCCACTGTACGGAGGTGAAACTTGGAGAAGTACTAAAATCATCAACAAGAGAGTACAAGTATTTATAAAAAATTGTCTACACAAGATATTCAATGTCCGTAGACCGGATATCACCAGCAACAGCCTACTATGGGAAAGAACGAACTAGCATTCAGCTGAAGAGGAAATGAGCAAAAGACGATAGAAGTTGATAGTCCACAAATTGTGGAAATCATCAGATTGCATCACGAGCCAAGTGGTAAATTGGAATCGTGAAGGGGAACAGAAAAGTGGAAGGCCAAATAACACACTGCGTTTTTGAATTGGAAGGAGATATGAAAAGAATGAATAGGAAGTGGATAGAAGTGGGAAGGATTGTTCAGGACACAGTTGGATGAATAATCATGATGGGTGGCTTATGCTCTTGTATTAGGGGTAACAGGCGTAAGTAAGTAAGTAAGTAAGTAAGTAAGTAAGTAAGTAAGTAAGTAAGTAAGTAATTGAGATTGATCGTTTGGATAGATTATTCTGAATCCTTTGTTACAAGAAAATCTTAACCTTTTATGATGATGATCATGTAAACCTGAATCAGGAATTCTGAATCTACTGACATAACTCAAACCAGCAAGTGATAATTTCATGGACTATCGCTACTTGCAGCTTACTCCTCCTCCGGCCAACATTGGACATTGAGTCAAGTAGTCGCAAGGCTTATTTAGCACATGCAATAACCATCTCACATGATGAAGATCGCCGGCCCATCAACCGATTCGACATTTTCATTTACCACCCCATGCCCAACCCTTGATAACTCAGCCATCTCAAAAGACCCAACAAATAAATTAATTTATTTGATTATTCATCCCTTATTCATACTTCTTATCATTTCGGGTAACTAAAGGCAAATTCACGCATAGACAAACAATAATACTCTATTATAACATGGAACTAATCCATTTTGCTGAGAAGCCCCATACTAGGACGAAACAGTCTTCCAGTGTTTCTATTATAATCACTGATTACATATACAACTTACCAAGAGCTAAACAATTAAGTTTTAGATTACCACCTGGTGGTACAATTACACTTCCATCTGGTCGTAATTCATAAACTTTTACAATCACAGCATCTTTAGGATCTGAAATAAAGAGAATAATAAACAGAATAGAATTACATATAATACTATGAAATTCTATCATCAACTAACAGATCCAGTGGTGAAATTTGAACACTTCACGTCTACCTGAAGTTTGTGCTGCTGCTGATGATGTCATTCAGAAGAACGATGAAAGCTCCATGACTAAACCACCTAGCTCAGCGAACAAAACTATAAGCGGTAATTAACTACAAGAAATGATTCCTGGCATTCTAGTGAAAATCTATGACCAGTACAGTTCATACATATCGATAATGAGGGAACCACCTGCCAATCGAGTTGTTACTTGATGATCGTATAAACTTATGAAATAACTTAAGTTCAAAATGTGAAAGGGTTCATCACAACCCTAAGTTAAGTTATGCATGTATAACGCCATAGAATCTCATTATTAGAATGAAATGGCCATTAAGTGCTTCCTTGTTTTCAGTGATTATCTATTTAAAGTCAGTTTGTAATGTACACTACAAAATCCAACAGTCTCCTGATCACCCCCATGAAATTATTCACTACTTAACCACTATTGAATAAGCAAAGAAATCATTCCTATAGAATATTAGTACTAAATACTCTGACTACAACATTCAATGATCTACATTCAGATCCCATTGCTGAACTAGAACGAAAATTAAATTAAATGTTTTCTGATATCTATTTATTTGCTTCATCTGGTCGTCGTTTTTTTAGTTAGATTGTTTTCTACCGGGATGAGGTTGCCGACTACTCCATGCCTAACCCTGATAATTTACTGTGGCTTGGGACCGGCAGTAACTCTAGAAGAGCTACAGGTAACTGGAAAGAAGTGGAAAAGATTGACCAGGACAAGGTTGGATGGAGAGTGCTAGTGGACGGCCTATGCTCCTCCACGGATGGGTAACAGGCGTAAGTAAGAAAATAGGTCATCTATTCATACTTAATTGATATTAAGTGAAAATTACGTCTAACATCTGTATGAATAACTAGCTATCAAACTTTATGATACACATATATGCACATAGATATCAATGTAATCTATCAGACAATTGTAAAACTCATGAACATAGTCGAGAATCAAGTGAGAAGATCATTAGAAAATGTCAACACAACCATTTTAAATCAAGGTCAGTTGAATAAGATTATTAGTCATATGTGGAGAAATTTCAATAGATTGATGAGGCCTGGTCGTGGATGCACACTGTGGAGGAGTCACACAATAGGACGAAACGGCCGTCCAGTGCTTCCAGGTTTTTCATTGTGATCTAGCTTCAACTGACTCATGATCTCAACTATTGAAATCACTATCCGTCAGTCAGCTACAGCGTTGAACCAGACACATATATGCATCGGTTCAAGTTGCCACACCTCAATACCACAACAAGATGAACACCAGATTCATGAAAGTAGTTAATTCAGAGGTGGTAATATATAAAAGAAAGACTGTATACGAAGATATACTACAGGAAGAAAGAATTAGTTCGTAGAAAGATATACACCGATTTTAATCTCATAGTTTAAGAGAAAACAGACAGTGTACACACCTACGCCATTGTGATCGATGCTGAGCTATGTCACCCAGAGTCTCCAACCATTGGTTACCATAGTCACACGGACCCCAATCAAGTAGTCTACATCTACCAACATGGCTAAGACTAAAAGTTAGTGACTTCAAGAACTGATGTCACATTTTGGTTTGGCCAACCCTAACTTTCTTCCATTCATTTTCAACACTAGTCAGCAATCCGTTGAAATTACTATCATATCCACAGAAACCCCTTCTCATTTTGATAATATTTTCAAGAAGGAAAATGATTGGGTCACATACTGTTGGGGACGATAGATCCCCAAAACTCATATTTTGTAATTTTATCTTATCGATTAAATGTTTAAATATTTGAATGGCAGTCAATTGACGAACTTATCGATTAAATATGTAGTGCCAATTGTTATTTTAAGCACATATACCTTATTCTAGTTTTCGGACAGACCAATCTATTCATTCTACTTGAGTCATATGTTGACCATGTTAGTTATTCGCTTACCAGTCTTCATTGTTTTTATGTGAGCGTATATGTGTGTACACTTCTTATCCCATGTCTCATCATACGTCTGTAGTTTATTTTGTCTGCCTATAAATATTGAGTAACGCGTGGCTAGAAATGGAGTTGGCTTACCAGCCATCTCCACTCTGTATCGCTTCTCTTCCTGTTATTCCATTCACCTTATATACAAAGTATACGTATTCAAAATCCCATTCTCGTTATTTCACTTATTTGATTCCGTTATTGACTAACGTGATTAAAATCGACGAGGATATACGAGAATCGGCGATAGCAAACATCCATACGAACTAAATAGGAGTCAGAGCCATGGGCCTGTCTGTCAATTGATGAACTTATTGATTAGGGTTTAAAGACATTTTACCATGACAATATCGATTATAAATATTTGTATAAATACGCTTGACTTGTGTGCCTGATTGACCTGACCTAACCTGACTTAGTATCTGCTGGTTGCTTGTAGAATACACTTCTACGTCTTACCAAGACTTCTTGATCAAGTTAGCTGAGTCGGGAACAACGGACTAGAATAGTCTATCGAGTCTTTGAATCCTCGATTGTTCGTTCCGTTCCGAGTAAGACGAATCAGTAGTAGCATTCAAGCTTAACAAACCTAACACATATACACTATTCAGTTTAAAAGGAAAGAACAACTTCATCGTCATTCTTTCTTTTAGAGATAATAAATCTTATCTACCAAATCGAAATCATCTAAAACTGACATACCTTTCCCTGGTATCCATTGTCTATATGGTGTTTTCTCATCTTCAATATTGGAATCTATTATATGAGTATCTGGTTGTTTTGCATTGACATGTATAACAAATACATCAGAATTTAATATCACTGTATGATTTTCATATTTTTCTGGACTGATCAATTGATCTTCATTTAAATAAAGTGAACAATAACCACGTAAACCGCCAGATTTGAGTGTTGTTGACTTTAATTCATTTAAATTGAATTCATCATTATTAATAAGGATTGTATTAGCTAAATTATTAAATGGTATCGGTTGTCCATCTGGTCCAGTAGCTATTGTCCAACCAATATTGAATTGTTCATCTTTGATTGGAATTCCATTAGATGAATCTGTAGGATACAATGAAATGTTATGTAATAGGATTAGTCAATCTTATGATTCAAAAAGGGTAATATGGTGATCAGTAAGAAGTTTAATGATTGTAAGCTGAATGAGACTATCGTTTTGAATGAATGAGGTATTTCATACTAGGTATGGATTGATGTATAAAACTCTTTCATAAGATTGTGTCAAGCATTTGTTCAACACATCATGAACTCTTCATGGATTAAATTATTGTACAGCTTTAGAATCTTGGTTACATTTATTTCATGATCTAATATCAATATATTTTACAGCATATCATTAAAGATATACTGAATAGCCTAGTGTAGGTCTCGTCAGCATGGTCTCGCCCTTGAGATTCGAACCTGGGACCTTCAGTCTCGAGCGCAGACGCTCAGTTTCTAGACCAGTGTGTTGTACCACCGTCTATTATTGTCTTCAATGAATTACTATTTCAAAACAGATCCGGTTGAACTTTGCTGGTTACTTCTTTTCACTAGAACTCCAGGAAATACATCTTGAAGCCAGTCACTAGTGAGCATATGATGATTAGTATCAGAAAAAGGGATTTTGTTCTTCCAATGCTTCCAGGTTTTTCATGATGGTCTAGCTTTAATTGACTCATGAATTCGATTATTAAATTACTAAAATCTCCGGAAAACCCCCGTTTCTGATACACTGAAGATTTATAAATACGACTATACAACTTTAATGTAGATTGTAGAAAAGAAAACGTTCCGATAAATTAACCTCTGTTAACTGTTAATGATAATGATGAACTTACCGACAACTTGACATTGAAGTTTTACATCTTCACCTTCTTTAGCTGTCATTGTTCCATCAGCATTAAGTCCAACAACTTCAGGATGTAATTGACTTGGTTCTGTAAAGTATAATAATACTCAGGAGTAAAAGTAAAAGCTTAGATCCTTCAGTGAATTCTATCTACATTGACAGAATAATTTTCTTAACGAATATTACATCATCAAGAACTTTTTTTTGGAGAAATTTAATGAGATGACTATTTAGTATAAGCGCTTCGCACATATACTTCTGATATATCAGAATGAGTTTTGTGGAGATTTTAGTAAATTTCACAGGTTGAAATCATGAGTCAGTTGAAGCTAGACCACCATTGAAAACCTGGAAGCACTGGACGGCCGTTTCGTCCTAGTATGGGACTCCTCAGCAGTGCGCATTCACGAACCCGCCCCCTGCGGGATTCAAACCCAGGACCTACTGGCCTCGCGCGCGAGCACTTAACCATTAGATCACTGAGCCGGCATCCAACGGTGTTAATGTCTAACTTCAACCAATCCACGGAGTTGCGCCATCGAACACGAATGTCTTCAGTGAGCTGATATCTCACAACAGAGCTGGTTGAACTCCACTGGTGACGGTGGTCTAACTTCTGATATAATCATTAGTGCTAAATGGATAATCATTTAAACTTAAAAATTGATCGGAAAATCAGATAACCTATTTACCCCGTCTCTATTCTAACATAAAAAAATGGATTTATTCAACATTATCTCAGAGAGAAGAGTTAAACAGTATGATCTTGAAACAAAGGTTAGAAGTAGTAATCAAGTAAACACTTATCCCTACGAAATAATGTTGGATCCTTATATTCCCATGTTACAGTTAGTGTGACTGCATTGAGTAAAGAGTTCACTAGAACTGACTAGATGGTGAGGATCAACGCCACTTGATATAAGATCATCAACTTTTGATTCTTCTGAAACATTGTCATCGAATTTCTTGAAAATCTCATTAGTAGGTAGTCGATCATTAGAATAATCAGTATCTATCAAGATTTTATTAGGTTGTTAATCATTGTTTGATTCATCTGACAAATTTTCCTCATTTTGTAAGATGACTCATGTCTGATTAAACAACTAGAGAACCCCAATAAGTACATTCATTGGAAACTTTTGTAGTAGAATGATGAGCTCCATTTAATACAACTGTCTTCATTATGTTGCTTGATTCATTTTCTATTTCTTCGTGGGCAGCTACCATAATAATTTCATGAACATTTAAAAAAACATATTCTTTCTGTAAACTGGACAATCTCGTGTTTGTCCATAGTGTTTCAGGGGCAATGAGATTTGAACCCACGACAGGGCATGTCTCTGAAATGGACATTTCTGGATCACTGGGTGGATCATGAATGACTGCTACTCCTTTGTTTACATTTTCCAACTCTGTATACAAATTAAGAATTAATCCATCAACTGTTACATCTCCAGCCGTGTGCGTAAACTGTCTCTTTTTGAAACGTTGCTGTTGTCGCTCAAATAGTAACTGTAATTCATCAGAAGAGATAGCCATTTTCTAAATCAGCACGGTAATGAAAAATACTGTATGACTAATTAGCAATCACTGTCATTCAACGACACCAGCGAGAAACCTGTATGCTGGTTGCTTGAAATAATTACACTGAATTTTGTCCAACTACAAGTTGACCTTGATTTGTTAATTTGAAGATTAAAGATTCAGAATTCTCCTTTTCATCCCGTCGCTAGTTATTATAACTTGTGAATTGAATGCTACTTTTTGTATTTGGTCGTCGCTGATTGTTATGTCGGAAATGCTTATCACTTATACTCGGATCAAGGGACCTCGGAAATTCCCATAACATGGAAGTAAGAACATAAAGACTGGTATAAGCGAAGAGTTATTAACCCCAAAACACGACGGCGACGACGACCCTAGTTGAAAATACATCCACTTATTTATTGATTCGTACACCCATTTTGTTTAATAATTAAGGTGAAATCACATATATAACAAATCACATAATGAGCATAGTTCATGTTTATTGAACACAAGAATATCGTATATTATACAGAATAAAATATCATACAGGGAAACAAAAACGAATACCACACTGAATAATCATTACATTGAATGAGAACGGAAGTAATGTTGAACCAAAACTCATAATGAGTAAATCAATCAAAAATTGACTTTTCTTTCCATCCTATGGAGACTATGAAGTAAAATGAACGATACTAGGTTCAAAGTTCATTGTGAACATTGATTCTAGGATACAGGTATATTCAGCTGATGAGTTATAAATAGGACAAAATGTGAACCTTGGATTTCCCTGTTAGCTAAATTTTATCCTTCACCTATGTAAATTAATAAAACTTGCCAAGAATGAGAGACTGGAGAAGATTTTTAGCTCAGGTGGATGATTTTGATGGAGTTTTGTTCTCTGAGCTGGATGGTTTGGTCGTGGAACTTTCATCGTTCTTCTGAACGACATCATCAACACAAACTTCAGATAGAAGTGAAGTGTACGAATTTCCCCATATACGTTTCACAGCTTGTACTGTACATCTCGACACAAATATAGGAACAAAAATCAAACCAATGGGAGACACAACCAAAACAAAGAAGCAAACAATGACACATTTAAGGTCAATAAGAACCAATCAACGTTGAGGTGTACAGAACAAGCTATGAAACGCATATGGACAAATTCGAACACTTCACTTTTATCTAAATTTTGTGCTAATGATGTCGTTCAGAAGGACGATGAAAGTTCCACGACCAAATCATCCAGCTCAGAGAACAAAACTAATGAGAGAGGAATATATATAATTTCAAATATTTAAGGTAATCAAACAAGTGAAATCTTGAATATCATTGCTTTGACAAATAAATTTCTAATCAGATTGTTTTAAAATTATTTAATCGAAATATCAAATTGCCTAAACAAGTTTGTCTTGAAATAAAGGTCTGTCTTATTAGACTTAAAGGTCTGATCCATAAGGTAGTGAAGCATCGTAGCCGGTAGCCGGTGACTAACAATAGGTTCATACGCCATTAGTTCCCTCAAAATTCTAGAGCCCATTTGCACCATTAGTTTGGGATTAGGGTTTTCCAACACCCCTAGGTGAATTAACCGTGTCCACCGGCCTGGTTAAAGCGCTAGACATTCGCTTTTCATCCTCTCAATTTCGTAAACAGCAGTAATGTCACGAGAAAGCATTGAATAGAACTTCACTGACAGTGGCTGTATATTCGTAGCTATGTGAGAGCATTTCGAAAGGGAGATTTGACTCTCCCCACCTTCCGTCGTACCAGGGTATTCGAAGAATAACAAGTATTAACTTGTATATACCTAATTAATTAGTCGGACAATTGTAATACCCGACTAAAATACAAGGAATATCAATAGGAAAATACTCTATTCTTTCCTTTATAACAAAACTACCTACAAAGTAATCAAGTTTTGTATGAATAAATTGACAGTTAATTAAGTATAAACATACTTTGTTTCACATAATTCAATCCATTTAAGGCAATTATGGTAAGTAAAAGATCAAATGGCAATGATAAGTAATACAACAAATATTTAAGCTTTGTTTACATCATAAAATACCATTAATTAACGATTGGGAACCAGGGTGTATCAGTAAGCTCTTTCATATAATGACCTGTGACATAATGATTAATGAAATTGCCAAGCTTAGTGTAAATAATAGGCGAACTGGATACTTACACACCATTTCAACATCAAAAGTCAGTTATAGATAATAAACAAGGCATATTGTCAGGGGGATATTCATTATGCACCTGTTCAATTCAACCTACTTATCCTTGCCAAAAGGATAGATATATATGCATATTTATGATTTGTGTACACTTTATTCGACTTGTAGATTATAGAGTTTTTCGTCAATTCTCAATCTTCTCACTTCTAGAACTGGTGTGTAAGCCTACAGATGATAATTTCGTTCTTTCTCTCTCTGTATCACGTATGTGTTCTTTCAGTGATCAGATGTATGGTTATATGATCAAAGTAAAATGGTTGTTTTCTTTCTCTGTTTCAAATTTATACTATTCAACTCTCCAGTGTCGTCCGCATATAAATAATGCATTAACATACATTCTTAATATCAAGAATATTTCATTACCTTTCAGAACATGACAAACGGAAAGTATCAAGCTGATGAATAAAAACAATTTCAGTTTGATAAGCAAAGATGGATAATGGCTAGCAGTACAATCCAGCACACGCACCACTTTGTCTTATTTGGGACTCGCCGTCAGCTGGATGTGCCTGCATCTCAGAGTTGTTATTCACTCTGGGACTCGAACTCAGTACCGTCCGCTTCAAACGCGATCGTGTTATTCAATTATCTACTGAGTCCTGATAGCCACTTATTTGTGCGATGGGGTGACGCTTAAATCCATTTGGGATTGTTTGACTTGAATCTTCCTATTGATGTTTAAGACTTTAATTGATCAGTCTCTTATTGGCTATGTGTATCCTATGCGAATCGTCTCGACATTGCTTTAATTCACATGCATTATAACCAAAGATGGGTTCGAGTCCCAAAGTGAACATCAACTCAATCCAACTGACGGGTCCCAAATAGGACGAAACGCGCGTCCTGGATTCCACTGCTAGCCTATATCCATCTTTGCTTAAAAAAATTGTAACTTAATGTTATATCAAGGCAATCCGCACTGTATGCACATATATCTATAAGAGACTGATCAATTGCAGTCTTAAACATCATTGAGAAGATTCAATTAAACAATACAACTGAATTTCACTGTAAGTTTATCAATTATGTATTTCCACTTGTAACCACAGATACAATTTATCAGAATTGATTGTAATTAGATGGGTACAACCTAGTTCATTTCTCTTTTTAGAGTAACATATATAATCCATGTTGTTTAATCTATTTAGTTCAAAGATTCATACCGACTGCTTTTAAACATCTAGATGAGTTATCTAGTCACTCAGATTAATGTCCATACTCAGTAGAATGTGATCAGAACTAAGGTTTAATAGTGTGGTTTGTGCTACTGATATCGACCGATATAAGTAGTATGTATTATCAATCGAAAGTGAAATGCATGCAGGCAAAAGTTTAGGAAGATCAATAAAAAGAGAATGATTGGTATGGAAACGATGGAACAAACAGGTCTGAGACGATTGATTGACATTTTGGAAATGATGTATTTATTGTATGGTTCTTAGATTTAACTAAGATGTCCTATAAGTTCGTGTTCAAATACATTTGATTGACCCCACATGTGTTCTCATTCACTACAATAGTAACTTACCAAAATCTATTACAATTAGTATAACTTACAATCAACATAAATGAAAGTATATGTCATGACATCAAGAACATTAAACGTGATATTGAATCAACTGACCATAACGCTTTCTTTCAATGTCAGGTTTCTTGTCAATATCTTCAAAGTGTTTAATAGTTTCAAATGTATAAACTGGTGATGCATAAGTTTGATCTTGACGTATCTTATTTTCTACTTGATCAGTTCCTTTAGCCAAACATCTTAATCGTATACCTTCACCACTGGATCGATAACCTTTTAGTTGAAGTTTTTGTCCATTATCCGATAGATTAGTACCGATTAATAGTTGATTAGCAAGACGATTTGTATGTATTGGTTGATTATCATAAGTACGCAATTCCCATGCATAATTCATACCTTTTATTGGCTCACCAGTTGATGATTCTGAAATAATAAAGTAATTATATGTATTATGAAAATAATAAAATACCAGTTTTAAGTGTTAAGTCATAAATTGACCACCAGCAATTAGCCGTTGGAGATCAGGAGCCATTGGACAATCATTTCTTCCTAGTATGGGACTTCTAAGCAGCGCATATACATGACTACACAATGAACCGAACCCAGAAAATTCAAACCTACCGCAGACGTCTTCACTTTCAAACCACTGAGTCGGAATCTAGTGGTTTACACATCTAACTTCAGTAGATATTGCGAGACCCTTTAACTACTGACATTCTTGAGTTTGATCTTACGTCTGACATCCTTAAAAGGAGAACGAAAATACTTCGTGGAGAAATCATTCATGATCTCCTAAGTGAGGATATATAAATCGTTGCTGATCGTAAGTTTCAACTGATGATGACATTGAACAAGGATTATCTCACACTTATTTGAATACTCTAGTTATGAGTTCTAACTGGTTAAACTCAATCATAAACAGGACATGAAATTAGGATTATCCTCGAGAGTGTGCATTGCTTGTGCTACTATAATTGTTGAGTGAATAATGTTGGAAAGATAAATCAATTCAACAACTTATTCGTATTTTGGTCGCTGTAAGGTTTGAAATTCCTCAATTCCGACATCTTATAGGATGGCACTGTTGGGGAATCTCACAAGAATAGAATAAACAGCTATCGACTACCTTCTAGTTTCATTTTTTTCTGGTTAATTTTTTTTATCTGATTATAGTCTATACTTTCATAAACTGTATTAATTCAATTCATCTACCTTATTTATCATCGAAACCAAATAATCACTATAGTTGAGTATGTTATGAAGGCGAGACTCTAATTTAGGGATGGCCTTTAAACGAATCTTAAATGACCTTGACAATTATTAGCCAATCAGAAGACAGTTAGTATAAAGTGAGGATATATTGTAAGTAAGTAATGAACTACAGTGGATATTCTTCTTTTACATGATTAAAAAACTTGTCAAGGTTTGATAAAGGTTCAGAGGTTCTGCATTCATAATGCATACGGTATAGAAACTAGTCCATAGGGTCAGGGTTAGGGTTAGGTTAGGGTTTACGGTTAGGTTAGGGTTAGGGTTAGGTTTAGGGTTAAGGTTAAGGTTAGGGTGCTAACATGCGATCGGTTTACAACGGATTTTAGAGGTTGGGGTTAGGGTTGTAGCCTAGGGTTAGGGTTTAGGTTAGGGTTGGGGTTGTAACCTCTCAATAAACACCTCTTCTCTCAAATCCGATGTAAACCGACCGCATGTTAGCACCCTAACCTTAACCCCAACCCTATGGACGGGTTTCTATACCGTATGCATTATGAATTCAGAACTTCTGAGCCTTTATCAAACCTTAATAAGTTTTTTAATCATGTAAAAGAAGAATATCCACTGTAATCGATTACTTTCTTGTAATATATTTTTACTTTATACTGTCTTCTGATTGGCTAATAATTGAAATCGCTCAAACGCTTCTGATTGGCTCGTCCCTAAATTAGAGTCTCGCCGTCCCATCTGTTGTAACCTCTCGTTAATCACCTCCTCTCTGAAATCCGCTGTGAACCGATCGTATGTTAGCATCGCGTGTTGGACTTGCCTCCGTGACCTTGAAATTGCTCAAACGCTTCTGATTGGCTCGTCCCTAAATTAGAGTATCGCCGTTATGAATTTTCTTACATTCATCTATAGAAACAAATAAACTTTATACAATCATGGAAGATACTCTTGGATTATTTGTACGAATAAGGGAAACGAAAAAAAGGTGACCAAAGAATACACTGCGTAGGCAACTAAAAGCAGATATGAAAAGGATGAATAGCAACTAGAAACAATTGCCAAAGACAAAGTTCAATAAATAATACTGGTGGGCGGCCTATGAGGAATAAAAGGCGTAAATAAGTAAGTAATGTATAATAATAATAATGTACTGAATATGTTGTATGATTGTTTCGTACAATCAATTAACCCGATATAAACGTTTATTATTTCTAATGTAGGGCAGTAACTGTCTAATGTCTAATGTTCATTATCACTTAATGACTGTCGTTAATTTATACCTTCATATTATTTTTCTTCATTTCAATTTATTACGAAAAAAATACCCCCCCCCCAAAAAAAACAGAATTCCAAAATACAAAATCAATCTTTATGAATCATAAACCCCACCCCGACTGTTGTATCCGAGCGAAGATTACATTACGAGTAACGTCTATGAATTTTAAAGGACTAATATTATTTATATATTCTCATAGTATAAATATTCAGTAACTAGATTATGTATATCTATATTCTCCTTAGTATAAGCTTCATTTTCACCTATAATGTATTATTGTACGATTTATTGTTCTTAAGCTATGTTCAGTTTATTGACTACTGTCTCCCACGTTCACAGTCACTTTTTCGCTTTATTGTGTACAAGCGTTATTTCCTATTTAATGGTGCGTTGCGGTATGTTTGATTAATGTATGAACCCAGTATGTCTGAAATAAATTATTCGATCCGATTCGCATACTGGAAGCTGGTATTGTTGTTCTGGATTCAAGTGGATGGGCTAGGCGAACATAGGACCAAGAAGGACGCTAAGCTGCTCATACCAGTCGAACGTCATTGGTTTGGCACAGTGCGAAGATTGTATACGTCGTATTTTGATTGATGGATAAATCACGTGATAAAAAGCCGGACATAAAATCATAACACCGACCCTCACCCACATCACAACAATAACAAAAAGTGATTTCTCTTTTTATTCTCTTACCAAGTGCATAACAATCTAATTCGATATTTTCACCAGGTTTCACAGTGATTGTATCATTTGGATTTGTACCATAAACTTTGACAAGAACATTTGGATCTGTAGAACAAAAATTTTTGTTTTAAAAAAAGAAACATTGACATTTTAATTTATAATATTAGACAAGTTTTTATTGAATATACTTTATGAATGACCTTGAAACATCATTATAAATACACCAATCAGAGTGTTGTTTACTTTCGATGTTGTTTTTCCTTAAAATATGTGTTTGACAATTAAAAATGGAATATGTATAGTAGTTGTTTTCTAAAGTTAGATTGATATAACTATAGAAGAAACTAACTCCACCTGGAACTTCCCTGTGGCTACTGCCGGTCCCAAGGCTGAATGAAAGGAGGAGGGTTGGGTATGGAGCTAGGGACCCCATCCCGTAGTAAACTAACTCGCTAAAAAGACACCAACCAGAGAAAATTATTCAAATTACTTAAACTCTGCCCTGTGAGTCAGAAGGTCTTCAGTTAGAAGAGTTATGACGCCTCATAGTGAAAGTGGAGTTCCTTCGGAAGCTACGAGGCTGGTGCTCCTTCTGACAACCAGAGCAACCATTTATTTAGGTACACAGAATGTTTGTACAATGTGGGAGACTGGGAGAGTCTTGCATATTGCTGCAGAAAAATAGGTAAGTTTTAAAATCATAATTAAAAATGATTGCATAGAAATGAATAAAGAAAGAATCTATTACTTGACCATTCTGTAAATACTGAATTCATAATCTGTTAGTGAATATATGAAGGAATATATTTTCAACTAGGGCGGTCATCGTGTTTTTTCTGGTTAACAAATCTTTCCTTATACCAATCTTCCGTGTTCGTACTTCGTATCATGGGTATTGTAGTGGTTCCTCGTTTCAAGAATAAGTAATAAGTGACTAAGACATAATAAATGGTGATGGGAATGGGATTTTGCAAAAAACTGAGCCGTAATTAAAAGACATTGGAGTCAATTTACAAGTTTCTGTTGTCAGTGGAACTGTCTCGTTCCAGCTATAATTCAGTTTTTAAGTCAAGTTACTCTTAAATCCAGTTCTTCTATTATCGATTCTTTGTAACAATCAACTATACACTTAGTAGTGTAGGGATGTATTTAGAAGATGAAGATTATCAGAACTATGTGAAATATTGTAGTGTGTTAGTATTATGTCAAGCCCATATGGGTATTCTTTTCCAGACAGATATTTTGACCTTATCCACCATTCACTTTCTCACCTTGACTGTTTTTATATGAACATATGTATGTGCATTGTTTACTCTATTCATTATATAACTGTAACTCATTTTTATCTGACTATAAGTATCGAGTCACATTTTATCAAAATGAGCTGATCCACTCACCATCCCCGTTTTGTTTCGCTCTCCCGCTACCTAATCTAAATGTCTGTCTAAATAAATGAATGAGTGAAATAAATTCATTCAATCAAACGTGTATTTGGCTTCTTATTACCGCTATCAAACAAACGGAGTTAGCTTAGTTAATATACAGAGTTAAGTGGAAGATTTACGTTTATAACATATTCATACATTCATCCAAATTGGTGTCAGATACTGGGCTACAATATGGTAGCCTAATATAGTTTGAACAGTCCAGTCATACACATACTTGTTAATGACATTTATAGATAAATATAGAAGATCAACTAGACAAATCGAATGTATGAAGGAACAAATCTAATAACGAAGAAAATGTGGAGAACAATATGAAGCTCAACATAATAAATAATAAATCAATATTATTAGAGTAATCTAAGGTTGAGAACAAACTGTTTCTTGAATACATTATGAGATGAGTTTGAATTTCCCTGATAGCCATAATAATAGTATACACAATTCTGGTCGAAATACCAAAAAAAAAACCGATCTCAGCAACTGTGATAACTACGGGAGCATCACTCTTCTATCAATACCAGAAAAAGTCTTCAACAAGGTATTGGTAAACAGAATGAAGGACACCGTAAACTGTAGGTATCATTCCCAAGGTTTGATTTGATAATTTCGAATAAATTGAGCATTGGGTTGATTGTTATAAATAAAAATAATATATTTGTAATATCCCAATGAGTAGAAAATTGGATTTTCTGACGTTTCGTGACTTAGTGTAAGTCACTTCTTCAGAGTAAATAAATAAGCAAATTAAAATTAATCCAAGTTTAAATAGTACAATCTATTCTCTAAAGAAGTGACTTACACTAAGTCACGAAACGTCAGAAAATCCAATTTTCTACTCATTGGGACATTACAAATATATTATATTTATTTATAGACCCCGTAGACGCCCAACTTCGAGACCAACAGGCAGGATTCCGTAAGGATAGATTGTATACAGACCAAGTCGCAACACTATGGATCATTGTAGAACAATTAATTGAATGGAAGTCATCAATTTATACATCAACTTCATTGACTACGAATAGGCATTTGATAGCGTTGACAGAACAACACTATGGAAGCTTCTTCAACACTACGACGTGCCTCAGAAGATAGTCAATATCATACGGAATTCCTATGATGGATTAAACTTCAGAATCATGCATGGAGGCAGTAGACAAACTCGTTCGAAGTAAAGATCTGTGTCAGTCAAGGTTGCTTACTCTCACCCTTTCTCTTTCTCCTGGTGATCGACTGGATTATGAAGACGTCAACATCTGAGAGGAATCATGGGACACAATGGACATCTAGGATGCAGTTGGACGATCTAGAGTTCGCAAATGATCTGGCCCTCATATCGCAATCGCAACAACAGATGCAGGAGAAGATGACCAGTGTAGCAACAGTCTCAGCAGCTGTAGGTCTCAACATACACAATGGGAAAACCAAGATACTCCAATTCAACACAGCATGCACCAATCCAATCACACGTGACTGAGAAGATGTGGAAGATGTAAAAACCTTTACATATCTTGTCAGCATCATTGATGAACACGGTGGATCTGATGCAGATGTGAAGGCGCGGATCGGCAAAGCAAGAGCAGCATATTTACAACTGAGGAACATCTGGAACTCAAAGCAACTGTCAACCAACACCAAAGTCAGGATTTTCAATACAAATGTTAAGACAGTTCTACTGTATGGGGCAGAAACCTGGAGAACTACTAAAGTCATCATCCAGAAGATACAGGTGTTTATTAACAGTTGTCTACGCAAAACACTTCGGGTCCGTTGACCAGACACTATCAGTAACAACCAACTGTGGGAAAGAACAAACCAGAACCCAGCGGAGGAAGAAATCAGGAAGAAGCACTGGAAGTGAATAGGTCACACATTGAGGAATGCATCCAACTGTGCCACAAGGCAAGCCCTCACATGGAATTCTCAAGGCCAAAGGAGAAGAAGAAAACCAAAGAACACATTACGCCGAGAAATGGAGACAGATAGACATGAGAAGAATGAACAAGAATTGGGTGGAACTAGAAAAGAAGGCCCGGGAGAGAATGGATTGTAGAATACTAGTCAGTTGCCTATGCTCGACTGGGAGTAACAGGAGCAAGTAAGTAAGTAAGGAAGTTATCATAGAAATTTGAAATAGCCGATCAGATTAGTACTTATATAAATATATATAATATCTTACCATACGTTATACCCTGAATAGTTGTAATCTGTTTCTTTGGATCAAATCCTTCAAGTTGTACTTCACCTTTATGTCTAATATCTGACCAAAAATATTTCGATGTATAACGTTTAATTGGTTCTTTTAATTCTTTATCATAATCTTTTTGTATTAATGTAACAACACAACGTCCTCTATGCCATTTACCATATTTCATTCCATTTAATGTTAATTGAATACCTCCAATTTCATTAGATAATTGTTCTTGTATAATTTCATCAGCTAAATAACCTCCATATGTATCATCTCTATCTGGTGCAGCTTCATCAAATTGAAAATGATAAATTGCTTCAGTCGAAGTAATTGGAGTATTATCTGTAATATCTATAATTGTAAAACAAATCAAAATATTCAGTGAATACAAATGATAAATGGGTTTCTATTCGTTTATTCACATTGTCAAATTACTTCATGTAAATTATCAGAAAGAGGGGGGGGGGTTTCTGGAGATTTCTAGTAATTTTATACTTGAATTCATCAATCCATTAAAGTTAGATCACTTGAAAGTATTGGAAGTCCGTTTCGTCCTAGTATGAAACTCTTCAGCAGTACACACTTACAATCTCGCTCATGGGATTCAATTAATAAGTAGATGAAATATTAAAGATCAAATACTCTTTCATTACGAAACGTACGCTGTTCATTTGCTACATTTTGGACATTATTGATCGATCGTACAAAGAAAAGAATGACTATATAGAGACGAAAATATGTTTCTATTAGTATCAGAAGGGGTTTTGTGGAGATTGTAGTAATTTAAACAGTTGAGATCATGAGTCAATTGAAGCTAGACCACTATAGAAAACCTGTAAGCACTGGACTGCCGTTTCGTCTAATTGTGGGACTCCTCAGCAGTGCACGTCCACGACCCCGCCTCACGGCATTCGAACCCAGGACCTATCAGTCCCGCACCAGGCACTTACATAATTTTTCAATTGTTTAGAATAATTAACAAATTGCTTCTACTTTTGATGAAATTTTGTTCTCTGAACTAGATGGTTTAGTCGTGGAGTTTTCATCGTTCTTCTGAATGATATCATCATCATCACAAACTTCAGATAGAAGAAGAAGACTTCTATCTGAAGTTTGTGCAAACCATTCATCTCAGAGAATAATCATCCACCTGAGCTACTAAAAATCTTCACCATCTCATTACTTCTAATGTACATGTGTTAGTATTTAGTCGGTGTATAATATCTACATATAAATATGAGTCTTTGATATTCATTACTTTTGTCATCTTACTTAGTAATCTTATAATGTGTTTCATTAGATGATGAATGTATAAGAAATGAGCGTATTAACTTACTAACAGCTCGACATTCCAAGTTTACATTGTCGCCTTCTTCTGCTGATAAAACACCATTCGAAGGAATTCCTGTAACCTCAACGTGTATATGATTGTCGGCTGGAAATTGAACAAAAATAATAATATGTATTCAATAGAAACAAAACTAAATTTAAATCATCACCTTTGACATTTAGAATGAATTTTTCTCACTAGTACTATAAGACAATCAGCATTAAGAAGGTATAAGTATTTAGAAATAGTTGTCTACGCAAGATACTCAACATCCATTGGACGGATACCATCAGCAACAACCTACTGTAGAAGAGGACAAACCAGCATCCATCTGAAGAGTAAGTTAGTGGAAGACTTTGGAAGTGGATGGGACATACATTACGCAAATCATCAAACTGTGTCATGAGGCAAGCCCCAACTTGGAATCCTGAAGGGAAACGGAAAAGCGGAAGGCCAAAGAACACATTACGTCGGATAATAGAAGCAGATATGAAAAGGATGAATTACAACTGAAAAGGATTGCCTAGGTCAGGGTTGGATGAAGAATTCTGGTGAGCGGTCTATGCTTCTTCATGAGGAGTAACAGGCGTAAGTAAATAAGTACTTTAAGAAGATAAAGACATTGTAGTTAGGTGGAGTTATGTTATCTAGGCTAGATGATTCAGTCGTGGAGCATTCATTGTCGTTCTATTATACATCATCACAGCAAACCACTACTTGATATTATTCAGAAGAACAATGAACAATGCTTTATAATCCATCTAAATTATTCACCTGAACTACAAATTTTCTCCATCATATCAAAACATTATAATACTAGTAATACTTATTTTACAAACTGAAACTTAATGAAAGTGTTTTGTTGTTCACGCAAAAAATTATGAGGGAGTTAGTCTCTCAGAGCTCAATGGTTTAATCATGAGACTTTAACTGACTTTCTAAGTAATGTAATTAGAATATACACCGAGAAGTAAGCTACCGGAATTACTTCATAAATCACCAACAGCTTGTTATAACAACAAGCAGCTTCATATATTCATATATAATAAGGGATTTTATGGAAATTGTAGTAACTTCAATATTTTAGGTAATGAGTCAGTTGAAGCTAGACCACCATGGAAAACCTGGAGCACTGGACGGCAAACTCGTCCTATGGTGGGACTACTCAGCAGTGCAAATCCACGACCACGCCTCACGGGATTTGAATCACTCTCACGCGCAAACGCGTGCTGATGTTGTCCTTCAGAAGAACGATGAAAACTCAACGACAAAACCAACCAACTCAGAGAACAAAACTCTGTCAAAGGTTGTTACCTCTCAATCCTCCAAGATGATTAATAAGCAGCAAAAAACCTCAGTCCTACAAAATTTGTTAAAGTCGTTGCTATCAGACGTCAAAAACGGGGCTTATGTGTTCAAAAGGAGATGATTATTAATCTTCCATTGCCTTACTTACTTACGCCTGTTACTCATCGTGAAGAAGCATAGGTCGCTCGCCAGTATTCTCCATCCAACTCTGTCTCAAGCAATCCTTTCCAGCTGATTCCAGTTGTTATTCGTCTTTTTCATATCTGCTTCTATTATCCGACGTAATGTGTTTTTTGGCGTTCCTCTTTTCCGCTTCGCTTTAAGATTTCCAAGTTAGGGCTTGTCTCGTGATACAGTTTGATGATTTGCGTAATATATGTCCTATCCATTTCCATCGTCTTTTCCTAATTTCTTCTCCATATGGAAGCTCATTTGTTCTCTCCCACAAAAGACTGTTGCTGATGGTATCTGGCCAATGGATGTTGAGTATCTTGCGAAGGCAGCTATTTATAAATTCTTATACCTTCTTGTTGGTGGTTGTTGTAGTTCTCCAAGTTCCAGCTCCATACAGTAGAGCTGCTTGACGTTGGTCTTGAAGATTCTCACTTTGATATTGGTTGAAAGTTGTTTTGAATTCCATATATTCTTCAATTGTAGGAATGCGACCCTTGTTTTGCCAATCCTTGCCTTTACGTCTGCATCGGAGCCTCCTTGTTCATCGATGATGCTTCCCAGGTATGTGAAGGATTCTACATCTTCCAGAGTTTCGCCATCAAGAGTGACTGGATTGCTGTTCTCCGCTTTCATTGCCTTAGTGACAAATATTCCTTTGTTGCATCTTAAACTTCTTTTTAACTCTTCCACATTAGTAATCTTATATTATCAACTGAGCTCAACTCATTTCGTTCCTATCAGCGTTTACTCATTATGTAATCACTTGTATTCTGTCCCTTTGAACTTTTATTACAATCAATGTTTTATAATGTACTTGTACATAATGTATATTGAAGATGCCACTGGTATTCGGAGTTTGACAACGCTTTAACCAGTAACACCTTCTACTATGAATCGTACCCACCATGTGAAATCAAAAGACAGAATCGAGGAGCTTCGAATTTATATTTGATAGACTATCAATATATCGAGGATCTTCTGATCTAATCTGGCTAGCGATCGCAAGGGTTGTTGATCACGGCTTTCCCAATCGTGATCTGGTGCGGATGCATGACTGAGCGCCTTCAGCTAGGTGAGTCCATTAAAACTAATGTGGTCAGCATCCAATGTCGAAAACTTGCGGAAATATTCATTTTGGGGATTTATTTACCGCTTCAATATATTTACAATATTCAGTCTGGTCAATTTATTCGCACCCTTGCTATACTATACTAATGTATCTGCTATATAACTTCCAACTGAACCCTTTCATGTAAGTCACTTAAACCCAATATGTAGTTATGATTATAAATATCACAGGTTATAAGCAGCTGATGAGAACCAGACGAAATAAGACGAATCCATGCTATTCTACTAGAATCTTTGAATCTTGCTCTTTTCAAAGTAATAAAAGGAAGTATATATTTGAAAGTGTATCCATTGAATTAATTCATCGTCTTCCCATTCAAATTCCATAGTTATTATTAAAATTATAATAAGTTAGTGAGATTACAATTTATGGGCAACATTTTGGACAACGATAAAATGATCATCAGAATGTCTATCTACTTATTAAAGTTATAGATTAGTGTAACTAATTATAATCGATAGTTTATTTATTCATTTATTTTAACACATAGATACTGGTACAAGGAGGCACCAAATACATATGTACCACACAGATCTCATTTGATATGTGTGAGGGCTGTGATACTGCACGGGTGCCGAAATCCAAGTAGGTGGTTTTCTTAGGGGGCGACAACTGAAGCCTTCAACCTGAAGGTCTGATCAACAAGGCAGTGGAGCATCGTAAGGAGATGCAGTCACATGGCAGCCGGTGACCAATGATTGTTTCATACACCATTTGTTCCTTCAGGATACTGGAACCTATGGGCACCATTGAATTGCAATCATGGTTTTCCAACTCCGCTAGGTAGACTTTCCATGTCCATTAACCCGGTTAAAGAGCCGGACATTCGTTTTTCGTCCGCTCAATTTCGTAAACAGCACCCTCGCCACGAGAAGGCAGTGAGTAGGACTCCCTTATCAGTGGTTGTATGCACGTGGTCATGTGAGAGCATTTCGAGAGAGAGAGAGAGAGAGAGAACGGGCTTTCCCCACTCTCGGTCGTACTAGGGCATTTAAGGTATTCATCATGAATTGATATTAGTGAAAATATCAAAATGATATTTAATTAAATCAAGAATAAATGAACTTGGCGCCAAAATTAAAAAAACTCTTTATTTTAACTCTGATTGGTTTATTCATCAATGATAATCTTGCCTATTAAATGGAATGTTTTATTTTATCCCCTACAAGAAATATGTCAGAATATCATTGTAGTCTACTTACAGAATACATTTATACAGTTTTGTTTTTGTTATGATAAATGGATATTCAGCACATACACACACACAAGCACACATACACTAACACACACACACACAAGGGGGTTGGATAATGATTTTAGTTGACAGGTGATCTTTATTCTTATAAGCCCAAATGAAAGATTATCTTCTTTCATAAAGAAGAAAAAAAATGTATTTCTTGAAATGTACTACATTCTAGAATATGAAAAGAAAGAATAGAACTTTAAAAGTTAGATTTTGATTTTATTGATTTTTCAACAGTCTACGAAATCACTGTTTGTCTTGTTTATTTAATACTTTCTAATTCGATTTAGTTTTGCTTACTTACTTACGCCTGTTGCTCCTCGTGAAGGAGCATAGGACGCTCACCAGCATTCTCCATTTAACCGTTTCCTAAGCAATCTTTTCCAGCTGTTTCCAGTTGGTATTCATCTTTTTCGTATCTGCTTCTATTATCCGACGTAATGTGTTCTTTGGCCTTCCTCTTATTTTTACATTCTACTATTTTGTATTAAAATACTGGGGGGGGGGAAATACCTTATTCTATTAGGCATTTTCGTTGTCTTTTAACAGGTACTCAATTTTAGGGAACTTATCGTTAATAATTTGTTGTATGATCAGTAGTTATGGAATCTGGTACCATTCACTTAAAATGTTATCGCGTTATTCAGTTGGGATGAAACACGAGTCCTGGATTCTACTGTTATCCACCATTCATCTTTGCTTATAAAGCATGTGATATAAGGCAATAATCAAGGCTATCCACATAGGATATACATATGCCAATAAGAGACTGATCAATCGCACTCCTAAACATTAGTGAGAAGATTCGAACAAACAATACCAAGTGAGTTTAAACTTCACTCTATTAGACAAGCGAGTAGCTAACAGGACTCAATAGCTAAGTAGATAACTCGGTAGCGTTTGAAGTGAACGTTACTAGGTTCAAGTTTTAGAGTTCACATCAACTCTAAGATTTAGATACATCCAGTTGATGAGTCCCAAATTGGAGGAATTAGCGCGCATGCTGGATTCAATTGCTAACCACTGTCCATCATTGCTTACAAAAAGCTTTTGAATTAAGACAATATCTAGGTCACATGCACATGATGCACATATGCCAATAAGAAGAGACTAATCAATCACAATCCTAAACAACAATGACACGATAGAAGGAAACAATACCAAATGAATACAAAATGGATTATCTTTTATCTTATAAAGATTAATCATAACTAATGAATCTAATTGATGATTATCTTTGATGAACATTTCAAGAAGTTGACTTACGTCCAGTTTTTCCATCAATCGATGGTTGACGAACATTGATATGGAAATAATCTGAATAATATATATGTTTATTTTCAGGACTATAAGCTGAACAACGTCCAAATAAATGTTTACTCCATTGTAAATGATCGGTTGGACGAAGATGTATAAAACTAATTACATTGATTGAACGTAATACAATTTGAGCTATTGTTTCAGTCATTATAGATTGATCATTACGATCACGAATTTCCCAAGCATATATAGCATCTGATAATGGTACATTAGTTTGTGCATCTAAAATGGTTAAAGAATAATTATAAATAAAAGGAATTTCAGTACTCATTTGTTACTAAGGATCATCCAGATGAACTTCTTTTTGGTGGTGTTTTGTTCTCTGAGCTGGATGGTTTAGTCGTGGAGCTTTCATCGTTCTTCTGAACGACATCCAGAGAACAAAACACCACCAAAATCATCCACCTGAGCTACAAATCTTCTCCACCATCTCAAGATGAACTTCTTAACTAGTTAGCCAAAAGTTTTGATTTGTGAAGTTAATGAATAGGATAAGATTGATATAAGATACGGTGTTAATTTATGGACGAGCCAGTCAGAAGCATTTGAGGGCTTTCAAGTTCACGGCGCTAATTTCATTACCTGACAATCAATTACGATCGGTTGATAGGTGATTTTAGAGATGTGATAACAAATGGGACTAGTAAGAAATTCACTTATTTGTCACTACGGCAATCATCAAGTGACTGCTGTACCGTGTGCAGACTACTATGATAAGACTGTCTTTTGATATTATTTATGTTGGGGGGAGAAGTCTGCTAGAACAGGAACTTTGTTCGCTTGATCCTGATTGAAACTACCTTTTTGCACTTTCAATCAAATCGTATTGAGTAATTCACTAAAGACAATGATGGATGTGTCTTTGAATTTCGTGGATTAATTGATGTTAGACATGACAGCCGGCCCAGTGGTTTAGAAGTTATGCGTTCGTGTATGAGACCGATCGGTCCTGGGTTCGAATCCTTTTGGTGTGTGATTGTGGGTGGTTAAGTGCTCGCGCGCGAAACCAGTAGATGCTGGGTTGGAATCTCGCAAGGGGTGAGGTCATGGATGCGCACTGTTGAGGAGCCTCACAATAGGACGAAACTTTCATCCATTGATTTCAAGTTTTCTATGGTGATCTAGCTTCAATTGACTATTCAGTAATTATTGATTTCAATTAAACATGAATAAATCATCTAAAGTTCAATATAATTTATTCTAATGTTAATTGTACTAATTTAACAGAACAATCGAATTGAATGATCCACTTACCAATTGCATAACATTGAAGATTCACTTTATCACCAGACTCTGCTGTCAATTGTCCTGATGTTGTTAAACCAACAACGCCAACACGAACTTTATTACTATTCACTGAATATGTATATATAAATGAATAAAATATGTAATGAATAGAGGATTTAGTTATGAAGAATTACATAGTTACATGTAATCACAGATTACATAATTGTTACATAATAGTTCTAAGTATAAAATACATTAAGAAGAAATAAAGGCGAAACTCTAATTTATGGACGAGCCAATCAGTGGCGTTTTAGAGATTTCAAAGTTACGGCGTCAACTTCAGTGCTTAGTGCTAACGTACGATCGGTTCACAAGGAATTTTGTACAAAACGTATTAATTGAGCGGCTATAACAAATAAAACGGTGAGACTATAATTTGAGGACTAATCAATCAGGTAAAAGATAATAGATCTTGGATTTTATTGCGAAAGGCTTTCATCCATTTGGCTAAATACATTCCTGACATTATGTTTGATGTCAGTTCGTGATAAAATCCCGGAATCTAATCTCTAACCTTAACCACTAACTGTAAATCATAATTCTAATCCCCTCCATTAGTTTATAACGTTCATTTGGTCCTGGTTATTAAGTGAACACTCTCAAGTTCAGTCTATCGTCTGTCAGTTATTATATTAAGCCCATATACCTTATTCTAGCTTTCGGACATCCCATTTTATTCATCCTACTCTAGCCATACTTTGACCTTGTTATTTATTCGCTTATCAATCTAGACTGTGTTTATATGAGCGTATGTGTGTGCCCTTCTTATCCCATTGATCACATGTCTGTAGCTTTATTTTGTCTGACTATAAATATTGAGTAACGCTTGACTAAAATGGAGTTGGCTACCCAGCCATCTTCCCTGCGTGTCTTTTTGCTTTGCTCTGTTTCATTCGCTTCATATACAAAATATATGTATGCACAGATCAATTCTCGTTATTTGAATTATTTAATTCCGTTATTGACTGACGTGATTAAAGTCGACGATGATATACGAGAATATGTGATAACAAGCATTTGTACGATCTCTAAATAGGAGTCAGATCCACGGGCCACTAAACGTCAATCAATGGTCATTCATAAATTATAATCTTACTATTTTATTTTAAAATGCTTATCATTAATTCAGCTGACTGAACAAATACACTTTAAAAAAAACTCAGCTTTCTAATCAATAAACCTACAATCTGATCCACCAATAGGTCCTGTATAAGTACCATCTTCTGTAATAGCAATACCAAACATTTTTGAATCATATAGAAGTTGTTCAGTTTTCTCTTTTTCTATCCCATCTAACATGATAATTGTTTTGGTGATATTAGCAATCACAAAACAATGTCCTTTTAAATTGCCTTGTTCTGATAATTTACTAACACGTAAACCATTTAAACGTAATACACCATCACTACTAGATAGACTAACATCATCAGCTAAATGACTTAATGATATAAAATTTCCATTGGAATCCATCAATTCCCAATTGTAGGAAAGTATTGCAGAGTTTACACCTTCTTTAACTGAAGAAGACAATGAAAAAAATAAAACAAAATTGATAATCAATATCAGATAGATGATAAGATCGTTGGAGATAATCAACAAGAAACACACTAACTTATACTTCTACTGGTTAACAGTTATGGGGATCGTATATATGTGATCTCAAGATAAATGTGTTAGATCCCGAGAAACACGATGAATGGTAACTTCGGGATCCATTTATGGACCGGTACTAAACGTATATTTCTATTGTATAATTTTTAAGTAACTAAACTATTCATACTCATATTCCTCTTATTATAAACTTCATTTTGACCTATGAACTATTATTATACAATTTACCATTCTTGAGTTGTACCCAGTCTATTCATTACTACCTCCCACATTCACAGCCACATCTGGCTAATTCTTATACAAATGTTGTTTCGTATTTCATTGGTACGTTGTGGTCTGTTTGATTGGTATATAAACTCAGTATGTTTGAAATATAATGATTCATATCGCAGAGGCTGAGACTGGTGTTCTGGACTGAACTGGCTGGGCTAGGAGGAAAGCAGGGCTAATCAGGACTCTAGGCTGATCGCATGTGTTTTAAACATTCTTGGTCCGATCGATAATTCACTGTCCTCTAATCGGAGGATTATTTTTACTTTCAATATTAGTATCTACCTAACTTTTTAAGTAGCATATCAATTTCATCAAACGGTAGCAATTTTTGAAACTAGAGACCAAGCGATTTCCGACCACTAATTAGACGACTTTAGGTTGAGGGAATTGTAGGAATCTTAAAATTTCGTTTTCGATTGCGATCATGAACCGATTGATGTTATACCATCATTGAAAACCTTCAGCCAGTTCTATTGTGGGGCTCCCCAGAAGTGAGCAACTACGATCCCACTCGCGAGATTTTAACCCAGGATCTTCAGTTTTGCCAGAGAACGCTCAACTTCTAGACTACTGAGTCGGCCGGCATCCAATGGTGTTAATGTTTAACCTCAACCAATACGCGAAATTATGCAACCATCTTCCATTGTACGGAGGTAGATACCCGTCTCTACTCGACACGGATTAGTTCCACTGGTCACGGTATCTCACTAGAACTCCGAGAATTCCCTCACGAGCCTAGTCACTAGTGAGCACATGATAATTATCAGTATGGATTTGTGGAGATTATTAAGTTTTTGATTTTGTTTTCATCATTACAGGTAAATGTCGATAGTAAATGACGAACGATTAAAATGAGGAAATGCATCAACAAATTCAATGAGATAAATATGTGTACTATAAGAATCTAATCTATTCTCTTCAAAGAAGGCTCAGTCATTCATGCATTATATTAGAAAATAAACAAAAAAAGGGGAATGAGATGTTTGTTAAGTTCACTAATCAACTGATTCCTCTATTATTGAATGAATACTAATTCGTACATTATATCATATACATTGAAAGTGTGAATTAAATCCTACCTTCAGCATTACAACTAAGTGTTTTTTCATCATTAACCGCTCCAATCAAATTCCCGTCATCATTTAAACCGTTCACAGTAACAAGGATACGATCATCTGTATCTATATAGAAACAAAATGATTAATCAGAATTATAGAAAATAAACAAGACAGTATAGTAGATGGCAGCTCTAATAACAAATCTTGAATTTTGGCCAAATTAGCGTCTTGGCATTTTAGATGATGTCAATTCGTGATGAAAACCCTAAATGTAATTCTTTACCTTAATCATCAATTGTGAATCGTAATTCTTGTTCTTTAAACTGCTTTAGAACTTTCATTTAACTCTAGTCAGTAGGCAGACACTGTCAAAGTCACTTTTGCATTGCTCATAAGTTGTTCATAAGTTATAGTCTCATCACAATATCCAGTCTAAGTACAAATTTAATTGTTCCTTTCGATTCATACACACAATAAAGTGTATGCTAGTCACTTATAGATGCAATGAATAAGATAAATGAGAATATAATGCATAACATTTAACCTATCTAGAAAGAAGACACTTCAATATAACAGGACTACCAGTAGGCGTTTGGATTTCAATGGCTTGGAGAATGATAACCAATTATATACCAGAATTGGTAATACAATCGTCATATCAGTATTGTTATTATATTATTATTATTATCGTATACGTCTCATAGTCGGTTCATTTATTTAAACCCGACGTCATCAATACTGTACTGGAGATATTCGACATGTGTTATTGTAGATTACGGACAGACAAGTTGATTTATTTTTCTTCATTCACATTTTGACCATTTCAACTATTCGTTTATTCACCTTGACTGTTTTCATATGAATATATATATATATGTGTGTGTGAGTATGTAGCGTGTAGTCGAGTCGCGATTGACTATGAAAACCACTACAAGAAGACTACGTGCTAGTTAACCGATAAAATGCCCTATAAGCCAAATATCAGAAGGCAGTTGATGACTGTAGTCGAGATATATTTGTTGGCGATCTCGTGGTATCGAAAGGATACCGAGATCGTGCCAACAGGAGTACAAGTGTGGTTACCGAGCGTAACCGAACCCGTGCAAGGTCACAATCAATGGAGTAGTAGTAATATGGCTGTCTTTAGCACAGTTAAACAAACGAGCACAGTAAAACGATCACTGGTACAATTGGTTATAATAATGATTGTTTCCATTAAATCACTCGCGTTCTCTTGGTAAAAGTAGGCCACTACAAGCACATCATTAAGTCTGACTGGAAATATTAAATCATGGTTGACCAAATGAAGTTGGCTTACTTGCCTTCTCTGCTTTGCTTCACTTTACTTACAATGGTTGATAGTATGTATACTTCGTTGAATGATGGATATAGAAGTTCCATTTAGGGAACTTAAAAAATTATGGACACTAGTGATCCTAAGGGAATGTATTCATTTTATTAGATAGATCAAACCAAAGTATTTGGTGTAAGATCTTAACCTTCAACCCAGTTGTTCAAAGTAAGACATTTCAATCATTAATTCACTACTGTTTCCTAACAGAAACAAGAGTAAATATATAGATTGATTGAATTCGTATTACACTATTCTTTTAAGTCTAATCTAATAAACTGATAACAGGCTTAAGATTGAATGATTCAAAATATTTGGTAAATCACCATAGGAGTCTATGAGACCTTAATTGTCTTCATTCAAAATCGTTAATAGCGATGTAAATACATGATGCTGAGGACTTCTACATTTTAGGCAAAGAAAGGTTCTATGATTTACTGTTCGATGCCAGTCTGTGATAGAAAGTAGCATCAAATTGAATGAATCTGTTAAATCATGAGATTAAGTCTAACAGTAGAGATTATTGACAAATACTTACCATCAGCTTCTTTGATACCTTTCTGTTTGATACTTTCTTCATATTCCTTCAGTTTTTCTACATCATCTAATGTTGGTGGTTTGCGTTCAGGTTCTATGATATCTTTCTCCAAATGAATTAAGAAATCTGGTGAACTATCCCATTTATTTGATCCTTTATAAGAAACTTTACATCGTCCTTTAACAGTACCAGATAATGAATCTAGCTTAGTGATTGTTAACTGATTTTGTATAAATTGAAAATCTGCTTTTGGATGATATACTCCAGGCTCTTGGAAATCCCATATATAGATGACATTTTCAGCTGGTTTTCTTGTTGTCATATCTGTTTATGAGAAAAGTGTCGTTAAAAAAAGCTGGAATACAATTTCTATTGAACATGAATATGTGGGTACTGGGATACTGCCCAGATACCCAAACCGAAGTAGATGTTTCTTTAAGGTGCCGCACTCCCGATCCTTTAAACTAATGATCTAATCCACAAGACAGTGGAGCAACATTAATAGATGCAATCACATGGTAGCCGGTGACCACCGATTGGCTCATACACCATTTGTTCTTCTTAGGATCCTGGAGCCCATTTGCACGATTGATTCGGAATCAGAGTTTTCTAACTCCCATAGGTAGACTCTCCGTATCCACCAGCTCGGTTAAAACGCCAAACATTCGATTTTCGTCCTCTCAATGTCGTAAACAACACCCTGGTTGTGAGAAGGCAGTGAGTAGGAGTTCCCTGACAGTGGTTAGAGAATTTCGAGAGAGTGTGAACTCTCCCCACTCTCGGCCGTACCAGGGCGTCTGGGGGCACTTTTTCACTGAAATCATGTACCTAAGTTTCGTGCTAATTGACACTCGTCAGCAAAGTGTACCGTTACGGATTCGAACCTGTGTCACTCAGTTTCACAGTTACAGATGTTACCACTGAGCTTTCCTGGTGGCTTATTTCCTTTAAAGTACGGACAATGTTGGTTTATTTTATTCTATAAAAACACTGATTGTAACCAATCAGAAACAACATCGGCATATATTGAAAGCTGAAAAAAACAAAGCTTATGTATTGTTACTTGTAAGTGGTTTAATCATATGGTTGTTAAATGTAAGGACCTAATATTTTTATCAATCTTTGTTGACATCTTGTACAGATTGTCTTCTTTAAGCCAGGATCCATATATCTGCGGACTGCTTAAATATTTGGACTACTTGTTCCTACCATCTGGATATTTCACCAAGATATCGGTTTTCTGCCTGTTGGTTTTAACATATCATTATATCTATGAATCACATAACCTAATCAGGTGCGTTTATGAAAAATTTACGACATTTCACTGTACAAGTTACAAAAGAGCCCACTTAGAGACAATGTGGTTGCTGGCAATATACATCAAAAAGAATGTACATTATTTAGATGTTGATTCTTGAACTGCTAGCATCTAACTTAAGATCATTCAATATTTATTGCAAGGATCGATTACGAAATAAGTAAAGGAAACTTGTTGAAATACTTCTAGTTTCTGGGTTCGAGGCTGGGTGTGAACATCAACATTGGGATTCAAGAACACAGCCGATAGGTCCCAATTACTAAGAAACGTGAGTCCTAGATCCCATAGTTATCACAATCGAACATTATATCTATTTTACATTGAGCGAGTATCAATCGACTCCAATCAAATATATTTCATTTTCCTGTTCTAGTCATTGATCAATAAGAATATTATTAAAAGTAGCTTGAAAATAATACACTACTTAAATGAACTGACAATAGGACGCTAAAACCCTGACAGGTTGACCTGAACTGGAAATATGAGAATCGACATTATATCTATACAACTTAATTTAGTAAGCCAGGTGGGTGAGACTCCAAAGTGTGGACGAACCAATCAGGTATAAAATAGCAGGTCTTAGAGTTTGGCGCGAAATTCACTCATCCATTTGGCTAAATAGAGTTTTGCGAGTATAGCTTATGTCAGTTCATGATGAAAACTCCAAATCTTATTCCTAATCCTAACCACTAAATGTAATTCAAAATGCTGATTCCTCATACGGGTTTAGAACACTTATTTCGTTCTAGTAATTAAGCGGTCACCCTCAAGGTCACTCTCGTGAGCGCTCAAAGGTCATTATAGTCTCACCAATAAAATTATCATATAAATAACATACCAATAGCAGAACATTCCAGTGAGACGTTATCTCCTTGTTTAATTTGAAGTTGACCATCTTTGTCTAGACCATGTACAGTAATCAAATATCTAGGAGTGATCACTAAAATATACAGAAAAGAACAAACAGATTGAAGTAAACTCTGGACATTATCAACTTTTGTTTTATTGAAAATGTAATTTTTTAAAATAAACTGTTTAAGATTTATCAGGGGGTGGGAGAGATTTGGCTCTGATATTCACACACTAAGATCTATTCAGTTCATCTACAACTTAGGACCAGGCACATATATCTACCAATCCATGTTGTCATACTGAGATCTACTGCTGAACAGCTTAGTCGAAATATGCTGAAAGCTTGTATTTGAAAAGAGATACTATTGGAGATACTCGTTATCTAAATGGGATTGAATTTCTTAAAATCATCAACGGAAAAGTGTTTATCTTACGTTCTCTACTTTATTACGGCAGAATACGATAGACAACTAACGGCACTTGAACGTGTAGAACCTTACAATCGCAGTCTTATATTTAAAAACGAATTGCATTTTAGATTATGAAAGTATTCACTGTGACTAGTGGAACTAATCCGTGTCGGGTAGAGACAGGTATCTACCTCAGTAAAATGAAAGATGGTCGCACAATTTCACGTATTGGTTGAGGTTAGACATTAACATCATTGGATGCCGACTGACTCAGTGGTCTAGATGTTAGGCGTTCGCGTGCAAAACTGGAGGCCCTGAGTTCGAACGTCACGAGCGGGACCGTGGATGTGTACTGCTGAGGAATCCCACAATAGGATGAAACGGTCGTCCAGTGCTTCAAGGTTTTCAATGATGGTCCAACATCAATCGGTTCATGATTTCAATCAAAAACGTAATAGTCTCCACAATCCCATACTGATAATTTCATGACCAACTGTCAGTTGAACATTCTTATCAACATCAATTGAAGCAATCCATTATCTCATTCCATCATTATATTGTTAAACTATCCTTTACAAATCATAGTTACATTCGATGAAATAACATTTTCTAGGAGAAAAATTAACAAATCTATTGTATATTCCTGAAAAAATTAGTGTTCATATAATAAATGAGAAAGAATAATCAATGAATTACCTGGAATAACTTCTGATACTTCTTCATCAGTTTCAGTAACTAATCGATAATATGGTGATGTATAAATTGATGTACCATTTGATAAACGACATCTTAAATAAGCTCCATCTTTTTGAGTTAAATCATCATTTAATAAAATCGATAAATAACCATCAGGTGATTCTTCTAATTTAGAAACTAATGGACCAAGTGAACCACGAATAGGTGATGTTATTGATGAGGATGATGATGATGATATTTCATATTGAGTATAATAATAATCCCATCCATAATTTAAATCATCTACTCGGTCACCAGTTCGAGCGTCTATGAAATTCATATTGAAAAGATAAATCAAAAATAAAATGGGCAACTTTAAATGATAATATGGAAAACTTTCAACAATTTCTAATTGTATAACTTTAACCTTATTGTTTATCATTATGGTGTGGGTTATTTATATCCACATAAGTAGTATATAACGGTATATGCTTTGCACCTTCGAAGTGCAAAGTACTTCTACAAGACTGGCAGGATTCCAATCCTGTACTCACCCTGGATGGTGAGCAGATAGACGTAGTCGAGAAGTTCGTGTATCTATGTAGCTACATAAGTGCTGGGGGTGGCGTGAGTGATGAGATCAATGCACGTATAGTGAAAGCCAGAGCGGCTTATGCCAATCTGGGCCATCTTTGGCGCCTTCGTGATGTTAGTCTGGCTGTAAAAGGTCGGATCTACGACGCGTCGGTGAGAGGAGTTTTGCTCTATGCTTGTGAAACCTGGACTCTTCGAGTTGAGGACGTTAGACGACTCTCTGTGTTCGATCATCGCTGTCTCCAAAGGATCGCCGACATCCAGCGGCAACACCATGTTAGTAATGCAGAGGTTCGGCATCCTGTATTCGGGCGCAGAGACGATAATCCAATTGGTGTTACCATCTTGAAACACTGACTTCGGTGGCTTGGACATGTTCTACGAATGTCGTTCCAGAGAATTCCATGCCGTGCATTATTTGCCGACTCTGGTACTGGCTGGAAAAGCGGAGAGGTGGTCAGTGTATGACATGGTGTCGTGGTATGAAAGGAAGCTGCAAAGGGCTGGATTTTGTTGGTCCTTCACGACTCCCTGGCTGGGGTCCTAGTAATGGTGCTACACAGTGGCTAGAGACGTTATCAGATATGGTTCAGAATAGGAGCCAGTGGTGATCCTACTGTAACCTTCTTTTAATTTCTTCATTAAAAAAAATGGTTGTATCCTCCTTAACTGAAAGAATTCTTTCTGGTTGTACTTTTCGGTTTACTCCATTATTATTATTATTATTATTATTATTATTATTATTATTACACCACCTTACACTCATCAATTCATTTTTTTTCTTTTTTTTCTTTCTCTTCGGATTCTCATTGTTTTGTGTGGTGCATATATATTTGGTGCTCTCTTGTACCAATATTTATGTGTTCAAATAATAGTAATAATAATAATAATAATAATAATAATAATATAACAGTATAGAAGGGTGGTCAGGCATATTTCAGTAGAAGATTGATAAGGAAAGAACAGAAACGGAACGCAATTGGTATGAAAATGCATGAACAATGAAATCTGAGACAATGGACTGATGGTTAACAACAGGAACAGTCAAGTTTGAGATGATGGATCGATTGATTGATTGACTGATTGATTGGCGATTTCGTCATGTGATATTTGACAAGCCATTAGAACATGATAGGTTGATTTACCGTTAAATAAAATATCTTCTAGCCCCATAATGCTTGATATTGTCAAGGATGGGCAAAGTCTGATGTATAGCCTACTTCTATTATTAACTTTACTCCCAAATATTTGGTTTCAGGTGTCTACTTTGTACTCATTTCTTAAATTATATTGTGACAATTTTTACACTTCAATATTCTTGACAATTACTAACTAATTTTGCCTGGAGCCTTTTTGAGACTACTGACGGTCACAAGCCCAGATAAAGAAGGAAGGTTGGACATAAAGTTAGCAATCCAATCCTGTAGAAAACGAACTCGCTAAAAAAATAAACACTAACCAGAAAAAAATAATTCATACGTTATCAACTTATGTAATTATTAACCGACTTGTTCAATCATTGATTTCAAGTTCCACAATCATTTATTACTGTACTCTAGTCGACTTTCAACAATCTTTTACATAGAAAGTTTGTAATGAACCTGAGTGCTATTTACATTAACTAGTTACTAACATCATTTATGATAAAATAAGGAAACATGGATGAGCTATTGAGATATCAACATGGTGTTCCTCCTTAGGGAGGTACAATTGACCTTGACAAATATTGAAATCAATATTCGTCCGGCTAGAATCTCTGTCTGGTAAGCGTTTTTTTAGCGAGTTAGATTTCTACGGGATGGGGACGCTAACCCCATGCCCAACCCCCCTCCTTTACCCGGGCTTGGGACCAGCAGTAACTCTAGAAGAGCTACAGGCGGAGTACAAGTATTTATAAATAAGTATTTATAAATAGATGTCTTCGCAAGATACTCAATATCTATTGGACGGATACCATCAGCAACAGTCTTTTGTGGGAGAGAACAAACCAGTTTCCAGCTGAAGAAGAAATTAGGAAAAGACGATGGAAATGGATAGGACATACATTACGCAAATCATCAAACTACATCACGAGGCAAGCCCTAACTTGGAATCCTGAAAGGAAGCGGAAAAGAGGAAGACCAAAGAACACATTGCTTCGGATAATAGAAGCAGGTATGAAAAGGATGAATAGGAACTGGAAGGAGCTGGAAAGGGTTGCCCAGGACAGGGTTGAATGTAGAATGCTGATGAGCGGCCTATGCTCCTTCACGAGGAGTAACAGGCGTAAGTAAGTAAGCACGTAGAATCTCTGTGTTACTTTTCAATAATCGATTTTCTCTTTCAGTAGAACCATTATACAAAACAATGTAATTATGTTACCATTGGATAATTACACTATATGAAGACCATATGTTTTATACTGTCTTCTAATGGATGAAAGCAATATATAACAGTTGTAATCATTAGCAAACTTGATTGTGATTTACGATAAGCTTGCATAACATAAACGTCAACATACAATGTCATCATTACACTACTTACCAATACCAATACAACGAATCGTTTCAGATTCACCAGATTTCAATAAAATTTTACGATCCGTTGGTGAAATATCCACTAAACGTACCAGTATACGACCATCACCTTTGTTAAAAAAAAGAGTAATTTCAAATGTAAATTTCAGAGTTTTAATGCATTATACAGATATTATTAAATGGTAAGTTCATGGGTTCTTCTATCGCACACGCAAAAACAAATCCAAAGGAAGACGACCAGTGTAGCACCAGCCTCACCAGTAGTAGGTCTCAACATACACAATGGGAAAACCAAGATTCTCCGATCCAACATAACATGCAACAATCGAATCACAATTGACGGAGAAGATTTGGAAGATGTAAAAACCTTTACATATCTGGTCAGCATCATTGATTAACACGGTGGATCCGATGCAGATGTGAAGGCGCGGATCGGCAAAGCAAGAGCAACATATTTACAACTGAAGAACATCTGGAAATCAAAACAACTGTCAACTAACACCAGGGTCAGAATTTCCAATACAGAAATCAAGACTGTTCTACTGTATGAGACGGAAACCTGGAGGACTACTAAAGTCATCATCCAGAAGATACAAGTGTTTATTAACAGTTGTCTACGTAAAATACATCGGATCCGTTGACCAGACAACCTACTGTAGGAGCAAACAAACCAGATCCTAGTGGAAAAAGAAATCAGGAAGAAGTACTGGAAGTGGATAGAACATACATTATGCAAATTATCAAACTGCATCACGAGGGAAGCCCTAACTTGAAATCCTCTAGAAAAGCGGAAAATAGGAAGGTCAGAAAACACATTACGTCGAGAAATAGAAGCAGATATGAAAAGGATGAATAACAACTGGAAACAACTGGAAAGGATCACCCAAGACAGGGTTGGATGAAGAATGCTGGTGAGCGGCCTACTCTCCTTCACAAGGAGTTACAGACTTAAGTAAGTAAGTACCCTAAGATTTTACTTAGATTGTACATACTAGTGAATATAAGTTATTTTCGTTATAGATGTTGTCAGACACGTTTATTAAACAGTCAGTCTCACTTTAATTACTTAACTAATAGCAAACGTTGTTGACTTTTTAAAAGAATAGTTCATCTCTTAGGTATCTTGAAGTTTCAGCTTGATAATAAATCAGTTGAAAAGAGGTCTCCTCACTGAATTCCTCGCTTTTAACATTCAAGTTATTTGACAATTAGTTGACATTTGCATAGATAATCATCATCATAAAGAAGGAAACAGTAGATAAGTAGGATGTGGGTTCAGCTAAGACAATTAAGGTCGGCGTTATGAATGGTCATCAGTTGACAAAAAGATGACTAAATCAATAAATCTTACCTTCAACATCCACCTCTTTAGGTAAAGTGGATACTTTAATTTTAAAGTAATCCGATCGATAAATCTGATTACCCCGATAAATTATACATCTTCCATGAATATCGTCACCAAATGAATTAAGTGATTTCATTGAATAGAATTGAAGTTTATTCGATTCTTGCATAACTTGATCAGCTAATATACCCAAATTAATAATCGCTCCATTTGAACGTCGTATATCCCATCCGATAATTACATCTTGAACTGTTTCATCAGTGTTCGAATCTGGAAAAGAAAACAAAAGTGGAAATGTTGATTGAAAATGGAAGGAAATAAAGAAATACAATATTCTAGTTGATGATGAAGACATTTTCTGGGGTGGAATGTCTTTCAACAAAGTTCAATCATGTCTAACAATAGAATTTAGGATACATCCTCGATCCTATTCAATAAACGTTAAATGAATATACCTGCATCCAAACAAATCTTCACGAATAATGGGCTTTAAGAATGAACAAGGTACTGGTAGATAACCTAATAATGGAACTATTTATGTAAATACAACAGATATGACTGTAATACAGTAATGCATTAAATATTCAATGTCAGGTAATGAGAGGAAATCTCCAAGAGACTGTGGACTTAGATTTTGTTAATACTCATGAAGTGATGCTTTTTATATTGGTCAAAGACTAGACAAATATTAAGGTGAATAATAATCAACGTAAAGAAAGACAGTCGTAGCTTGACTGAGGTTTTCACGATGGCTTAAATATATGATGGTTAGCAATCAGGGAGTGAAATTTCAGCTGTGAGTGATTAATCTTAACTCAAAATCAAAATTATTTATCATGATCTGAAGTAAAAGCTTTCAACATTGGAAGTAGGAGATTGGACTTAAAAAACATAAACAGATTGAAGTAAAAATTATCAGCAGTTTCGTTTGTACGGTAGAACATGTTTGGTAGCACTGAGCAATAAAACTAGGATGTTTGGGATGCATTTCTTTCTTTCTAAATCCAAGTTGTTGCTTCAGGACTGGTCTGCGTCAACACTTGAACTAAGGATATGGAGTGAAATAATTGAACGCGTCGATAACTTCACTTATCCTTGAAGTCTGATCAGCTCTAATGTGTTGGTGTTTGAATAAATCTCTGCACGGATTCGAAAAGCTCGTTTGACTTTTGCCAATTTACGTCATCTATGGCGAAGGCGAGATATCCGTCTATCATTTAACGGACGAGTATACTGAGCTGTAATTCATTCTGTTCTACTTTACGGCTGCAAAACGTGGTTATTAAGGGTAGAGAATACTCGTAAGCTACTAGTACTTAATCACAGTTGCCCTAGAAATATTGCTCGCATCTGCTGGGATCACCAGGTAAGTAATAGTGAGGTTAGACTCAGGGTATTAGGGAATGATGGTAAATCACTGGATGACGTTGTAAGTCTTCATCGACTGAGATGGTTGGGCCACGTGTTACGTATGTCTGAACACCCATTACCACGACGTGGAATGCTGACTAGTGTTGGGGACGGTTTGAAGGAAGTTGAGAGCGCCCAAACCATAAAGTCAATAACTTCTAATCTGAGCCATTTTGCAAGATGCATACTACTTGATTAAGGTCCACTTGACTATCGTAACTAATGGGTGGGGACTCTGGGTGACATGGTTACCAGCTAATTCTTTCTTCCTGTACTTTGAATGAAGTGAAGAAAATAGAAACCGACCAATAAATTTGGAAAACCTACTAAATTCTTTTCAATATTACGAACTTTGGTAAGCAAATAACAGGGTTGTTGTCTTAAATTTCTATAGACATCCCTTTATATGTAAATACATTTTATGTAGAAATGAGAAACATAAATTAAGACAATATTTATAACATTCTCTATGACGATAAAAATGAACTCACCAACAGCTGTACACATAATACTCGCATTTTCACCAAGCTGAGTTGTAAATGTTCCATCTGGTTTTAAACCATCAATTTTCACTTTGATCAAACTTCCTTTGACTGAAGAATAGCGAAAAATTAATAAACATGAACCAAATCATCTTTATTCAATGGATTAGAAAGTGAAGCTTATTCAAGCTCCGAAATTACTTAATCTCTTGAGACAGGTATGAAGGATGGTCGCGCAACTTCGTGGATTGGTTGATGTTAGACATTAACCCCATTGGATGCCGGCTCAGTGGTCCAGTAGGTTAAGCGTTCGCGCGTGAGACTGACGGCTCTGGGTTCGAATCCCGTGAGCAGGACCGTGGATGCACACTGCTGAGGAGTTCCACAATAGAAAGGAACGGCTGTCCAATGCTTCCAGGTTTTCCATGGTGTTCTAGCTTAAAATTGACTCATGATCTCAACTGTTGAAATTACTGCAATCTCCACAAGAACCCATTCTGATACTATATCTTATAATTATCAACGTTTTAAGAATGATATTTAGTTATGTTTACTTGCTATTGAATGTTTTGTACATAAATGTATCCGTATTTAGTTTCTTATTATTCCTTCATTGGAGGATTAGTGTTGATAACTTGAATTTCGTGAATAATTATTACTTAAAAATCTGTTAGCTATAAACTTGGAAGACTATTTAAGAACACTAATAAGTTGCATGTTACCTTTTCAATTAAACTACTACTTGTATAACAAATCAAGGATAAGATAATGTTAATGGGTTCTTTGATGTGTGTATTATCGACTTCACTACTCCTGTGGAGCTAGATATTAGTTAATTACTTACCTACGCCTGTTACTCCTCATTAAGGAGCATGGGCCGCTCACCAGCGTTCTCCATCCAACCCTGTCCTGGGCAACCCTTTCCAGCTCCTTCCAGTTCCTATCCATCCTTTTCATATCTGCCTCTATTTTTCAACGTAATGTGTTATTGGCCTTCCTCTTTTCTGTTTCGCTTCAGGGTCCCGAGTTAGGGCTTGCCTCGTGATGTAGTTTGATGATTTGCGTAATGTATTTCCTATCCACTTCCATTGTCTTTTCCTAATTTCCTCTTCAGCGGGAAACTGGTTTGTTCTCTCTCAGAGGAGACTGTTGCTGATGGTATCCGTCCAATGGATGTTGAGTATCTTGTGTAGACAACTATTTATAAATACTTGTACCTTCTTGATGGTGGTTGCATTAATTCTCCACATTTCAGGTTAATACAGTGGACTTGTGTTGACGTTGGTATTGAAGATTCTCACTTTGATATTGGTTGACAGGCAGTTGTTTCGAGTTCCATATGTTCTTCAGTTGTAGGAACGCGGCCCTTGCTTTTCCAATCCTCGCCTTTACGTCTGCATCTGAACCCCCTTTTCCATCGATGATGCCTCTCAGGTATGTGAAGAACTCTACATCTTCCAGAGTTTCGCCAGCAAGAATGATTGGATTGCCGTTTTCCGTTTTGAATTTCACGACCTTGGTTTTTCCCTTGTGTATGTTGAGGCCTACTGATGCAGCTAGTTATATATATACCTATAATTAGATGACTTCATTCTTACGTGCTCATGAATATGGTTATGAAAAGTCAATAAACATATATCATCGGAGCTATCGTTTTTCACTTGGTTACTAGCGCATACCATATTAAAATATGAGAATTGTTTTCTTTTTTTTCATATATTTTTTTATTATCGAATTCTGAATAATCTAAGCAGATAAGCTATTTTAAGTCCTTCCTACATAGAGGAACCAATCGAGATCAATACTAGAATCAATAAAGGCGTATTTAACTTGGGCTCACAATTGAAGTTATAGTATATTGTAAACCTTTACCTCAACCAAATCCCCTTTATATGTTGTTCTTTGTCTTATCTCAATTCACATAATAACACTGATAACATTTATAGTGTTTCAATCATTAAAGGTAACTATGGTAAATATAGTAAATACATTAACTTACTGTCAACTTCTTCACCAGTTCTTGTTGATGTACCATCACTTCGTCTTACATCCATTCCAAAATAATCTGATGTATATAATTTTGGTGAAGATGGCTTTTCATCTGGTATACTTGGTCGTTTACTAACAACAGCGGTACATCTAATTTTAAATGGTAAATTACCACGATTTGGTGCAACTAAATCTCTTAAACGTAAATTTCCTGATGAATCCATTGATACACTATTAGCGAATAAACTAGAATCTACTGAACGACCAGTTACATCAGAAAATTCCCATCCATACATCACATCATATTCTGCTCGTAAACCTTCTGTTGATAATCGTTGTTTAGTGGTACGATCTAAATTAGAATATACAATATATAATAAGTGAACAGATTGAGATAGAATGAAATTTGGACTCATCTCAACTAAGAACACAGTGTAATGAGAATCGATTATGTGTGAACTCCGAACCAATCACATGGTGAGTTTATTGACAATTAATCAGGGGAAAATGAAAGACATTAGGATTGAACCAAATCAATAATACTGCAATCTCTTGGCTTTACCACGGTAATCATTGTTATCGTAGCCTTACACATACCAATATTATTAAGACCTGAATAACATAGCGATACCATGTAATCCACATCTGTACTTGTTGATTACTATGGCATGTAAAATACTATGCATGGTATGATTTTAACACATTGAAATAGTATTTCCTGGGAAATACAAGTCCTCTTGAGAGTTGAATTTTCTCTCTTCGATGGCGTTTTTCGATATCCTAGTTTGAGGGTTCGGAACTGTTGAATAATAGTGTGGGCTGTTCCAATAGTATCAAGTTAGTGGACATAGCACTATTATTAGCATCACGTGAAATCATGTCAATTTTCATTTGATTATATCACGCACTTGTACTCACATCTTATTCCAAGGTCAAGGTTAGAATTTATGAGCGAGGCGCGCTATTAGAAGAAACTGACTACATTTTGATATGCTTGAATGCTATTACGAGCTCACCTTACTTGGAAAACGGAACGATGGTCAAGGATACAGTGACACGATAGGCTATTCTAATCCGTTGTCCTAGGCCCTGATAACTAGATGATCGATCAAGAAGTCTTGATGAGGCGTAAAGAATGTTTTCTACAAGCAACCAGAAAATATGAGATCACTAAGCACACAAATCAAGCTTATTTATACTATGATAGAAACGCCCTTGGGAGAGCCACAAAACAGAGTACTAAAAAAAATCTGTCAGCCATTGACAGTCAGGGATTTCCGAGTGGGGAACGTAAGCTATAGGTTAACTATGCGTCTCTTAGCGCAAAAACATAAAATTCAAATCTTCAGAATGAAAATTACAAAATTAGGACCTTTTCCAAGTGAGTTCTAGGGATCCAACATCCTCAACACATTTCTAATCAGTGCCTCAACCTGTGTGTTCTTTTTTTGATTTATCGGTCACCGATCAAAATTTCTTAGTCATGACTCAATCTGATATTTATCATAGCTGATTTCTTTAAACGTGTAAGAAGTGTGTTTATCTGAATTGGATAAGGTAAAATGTGATAGAAAGCCGTTTTTACTACTTACTTCTAGCTTCACATACAACACTGGCGCTTTCTTTTTCATTGCCAACTAAATAACCTTCATTATCCAATCCATCGACAGCTATTTCAATATTATCTAAATGAAGAATAAAAGAATACGATTTTTATGATGATCAATCTCAGAAAAGATCGGAAATAACAAAAATTCAGTAGATTCCAAAAACATATAGTTTTTTTAGTTTAAGACTATTAATCTTATTAAACTCCACCTGGAACCCTTATGGGACTACCGCCGGTCTCAAGCCCGGATAAAGAAGGAGGATTAAGCATTGGATTAGTGACCTTAACCCGTAGAAAACTAACTCGCTAAAAAGAAACTCACCAGAAAGAGTATTTAGTTGATACATTTTACACACTTCATAGCTTGGCATGTTCACTGGATATACAAATAGGGAGGGGGTAATAACTTATTTACTCATAGTGTGTAGCAATGCTATTCAAAATCTCTATGGAATTCCTTTAGAAAAATCGGTCTCTTCAACTTCGTTAACAAAAGTTTTGTTGAGGTTGCATACTTAAATGGTTTGCTTGAACTCAGTTCATTAGTAATTATCTAAACAGTAAATCAGTAGTTGGAATATAAAAACGATCATACCAGTACTATGTTTTTATTAACAGAGAACATTAACAATTGTCCTAACTTTGTGTTAATGCTAACAGTTTTCATAACTCTTATTGAAATATCAGAAGGAATTTTCACGAAGTAGGATCATGGATACGCACTGCTGAGGAGTCCCACAGTAGGACGAAACGGACGTCTATTGCTTCAAGGTATTCTATTGTGTTCTAGCTTCGATTGACTCATGATCTCATTGAAATGTTTGTTTCACCTCAAAAGGTGTTTGATTCAGTTTACCACCCTCTATGAAGAACTTTTAACACCTCATGATGTGCAAAAGCTTTTTTTCAATCTTTCATAGAAATATAGTTAGCACAATTAGAGTGATAATTGGATAGACCATATATACATTTGTCTTTAATGTTAAGCTCATAGTCCTTTGAACAAAACATGTTTTAATAAAACTTTGGTTTGTTAATATTTCAAAACATTCTTATTAATTTACTCACCTGATTCTCTTCCTGGGATCGGAATTAACTGTGGATCAATAGTTGTTGGTTTTCTTGCAACATCTATTGAAAAGAAATCTGAACCATAGACCAATTCATCACTAACTGATAATGAAGGATCAATTTGTTGTGCTGGTACATGAACAATACAACGTCCTTTAACATTTCGTCCTTTAGTACCAGGTGGTGGACGTATACCACGTAATCCTAAACGATCACCATTTGTTTCTAAGCTTACTGCAATATTACTAGTTGAAACTGGATCTTCATCAGTGTAACGCCATTCCCATCCATAACGTATACCATGTGTTGGATATAAAGGTGAACTAGTATCTACTACAATTGCTTGACATCTTAATGTTGCATCATCTCCAACACGTGTAACACTAATTTGATTTTGTTCATTTAATCCACTAATTTCAACTCGAACACGTTTATCTGAATATGATGGACTAATTGGTATATGAGCTTGAAAAATTCAAAGAATAATGAAGAAGATCAGAAACAAATATGGATGAATTTTTGGAGTGTTGAGAAATGGAAGACCAATTTTAATTATAGTACTTTGTCCTCGTGGAGGAGCATAGGTCGCTCATCAAGACTCTCTGTCGAATCATTTTCACTCCACAGGAATCAAAATACAATTAGATATAATTTAGTACTTTTCATTATTCTGGATAATTGATAATGATCTCAGTAGTCTAATGGTAACTAAAAATAAGTGATGGGTTCAAACGGTGGTTTATCTATTTTGATTTGGGATCCCTCTAGTATTTGTATCCCTTATACAAAGAGTATAAGTCAAAGCCAACTGGAAAGAACGGGTTATAGACACATAGTATTATTATATAAATTATCTTTGTTTTATTTAGATCCCATTGTATCTAATCAGAACATCAAACTATAGCTTAGATACTTCTCATCCAATACGTACTAATGATCAACTTAAAGATAAAGATAAACTGCAAGAAAACATAATCTTTAGAAGTTTCATTATTTAACGATTATTAGTAAATCTAGTCTTCCATCATACTATATTCTACGACACACACCACATGATAATCTCTCTTGTAAAAGGAACATTCGAACCCTGGATGGAAAAGGTAAAGAGGAAGATCAAAGAACACACTGAGTCAGGAATTGAAAGCAGATATGAAAAGAATGAATAGGCACTGGTAACAACTGGAATGGATCACTCGGGATAAAGCTCGATGGAGAATCCTTGTGGGCGGCTTATGTTCTTCCTCTAAGGGTAGTAAGCGTAAGTAAGTAAAAGAAACATTTGAAATTAGAAAAATAAAACCTACAATTGAACTCATTGTAAATCTTGAAGAATACCAAGAAGGTATCTCTAATAATTTACTAGATATCATTGTCTAAAATAGCTTTACAATACATTCTGATAATCTTCATCTTCTTATTACACTATCGACATTAATATACAGGAACTTATGAGAACAAAGAGAACTGTCTTAATGGATTTATAATTCATCCATAATCAGGTTATCAATGGTTAACTTATTTCTTGAATAAAAAACTCCTTATTTAAATTCACTTGGTATTGTTTGTTTGAGTCTTCTTATTGATGTTTAGGACTGGAATTGATCAGTCTCTTATTGACATATGTGTATACTATGTATATTGCCTTAATTCACAAGCATGTGGCTATTAGGATTCAATGGTTTGAAACAAACGATACTGGGTTCGAGTCCCGGAGTGAACATCAAATATAAGATGCAGGTACAGCCAGATAATGATTCAAAACTAGGACGAAACACGCGTCCTGGATTTCATTGCTAATCATTATTTATATTTGCTTATAACTCCTTATTTAGTTATGATTATTCATGAACACAATCATCATCATTGTATATACAATGCTCCCATTTAGGATGAATATTAAATTACATTTAAGAGAGAGTATATTATTAAACCAACTCCGTATAGAGCCCTTCTAAGGCTACTGATGGTCGCAAGCCCGGATAAAGGAAGAGGTTTAGACATAGGGTTAGCGACCCTAACAAAACGCTAACCAGAAAAAGATTATTCAAACCATTTAAACTCCGCCCTGAGAGTTAGAAGAATTATGATGTCTTATAGTAGAAACCAAATTCCTTCGGAAGCCACGAGGATGATAAAATGCTAATACAATGTGGAAGATCGACGAGACTCTATTTTATGGACGAGCCAATCGGAAGCGTTTTAGAGATTTCAAGGTTACGGAGCCAACTTCAGTGCTTAATGATAACGTACGATCGGTTCACAGGGAATTTTGTACAAAACGTATTAACTGAGCGGCTTTAACAAATAAAACGGCGGGACTATAATTTGTGAACGAATCAATCAGGTAAAAAATAATAGATCTCGGATTTTAAAGCGAAAGCCTTTCAACCATTTGGCATTTTAGCTGATGTCAGTTCGTGATAAAAACCCCATATATAATTCTTAACTAGGGCAAATTACGACAATTATTGCGAACTGGATAATAAAAGCATCAGTAACACTGACTGCAGCCAGGTACTACAATATATACGGATGTTTGGAGAGCGTACACACTCCTACATAGGCTTGGTTATTGTGCATCGTGTCGATATCCACAAGTAGCATTTTTGGACTAACAAAAAGAGTCCACACAAACAATATTGAAACTATGTATTTGAGGCTGAAAGAGTTTTTGAGACTTTATCATGACTCCGGATGCCGACTTTTCTTTAGCCGTATGGATGATTTTCTCTACTGCCTGTATTACAATTTTAGAACCTCTGAACGTCTTTCTAACCTTGACAAACTTTTGAACCACGTATAAGAAGTGTATCCACTTTATTTCCTTGGTTTTGTATAATATATTTTTAGTCTATACTGACTGTTTGCTGATTGGCTAATATTTCACAAGTTCGTTTAAGATTCGTTGAAAGGTCGTCCTTAAATTAGAGTCTCACCGGAAGATCTAGAAAGTTATCCAAATTGCTGCGGAAATGAGAAACTGTATATTTATGAAAACTTTAATGATGAATATAGAAAATGTATTCAATGAAATATTCATTACTTACGTGATACACTATCTCCAATGACATGATATTTAAAATATGGTGAACTTAATGTGACTTTTTGATCTAATGTTATCATACAACGACCACGTGAATTTGGATTTTCATATAAATTTGTTAATTGTAATTCATTATCAGCATTTAATTGAACAATCGATGCTAATTTACCAATTGGTATTGTTTCTTCATAATCATTCATAAAATTCCATCCAGTTGAAACATTTGGAATTGGTTCTTTAGTACTAGCATCTTGAAAACAAAACAAAAAAAACAATTCTTTCAATGTAGGAGATGTGAGTGGTTGGATGGATCCAACATGAGTATCAGAAGGGGTTTTGTGGATATTGTATTAATGTCAATAGTTGAGACCATGTGTTAATCGAAGCTAGACCACTATGGAAAACCTGGAAGCACTGGACGGCTAACTCGTCCTATGGTGGGACTCCTCAGCAATCCACATCTACGACTACGCCTTACGGGATTCGAATCCAGGACCTATCACTCTCACGCCCGAACGCTTAACCTCTAGACCACTGAACTGGCTGTCATCCAATGGTGTTAATGTCTAACTTCAACTAATCCACGAAATTGAGCGACACATTCACCATTGTCTTCAGTCAGGTACTATCTCACAACTGACCTGGCTGAACTCCACTGGTCACTGGTTCTCACTAGAACTTCAGGATATAACTCTTGAACCCAGTCACTAGTGAGCATACGTTGATTCTTATCAGAGAGGGGTTTTGTGGAGATTGTAGTAATTTCAACAGTTGAGATCATGAGTCAACTTTAAGCTGGACCACCATGGAAAACCTGGAAACACTGGACAGGCGTTTTGTTCTATTGTGTGACTCCCCAGCAGCGTGCTTCCATGAACCGAACTCACGGGATTCGAACCCAGAACCTGTCAGTCTAACATTGACCGAATAATGATTTCAATGAAATTTTTAATGGACATTATTTCAGATCTAAATTATTGATGGTTACAAGTGATTCTTTTGATTCTATTTGTGGAATAAAGTGAGTTAAAGATATGTATTCTGTTTCATAACAGAATTCAATAAATTTCTTTATCATCTATTGGATAATGAATATAACAAGACTGTAATTTGTGGATAAACCAATCAGAGATGAGATAACAGATCGTGGAATTGAACGCGAAATGTATTCATCCATTTGGCTTGTGAGGCGGGATCGTGGAGGCCTCCCATACTAGGACGAAACGGCCATCCAGTGCTTCCAGGTTTTCCATGGTAGTCTAGCTTCAACTGACTCATGTTTCCAACCTGTAAATAGAGTTTTGTCATTCTAGTCAATGTTAGTTCGTGAGGGAAATTCTATAACCAACTCCTAATATCCTAACCTTCACTATCAACTATAAATTGTAGTCCTAATTCCCCACACTAGTTTTGTAGTGAGCAAGAACACTGGTGAGGACAAGTAAATGTATGCAACACAAAAATTACGGACTATTTCAATAAAATCTGAATACCATATAGTAAATCGTCGATTTGCAAAATATTAATGCATCATATCAAACTGGACTGTTTCTGTTGCAAACACCAATCTATTGTCTCCCATTCCATTGTTCATGCGTTTTCTTACAAATTCCATTGTGTTCCCGCTCATCCTTTCTTGATCTACCCCTCATTTTCTGCTGCCGGACATTACGTTCCTGACTCCCATAATATACTACTTATATCGATATAAGTAGCACACCACAATTTATTACCCTTATTTATCCCTAGTAAGTAGGACATTTCATATTCATTTTAGCGTTCCTCAAAGGTTGTCTATAAATTGTAGTCTTACTGATTTTTTTATGATCTCAGTTAGTGTAATAATTAGAGATATTAAAATGATGACAACTTTTACCGATTATAAGTTGGATAAATAAATACCATGATGATTAGATTGACTTAATACAATGAACAAATCAGTATAGGACTCCTTAGTAGTACGCATTCACGATCCTACCTACGAGGACAAAACGGCTGTCCAGTGTTTCTAGGTTTTTCTATGGCTGTCTAGCTTCAATTGACTCATGAATTCAACTATAAAATTACTAGAATCTCCACAAAACCCCCTTTCAGAGAATTTAGTATAGCTTTATTCGAAGCTAGTTAAGTAGTCATTGTAACAAACATTTTTAGTAGCTGTATGAGCCTACTTAACTTCTTACATCGGATTAATACAGAATTTTACATTAATCGTCTAATTAAATGATTAGTCTTAAATTCATTATTATCGGTTATTGATTCCTTAAAATTGATATATAATGTCTGTACTTGTCGGCAGATCACCTTTTCTTCAAATTATGGACGATAGTACAAGTACAAGCTCTGTCGTTTCTCACGTTGTCACAGAAACAGATAACGTATTCTTGAACGCATTGTATCTCGTAGCTTTCTAATCACTTGAAGTGTTAAAGAGCGACATCAGAACTTATGAAAGAGTGACGTATTGTCAATATGCGATAAGAGATTCTCATTTTCATAGAGATCAGAAGCCTTTGTATGTTGGAGAAATGGCCATAGAACACCTAGCGGTTCCTCAAAGCCGATTAGACCAGCGACGTAATTTGATTAGTGCTATCATATTGTTCATGAAAGACTTCAATACACACTCAATGTCCGACCTTCATCTTTTGTAAGTTTATTGATGGTTACTGTACTGTTTGTTGTTCATGGGAATGTTCATCATAATCATAAGTGCGATTCCCTGAGGTACTTCAATAATTCTTGGATACGCAGATTAACGGAGGCTGATCACACATATCCCTCTTTCTAGCTTTCTGGTTGATTAAATAGCCCAGTAAATCATTCTCTTTCCCATTGATGCCTGATTCTTACTAACTAATTTAACATTTCATTCGGTTCTTTACTCAACTTTAAATTCATCTCTGTATCTGCCACCTTTCTTATATTAGTATTTCTATTCGAATTCTCTTAGTTTGCTTGTGGCTTAGTGATTTGTACTATTTAATGATGAACTATACACAGTGTCAAACTGTTAAGATTTATTTATTAACACATCAAGCTGATTGATATATGAAGCCTTAGAAACACTGTTGAAGAAGAAGATGAAGAATAAGAAGATAATGATGATGATGATGGTCTCACTATAATCTAAATCTATTTCCAAAGAAAGTATATATGATTGAAGAAACCTTTAACTTACTCAATGCTAAACATTTTAATGAAATATCATCACCAGGTTTTGCAATCACTTCACCCATTTCATTTAAACCAACAATTCGTATAAGAACTTCATATCGTTCATTTGGTTTTGGTATATATCCAGGTATATCAGTAATAATTTGTGGTCCACCTTAAAGTAAATAATAAATAATAAACATAATTGAATCGAATCAATTTCATTAATTCATTCTTGTTAATGGTATCACATTGATGTTTATGCAAAACTAATCCAACTATGCAAATATATAGCCATGAATGAAATGAACCGAATAAATCTAGACAAATTACTATCTAGGATAGATTACATAATGAGAGATGTAGATATGACAGGGCTGTTGTCATATTTAAATGACTTGTTGATGTAATCAAGATCAAGATCATCGTCCACGTACTGTTGCTTACATATGTTCAAGTGTATAAACATGACAGGTTTCCAAGAATTATTGTTTTGGATTAGAGAGTAAAAACTTTCAAGATCGTTTTAATTCTTTCTACACTAGTAGGCTGATCAAGTTAATGGTATTCAACTGAATGAGAGTACATGATTGATAAACAGTTCATAGTTATGCTTTCTACTTAGAACTAAATCAATATGCATTGTTTCCAAGTACTTTCATATTTCTTAAAATCATTCTAATATTATGTAGTATACGTAGAATGATCTCAAATGTAAATGGAAAGCATACTTAAAAGAAATGTTCACTATAGAATAACATCATCTGAACAGTAGTTTAAAAGCATAGTGTAATAGATCAATACTTTATCTTTATTTGAGTTGTCTCAACAATGTATACACCTATGATCTGACGGGTACTAGGTAAGGATGAGATAGCTGGGACACGTATTACGTATGCCTAACTACCGACTGCCTCGAGGTGCGATGTTCAGTGGTATAGGAATAGATTGGAAGAAAGCTGGGGGCGGCCAGACCAAAACATGGCACAAGTCCATGAAGTCACTGACAAATGGACTGAGTCATGTTGGTAGGTGTAGACTATTTGGTTGGGCACGGCTAGATGATAGCAACCGATGGTTAGAGACCTTGAATGACATGGCTCAAAATCGTTTGCAATGGCGCACGTGCATCCACTCTTTGTGTTCTCCCAAATTGTAACCTCCTGAATCCTTCTTGTCTTTTTTTTCTCTTTTCAAATTTATTTCACTGGATTATACTCCTTGGATAATATCTCCAAACCCTAATCTTTTCGATTACTAATTATACTCTTACTACTTTTACAACTACGGGATTTGAATCGAGGACTGCATCTCTGTGCTAATGTGGTGTGGCAACTCGAACTGATGTACGTACGTACAAAGTTCTACATTGTTACTGATTGACTGACTTACTGACTGATCCGAAATAAGATCAAAACTTAGGATCTAATGGTCTTGAAGTAAACACAGTACATTTAGATTACTGAATTGAAATCTATTGATCTCTGTTACTTAACTTATATGAATTTCTATAATATGACGCACTCATCATAATGTTTCAAGAGTTTATCACAATCTCATCTGTGACTTCATTTTACAGCGTGCCTTTTTTTAGATTGTGCAATTCATTGACAAGAGATCTTCTATACATATCATTTAAATATGACTATATTGTGAAAGAAAATAGATGATAAATTGACATATATTCCATCAGTCCGCCAGTCTTCGAGGTCACTGTCTTTTGATTTGAGCCATGTTGCTAGATGCAAACTACTTATTTGGGGTCCGCATGACTATCATAATCAATGGTTAGAGACTGTGGGTGACATGGATCAGAATCGATCACCATGGCATAGGTACATACACTCTCTGTGTTCCCTTAAACTATAAGATTAAAATCGCTTCATATCATTCTTTCTACACAATCTGTCTTTTATGTATTAATACTATTGAAGTAACTACTTCTATGAATCCGGTGTTCATCTTGTTGTGCTAATGAGGTATGGCAACTTGAACCGATGCATATATATGCCTAATCCTACGTTATATCTGACTGACTGATTGACTGACTGATATATTCCATATGAAATCAAACCATTTGCAAAAATACAAAATGATCATTTACTTGGTTCACATTCTAAACCGTGTTCTCCAATTTCAAAATATTCGGAACTATAACGATCTTGTATACCAGTTCTTCTCATAATGATACAACGACCATATGATTTAATACTTGGTTCCATTATTCCAATTAATATTAAACGATTATTTTCTTGTTTAATTGATTTAGCTAATAAATTCACACGTGGTAATACATGACCATACATATCTCTTATTTCCCAATCATATAATAGAGGTTCTGATAATAGACGTGTATCTGAAATTCAAAGAATACGAAATTGAAAGGAATCATAATTAATCTCTATATGATAATAGAATATTAATAAATTGCCTAATAGAAAAATTCTACTGGTTGAAATCATGAAGCTAGACCATCATGGAAAACCTGGAAGCACTGGAAGGCCGTTTCGTCCTATTGTGGGACTCCTCAGCGTTGCGCATCCACGATCCTTCCCTATGCGACATTCGAACCCAGGATCTATCAGTCTCGCGCCAGGCGCTTAACCAACTAGACCACTGAGCTGGCATCCAACTGTGGTAATGTTTAACTTCAACCAAATCTCCACAAAACCCGTTCTGATAATAATAGGGAAATCACTTAAATGAAGTCTGTTATATTTGAAGGGATTACGAGTTCACTTAATTCTACGAACGGGACAATGACTCTGTGACCAAAGACTAATAAGCTAGCTAACTTCACTAACTAGAGAGAGAAGTTCAAATTTGAAACGGTGAAATATATTCCGTAAGCAGTTATAAGCATAAGTAATCTTGACCTCAGTCTAGTCGGAAATACACTCATTGATATATTGATTTGTAAATCTATTTCTATTTTATAGAAATCAAGAGTACACTACATTTGTAATATCATACTTGTATCATCGTTATTTAAGCTTTGAAAATATTCTCATTTACTAATATAAACTTGAGATGTTATCGCTATATTCGGTCGTCACTGATTGCTGTGTCAGAAAACCAAAAACGCTGATCACTTATACTCGTAACGAGCGTCCTCAGCAATTCCCACGATGCGAATGTAAGAACACAAAGATTGGTATAAGTGAAGATTGATTAGCCTCAAACTATATGACGACGACGACGAATCAATATAGTCTAAAATACATTGGTTTATATATTGATTGTACACCCATTTTTATTAATAATTAGGATCAAATCACATATTCCGTTATAACAAATCACTTACTGAGCATAGGTCATGTCAATGGAATACAAGAATATCTCGCATATTATACAGAAGAAAATATCATATTGGGATAACAGTAACAAATACTACACTGAATGATCCTCATGCTGAATCAAAACGGATGTTGAATGTTGAATAAAACTTATAATGAGGAAATCAATCGAAAATTGACTCGTCTTTCCATCATATCAGTTATATAATTAATTTGGAATCATCTGGACGATTAATGACTTTCTAAAATCAGTATTGAACTTTAATTCTACCTGAATTTGATCTTTTTCTAACCTTCAACAATTTGTAGTGACCTACTTTTACCGAGAGAACCCAATGGGTATGATGGAAACAATTATTATTATAACTAATGGTACCAGTGATTGTTTTACTGTACTTGTTTGTTTAATTGTGCTAAAAACATACATTCTTCCGTTGACTGTGATCTGGCACTCTCTCGGTTCCACTTGTACTCTTTGGTACGATCTCGGTATTCGTTCGATACTACGAGATTGCCAACAAATACATCTTACTTCAACCTTTAATCGCTTTCTGATATTTGCCCTACCGAAGGATCTAACGCAGTAACTGGCATGTAGCTTCAATGTAGTAGTGATCATAATCAACGGTGACTCAACGCTACGCTACAACTCTACAAATTTATAGATATTATTGAGTTGCTAAAGAAATTTTGTCGCTCAAATAGAGTTTTGTACTTTGAGCTAATCTGTTAACTAGTTATTTTGTCCATTGAAATATATTTCAATTAAGATTGTCGGGTTTTGTTTCCATGAACAGATCGATATAATTATTAGGTGATCAATAGAAAATTAATTAAATCTATGATTATTCCCGAATGCCAACAGTTGAGATCATGAGTCAGTTGGAGCTAGACCACTATGTAAAATCTGGATGCACTGGACGGTAGTTTCGTCCTAGTATAGGACTCCTCAGCAGTGAGCATCCACGACCCTACTCCATGAAATCCGAACCCAGGAAATATCAATGTCGCGCGCGAACGCTGAATCGCCTTTTATCCAACGATGTTAATGTATAACTTCAATCAATCTAACAAAAATCAATATACCTTCAGTTCACAGTTCACTACTAACACTTTCATTATTAAATACTTAAAAGTTAACATTCATTTAATTCATTAGTATTATTAGATAATCTTAGAACATTGTACTTACCATTTGGACGACATATTAAAGTTAAATTATTTCCAATAGCTAATGGTAATCTACCACAATTATTCAAACCATCAATAATCGGATAAATTTTCTCCACTGATTTCATTTTACATAGAAACAAAAACAAAAGAAGGTTACATGAATAAATCAATGATAATCATGATTTCCAATAGCAACAACACCAGAAAAAAACAGTTAACGATTATGTAACACTTCACTAGGTAACAACAGTTTATACTAATTATTGATCATAGATTAACTTTAGTTGGCATAGTATTAGAAATTAAGGAATAGTATATAACTGTTTTGCTCTAAGATGATACTACTTATTGGTATGCACATTTCTACGCTTACAATAAATCGAAATCAGAACCTTCCGGTCAAGAGATATAATGATATGATTCCTGAATCATTAAATTAATTATAGCTAAATGAACAATCATGTCAACATTGGGGAACTTCATCTGTTATGAATACAACATAGAAATTAAATTAATCCCCAGGAAACTACTTCAACTGGAATTCATTATCATTTATATTCAACGTTGAACAAGTATTGAGGGATGTACAAAATTTCGAAATCCTCAATAAATCAAATGCTTAAAATATTTTAAATATATTATTACATCTTAGCAAAGATAGATAGTGGTTAGCAGTGGAATGTAGGACGCTATCAGGACTCAGTAGCTAAGTGAATGATAACACGATGGTGTTTGAAGCGAACGGTACTGGAATCGAGTCCTGGGGTGAATATCAACTCTGAGATGCAGGTAGATCCAGTTGACGAGTCTCAAATAGGCGGAAACGCGCGTTCTGATTTCCACTGTTAGGCACTATTCATTTTTTTGGTAATAATACTTGTGACTTAAGGCTATATCGAGGCATTCCATATAGGATGCACACAGTCCTAAATAACAATGGAGAGATGCAAGTAAAACAACCTCAAGTGAATTTATTACATCTTATACTTGAACGCTTATAGAACATACCATTCCCATATAATTTGCCAACGATCAAAATCAAGAGTACAACTTGGTAACACATTTTGATATTAATGCAAGAATAATCTGCTGACTTTAGGCAACTATGCATGCAAACAAACATTTTACTATACACATAATGTATGATAAATCAAAATGTCTGCCTACTATTATATTCACGATTGTTTCGATTAAGGAATCCCGATGTCTGCCCTAAACTTTTCCACGAGGAGCAACATGTCTAAGTAAGCAAGTAAGTAAGTAAGTAAGTAAGTAAGTAAGTAAGTAAGTAAGTAAGTAAGTAAGTAAGTAAGTAAGTAAGTAAGTAAGTAAGTAAGTAAGTAAGTAAGTAAGTAAGTAAGTAAGTAAGTAAGTAAGTAAGTAAGTAAGTAAGTAAGTAAGTAAGTAAGTAAGTAAGTAAGTAAGTAAGTAAGTAAGTAAGTAAGTAAGTAAGTAAGTAAGTAAGTAAGTAAGTAAGTAAGTAAGTAAGTAAGTAAGTAAGTAAGTAAGTAAGTAAGTAAGTAAGTAAGTAAGTAAGTAAGTAAGTAAGTAAGTAAGTAAGTAAGTAAGTAAGTAAGTAAGTAAGTAAGTAAGTAAGTAAGTAAGTAAGTAAGTAAGTAAGTAAGTAAGTAAGTAAGTAAGTAAGTAAGTAAGTAAGTAAGTAAGTAAGTAAGTAAGTAAGTAAGTAAGTAAGTAAGTAAGTAAGTAAGTAAGTAAGTAAGTAAGTAAGTAAGTAAGTAAGTAAGTAAGTAAGTAAGTAAGTAAGTAAGTAAGTAAGTAAGTAAGTAAGTAAGTAAGTAAGTAAGTAAGTAAGTAAGTAAGTAAGTAAGTAAGTAAGTAAGTAAGTAAGTAAGTAAGTAAGTAAGTAAGTAAGTAAGTAAGTAAGTAAGTAAGTAAGTAAGTAAGTAAGTAAGTAAGTAAGTAAGTAAGTAAGTAAGTAAGTAAGTAAGTAAGTAAGTAAGTAAGTAAGTAAGTAAGTAAGTAAGTAAGTAAGTAAGTAAGTAAGTAAGTAAAGTAAGTAAGTAAGTAAGTAAGTAAGTAAGTAAGTAAGTAAGTAAGTAAGTAAGTAAGTAAGTAAGTAAGTAAGTAAGTAAGTAAGTAAGTAAGTAAGTAAGTAAGTAAGTAAGTAAGTAAGTAAGTAAGTAAGTAAGTAAGTAAGTAAGTAAGTAAGTAAGTAAGTAAGTAAGTAAGTAAGTAAGTAAGTAAGTAAGTAAGTAAGTAAGTAAGTAAGTAAGTAAGTAAGTAAGTAAGTAAGTAAGTAAGTAAGTAAGTAAGTAAGTAAGTAAGTAAGTAAGTAAGTAAGTAAGTAAGTAAGTAAGTAAGTAAGTAAGTAAGTAAGTAAGTAAGTAAGTAAGTAAGTAAGTAAGTAAGTAAGTAAGTAAGTAAGTAAGTAAGTAAGTAAGTAAGTAAGTAAGTAAGTAAGTAAGTAAGTAAGTAAGTAAGTAAGCGAGTGAGAAACTCTTATAGTGTAATCTACTATGATAAATAAACTAAATATATTAAAACCAGTCTCATCAAATATCATTGATAGTTAACAACATTGAAATGATTCTTTCAACAAACAACCTCAGCTTCTTTCATCATTTCAAGAACATACTTGGAACTTGTTCAGGTAGATCGTCTTTTCTTGGAAGTAAATCAATATATTGTGATGCATAACGAATTACATCTTTTGGTTTACCATCTTCATCGAATTTCTTTTGTTCAATAATAAAACGCATTTGTACTAATGGTGAAATATTTGGCTCTTTCATATGATATAAATGAAATTTTCCATTATCTGATTGAAATTCATATGTATCAGCGAGATATGAAAGTGGTACAGGATAACCATTTAAATATCGAGTTTCAACTCCAGCACATGTATTTGGTGGACTTGGATAGATTTGTTCACCTGTTTCTTTATCTAATCATAGTTGTAAATTGCAAAAATAAAATAGAAGGGTAATCATCAGATATTGATGGATTATTTTTCATTAACTTGATTATGATTAGTACATTATACTCATTATTGACATTATCTAGACAATCACTGAAAGACAATTGTGAGTCCGCACAGTCGAGAGCATCCATAACACTATCGAGGATCGAGTACTGGACATTTAGGATTGTCGGTTAGAGCCTAACTTTTGGATCATTAAGTTACCTACCAACGGTAACAACCATCTTCCTATGTCATTGGTAGGTAACTGCTTGAGATCTAAACTTTTTGAGTTACACTTGTTAAGATATCTTATCCAGAACTCTAGGAATGATATTATTCAGTACAAAGTACGTGATAAGTCATTAAAATAAACAAGCTGACTATTTACTAATCATCTTAAACAAAAAGACTAATATAACAGGAATTTTAAAGTCCATTGATCGTGGTTTCATAGTTTGTGTGTACATACCGAAAAACACTCAATATCCGTTGGCCGGATACTATCAGCAACAACCTATTGTAGGAGAGAACAAACTAGCTTCCAGTTGAATGGAAGTTAGGGAAAGATGTTGGAAGTGGATAAGACATACATTACAAAAATCACCAAATTGCATTACGAATCAAGTGTGAACTAAGAATCCTGAAGGGAAGCAGAAAATAGCAAGGTTATAGAACATATTATGCCGAGAACTAGAAGCAGATATGAAAAGAATGAATAACAACTGGAAACAGCTAGAAAGGATTGCTCAGGACAGGGTTAGATGGAGAGTGTTGATAGGCGGCCTATGCTCCTCCACGACGAGTAACAGGTGTAAGTAAGTAAGTAAGTAATAATAATAGTATTGAATAAATCTCTCTACAATGCAACTAAACAAAACATTATTACTCATAAAAGATCTCTATAGAATGAATATATATGTATATATTCAATTCATTCACTTACGTTTTAAGAATACAGTTAATGTTTTATTATCATTTTTAGATACTTTTAATCGTCCATCTTCATCTAGACCTTCAATAACAACTTCATAATCTTTTCCATCTAAAATGTTTACATAATGAAAATACAAATTAGAGATGAACTACAAAATTTTTTTATAATTTCACAACAATATCAGTGTTATTTCAACAGGAATACATGCCGAGGAGTCCCACAATAGGACGAAACGGCCGTCCAGTGCTTCCAGGTTTTCCATGGTGGTCTAGCTTCAACTGACTCATGATCTTAACCATTGAAATTAGTATAATATCCACGAAACCCATCTGATATATGATTTTTATTCACAAATACTATGATGTGTGCTACTAATATTGATAGATAATATAAGTAGTATGTATCATGAATCGAAAGTGAAATGCCTGAGTGGAAACGAAAGAATAATGAAGTCTGAGACGATTGACTGATATTTACAGAAGTAACTGTCAAGTTAGAGAATTATAACTTAGCAAAGATTAAATTACGAGTAACTTCTGAGAACTATTTTGTGCATATCTATATCCCTCTTATTATAAGCTTCATTTTGACCTATAAATTATTATTATGATACGATTTACTGTTCTTCAGTTCTCCCTTGTCTACTAATTACAGACTCTTACGTTCACAGCCACATTTTGACTTGATCTTGTACAATTGTTATTCCCTAGTTTATGGTGTGATGTGGTCTGTTAGACTGGTATATAAACCAAGTATGTTTGAAATAAATGATTCTCTTAGTAGAAGCTGTTATTGGTGTTCAGGATTCAACAAGACGGGTTAGCCGAACAAAGGACCAATAAGGACGCTTGACTGATCAAAGCGATTAAACATCATTGATTTGACACAAAACCAAGATTGAATAAGTCGTATTCCGATTGACGAATAAATCACGTGATAATTCTCCAGGTTTAAAGTCACAGCATTGAGACAATTGATTGACAGTTTGGACTTTAAATATTTTCAATAGTTTAAATCATGAGTCAATCAAAGCTAGACCATCATGGAAAACCTAGAAGCACTGGAAGGCCGTTTCGTCACAGTATGAGACTCGTCAACAGTGCGCACCTATGAGTATGGAACAACTGGAAGCTATATGTATTTATGCATCTCCACTTACATATTTGTACATTGGAGAGATTGACCAATCGCAGTCCTAAATATCAATAGGAAAATTCAAGTAAACAATATCAAGTGAATTTAAACTTCATCCCATTGCACAAGCAAGTGGTTATCAGGACTCAGTAGCTAAGTGGATAACTCAATGATGTTTGAAGTGAGAGTGAACATCAGCTCTGAAATTCACATACATCCATTTGACGAGTCCCAAATAGGACGAAACATGAGTCCTGAATTCTAATACTAATCACTATCTATCTTTGCTTATAAAACGATTTATATGTTTAGGATAACTGGTTGTAAACTAACCACAGTAGTAAGTTTTATTCATATTAGATACTTAAGAAACAACCTCGTATATTACAAACTACTAAGTTAATTTTTTTACTAATGAAGAGAATTACTTGAGAACAAACGCAATACTACTTATACTCATGGCCTTTAAAAGTAGAAGACATTCGTAAGCTACTCGTATTTGACCACAGATGCCTTAGAAATATTGCTGACTTCTGCTGGCATCACCGGGTAAGTAATAGTGAGGTTAGATGCAGGGTATTAGGGAATGATGGTAAATCAGTTGATGAGGTTGTGAATCCTCATCGACTGAGATGGTTGGGCCACGTGTTACGTATGCCTGAACACCGATTACCACGACGCACAATGCTAACCGGTGTTGGAGATGGTTGGAAGAAAGTAAGGGGCGGCCAAACCAAAACGTGGCATCAGTGCTTGAAGTCACTGACTTCTAGTCTGAGCCACGTTGGTAGATGCAGACTACTTGGTTGGGGTCCGCATGACTTTCGTAACCAATGGTTGAAGACTCTTGGTGACATGGCTCAGAATCAATCACAATGGCGTCGGTGTATACACTCCTTGTCTTCCCTTAAACTAAGCGATTAAGATCACTTCATATCTTTCTTTCTACGAACTAGTTCTTTCTTCCTATACTATATCCTTATATGCAATCTTTCTCCTATATATTACCACCTTTGACCTAACCACTGATATGAATCCGGTGTCCATCTTTCTGTGCTAATGAGGTATGGCAACCTGGACCGATGCACATATGTGCCTGGTCCTACGTTGTAGCTGATTGACTGACTGACTACTTATACTTTTACTACCTCTACTACTACGAGATTTGAATCGACAACTGAATCTCTGTGCTGATGTGGTGTGGCAACTCGAACTGATGTACGTAAGTACGAAGTTCTACGTTGTTACTGACTGACTGACTTCTAAATAAACAAAACTCACCTATTTCATAATCTTTATTTCCTTCATAACTAACATCATCTGATGATCCTGATGAAGTTTCATCAGTTATAATAAAATCGAATGATGGTGAATAAATCTTTTCATTTGGTCCTAATAAACCAATATCTGATATAGTTGGATCTGTTAAACTATCATTAGTTACAATACATCTTCCAATTAATCCAGCTGATAATAAACGTAGATTACCAATAATTAATGTATTACCACCGGGACCTTTCACATTAATATAATCTCTAGCTAATACAGCTGTATCAATTGGTGTACCATCACGACGTTTTATTTCCCAATTATAATTTAAATTTTCAACTGGTATTTGATTGATAGAATCTAGAAAAGCAACAAAAAAAAGCAACAAATAAAATATAATGACAATGTAATACACACCCCTTACTGAGATTATATTGTTGCCGTGGCAACACAGTGTTTATGGAAATCTTTTATTTTATGAATAAATTATGTAATTAAATTTGTAACTAACTCCATCGAAGGTTGATACCTCGCAATCGTCCAAGGTGATTAATAAACAGACAAACTTCAATCTTTCGAAATTTGCTAAAGTCGTTGCTATCAGATGTCAAAAACCTGATTTATGTGTTCAAAACGAGATGGTTATTAATTTTGTCTTTGCCTTGGTGACAAATATTCTTTCGTTGCATCTTAAACTTCTTTTTAACTCTTCTACATTAGTAATCTTATTTCATTAACTGAGCTCAACTCATTCCTATCAGCGTTTACTCATTATGTAATCACTTGTATTCTTTCGCTTTGAACTTTTATTACAATCAATGTTGTAGAATGTACTTGTACACCACGTATATATTTACAATATTCAGTCTATTCAATTTACTATTACCTTTGCTATACTGTACTATTGTGTCTTCAATATAACTTCCAAGCGAACCCTTTCATGTAAGTCATTTTGAAATATTACAGGTTGTAAGTAGCTGATAAGTACCAGATGAAATAAGACTAATCCATGCCATTTTGTTAGAATCTTTGGTTCTTTCTCTTTTGAAAATGATAAAGGAAACTATGTATATGAAAATTCTACTTACCGTAAACTTGACAAGTTAAAGTAACTGTTGATCCTACTGGACTAACAACTGCACCATTCTTTACTCCATCTACAGTAGCATATAACCGATGACCTGAAATAATGAAAACAAAATACAATATAAAGTATTTTATAAAATTGATTTTTTCTTTTTATATTCAAAGATCCTCTAAGAGAAATTAAGGTTGTTACATTCACAATATAAACAAAGTTTATTACACTGTCAGATGAAGAAAATTCATTCTATTTCGACTCCTCTAAAGCAATCACCATCCAACTCTGTCCCAAGCAATCATTTCCAGTTCTTTCCAGTTGATGTTAATCCTTTCGATATCTGGCTTTAATTCACGATGTATTGTGTTCTTTGACCTTCCACCTTTCTATTGCCCTTCAGGATTCTAAGTGAGGGGATCCCTGGTGATTCAACATACTTCCAACGTCTTTTCCTAATTTTCTCTTCAGGTGGAAGCTGGTTTGTTCTCTCACACAGTAAGTCGTTGCTGATGGTATCTTGCCAACGGACATTGAGTATCTTGTGTAGAAAACTGTCTATAAATGCTTGCACATTTTTGATGATGGTTGTAGTTGTTCCCCCAAATTTCAGCTCCATACAGCAGACCCAACTATATTGATGTTCGTATTGAAGATTCTGCAATTGATATTGACTTGTAGGCAGTTGTTTTGAGTTCCATATTTTGTTCAGTTGTAGGAATGCGGCCATTGCTTTGACAATCCTCGCCTTTATGTCTGCATTCGAACCTCCTTATTCACCGATGATGCTTTCCAGGTACGTGAAAGATTTCACATCTTCCAGAGCCTCTCCATCGAGTGTGATTGGATGGGTGTTCTTCGTGTTGTATCAGACGATTTTGATTTTCCCCTTGTGTATGTAGAGGCCTAAGGCTGCAGAGGCCGCTGTTACACTGTTTTTCTTGACCTGCATTTGTTGTTGTGTATGGGATAAAAGAGCTAGGTAGCCTGAGAAGTCCAAGTCGTCTAGTTGTATTCAACCTTTCGACTGTATTCCTTGCTTAACGTCAGATGTGGATTTCTTCATGATCCAGTCAATCACCAGAAGAAAAAGAAAAGAGGAGATACAATAAGTCGAGTTGTCTGATTCCGCTCCTCTATGTGTGTCTGTCAGCTGTACTTTATGCACGACTTTGCAGAGTAGCCTGTCGTATGAATTCTGGATTATGTTGAGGATCTCATTTGCTCACTCCATAGTGTTGAAGAAGGTTCCCTAATGTTCTCCTATCCACACTGTCAAACGCCATCTCACCAATAACATGCAAAAAAAATCAGACGTTTTACCATTAGCCTAATACAAAATTTAAATATCCTATGATATATCTTAATAATTGTTTTCATGAGTCAATTGGAGCTAGACCACCATGAAAGAGCTAGAAGCACTAGATGGCTGTTTCGTCCTATTGTGGGACTCTTCAAACAATACTCATCCGCAATCGTCCACCAAAAGGGATTTCAACATAAAGCCTACCAGTCTCATGCACGAACGCTTAACCTCTAGACCACTAATCCAGCATTCAATGGTGTTAATATCTAAATTCAACCAATTCACGATATCTATTTAAATATATAAATATCACGTAATAAAGATATTAAGTATAACAATCAATCTTATCGAACCATTGAGCCAGCATCCAATGGTGTTCATGTCTAACCTCAACCAATCCACGAAATTGCGCGACCATCTTTCATTGTACTGAGGTAGACACCTGTTTCGACCCGACACAGATTAGCTCCACTAGTCACAGCTTCTCACCAAAACGGCCGTCCAGTACTTCTAGGTTTTCAATAGTGGTCTAACATCAATCGATTCATGATCTCAATCAAAACTAATGATCATACTTACTTTTAGGAAATGAATCAGGTGAAGTTAATAAATCATTTGGATCTATTGCCAATGGATTAATAATAACAAATGGTCTTGATTCATATATATTAATCTTTATTTGTTTCTCTTTATCATTCATATTATCCATAGGTATAGTAGTATCATCAATATATTGTTTAGCTAATACAATACAACGTCCTTCAATACGTTGAATTGATTTCAAATGTTCCGCTAATTGAATATGAGTATTTAATAAACCTAATTTTAATCGATTTTTATAACTTTCAATTGAATTGAAATAATATACAGTTGGAATGGTTTCATCATTAGGTGTAGTGAATTTCCAATCATAAGTAACATTTGATAAACGTTTACCAGTTCTTGAATCTATATAAAAAGAAGAAAAAGTCTTTTTTTTTAAATGGGAAAAAAGAAATTGCATATATCATCATGGAAAATCTGGAAGAACTGAGTAGGTGTTTCGTCCTAGTACAGGATTCATCAGAAGTGCAAATCCACGATCCTACATCGTGAGACTTGAATCCAGGATCTATCGGTCTCACGTCCAAACGCCTGACCACTGAGCCGGTCGACCGGCATCCAACGGTGTTGAACCACCGTCCACCATTATCTGCAGTGAATTACTATGTTACAAGAGACCCAGTTGAACTCCGCTGGTCCTAGGTTCTCACTAGAACTCGAGGAAATTCCTCTTGAAGATCGTCACTATTGAGTATATGATGTATATAATCAAAAAGGGGTTTTTGTATATTATAGTAATTTATTAGTTGAATTCATGCGTCAACTGAAGCTAAACCATAATGGAAAACCTGGAAGCACTGAATGTTCGTCACCTCACTGATGACAATGGTGGACGATAGCGCAACTTCATGGATTGGTTGAAGTCAGACATTAACACCGTTGGATCCCGACTGGCTCAATGGCCTAGAGATTAAGTGCTCGCGTGCGAGGTCCTGGGTTCAAATCTCACCAGGCGGGATCATGGATGCGCACTGCTGAGAAGTCTCACGATAGGACGAAACAGCCGCCCAGTGCTTCCTGGTTTTCTGTTGTGTTCTATCGTCAATTCACCCATGAATTCAACTATTAAATTGCTAAAATCTCCACAAATCTCCTCTCTGATTACATAGAATGTTTTTAAACACAATTTATGAGTTATGAATATTCATTCTTTAATATTTACTATCAGTTTAGCCTCGATTATTGTTCTTTATATCACCTGAAATATTCGATGTATCAATGTTATAGTAATGGCTACTCATGTCTTCAAACGGAAGGGAATCAAATAAACAAAGGAAGTTCGGGAATGTTATTTTCTGACTTCCCCTCATTTTATAAAACTAAACTACTATATGAATTATACAGAACTAATTAGCTTAAAGGAATGGAGATCGGATCAGAGGTTACTTGCTAATCGGTAATTATCAATGCTACCGCGTGTTATTTAAAAAGAATAAAGGTGTTTTTCCACACTGAGTTAAATTTGTTGTTATGATCGTTTATTACACAGTAAGACAACTGTTTTCACTGTTTTCATCTGTACTTTTGATTACATTGATTCTTTCTGTATTTGTCTGTACATCCTGGTCTAACAATTTACAGCTTTTCACTTTATTCTGGTCACCAGTTTCTTTTGTTTATGGGTATTGTTCATGTCTAGTTTACTTTTGAAAACCTCCGATGGATGACTGGAGAGTGAAGAAAAAGTGATTGTCAAAATCCACTCTATCGATACCCAGTGCAAAGTGGTATGCAATGTGATAAGTGCAAAATATAGTGCTATGAAGCTTGCAGAAATCTAACGCTAGTAGCCTTCAAATAGTTTAGTAAAAATAGTTGTGTGTGTTTGTGTCAGTAATGCTGCCTAACCAATATGGTTTTAAAATTTTTTTAGAAGATTAGTCGGACGGAATTGTTTAAGTATCTCGACGATAAACGGATTCATTGTAAGAAGTAGCATCGCTTTAGAACAGATTACTCATATCTCACTAACTTATCTGTAGCTCGTGAAAGTTGATGAGCTCTTAAAAATCAAACGTTAACTATAGATTTAGCCGACATTGACTTCACTAAGGTTTTTGACAAAGTTCTTCTTAACCGGCTGTTATATAAGTTAACTAATATCATGATTGGAGGTAATTTATCAATAAGGGTAAAGGGCTTCCTCGTTAAGCATCAATAAACAGTACGGGTAGACAGATAGTTCAGTATTTATTCTTTAAAACTTTCTTTCATTTTATACCCAGTGACTACTTTAATGAATGAATCCAAATAGTGTGAAATTTTCATGACTTACCATAAGCAGTACATAAATATTCTTTTTGATCTCTGGTTCCAATTTCTTGTACTTCCACTCGTACTCGACCATCTGTTACTGTAAATAATAAAAATAAAAATCTGAAGTTTATGCTGATGATGTCGTTCAGAAGAACGATGAAAGGCTCACCACCAAACTATCCTGCTCAGAGAACAAAACTCCATCAAAAGACAATAATTTTATGAACCAACCAATCAGATTTAAGATAATAGGTCTTGGATTTTGGCGCGAAATTCATTCAGTCATTTGGTTAAATACCACTTTGGCATGATAACTGATGTCAATTCGTGATGAAAACCATAAATCTAATTCCTAACACTAATGTACAGCTGTAAATCTTAATCCTGATTCCTCGCAGTAATTTATAACCCAATGAGTTGGTGAGCATTATCAAGGTCACTTTAACATCACGGAAAGGTCGTCCATAAATTACAGTCTCATCTAAACATTTATTTATACAACTGATGTCACATTATTACGAAATGTACAATACTACTTATCATGTTTATGAGTAGCTTTAGGAAATACTGAATAAAAGTTGATTGTGAGGTGGTGGAGAAGATTTTTAGTTCGGATGGATGATTTTTGGATGGAGTTTCGTTCTTCAGATTGATATTTGTGCTGATGATGTCATTCAGAAGAAGAAAGATGAAAGCTCCACGACCAAACCATCTGGCTCAGAGAATAAAACTCCATCAGAAAGTCGACTGTTTCAAAAAATGCATATGAATTTCAATGGTTAAGATCATGAGTCAGTTGAAGATAGACCACCATAGAAAACCTGGAAGCACTGAACGGCCGTTTCGTCCTATTGAAACAATTGAAATTACTATAATATCTACAAAACCCATCTGATATTGATCAACGTATGCTCACTAGTGACTGGCTTCAAAACGTATTTCCTGGAGTTCTAATGAGAAGTTGTGATCAGTGGATTTCAACCAGGTCTGTTGTGAGATAGTTACTCACTGAAGACAATGGTGAGTGTCACTTAATTTCTTGGATTAGTTGACGTTAGACATTAACACCGTCGGATGCCGGCTCAGTGGTCTAGTGGTTAAGTGCTCAAGCGCGAAACCAATAGGTCCTGTATTCGAATCTCATAGGAGGCGAGGTCGTTGATGCGCACAGCTGAGGAATCCCACAATAGGACGAGTTGGCTGTCCTGTGCTTCCAGGTTTTCCATGGTGGTCTAGCTTCAACTGATTCATGATCTTAACCATTGAAATTACTATAATATCCACAAAAACCCATCTGAAAATAAATATGAAATGTGAGAAATTTATCTTTCGTGTTAGATGTATGTAAATTTACCAGTGGGTATTAATATACATGTAAAATAGATATTTGTTTTAGAATGCCTTGGTGAGTATTATAAAAAGGAAGAAGATTAATGGTTTACTGATTTGCATGCTACTTATATTGACAGATATAAGTAGTATGTAACACTAATTAGTAGTGGAAGACCTGTCAAAAGAAGGTTTTAAAGATTGAAATGAAGGAAATATGAAGGAATTAAGAAATGGAATAATAACGAAGGATATCAAGGACAACTGACAAAAGATATTTAATGTATTGTTTTCAGATTTTACCAAAGAACTCTATAATTGTGTTTTATTTACTAAAGTGGTTATCCTCACTAAGTCTTCGTTAGCTACACGTATACGCCATTTCTGTATGCCCTATTAGAATTGAAAAATCTCTCTTTCTTAATTCAATGAGAAGAGCTAACTGATGTGTGGGCGAAGATGATAATGATTAGTTGTTTGCTTCATCTGATAGACGTTAGATGAGTTATATATTCCCATATCCTTATTATTATTGATTGTTGTTGGATTGTGCCATGGTTGTTGTCAGTTTTTCGGTGTGGAAATCTATTTACATTCTACTCAGGCTAATCACGTGTTCTTGATCTGAATTGTGTCGAAGTCCTGTAGAATAGACACTGGGTAGGATGAGAATCTAGTGTAGATATTCGTCTAAGATACATTAACGTCCCATATGTGTAAAAGTGGAAACCAAACGGTTATAACGTTAGATGAAGTGAAACCGAGCGTTATAAAACTAACAGCATTGTTATATTAGAAGAAGATGAGCCAAAGTAGTCATAATAATGTTATAAGTAGTAACTTGGAATTTAACAACTTCCATATGAATGTTCTATTTAGAATTCTATAAAGCATAACAGTTTACTATTAGATTTAGGTTGTTGATTGTTAGCCCAAGCTTTATCTTACCATCATAATGAGACAGAACAAACAAAATGAGCTCTAAAATAATAAAAAATTAAAGGATCCCATTAAAAAAGGACAATTCACAGATCCTTTACACAGAAATGTATCTAAAGATTAAGTTTGCCTCGTTTGTCATTGGAGAGTCTTCTAATGAGATCTTAACTCGTGTCAAAGAACATCTAGGCTATCCAAAAAGATCTCGTTATAAACTTATAGAAGGAACGTGAGAATATACAAGACAAAATGGAAATAGTAGAGCATGTTAGTTTCAATAACCAGAAAATTGATCCATAATGTATCGAAATAATTCCATATCGTTTTTTCCAACTATAAAGAAATCTGAATGATTGAAGATTTCCATTTATATTGTTAAACCCTACTAGACTCATTAGAAAGGATGTCTTAAGTATCTTTCTGATTTGGAGCTCTTTCCAAAATAACTACACTTAACTCGTTCAAATCTTTCACTTTAAACATACATGATATACACTCATTCACATAAGAAGAGTTACATTTTTTAAATCCACTCTCATTAACAAAAATATAGGCACGTTGTACATGGAATAACCTTTGACCCAAATGGAATGACTATAGAATGATTAAACTTGTCTGTTTGTAATAAATAGTTGATTTACTATTTAAAGTGGATGAGCGCTGCTGAGCTGCAATCACAATTAATTGATCACTGGGTAGTGATCAATGTCATGTGTGTCAAGTCCTTATTGTTAGTGCAGATCGAATTCTATCGACCAAGTTGCAATGTGGCCACCAGCCTAGGTGACTCAACACTGCATGCACTATTGTGAAATTAGATGGTGGTTGGTCACCACCCAGTGACCAATCAATTGTGATTAAATCTCAGTCTTACAGGAAGTTGGTCACCACCCGGATAGTTCAGTGGTAACGTCTCTGATTATGAAGCTGGATGACACGGGATCGAATCCGTCAGGGAGCACCAGTTCCCTCAAGATTACAGGTACACCTTGTTAACGAGTGCCAAGTAGTACGGTAATCGGGTTCAGGGTTTCCAGTCGACTACCTCCAACCATCATCTAAACTGCTGAATTGTACCATACTAGGATGAAAGGGTTATCCAGTGCTTCCAGATTTTCAATAGTGGGTTAACATTGATCGGTTCATGATTTCAATAAAAACAATCTCCAGCTTGACAGTTTTATTTATTTCCTGGTAAAGGTTACATGCAACATTTTCAATATTTAATAAATGTGTTGCATTCAGTACTGTAATTCATCTGATTTTTTGTTCATTTGATGAATAGGTGCTCAATTCAAGAGCTACATTTTACATCATTAGTGTTTATCATTTGAAATGTTTGATTGCATCATACGAAGATGTTCATGGAAGATAGAACCTGATAATTCTAGACACTTGAAATGAAATGTTCAGTAAAAATAACACCCTCTATTAAGAGTATTCAGAAACCTGATAAACATTTACAACGTTGAAGACAAACTTAGTCGGTTTAATTAAAGATAATATAAACTAAATCTGATCTTTGTAAAACTATATGAATTGAAAGAAAAGATGGATAGTGGTTAGCAGTAGAATCTAAGATGCGCATTTCGTCCCATTTAGGACTCATCAGATAGATGTACCTGCATCTCAGAGTTGATGTTCACCCTGAGACTTGAACCTAGTATCATTTGTTTCAAACGCCATTGTGTTATCTACTTAGTTACTAAGTCCTGACAGACATTTGCTTGTGTAATGAGATGAATTTTAAATCCATTTGGTTTTGTTTTACTTGAATCTTCCCACTGATGTTTAGAATTACAAATAATCAGTCTCTTATTGGCAATACACACAGTATACACATATACCAATTAGATATTGATCAATTGTAGTTCTAAACATCCATAGGAAGATTCAAGTAAAACAACACCAAGTGAATTCAAGTATGTTACTGTTTTTGTGTAAACAAAATATATTAAGGGATGTTTATATTATCTAAGAAACTGAAACATACCATATTAAGATATGAACTTATGGTAGACCGATTAAATTGTAACTGGGTGAAAAGATATTATTTCATTTTATGATATACCAATCTTGAAGTTGGTCTACGGATCAACAAATGTTTAAATATAGTGAATCATTTGGTATGATCTTCACTCATAGTCTGTAAGTTGTGTACATAAATATTGGTAAAAAAAGAGCACCGAATACATATGCGCTACACAAGTCATCTGATCTATGTTTGAACTGTGAAACGGCCTGGGTGCCTGAAATGATTCTCTCAGGAGGCCGCACCATGAATTTTTGAGCTAAAGGTTGGATCAACGAGGAAGTGGAGCAACGTCAGAAGATGCAATCCCATGGTATCAGGTGAACAACATTAGGTCCATACGTCATTTGTTCCCTCCTAATCACAGAGCCTGTGTGCACTATTGGTTTGGAATCAGGGTTTTCCAACTCCCCTAAATGCATCCTCCATATCCACCAATTCAGTTAAAGTACCGGTCATTCACTTTTCGTCCTCTTATATTTTCGTAAACAAATCCCCCACCGCAAGACGACAGTGAGTAGGACTTCCTTGACAACGGCTGTATATGCGTGGCCATGTGAGAGCAGATAAATTCAATTGAATTCACATAAAAATATTATGTTATCATAATGAATATGAAAATCCTACAAATGATCAATATACATATGTAGATAAACATGAATAATACTTACCACTACTTGGTGGAACAATAGGAAAGAATGGTGAATAAAAATGCATGAAACCATCATCAAACCAACAACGACCTTGTAAATTTTCTGGATAATCATTACGTATATTTTCTAAATGTAATTCATCATTTTGTACTTTAGAACGTGTAGCAAAATCACCCATATTTACTTGATGACCACTGGGTAATGCAGGAAATTGCCATCCAATAAATTGATTTTGTGTTAATGTATCCATTAGTGTATCAGTTTCTTTGTCTGTAAAGCATGAATAAGAAAAAATTATTGATTGGTTAAGCGAAACTGTTGGGAAGGTTAGACCCCCAGAACTCACTTGAAAAAGGTCTTAATTTTGTAGTTTTATTTTGAAAGTTTGAATTTCTTTGTTTTAGCGCCAAAAGTGCTCTTTTCATCTACATGTCGTATGTCGCACTTGGGAGAATCTTAAACGCTATTGGTCCGTTGTGTCTTTTAGTATGCTATTTCGTAACGCTTCCTAAGGACGGTTTTGTGCTGTATATATACGTTTTGATTTGTATCTGTTGTTATCTCTCGTGATTCTGGCTTTTTGAGGAATATACTTCCCCATTCGGACTTCGACTTCTCTCTCTAGTTAGTGGGGTTGGGACTCATCGGAATAGCTAGTTTATTGGTCTTTGTTTCGTTCACAGATTAAGTGAACTCGTAATCGCTTCAAACCTAGCAAATGTGGCGAAGTAAACCTAGTATGTTTGAAACAAACGATTCATATCTCAGAGGCTGAGATTGGTGTTCTGAAGTTAACTGACTGAGCTAGGCAGGAAGCAGGACCAATATGTACTCTAGGCTGCTCGTACGGGTTTTACTTGTCATTGGTCTGATCGATAATTCACGGCTCTGTAATAGGTGGTATCATCACATATATAACAACAGGGCGTAAAGGCCACACGTTGTAACAGAAACAATGGAAAAAACATCAGAAAATAGATAACTCAGTGATTCAATAATTTTTGAAGAGATGAGTACTGGATTTCTTGATTCGTTTATGACAACTAACAACTAATTAGATTTCAGGTCAACAGAACAAGCTGTTGGTTAATTGTGAGGCGATACTAATAACTAAGTTTTCTTTCAAGTATGTACTCATAATGTTGTTCAGAAGAATAATTTAATTATCAGTATAAGGTTGTGAAAATTGTTGAGCTTCAATTGAGATCATGAACCGATCAGTGTTAGACTATCATTGAAAACCCAGAAGTACTGGATGGTCGTTTTGTCCTGGACTTGGATCTTGGATGCGGAATCATGAATACACACTTCTGAGGAGTCCCATACTATGACGAAACACTGATCAGTTTGTGGTGGCTGGTACTATGCTAAGCCCACGTAGGCTATTCTAGCTTCTGGACAGACCAACTTATTCATTCTTCTCAAGTGACATTTTGACCTTGTCAATTATTGGCTGTTTTTATATGATCACATATCTGTGGTAATTGCTTACTCTATTTATTATGTCTATGGAACTTGCTTTGTCTGACTATACATACTGAGTTATGCTCGGCCAAATGGAGTTGGCTGAGTCGCCTTCTCTGTTGTACGTTGATTCGTTTCGTTTCTTTGATTGTCTGTTCAGATCAATACACGTATTCAAAATTCCATTTTTCTATTTGACTTATTTTATCATGTTATTGTCTAACGTCGATTAAGTCGACAAAAATGAATGTTGATGATACATATCGAAAGGTATGAAATAATCACAATTGATTGATCAATGGGTGGTGATCAATGTCATGCTTGTCTAGTCCTTATTAGTGCAGATCGAATGCTATCGATCATGTTGCAATGTGGCCACCAATCTAGGTGACGCGACACTGCGTGCACTATATATTGAGATTAGATGGTGGTTGAAGATAGTCGACAGGAAACCCTGGACCCGGGTTTCGTGCTACTTGGCACTCGTCACTAAGGTGTACCTGTAATCTTGAGGGAACTGATGCTCCCTGACGGATTCGATCTCGTGTCACCCAGCTCCACAGTCAGAGACGTTACCAATGAGCTATCCGAGCCGTGACTGACCTCCTGTAGGACTGAGATGTAATCACAATTGATTGATCACTGGATGGTGATCAATGTCATGCTTGTCTAGTCCTTATTAGTGCAGATCGAATGCTATCGATCATGTTGTTTGAATCCAATTTGAGCTTCATTTGAATATATTGACTTATGAACTATGAAACTTTATGCAAATGATCAATGTGTTAAATCTGAAGGAATTCTATTGAAAAGGTTAACTGTCTATGATTTGATATTTTAAGGATGTCGATTTAATCGTTATATTGTAATGAATGAAGTGAAAACTAATAATCAGATTACACGATCTATTTCTGCAGGAACATTGTAAGCTATCACGAGTGAAGTAATTCGATAATGAGTATATGTTTGATCATATTACTCAATAACAAAACATTTCGATTGCATTCTTATACTAGAGTTGTTGGATGAATGATGTAGTTTGGACTTTAATGCTTTAATTGTTTAAACCCGTTAACCTTCGTTGAGGTGCACAGGTCCTTTGCTAGCATTCGCTATCGAACTCTGTCCTGGGCATTCATTTCTATTTGTTATTCATTCTTTTCATTTCTGCTTTCAATTATCGACGTAATGTGTTCCTTAGGTTTTTTCCGTCTGTAACTCTTCTAGAGTTATTGACTGTTCCAAGACCAGGTAAAGAATGGGGATTAGGTATGGGATCAGCAACTCCATCCCGTAGAAAACAACCTTGCTAAAAAAAACTCTAACCAGAATAACCAATTTAAAGCATTTAAACTCTGTCATGAGAGTTAAAGGATCTTCATTTAGTAGAATTATCTCATCTCATGATAAAAGTTAAGACTCTATTACTCTGGTTTGGTTTGTATTAAAATAGAAAATTCATGTCATTTTAAATATTAATTAACTTTAGTAGTTGAATTCATCATTAGATGATCATAGAAAACCTGGAAGCACTGGATGGCCATTTCGTCCTATTTTGGGACTCAGCAGTGTGCATCCATAATCCCGTTGTTAGGATGTGCAGAAAAATATATCAATAATTATCATGTTAAGTGTAATGGTGGCCTTGGACTTTAAATGTACACTCCCTATTGGTCGATATTCACTTCACTTGTTAAATACTGTACAAATGTTGTTTTCTATTTTATGGTACGATGTGGTTGGGTTGATTGGTATATAAATAGAGTATGTCTGAAATATAATGATTCGTATCTCAGAGGCTAAGACTTGTGTTCTGGACTCAACTTGCTGGGGTAGACAGGGAAGCGGGATCAATCGAGACTCTAGGTCGTTCATTACGTGTTTATGTGTCACTAATCCGATCGATAAATACGCTGCTCCATCTAAACTGCAATCCACACGTTACAACACCTGTCTCTCGAGGATTGAACCCAGTACCTATTGGTTTCGCGTGCGAATGCTTAACATCTAGACAACTGAGCCGGCTTCCGACTCTGTTAATGTCTAACTTCAACTAATCCACGAAATTGAGCGACACATCCACCACTGTCATCAGTGAGTTAATATTTCACAACAGACCTAGTTGAAATCCACTGGTCACAACTTCTCATTAGAACTCCAGGAAATACCTTTTGAAGCTAGTCACTAATGAGCATATGTTAATTAATATCAGAAGGAGTTTTGTGGATATTTTCCATGGTGGTTATCCATAGTTGTCTAGCTTCAATTGATTCATGATCTCAACGAATGAAATTACAAAACCCCTTCATAATTTGTTTATAATTAGTTTAGTATTCTTACCTCGAATAATGCACTTTAATTGAATATTCTGTCCAGGTTGTACTTTTAACACACCTTGATTATTTAATCCGCCAACAGTTACTTCATATCTTGAATGTGTTACTTGGAATAGAAATAGAGAAACAAAGGAGAATCAGGGAATTAATATGAAATGGTATATAAAATATGTATTTATAAAACATATATAAATATGATTCATAAAACTTCAACAAAACTGGATAGATGAACCATTCTGGCTGGTAACTGTTTAGACTATCAAAGTAACATGTAAGGCAAGATCGTGGATGCGCACTACTGAGGAGTCCCACAGTAGGACAAAACGGCCGTCCACTGCTTCCAGGTTTTCCATGGTGATCTAGCTTTAAATGACTAATGAACTCAACTATTAAACTAACCGAGCCAACAGAGATAATTAACTGTGAAAGAATATTATCACAATGAATGTATTTTGTGCATGTTCAATGCATCGATCTAGAAAGATCATTTCCTTAGGAAATAGTCACTGATGTTACTATCCAGAACAACAATAAAAACTCTTCATCTAAATTATTCAGCTCAAAATAACTCTGTGTGATGTACATAGTTATATTATGCTTGCTGTTAACTATAGTTATATGGTTATCCCCGTATAGTTAACGATCAGTTTGCCGAATATTTGGTTCCCACACTCAAATCCATTGATTGTCATCTAACTAATTAAACATAGTTTAACATATTTGGTTTGACGTTACATATTATGTGTAGTAAGTCTTGACTACATTGTGGAGATAGGCGTGACATACTCTTGCTGGCTAACAAATACATTACTACTCACATATTCCTCGTTCTATCTTCGTTTGTGATTGAGTTAACTGAAGTCTAAATCAAATACTATTTACATTTATATACTGTAATTGGAATATATCACATCCTACGTTGGATTATATCACCGGGGAGTTCGTCAACCAGATTGGAATTACCAAGCAATTATAATTGTGGTTTCTTAGTACCAGACCAAAGCCGAACACGCATCAATTTGGTGAACTTAAACAAATTCCACAACCCCTATACTAGTAATCAACATGTGCTCACTAGTGACTAGCTTCGTGAGGGAATTCTCGGAGTTCTAGTGAGAAGCCGTGACCAGTGGAGCTAATCCTTGTCGGGTAGAGACAGGTATCTACCTCAGTACAACGGAAGTTGGTTGCACAATTTCGTGGATTGGTTGATGTAAGAAACTGTCACCATTGGATGCCGGTTCAGTGGTCCAGTTGGTTAAGCGTTCGTGCGCGAGACCGAAGGCGCTGGGTTCGAATCCCGCTCGCGGGATCGTGGGTGCGCACTGCTGAGGAGTCCCACAATTGGACGAAACGGCCGTTCAATGCTTCCAGGTTCTCAATTGTGATGGTCTAACATCAATCGCTTCATGATCTCAATCAAAAACTCAACTTTCTATTGTATTTGTAATAATTAACTTATATATATTAACATTACTATTGATCTTTATTAACTTTGTTGATACTTTTTGCGTTTATATATCGTCTGGTCCACCACAACATAACTAGAGTAAAGTCAGTATGGAATAAGGTTTGAATTGATGACTGAATCAATAAAAGTTGATTTCTTTTCTTCACTAGACCACTAATCTATTGAGACAATGTTCTGATGGTGTATAATTAAAACTTTTTAACTCACCATCTATATAATCTGGCAAGGCTTCTACATCTTTTGGTATATTGACTAAGAAATATGGACTACCATAACGTTGTAAACCTTGATCAGGATATTTATCTGATTTATAATTGATTTCAGCTATACAACGAGCTTGTATACGATTTCTAACATCTTTACCATTCAAATGACTACGTAGTTCATTCAATTTTATTTTACCAGTTTCTGGGTCTATATCAATATTTTTAGCTAATTCCAACGTAGAAGCTGGTAATCCATTCAAACGTATCACTTCTAAGCCATAATTAATTTCTATATCTGTTAGTGTCTCTTCAGTAATTGGTTCATTTGTTGTTTGATCTAAAGAGATTAAGAAATAATAATGATCAGTTCTTTATAAATAAAAAAAGAGCATCTATAATACACTTACTTCTTCAAAATATACTTACTCACTTAGTTACGCCTGTTACTCCTCGTGGAGGAGCAAAGGCAGTCCACAAACGCGCCAACGAGACTAAACAAACCAAAACATTTAAACTCTTTCATTCTATGGTTAAGTTCAAAAGAATACACTGAACATTCGTACTATTATGAATGATATTGTAGTGAACGAGAATACAGTTGGCGACAACTAGATGTATTTGAACACAAATTCTGATAATTATACAGTCAATACTTCATTTGCAAAATGTTAATCAATTGTCTCAAACTTTATTGTTCCTTGTCTCCACAACAATCATTCTCTGTTCTCGTACTCTTTTCGTCGATCTTCTTAGTCTTTTGTGCCAGGCATTTCACTTTTGACTGATGGTTCATACTACTCATATCACAATTGATTGATCACCACCCAGTGATCAGTCAATCGTGATTACATCTCAGTCCTACAGGAGGTTAGTCACGGCTCGGATGGCTCAGTGGTAACATCTCTGACTGTGAAGCTGGGTGACACGAGATCGAATCCGCCAGGGAGCACCAGTTCCTTCAAGATTACAGGTACACCTTAGTGACGAGTGCCAAGTAGCACGAAACCCAGGTCCAGGGTTTCCTGTTGACTACCTCCAACTGCCATCCAAATACTACTCATATCTGTCGACACCAGTAGTATGCACCGCAGCATTATTAAGATATATATCGGTTGACTGTATTACTCTTCTTATAAATTGTAGCATTTCGCCCCTATCAATACATGACGTAATGATACCGCCAATAAGAGAACAATGACTTATCAACCGGACCAATGACACAAAAACCCGTACAAGCAATCTAAACACTTTATCAGTTTTATCTTTCTTCCTAGCTCTGTCCGTTTTCTTCACAACACTAATACCAGCCTCTGCAATATCAATCATGTATTTAAAACATACTGGGTTTATAGACAAACCAAAAAGACCACATCGTACCATAAAATAGGAAACAACGTTTGTACAAGATCTAGTCAAAAGTAGCTGTGAATGTGAGAGACTGTAATTAATAGACCGGTCATAACTCGAGAACGGTAAATCGTCTAATAATATCAGAATGTGTTTTGTGGAGATTTTTAGAAATTTTCACAAATTGAACTCATGAGTCAGTTGAAAGCTAGACCACCATTGAAAACATGGAAGCACTGGACGGCCGTTTCGTCCTGGTATGGGACTCCTCAGGAGTGCGCATCCACGAACCCTCACCACCCGGGGCCCGAGCCCAGGACCTACTGGCTTCGCGCGCGAGCACTTAACCATTAGACCACTGAGCCGGCATCCAGCGGTGTTAATGTCTAACTTCAACCAATCCACGAAGTTGCGCTACCGTACACCATTGTCTTCAGTGAGTTCCTATCTCACAACAGACCTGGTTGAACTCCACTGGTAACGACTTCTCACTAGTGACTGACTTCAGGAGACACTTCTGGAGTTCTAGTGAGAAGTCGTTACCAGTGGAGTTCAACCAGGTCTGTTGTGAGATAGGAACTCACTGAAGACAATGGTGTACGGTAGCGCAACTTCGTGGATTGGTTGAAGTTGGACATTAACACCGCCGGATGCCGGCTCAGTGGTCTAATGGTTAAGTGCTCGCGCGCGAAGCCAGTAGGTCCTGGGCTCGGGCCCCGGGTGGTGAGGGTTCGTGGATGCGCACTCCTGAGGAGTCCCATACCAGGACGAAACGGCCGTCCAGTGCTTCCACGTTTTCAATGGTGGTCTAGCTTCAACTGACTCATGAGTTCAATCTGTGAAAACGTCTAATAATAGTTTATAGGTCAAAATGGAGCTTATAATAAGAGGAACATGAATATGCATAGTTTAGTGACTTATCAGTTATGAAATGAAAATATACGTATAGTAATAGTCCAGAAATAGATCTCAGCAGTTACCATTCAGAATTCTCGTCGAGACATAACACGTGATGGAGCTTTCTAGAATATTAACGTGACATGCTACTATTGAACAATAGCATAACATGCCTCTTTGTAGATCGGCTAAATTATAATGATGTTATAACAAACGCTGCTATCTATAAATATCCAACAAATACTTGCCCAGCATTCTTTTATCTTCTGACTTTGTGACTGTAAAGTTCTATATGTTCGAGTGCCGTAGTTGTATACTGTATTCTACATTAATCAAGTAGCGAACATAACAACTCTAGCCTTCTTAAATGTATAGTGACCTACTTTTATCAAGAGAACGCGATTAGTTTAATGGAAACAATTATTATTATAATCAATTGTACCAGTGATTGTTTTACTAAACTTGCTTGTTTATCTGTACTAAAGACATTCTCCCTTCCTTTGATTGTGACCTTGCACGAATTCGATTACGCTCAGTAACCACACTTGTACTCCTTTGGCACGATCTCGGTATCCTTTCGATACCACGAGGTCGCCAGCAAATACGTCTCGACTACAGTCATTAACTGCCTTCTGATATTTGGCTTACGGAGGATCTTATCGGTTAATTGACACGTAGTCTTCCTGTAGTGGTGATCATAGTCAAACGCGATTCGACGCCACACTACAAATGTATTTCACTACATACTTTTTATATCATGATTCATTTTCAAAAGAAATAAGATTCAATTTTATATGTGAAACTTTACGGACGACGACACTTAGTTGTTTTGAAATGTACATTCCAAATGGGAACATGATTAAAGATTTATGAATATGACAAATAAATTTTGTTCCTTTTTTTGTTCTATGTCTATACATAAACATTGAAGATAATGAATTGTGGTTTATGTAGTTGAATCATCAATCAGATTAGAAACTATGGGACATGTGATAAACTAAAGATTAAAAACACAACTACAATCGGGTAAACATAAATCACTACTATAAATGGGAATAAGAATTAATGGGGTATAATACACTTAAATGTTAAAGTTACTAATATGAGTGATTAAAAAGGCATCAAAACAGGCATGGTATATGAAATGAATATGAAGAAAGCTAAAGTGAATGGGAAGAAATAGGTTTTAGAAACTGTTTATATAAGATAGAATGATGGTTGGAGGTAGTCGACAGGAAACCCTGGACCTGGGTTTTGTGCTCTTTGGCACTCGTTAGCAAGGTGTAACTGTAATATTGAGGGAACTGGTGTTCCCTGGTCACATTGCAACTTGGTCGATAGCATTCGATCTGCACTAAGAAGGATCCGTCAAGGAGTACCAGTTCCCTCAAGATTACAGGTACACCTTGCTGACGAGTGCCAAGTAGCATGAAACCCAGGTGCAGGGTTTCCTGTTGACCACTTCCAACCACAATCTTATCTCAACATAGTGCACGCAGTATCAAGTCACCTAGACTAGTGGCCACATTGCAACTTGGTCGATAGCATTCCATCTGCACTAATAGTAAGGACTTGACACACATGACATTGATCACCACCTAGTGATCAATGAATTGTGACTGCTTGTATAAGCATAAATCTGACTTTACATTGCATATTACTAACGCTTTTGGAATACATAGATGTGTGTGTACTCCTTTAGGTAATATCTGTTCGATTTTATTAGTGATCAAGGATAATGAAACAGATACTGAACGGTCATGGTCAACTGCATTCTACCACTGTCCTGGTCGATATTCTATTATACATGGTGAGATATGTTTCAATAAACGTGTCAACTGCACAGGAATAGCTGAATAAACGAATGACCATTCAATATTTCATGTTCAGCAACTTAGCCTTGTAGCGTCGGTCTCCATATTAAGCATATTTTAGCTTCTGGACAAGCCAATATATTCATTCTTCTTGAGTTACATTTTGACCTTGTTAATTATTCGCTTGTCAAACTTAAATATTATTATATAAGCGTACGTATGGGTATTTCCTATCTTACTCGTCACATGTGTGACTATAAATATTCATTCATGCTTGATTAAATAGAGTTAGCTCACATGCCTTCTCCATTGAGTGTTATTTTGCTTCGCTCATTTCTCTTCGCTTTGTTCCTCTGATTGCCTGACCAGATTGATGAGTGTACAAAATCTACTTATTCAAAACTTCGTTCTCGTACTTGACTTATCTCATTCTGTTATTTAGTAACGCGATTCAAATCGATGATTATATAAGTGGATTGTCGACATGTATATTTCGATAACAATTATTCGTACAATCTACCTAGAATCAGATATTCGAGGGCCAATGAACCCTCATAAAGGTGTGTACTAATGAGAGACTAAGGAAGGACACTCTCAGCTTAGTTGGATGAAATTGTTTTCATAGAGATTTAGACAAATAATCCCATCGAAATTAATTTGTAATATTACCCAGATAAACCAGAAGGTTTCAAATATCAAAAGGGTGATAGAAAAATGAATATGAAGTGTAATCTCAATAAATGTAAGTTGCTCTATAGTTACTGCCGGTCCCAATCGCGGATAACGGAGGAGGGTTGGGTATGGGGTTAGCGACCCAATCCCGTAGAAACCTAACTCACTAAAAAAACACTAACCAGAAAAATAATTCAAACCAAAAACATTTAGAAAATCAAACTCTCTTACTCATTGCAATACAGTTTAATTCTACACTTTCTCCTTTATCAGCTGATAATGCTCCATTCTCATCTAATCCATCAACTTTAATGAAAATATCACTGTCTTTTGTTGTCGCAACTAGAAGAAAGCGAAGCAAATTTATAATGATTAAGATTGATTAGAATTATAATATTAGAACAACAACAACCACTACTACTACTTCTACTACGACTACGACGACTACTAGTGCTAGTACTAAGTAATCGTCTGACTAAACGCTTGAATCGGTTTCTTAAGTTCTTCTAGTAACCCCCAAGTTAAATCTACATGACAACTTGAACACAAGAGAACAGGCGCAAAATGTGAACAGAAAGCTATACTTCAAAGTTAGTTTGTGTGCAGAAAATTGAGGTTCCTCATAGCATTTCAAATAACCTTGAGCTTCCGGAAGTTTCTGGGATCTTATATAATATAGTTGTAGGATAGATGACCATCCAATCAGAAATATGACACATGACGCTTTAATATCTAGATGTTTCTCAGAAACTTCTGTTCATAGCTGATTGAATAAAATATTTCCCGACTTTTTTAAAGAATACTCTGGATCTCGTTAATAACTAAAACCCCTACTATCAAATTAACATTCATACAATTTGTAACTGATAATTCATTCAATTTCATTTCATCTTGGAAAGAACAATAACACACTTCATTTGGAAGTATTGATTGGTTTCATTTGAATCGAACCAAAACTGATGTTATTGTCAGTGCCTGGTAACTATTAATAATGGTAATGTGTGATATGCTACCAACACAGTATTCAAAAGTAACTCTCTCATTATAAGGTTTAAAAGTCTTCCGTTAAACTTCTGGACTGATTGTTTCTGTGAGTAGCTGGTATTACATGAATATCCAACACTTTAATTACAATCATTTGATGATCTTAGTTACATACTTCTGTAAGAATATCTAGTGAAAGGGGAATTCAAACATCTCTTTTGTTCAAAGCTAAATCATGTGTAAACGGTAAAAACACTTACTTGGCTGCATAGGTGCAATAAAATCTCTACGTCCAGTACCATCACTATCAATGATATCGAAACGAAAGTGTGGAGAATAAAATACTTCTTCACTTCGAGATAATTGAGTATCTTCATCAAGTGAGTCTTCCGATGGAACTATTACACGACAACGGCCAAGAATTGATGTTGTTTGTTTTAATCCTTGTAGAATTAATTGATTTTCATTTACTTCTAATCGACTATCTCCTATTCCAATTAATGATGTTGTATCAACTGGTGTACCATCTAAACGACTGAATTCCCAACCGTAAATTACAGATTCTTTTGTATGTTGTTTAGTTGAACGATCTTATCATTGGAAAGAAGTACATATATATAATAAACATGAAACTCAAGGAATTTAGCTACTCATCATCTATTAAATAAGTACGTGAACCAAGCTGAAATCATGAGTTATTTGAAGCTAGACCACCATGGAAAACCTGGAAGCAATGGACGGCCGTTTTGTCCTAGTATGAGACTCCTCAGCAGTGCGCATCCACGATATATAACTGCAATTCTTACCACATAATCTATTACTCGTGGCATCACACTTTTTTCTCCATTACTTCCATTGTTAAAAACGTTCTTGTAAATCATTGGAACTCATACTACATATCTCATTTACCAATGTTTACAATTGACTAATTACTGGATGGTGATCAATGTTAAGTATACCAGATCCTTTTTAGTGAAGATCAAATTCTATCAACCATTTTGCAACGTAGCTTCTAGTCTTTGTGACTCGACATTGCATGAACTATATTGATATAAGATTGTGGTTGGAAATGGCCAACAGGAACCCCGCACCCGGGTTTCATGCTACTTGGCACTCGTCAGCAAGGTGTACCTGTAATCTTGAGGGAACTGGTGCTACCTGACGGATTTGATCCCATGTCACCCAGCTTCAGAGTCAGAGACGTTACCAATGGACTATTCAGGCAATAAGATAGCTCAATGATAACGTCTCTGACTGTGAAACTGGGTGGTACGTGACTGAATCCGTCAGCGAGCATCAGTTCCTTCAATATTACATGTACACTATTCTGACGAGTGTCAAATAGCAAGAAACCTAGTTCTAGGGTTTCCTGTTGACGGCCTCCAATCACCATCTTGTTTACCAACGTTTCATGTTTTATCACCACATCTATTCAATCTGATTATTTGATAAATAAATGCACCATAACAAGATCAGATCAACTTCAGATAATAAACAATACGATTGATCATTTATTTATTTTTATGGCTCATTTCTTATATATACAAACAGTAGTTTCACAATGAACGATAACTTCATATTAGACTATCTTTAGATGAACATCAGTAAGTAGTGAAATTCCTTAAACGTGGCATACAGACTAAATTACGAACAAAAACCATTGCAATTTGTTGAATAATTAACCTTAGTAATGGTATAATTGCACTCAATTAAAACAAATATACTTACCTGTAGCAATACATTCTAATTTTACTGAAGAACCTTCAGTACCTGATAGTCTTCCACGATCATCTAGACCAACGACACTTACAGAAAGACGATTCAATTTTTCTAAAATAAATATACATATAAGAATAACAAAATTGGTTATTTATAAACACTTTTATATTCTAGTCAATTCCGTTTGGAGTCCCTCTGGGAACTACTGCCGGTCCCTAGCCCGGACAAAGAAGGAGGGTCGGGCGTGGGGTTAGCGACCCTATCCCGTAGAAAACTAACTCGCTAAAAAAGGGTTAACCAGAAAAAATTATCCAAACCTTTTAAACCCCGCCCTGGGAATCAGAAGGTCTTCATTTAAAAGATTTATGACGACTCATGATCAAAGCCGAGTTCCTTCGGAAGTCACGGAGTCGATGCCCCTTCTGACAACCAGAGCAACCATTTATTTAGGTACATGGAATGCTCGTACAATGTGGGAGATCGGGAGAGTCCTCCAAATTGCTGCAGTATATTCTAGTCGTTTTTATTATAAAGTGGAGCTCGAAATTAACAAGAATTAGGTAATGTAAATTTTCGATAAATTCTCTTCAGGTTCCACAATTATCTCACATGATTCGAAAAATGACCAGGTTAAGGGCAAAGTATATCGTTAAAAGCATGTGAATTTAGGATTGTGATAAACAATTTAATGAAGTACATCCAGTCATTCAGTTTACATCTTAAGAAGAGAGTGATGGCCGAATAGCCTTTTTGGACGTTCTCTTGACTAAGAGAGCGGATGGGTCATTAAAAAGGATATAGTTGATATAGTTGAACAAGGGCTTAACACCTTGCATAATACTCTCATGGAGAACGGCTACCCTAGAAAGTTTATAATTAAATATATGGTCACGAAGGCGAAAGTAGGCGAAATACAAACGGTGAAAAAGAAATCCCTGTTCATGCGTCTACAATTCAGAGGGGATGAGGCTAGTGAAATACTAACTCAGAGATTACGTAGGACAATACAAAAGTCTTTTAACGCCGGAGAGCTGCGATTAGTATTTTCTACGCGCCCAATGGTTACACCTAAGCTAAAAGATGAATTACCTAGAATGACCACCTCATTTTTTATCTATCAGTTCAACTGCTCCTGTGGAGCGAGTTATATTGATCGGAGTTCTAGGAATTTACATTTTCGTGCTCGTGAACACCTTCCAGCGTGGCTAAACAAGGGTTTGATGAGGAAAGTGAACAGCTCGATATTGACCCATTTAGTACAAACCGGTCATAGTGCTAGTATAAACCAATCTTTTTCAATTATTTATAAGGTAAGTAATTTTTTGCCAAAACTGGTCAGACTGAAAGTCATACAAACGGCTGAAGCAGTGATCATTCGGATGAAGAAATCGGAGCTTTGCGTACAGAAGAAATATATTCAACCACTCCTCCTCCCCTGGTCAACATCTAGGACAATTAATCAGTCAGAATGAGTTTTGTGGAGATTTTAGTAAATTTCACAGGTTGAAATCATGAGTCAGTTGAAGCTAGACCACCATTGAAAACCTGGATTGGTTGAAGTTAGACATTAACACCGTCGGATGCCGGCTCAGTGGTCTAGTGGTTAAGTGCTCGCGCGCGAAGCCAGTAGGTCCTGAGTTCGAATCCCGCAGGTAGCGGGTTCGTGGATGCGCACTGCTGAGGAGTCCCATACTAGGACGGAACGGCCGTCCAGTGCTTCCAGGTTTTCAATGGTGGTCTTGCTTCAACTGACTCATGATTTCAACCTGTGAAATTAATCAGTCGTAATCTTAACTATTGAATGACCTAATTTGACTATGACCTTTCGTAGTCAATTGTAATTGTCCCTGTTATCTTTATTCAGAAATCTTTGTATATAGTTATTATTATTATTCGTATTATTGGTTAAACATCATTAATCTCTCCTATACATGATTCATTCACTTCTCATTCATCCCTCTGTATTACGTCTTACTTATTTGATCGAATTGTAATTGCACTGTTATTTCTGTCTCACCCTATTTGACCCATATTTATTCTGATCATGGATTTTAGCATGTACACTTATGCACATATACGCAGATTCAAGTTAACATTCTATATGAGTCATATTAACATTAACAATTTTCAATGGTTAAGATAATAAGTCCGTTGAAGCTAGACCGCCATGGGAAACCTGGAAGCACTGGACGGCTGTTTCGTCCTATCGTGGGACTCCTCAGCAGTGCGCATCCACGACCTCGCCCCCTGCGAAACCCAAACCCTGGACCTATCGATCTCACACGCGAACGCCTAACCTCTAAATCACTGAGCCGATCGGTTTCCAACGGTGTTAATGTCTAACTTCAACTAATCCACGAAATTCAGGGACACATCCACCATTGTCTTCGGTGAGTTACTATCTCACAACAGAACTGGTTTTCCATGGTGGACTCATGATCTTAACCACTGACATTACTACAATCTCCACAAAACCCATCTGATATTAATTAACAATTTTATTGTATTTTGTTTATCACAATCCTAAATTCACATGCTCTAAACGATGTACTTTCCCCCTTAACCTGGCCATTTTTCGGATTATTAATTTGGATATATGAATTGTAGAACCTGAAGTGAATTTATCGAAAAGAATATTCTTCGTTCAAATATTCGTCTTTTAATCTGATGGGGATCTTTAAACGATTGTAATTTAAAAAAAATCTAACTCACCTCGATCTTTCACATCTTTTACATGATCTACTGGGATTTCTTCTGGATAAACTATTAAATCTACAAGTGTACTATAATATGTAACCCCATCAATATATGATGTAGCTAAACATTGAATACGTGCACTTGGTTGTGGTAGATTTGGTGATGGTCGTGTATCTTCTATAGTCAATACCCCAGTATTACCATTGTTTATTGTATAAGATTGTATTGATTGTCTGGTTAAACCAGCTTCTGGAACTGTTTCTCCATATATACCAAGTAATCTCCAACCAAAATGAAGATTTCCATCAGTCATTTCTTTTCCAGTTACTGTATCTGTTTAAATGAAATAATATAGATGTGACATAAGTATGATCAGAACCAAATCTATCATTATTATTTAGATAATGAAAGTTGTAAAGAGTTTTTAAGACGAGTATTTTACCCAAACTGGGCAGGGTAGATTTGATGAAGATGTGAAGGTGTGGATCCGCAAAGCAAGAGCAGCATATCCACAACTGAAGAACATCTGGAACTCAAAACAACTGTCTGTCAACCAACACCAAGGTCACAATTTTCAATAGAAATGTCAAGACAGTTCTGCTGTATGGGGTGGAAACTTGGAGAAGTACAAAAGCCATCATCCAGAGGGTACAAGTGTTTACACAAAATACTTCATATCCCTTGGTCAGACACACACACACACACTTGGTTTTTGTGCTAAACTCAAAATCCAGTTTTTAATAAGATTGATGAGGATAAACTCTACTATGGTTAGCACTCTGGATCTCTCACGTGGAAGTCAATCATGATGGAGTGCGTGTTTCGTTGTTTGTAGTTTTTTTCCGAAAAAACCACTCCATCATGATATGAACGTTTGAAGTGAAGCGCAGTCAGTCATGATGGAAGAAAAATTACTACGTAGCAAAAGAAATAGGTCCAATTCATACAATAATAGAAATTATTCCAGAATAACTACAAGTATAACCGTAATTACTGATTAAGATAGATTTAGTTAACTTGACAACGTGGAGTTTGCCCCCAGCCAATAAATCTAAGCTTATGGAAGAAAGCTTATAAGGATATAGCCACACTTGATGATTAACTAGTTTATAAATCATAATAAAGAGCTGTTTGTAGCATTATGCAGTAGAAATGGCTCAGTGTAAAAGAAAAAAATATTTTAAGCGCTGTTATTCTAATTTAGATTGTTGCCGCCAAATACCTTGGTACGATCGAGGGTCGAGAGAGTCGACTCACCCTCTCCAAATGCTCATAGATGGCCACGTGTATACGACCACTACCAAGAAAGTCCTACTAACTGTTTTCTCACGGCGGGAGTGTTGTTCACTAAAGTGACAGAACGAAAAACGAATGTCCTGCGCTTTAACCGGTTTAGTGGATATGAAGGATTTACCTAGGGGAGTTAGCGCATATGGGATCCAGGATCCTGAGGGGATAAGTGACGCATGAAACTACTGTTGGTCACGGGCTATCATGGGATTGCATTTCCAAACGTCATCCGATCACCTTGTGGACAGTGGCCTCCTAAGAAAACTAACTGGTTCAGTTTGAGCGCCCAAGCAGTATTCCAACCTTTAGACAAATCAAATGACAAAATGTGGCACATTTATACGTGGTGCCTCCTTCTACTAATGTGGCGAAGTTTAAATTCACTTGGTATTGTTTAATTGAATCTTCCTAAATGATTTTTTGGACCGCAATTGATCAGTCTTTTATTGGCATATGTGCATCTTGTGCATATTGCCTCGATATTTCCTCAATTCGCAAGCATTCTAATCGATGTACCGGCATCTCAGTGTTGATGTTCATTCTGGGACTCATAACATTTGCTCAACTGTTTTATACTCATTTAGAAATGTATCTGATATCTAGTTCATTCTTTCACTATCTCAACTTGATAGTAGTAGGAAATATTTACTCTCTATAACACTTACCATAAGCAGTACAATTTAATTGAACATTTTCACCATCTTTAATTGTAACATGATTAGTTAAATCATTTTTTCCACCAATTTTCAAAGTGATTCTTTCTTCACCATCTGAAAATGAGACAATTTACAAAGATTAATTAAATGATAACTGCTTCTTAATGCATACGTCAAGACCGATAGGTCTTAGTTTCGAATCTTATGAAGTGAGATCGTGGATTTGCACTACTGAGGAGTTCCACGATAGGACGAACCAGCCATCCAATGCTCCCAGGTTTTCCATGATGGTCTAGCTTCAATTGACTCATGATCTCAATTAGTAAAATTACTAATAATTTCCACGAAACCCCTTCTGATATATATTCATTGACTTATGACATTAAAGACTAGACAGCGCTATACACAGAATCTGTATGAAGATTACTAGACAGGAATAATCACATTTGATTAGGAAAAACCATAAAATAGATTCCAAAATTTTCCGGCTGGGTTCAAAGTCATTTATCATACGTAGTTACCTTTCTAAATGAAATTACTAACAATTATAATAACCGAGTTTGTTGAGCAACTAAACAAATCGCTTATATCCATGTATCTAGACAACTTTGAACTTAGATTCAACTGGAAAACGTTGAGATCTTGAATAGAGGGGATTTTAAACGTATCAGAGAATTTCTAGAAGTTTAGAATTCAAATCAATCAGCAATCAACAACCCCATTGTAATCGATCCAATTTATCAACCAAACGGAAAAATCATGGACAACTGTAAGACCATATATCAGATCAAAGGGAGATGCAATCAAATTAATGAGGTAGACAATCATGGGTTAAAGGTCAACAATAACTAATCAAGATCGAGGTCATATGTAGGAAAGTTCGAACAGTTCACTTCTACCTGAAGTTTGTGCTAATGATGTTGTTCAGAAGAACAATGAAAGCTCCACAACCAAACCATCCAACTCACTGAACAGATCTTCTCCTGAGCTACAAACTCAATTTTACAAATTTTAAGGGTTATTTTATCACTTCGCTAAATCACCCTTAATACCACCTTCAGACTTAGTCTTTTAGGGTTTAATTTTCTTCTCAAAGTTCCAAATATTCATGCCTAAAAGACACTTGAAGCGAAACATTGAAACGACGACGATAAACCTGTAGAACATGATCTCTAAAAACTTCCAGGGATATTCTTTTCAAGTATATATGGTGTGTTACCATAAATTGGGAGTATACTGAAGAGGATAGAACTGATATGTCTTAAATTATTCAAAATCAGTTTATTATGACATTTATGTATTTCACAGGTTGAAATCATGAGTCAGTTGAAGCTAGACCACCATTGAAAACCTGGAAGCACTGGACGGCCGTTTCGTCCTAGTATGGGACTCCTCAGCAGTGCGCATCCACGAACCCGCTCCCTGCGGGATTTGAACCCAGGACCTACTGGCTTCGCGCGCAAGCACTTAACCACTAGACCACCGAGCCGGCATCCGACGGTGTTAATGTCCAACTTCAACCAATCCACGAAGTTGCGCCACCGAACACCAATGTCTTCAGTGAGCTGATATCTCACAACAGACCTCACATAAACAGACCTGGCAAAGCCAGTAGGTCCTGGGTTCGAGCCCCGGGTGGTGCGGGTTCGTGGATGCGCACTGCTGAGGAGTCCCATACTGGGACGAAACGGCTGTCCAGTGCTTCCATGTTTTCAATGGTGGTCTAGCTTCAACTGACTCATGATTTCAACCTGTGAAATTTACTAAAATCTCCACAAAACTCATTCTGATAATTTATGTATTTATCATTCCTATTCAATCTTACCTCCACTTATCCATCTTGTTCCACCTGGTTCAATATCTGATGTTTTCACTGGTTCAGCTTTATCACCACCAAATACTCGAAAACTGAAATCTGGTGAAATGTAACGAGCTGTATCATTCGATGCAATACATCGTATTCTTAATTTATTTGCTGTAGGCGATAAACCATGATAATACAATTGATTATTATTCAATTCAATTTGATCAGCAATTAGATTTGGATGAACACGTTCACCATTAATACGTTCCACTTCCCATGTATAAGTTGCATCCGGTAGAATAAACTGTAAGTAACCATCTGGAAACAAAAAAACACATTGAAACCAATGAATTGCATTTTATGCCTTGTTATAGATTTACTGATTAGTTGAGGAATAGTAAGCAATATAATGTCTGTTAATTGAATTCTATCAATCCAATTGAACTATGAACTATTGGATCGTATATATCATGATTTAATCATAGATGACAAGATGCTTTACACTTTTCACCAAAAAAGTATCTAAGTTCTTGAAGAAGATAATGTTCGCGATGAGATCCAAATGTGCTTCGTCTAATGTCACAGGAAGAGATATAATAACTAAGCAATTTGATATAAATCTGATTTCCTATTTTAATCTGATTGATTTTAGCCATCTAACACCCCTCATTTACTGTTGAGAATGGTTTACGATATAACTTGAGGGTTTTTTCACATGAATTACACTTATGATTAAAGGAAATTCAGTTGCTCAATTATAAGCACTTGCATGAACTAGGCATCCCTTTTAATTCCACCTGTAGTTCTTCTAGGGTTACTGTCAATCCCAAGCTTGGGTAAACGATTTTGTTTTATTATTATTTTATTTAATCATATAAACATTGATACAAAGAGGCACCAGTTAGATATGCACCACATAAATCAATTGATTTGTGTAAGGGCTGGAATATCGCCAAGGTGCCCAAACAGAACCAGGCGGTTTCATTAGGGGGCCAAACTCGGAGCCATCGACCTAAAGGTCTGATTCATATTGCAGTAGAGCAACGTAAGGAGATGCATTCCCATGGTAGCCGGCGACAAACAATAGGTTCATACGCCAATTGTTTCATCAGGATACTAGAGCCCATGTGTACCATTGATTTGGAATGAGGATTTTCCAACTCCCCTGGTTGGGTCGTTTATATCCACCAACCTGGTTAAAGTGCCGAACATTCACTTTTCGTCCTCCCAATTACGTAAACAACACCCTGGTTGCGGGAAAGTAGTGGGAAGAACTTCCCTGTTAGTGGTTGTATGCACGTGGTCATATCAGAATATCTGGAGAGGGAGAGCTGACTCTTCCCACTCTCAGCCATACAAGGACGTTTGGGGGCAAGGGTTGAGCATGGAATTAGCAACCTAGTCCCGTAAACGACAAGTCTGCTTTAAAGAAACGATAAACAATCTAATTAAACAATGAATTCATTATTCTAACTCAATGATAATGAACTTACCATATGCATTACATGTAATTGTACCATTAGAACCTTTCTGATTTTCAATTAAACCGGATTCACTCAATTCATTAATACGTACATAGACTTTATGAACTTAAATAACAAGAGATGAAGCAAACAAAGAACATATGAATTAGATGAAGGAAAAAAATTGTTAAATCCAATCTAAACTTTAATATCATTTGAGTTTCATAGGTAAATAGTGTAATGTAAGCTTGTTATTTGGGATGATACTATGAATACGATGGGATAATAACAAATCGAATGTATTCACTTTAAATCGGTAACGTCTCTCTAGTTCTTTGTCTTTTAAATAAATCTATGAATTTTGCATACTTGAACTATTTCTTCATGGATTTTATTCCACCGACCGCGGTTTCTCTTAACGGAACTCCGAGAATTACCTCTGGAAGCTAGTCATTAATGAAGACATGATAAATAACGGTATCAGGCGTGAGACAGTTATCCATTGAAAACAATAAAGGATGGTCGCTCAATACAGTGGATTGGTTGAAGTTAGTCAGTAATACCTGTTGGATGCCGGTTCATTGTTCTAGAGGTTAAGCGTTCGTTCACGAAACCGAGGGGTCCTGGGTTCGAGTCCCGCGTGTAAAATAGTGGATGCAAATTGCTGAGGAGAACCATACTAAGAGGAAACGGTTGTCCGATGCTAACAGGTTTTAAGGTAGTGGTCAGTTCATGATCTTGTAATTCTTGTAATTCTGTGTAAGACTCCATTATGAATATTAGCTAGTTCTAAGAAAACCTGGAGAACTACGAAAGCCATCAACCAGAAAATACAGGTGTTTATTAACAGTTGTCTACGCAAAATAATTCGAATCCGTCAGCCGGACACTGTTAGCAACAACCTACCGAGGGCAAGAACAAACCAGATCTCAGCGGAGGAAGAAATCAAGAAGAAGTGCTGGAAGTGGATAGGACACATATTGGGGAAAGCACCCGACTACGTCACAAGACAAGTCCTCACATGGAATCCTCAAGGCCAAAGGAGAAGAGGAAAACCAAAGAACATATTACGCCGGGAAATGGAGATAGACATGAGAAGAATGAATAAGAATTGGATAGAAATAGAAAAGAAGGCCCAGGACAGAGTGTGTTGTAGAATGCTGGTCGGCGGCCTATGCTCCATTAGGAGTAAGGAAGTAAGGAAGGAAGGAAGTAAAATATTTAGAACTATATAGTATGGTATTCATCATATGCAAATCGTTGTTTAGTGTGACTTGATCTCACAGATCTGTTGTTAAAATAACTGATACTTTAATTTAATAAGTCTTCAGACCGTTTCTAACTAATTTCATCTATATATCTATATGGTATAACCATCAGCTATTGGATATTATGTGTTACAAATCTGAATAAAACGATATTCGTTATTGATAGTTAAAAGGATTTCTCATATTAACTAACTAAATCATTGGGTATCATAAAATGTTATGGTTGTTGCTGTGCTAATGAGGTATAGCAACTTGAACCAATACATATATGTGCCTGGTCCTACGTTGTAACTGACTGACTAATGGAAAAAGCATCTAAGTAATACAAATGAAGACCTTTTTTTGAGTTATATCACTTACGCTCTACTCGAACTTGATCTCTTTCAATTATCTGACCAATAGAATTCAATGCAGTACATTGAAATACACCAGTATGTCTACCTAGAGCATCAAATTGTGGTGAACCAATTGTTGTCCAATAATGACGACCAGAATGTATAATTAAACCTTGCATTGATAACCAATGCGAACTTAAAGAATTACGAGTTCCATTAAATCTATCAATTGACCATTGTAAACCACCTTCTGGTGGAGGATGTCCATAGAATGTACAAATTAACTAAAATAAAGTATTATTAATGTTTCATAGATGTTTTACCATTTATATAATGTTCTTTTGTATAACCCAAAAGACAATAAGTGGATCAAAATGAGCATAAAGATTCAGGTAATCAAAATATAGGAACAAATGACAAAGTTTACATGTTCAGTGTTCATGATAATCATTGTGTATTTAATAGTCGATCAATCAGTCAAAATTGAAATGGGACCTGGCAGAAATGTACTTCAACTCAAGTTATCATACCATATCACTTTGACGGAATAAAGTTACCATAGTAACTAACGAAGGAGTAAACCATAGTGAGAAAGACTAAACGTTGAGGAGCCTTATCGAAAGAGGATTAATTAAATTCGAGCAATAAAATGTTTACAATGATACCAAAACTCAAAACTCAAGAAATGACAGATTTGAATGCATATGAGCCACAGATTCAATTAAGCAACCTGATGGGTCAGTCCAAAAGACACTGACTTCATAGATGGATCTTATGTTTCGATTTGGCCTCCTTAGCTTTATTTCAATCTACACCTACGCTTGCTAACACTACCCATATAGATAGCCGTTGGTTGTGTTTACTTAATACTTACATCAGACACTTGGTCATTGAAGATTTTTAAACAAATACCTCGTGCTTAACCTCAGCAACACACGATCGTCTTACCAATAACGTTGTGAAGTTACCTATGACCAAGTATCTATATCCTCACTGCAAACTACTGAGCAGTATATTCTTTACTTCATGTAAGTTGATTACTATTCACTTACACGTTCATTGATTCCATATCTATAAACCGTTTTGCTCTCTCTTCTTCCATACATTTGATTATGTAACATGTTTACTTTAAACTGTCGGACTTTCTCACAGTAAGAAGGTATTCCACTTTGTATTATTCATAAAAGTTTCTAGTTTGTTTATATGATATCAACATTAATTTAGATCTGATGACAGACTGTTTTGATTTGAAGTCAAATAAAGGCATACTATAGATAAGATTGTTTAAATATATTCCTGATGAATACATAAAATGCTAACAGCATAATATATATATATCCGGTCGCGGCCAAGATAGCTCAGTGGTAACGTCTCTGACTATGAAGCTGGGTGACACGGGATCCAATCCGTCAAGGAGCACTAGTTCCCTTAAGATTACATCTACACCTTACTGATGAGTGCCAAGTAGCACGAAACCCGGGTCCAGGGTTTCCTGTCGACTATAATTTGACTAAGTAGTACTGTGGTGTAATCTACTTATATTCATATAAGTTCACTAATGTACATTAAACGGTGACTACTGATTTTGTGTGCTAACAACTACATGAAAAACAAATCAATATTGGAACTCCTGAGGTTAGTCTTAAAGAATTACGTTTGAAATGTACCATGATTGTCCATTTTGTCTTTGATAACACATATTATAGACAAATTGATGGGATAGCAATGGGTTCACCTCTAGATTCTATCTTTGTGGATTTTCTTCTTGCGAAACTAGAAAACAAACCTCTCAAAGAGGTTATCAAGAAGCTTGACCTCTACTGTCGTTACCTTGATGACACTTTCATTATTGTCGATCAGAACAGTTGGAAAAAAGAACTATTGGAACTATTTAATAACAAACATCCAGCAAAAAAATTTACATGTGAAGAGGAAATACATAATAAACGATATTTCCTTGACGTTTTGTTAAAGAGAAAAGAAAGTGGTTCTATCAGTAGAAGTGTGTATACAGATCGTTCTTCATCAAGCCACTGCACACATTTCTTAAGCTCTGTACGTCTTCGTTATAAGAGAAACTTAGTCAAATGTTTGGCAAATAGAGCTATTGGGATATGCTCAGTCGATACAATTAATAAGGAATTAGATCTCATTTATAATATGTTGATTGAAATGGGTTATCCAAAGGGTTTCCTGAAGAAACACTTGCGTGTAACAAGCAAGAAAATAGCGACATTGACGGCTAATAAGAAACCTCTTTTCTTGAAGCTGCAATTCAATGGAGATGTAGCTAGTGATGTATTATGTGATAGACTGACTAGAACAGAAAAGAGAACATTTAATGCTGACAACTTCTGTCTATCGTATTCAATCCGATCTATGGTGATTCCCCAACTAAAGGATAAGTTACCTGGTTATTACCACTTTTATGTATATTTACGAATACATCTGCTCCTGTGGAGGAAGCTATATTGGACGCACTACCAAGCAACTGTATTCTTCAAACCTTTTAAATCATCAATTCAACTGTGTTAATGGTAGAATTATTATTGCATTTTTAAAAAATTATTATTTAACTTACTTCAAATGGTTGCCCTTGAATAACACGAACATAACGATCACCAGAATCTTGGAATATTTCATTGACATTCGATAATATTCTTACTTCAGGAGTGATTGGTGTTTCATAATCTACAAAAAAGATGAATGTAATTATGTAGTCATGGTTATAATCTAAGTATAGTTTGACAGCTTTATGACTATAAAAGAAAATTAATTAAATCATGTACCGACATCGTGTTGTTTAGCTCACTGTACATTAATTTTATGATGTTATCATTATGAAGTACAGACCTTTGAATCTCCACCTGGAGCCCCTCTGGGGCTTCTGCTAGTTCATTCTGCTCTGAGGTACAAGTCTGAAATGTGTAAATTGGTTACAAATCGATTCGATCATTAATATCTTGAAACTATTAGTTAGTGGGATTACCATTATGGCTAAACGTTAAGTATCAGCTGTAAGAACTTATCAAGTTGATTCAGTAATGAATACTGATCAACTGAATTCTTTGATAAACTTATTACACCCCAAGAAAAGATGGATAGTGGCTACCAGTGGAATCCAGGACGCGCGTTTCGTCCTATATTGGACTCGTCAGATGGATGTACCTTCATCTCAGATTTCATGTTCACTCTGGGACTCGAACCAATTAAGTCAATATCAAGGCAATACACACAGTCTGCACATATGCCAATAAGAAACTTATCAATTGCAATCCTAAACATTGATCGGAAGATTCAAGTAAAATAATACTAAGTGAATTAAACTTCACCCCATTGCACAAGCAAATGGCTATCAGGACTCAGTAACAAAAGTGGATAACGTGATAGCTTTTGAAGCGAACGGAGTGAACATCAACTCTGAGATGCAATTACATCCGGCTGACGAGTTCTGCATAGGACGAAATCCTCGTCTTGGATTCCATTGGTAGCCACTATTCATTTTTTATTATAATACTTGTGAATTAAAACAATATCGCGGAAATACGCACAGTACGCATATATGTCAACAAGACACTGATCAATTGCAGTCCTAAATATCAGTGGCAAGATTCAAGTAAAAGAGTACTTAGTGAATTATTACATCCTAATTCATTAATCATGTTGACTATCTCTTTAACTCTATGGTATGTGAGTTCACTGAATTTGAGTCTGTATCTAAATGATAATATCAATATTTTCTTACAATTACATCTATCTGACGAGGTTCTGTCTTTAGCCACTATTATCATGAATAACATTTGATAGGGTATCAGCCAAAAAGAAACAACCTCTACAGACACATACCTGTCGCTATTAAATCATATGGAATATATACTTGTTTCACTGATGATGAATATGAATTTATTGATCGACATGTATAAATACCAGCATCCATTCTAGGATCAAATTTATCTATTCCATTATGTGTCCATTTTAATACAGCCTTATTAGGAGTTGTTGTTATTTGTGCCTAAATAGATAATAAAAAATGAAAGATGATCATTTCAAAATATTAGAGAAGTACTAAGACAAATAATAACAATGAAATGTTCTTATGTATAGTTAGAATCAACCAGTATAACTTTCTCACAATCATCATATGAATGTATATTTAAGGTGAGACTATCATTTATGAACGAACCAATTAGGTGTAAGATAACAGGTCTCGAATTTTGGAGCGAAATTCATTCATCCATTTGATTAAATTGAGTTTTGGCACTATAACTGATGTTTGTTCGTGATAAAAACTCCAAATACACTTAATTCCTCACAGAGGTTTTTAACCATCATTTGGTCCTAGTTACTAGGTGGGCATTTTCAAGGTCATTTTAATGTTGCTTACCTATTCCTTCGGAGAAAGTAATATCTGACTTACTAATAGATAACTTGAACAAAAATGTTGGTGAGTATTAGATTTTCTTGGTATACATAGAATAAAACGAAGTCTACATTCATTTCTGATAACAGTCATGTGGTACATGAAACTAAACCACTTATAACGAATTTATTCGGTAATCCATCCAATTTTCTTAAAAGGTTTTGATTTTGTTTCTTACATATTACAACAGCTTTATGGATTCGGGTAAATAACCCTAGTAATTCTTTTCTAATGAAGTTTATACCATCCCTACACCTTTATTACACCCTAAAAGAATACTTAATAGACAATTTCACTATTTCGTTTTAAATTGAGACCATGAAACGATTGATGCTAGATCACCATTGTAAACCTGCAGGCACTAGAAGGCTGTTTTTGTCCTGTTGTGGGACTGCTCAGCAGTGCGCATCCACGATCCCACACCCAAGGGATTCAAACACAGGACTTTCAGTCTCCCGCGCGAACGCTTAAACTCTGGACCGCTGAGTAGGCATCCAACGGTGTTAATGTCTAACCTATTGTACTGAGGTGGATACCTGTCTCTACTTGACATGGCTTAGCTTCACTAGTCACGGCTTCTCATCAGAACTCCGAGAATCCCTTCACGAAGCTAGTCACTAGTGAGCACATGGTAATTAGACCACTGAGCCGAGATCCGACGATGTTCATGTCTAACTTCAACCAATCCACGAAATTGAGCGACACATCCACCATTATCTTCAGTGAGTTACTATCTCACAACAGAGGCGTTTGAATTCTACTGGTCGCTGCTTCTCACTAGAACTCCAGGAAATACTATTTGTGGTCAGTCACTGGTGAGCAAATGATGATTATTATCAGAAGTGGTTTTTGTGGATATAATAGTATTTATCATGGGTGCTCACTGTTGAGGAGTCCCACGGTAGGACAAAACGGCCGTTCAGTACTTCTAGGTTTTCCATGGTGATCTAGCTTCAATTGACTTATGATCTCAACTATTATATTATGAATCGTTAAGAAACCCACTCCACTATTCCCACCCCACTAAACTCACAAATTACATTGACTGATTTTGTAGTGTCGGTTACTATGCTAAACCCATATAACTTATTCTAGCTTCTGTACAGGGAAATTTATACATTATTCTTGAGTCATATTTTGATCTTGTTGATTATTCACTTATCCACCCTAGCTGTTTTTTCATATGAGCGTATATGTGTGCACTTCTTATCCTATTCATCACATGTCTGTAACGTATTTTTGTGTGACTATGAATATCGACTAACACTAGATTAAATGGAGTTGAATGACACGCCTTCTCCACCGCGCATCGTTTCGCTTCGCTCTCTCCCTCTCTCTCTCTCTTCTTCCTTTCCCTCGCTACGTCTCTCTGATTGTCTGATTCGATCCAGGTCAAAGAATAAAACTTCATCAAAATAGATTATTTCACTTTTGTATCTCGAAATATCTCGAAACAATTCGAAATTTTATACATTTTGACTTTCTTAGCTAAAATAAACGATTCATAGTGTATCTGGAAGATAATTCAGATAAACGAATGTTAATCCATTTGTAGTGTATTAGGGTTTCGTTCAGTGCATGGAAGGTTACGTGTTTGTCATACATTATCTACCTCTTTCCTAATGCAAAAATAATATATAACTATTTTGATGAAGTTTTGTTCTTTGAGCTGGATGGTTTGCTCGTGCTCAGAGAACGAAACTCCATCAAAATCATCCATCTGAACTACAAATCTTCTCTAACATCTTAATATATAACTATCTTATATTATCGGTTCGAACAAAACATCTCCGAATATAGTTTAAGAGACTCACTTTGATTTGTCATATCATTCAATTTAGTGTTCCGGACAATCAGACAAAACAAGAATCTAATGAGTATAGAATGCTTTGAAGTTTGATTTATTTTGTTCATATCAAATATTAAATGAATCACTTACTGGATGCCCCCAAATGCCCTGATACGACCAAGAGTGGGGAGAGTACGCTCTCCCTATCGAAATGCTCTCACATGACCACGTGCATATAGTCTCTGCCAGGGAAGTCTTTTTCATTGACTTCTCGTGGCGAGGGTGTTGTTTACGAAATTGAAAGGACGAAAAGAGAATGTCCGGCGCTATAACCGGGTTGGTGGATATAGAGAGTTCACCTAGGGGAATTGGAAAACCCTCATTCCAAACCAATGATGCACATTGGCTCCAGTATCCTAAAAGAACAAATGGCGTATGAACCAATCGTTGGTCGTCGGCTACCATGGGACTGCATCTCCTTACGATGCTCCACTGCCTTGTGGATCAAACCTTTAGGTCAAAGGCTCCGAGTGTGGCTCCCTAAGGAAACCACCTGCTTCGGTTTGGGCACTCGGACAGTATCACAGCCCTCACACATATCAAATGAGATTTGTGTGGCGCATATGTAACTGGTGCCTGATAGTACCAGTATTTATGTGTTCAAATAATAATAATTATAATAATACTTACTGGATCAATTGGTTCATCTTGACGGGTCCAAGTTACTTGTGATTCATACTTTTCATTATCATCAATACATTCCACCTTATTTGGATAAGGGGAATTTGGATCAGTATGACTAACAAGTCGAAGTTTAGGAATTTGTTCCACTATAGAATTGAATTCATTGTAAAATTATCAGATGATGAGTAATAAAGATTTGTCATTATAGTAAACAATGAACAATGTCTTAATGAAATCATATTTATGGAAATATGTACATTCAGAAGTACGTTTATGTCATTCAGTACAAAGTTACCCAATACTGTGGATTGATTTCACATAGATAAACATTAAAAACAAGATGGACTGGATTGTTTAGTCGTTATAAGATGCGACCATTCGTCAATATCCCCCCTAAAGATCTTTCAGTATCTCAGAATGTCTGATATTGAAAATATCAAGCTGTAGATATCACCTTGTTGATCTAAATGTAGTTTTCTTGTATTTCACTCCTAAATGACCAACTAAAGGTTTGACACAGTTGACTCCATGAGCCGAAAGCACATTGAACCTGTCATCGGAATATACCTTACTATAAAATCATGAGGTATTTATGTTTTATTCCAAGTTGAATAGCCTAACATTGGTCATGTCATCTGTCTCTAAATGGGGTTTTTCTCTTTCATTCAACACATTAGAATTCGAAATTTTTGACGTTGATTATGAATATTCTACTATGAGAATTAAAATAACTATTGAATAATTGTTGAGATGGCTTACGAGAACTACGACGGAGCCTTCAGAGACCCTAGAGGAGCCGAAGAGTTCCACCAATCAGAACACAATGGATCTTTCTAGTGTCAAAGTGCCATGCTACTATTGGTTCGTAGCATAACGTGTCTCTTCCCGGATTGGTTGAAGTATAATGTTGATACAATAAATGCTAATGTCTATAAACACCCATGATTTTCTGTACATTTTGATTCTTGTCCAACAAACACTTTCCCCAGTTTCCTTCTGTCTTCTTATTTTGTGACTTGGGAGACTATAGTGTTTAAGTGCTCAAGTTATACGTGGTTTATCAAGAATCTAACCTTCTAGATATAACAATAATAAACAGTTATATCTCAGTAAAAATAAAGTTGAATAACTTACAAGTATCACCAGCTAGAACTTCTAATTTCACATAATCAGAATATCCATATGCACCAGTTTTTAAATCGGTTCCTTTACATCGAAATCTAGCTATCCAATTAGGTTGTCTACGTAGACCTGCTATAACCATTGTATCATATAGAGCTTTAGCACCTAACATTGGTAAATCATTTGGTGATGGTTGTGGTCTAGCTCTTTCATTACTATTAGACAATTCTTCTTGAATTGATGTAACTTTTGTCTCCCATGCAATATCAGCTTCTTCTACAGTTTTATTACGCCATGCATCTTATAAATATTATTAAGAAAAATAATTAGATTCAAATAACCGTATTTTCAATAAAGCAACATGATGCAAAATAAATACCAGATTTATTTCTTTAGCAAAGGCTGTAACAGAATGTATCAGTAGGAGAAATAATAGGAATTGAAGAGGTTTTGAGTGCTGTTAGAGGTATAAGAGCAGTTATCTCTTCCACGTTGCTCACACCATGGATAGGTTCTTCTGGAGGTACCTGAAAAGGAAACTGGATTAGAGGTGGTCTTAGTGACCTGAAAGCGTGACCGCAATGCACAAGGGACAACTGCTTGAGGTCGATCACATACAACCGTTTTATGAGTAATTTTTGTGTTAGCTCCATACTTGTTGAGACCTTAACGCCGGAGACGGATATCTGTGCATTTTATAATCAAACTTTTCTAACCCCGACCCTGTTTATGAAAAGGCAGCATCACTGTTATGCTGGTTGTCTGAAGGAAACATCTTACTGCCGTCACACCTCTGTGCAGTCAGTAGTACGACTTCGTCTTCCGACCTTGTGTTTGTTGCTTTTAGTCTTACCGTTCTTCAACCGACCTCTCTGGCATGGTAGGATCTTGAGGAACGATTGTTCCAGCTCGTATAGCTCTATTGGTTCATCACGATAGGCAAGTTCGACCATCACGTCAAGGTAGCGACAACGGTCGGGAACAGAATGTGTGATCTAAAAAATATCACTCCATAGTATTTTGTTGTTATTTCTTGAATGTTTTTAATACTTACTCAGATCTCGTGTAACCGTAGTCTTATATTTCTCAATCCTCTCCGACCGGACCTTTATTAATTGGCTTAGGTGATCTTTTGCCTTCGTTTCGTCTAACTAAACTCAAAATTACAGTGTGGAATGATTAACTATTGTTGTTATTTGACAGTCTGCTGAAAACGGTTAGTATTCTATCAAATTCTTACAGATAGATAATTGATTCCATTTTGTTGAGAATACTTTTATTGATCTCATGGTACTTAACAGTGAGATTTATTAAATATATGTTGCTCTATAATATGTCTCGTACCAGAGGAACTATTGATTGTATTGTGGGAATGGTACTGTTGATGAATGTACCTTATGATACATGTACATGTATATGACACATCAATTGTATGTCTAAGAAAATGAAGAAGGTAGTTCATTTCAAATTAACACTGTAGGTAATACTTCACGGTATTACTATATCAGTCTAGTGATCTGCTGTTAACTAATTTATTCCTTCATTAATTACTTACGCCTGTCACTACCAATAAAGTATAGGCCGTCGACCAGCATTCTCCAACCCACTCTGTCCCATGCCTGCTTTTATAGTTCCATGCAATTGATGCTCATTCTTCTCATGTCTGTCTATCTCCATTTCTCGGCATAATGTGTTCTTTGCTCTCCTACTCATCCTTTGGCCCTGAGAGTTCTATGTGATGGCTTGCCCTGTGACACGGTTCGGTGCTTTCCTCAATTTATGTCCTATCCACTTCCTGCACGTCTTCCTGATTTCTTCCTCCACTGGAATCTGCTTTGTTCTCTCCCATGGTAGGTTGTCTGGTCAACGGGTCCCAAATATTTTGCGTAGAAAGCTGTGAATAAACACTTGTATCTACTGGATGATGGCTTTCGTAGTTCTTCAAGTTTCCATCCCATACAGTAGAATTGTTTTGACATTTGTATTGAAAATTCTGACTTTGGTGTTGGCTGACAGATAGTTGTTTTGAGTTCCATATGTTCTTTAGTTGTAAATATGTTTCTCTTGCTTTGCCGATCCGAGCCCTCATATCTACATCAGATCCACTGTGTTCATCAATAACACTGCTCAGTTATGTAAAGGATTTTACATATTCCAAATCTTTTCCATTAATTGTGATTCGTAGTATAGGGGTTGTGGAGATTGTTAAGTTTTTGATTAAGATCATGAACCGATTGATATTAGACCACCACAATTGAAAACCCGGAAGCATTGAACGGCCGTTTCGTCCTATTGTGGGGCTCCTCAGCAGTGCGCATCCACGATCCCGCGAGCGGGATTCGAACCCGGGGCCTTCGGTCTCGCGCGCGAACGCTTAACCAACTGGACCACTGAGCCGGCATCCAATGGTGATAGTTTTCAACATCAATCAATTCCCGCGAGCGGGATCGTGTATGCGCACTGCTGAGGAGTCCCACAATAGGACGAAACGGCCGTCCAATGCTTCTAGGTTTTCAATTGTGGTGGTCTAACATCAATCGGTTCATGATCTCAATCAAAAAATTGTGATTCGGTTGTTGCATGCTATGTTGTATCGGAGAATCTTGCTTTTCCATTTTTATATATTGAGACCCACTGCTACTGAGGCTGCCGCTACACTGATCCTCTTCTCTTGAATTCGTTGTTGCGTTTACAATAGAAAAGCCGGATCATCTGCGATGTCTAAATCGTGAATAGAATACATTTCTTAAAATCATAACAATATATATATATGATTACATTAATCTGTATACCAATTTTTTCACTTACCTTTAACAATACATTTAATTTGAGCAGTTTTTGTTTCAATGCCAGTAATTATACCTGTAGGATCTTGTCCTTCAATAGAGACTAATACTTTTGGTTCACGTAACCATAAACTAATATGTGGTGAAGAATAATAGGCTTGTGTTGCTTTTTGTATATCTTCTAAACGTACAACACAAAATATATTTAAACCTTGTGGTTTATCAGTTAACTTGGTAAAATATATCCATTCACCTTGAGGACCAGTTGATAAACTATCTGCTAATTGTGTATGTTTTATATCACGTCTTATTCCATTAGGATATTGAACAAACCAATCAATTCTATCTATAGTCACTGGTTTTCTAGTTGTATCTAATCAATGAAAGAATAGAAGAATTCATATGTAAAAAGTAATTATTAAACAATTGGGTATGATATATGCTAGTATTCACAATTGATTGATCACTGGGTGGTGATCAATGTCATGTGTGTCAAGTCCTTATTATTAGTTCAGATCGAATGGTATCGACCATAATGCAATCTGACCACCAGTCTAGGTGACTCGACACTGCATGCACTATTGTGACGTTAGATGGTGGTTGGAGGTAGTCGACAGGAAACCCTGAACCTTTGTTTCGTGCTATTTGGCACTCGTCAGTAAGGTGTACCTGTAATCTTGAGGGAACTGGTGCTCCTCGACAGACTCGATCACGTGTCATCCAGCTTCACAATCAGAGACGTTACCACTGAGCTATCCGGGCCGCGACCGACTTCCTGTAGGACTGAGAGGTTTTCACAATCGACTGATCACTGGGTGGTGACCAATGTCATGTGTATCAAGAACTTATTATTAGTGCTAGTATACGCAATTACAAAGTGTAAGTATATTTTAATCGATGGAAGATTATAATGAAGAATTTAGAGATTAGCAAATTCTTTTCATAACATTCAAGTGCCAAATACATCAGTTGAAAATCTTTTAACATTTTGATGAAATTATGTTGTTTGAGCTGGATGGTTTGATCGTGGAGCTTTGATTGACATCAGAACAATGATGAAAGCTCTACGACCGAATCATCTAGTTCAGAGGGCGAAACTCCATCAACATCGTCCACCTGAACTATAAATCTTCTCCACCATCTTTTCTCATTTTCATGAAACTTTGCTGTTTGAACTGGATGATTCGATTGTGAAGCTTTTAACTTGTGTAATTATCATTTAGATTGAGGAATTGATCATAACTTATAATACTGATTGAATCAGTGATTTCCATCTCATTGAACTATGTTTATCATGTTCACCTTAAGAATAGACGTTGATCGTTTGAATACGTTACTGACTGACTTTTAGGATTCTTATTCCAAAAGCCACAAATAATAAAGTGCAAATTTAGTACTGCCTAATGTTTAGTAGTTCATCTATTGGGACGAAATCTTGATGAAGTGATTACACTAAATGTTCACATAAATCACAAGGTAAGCTCTCACTTGAAATCTTGAAAGGAAGCGGAAAAGAGGAAGGTCGAAGAATACACTACATCAAGAAATAGAAAGATGAATAGCAACTGTAAACAACTGGAAATGATTACCCAGGACAGGGTTGAGTGAAGAATGGTGATGGACGACCTATCCTCGTCCGCGAGGGCTAACAGGCGTAAGTATATATATATATATTCAGTTATAGAGATGAATTAAATGTTAATTCACTTACGTTTAACATCACATGTCAAATTCATATCACTTCCAGTAATACCGACAAGACGATCATTTATAAATGCATCACTCAATATTTTGGCATGAAGTTTTCGTTCATCCTTATGAATAACTAAACAAATATAAATAAACAATATCAGTGGTAGACAGGGTGTTGATTATTGTTTTTATTCTATAGAATAACTGATTTCAAGCTGGATAGAATCAAATCATCATTCATCAGAAACCAAACTCCACTTCTATCTACAATCTTGAGATAGTTAGTTACCTTAATCGTCACAAATATCACTGACATACTCAGACATTCATCGTTTCATATCAACATTATATTAATTATACATACGAATTGTTAGATACAGAGTAGTGGACTAAAATTATTCCTTTCTTGAATAGAACATGGAAATAAGCAAATATGGGTGATGGTTAGCAGTGGAATATAGGACGTGCATTTCATCCTATTTGGGACTCGTCAAATGGATGTACCTGCATTCCAGAGTTGATGATCACTCCAAGACTTGAACTCAGTACTGTTTACTTCAAACGCTATCGCTTTATCCCCTGAGTCCTGATAGTCACCTGCTTGTACAGTGGAGTAAAGTTTAAATTCACTTGGTATTATTTGCTTGTATATTCTCATTATTATTAAGGACTACAACTGAGACAGTCCGCATAGGATGCACATATGTCAGTTCGTGATGTAAACCATCAATCTACTGCCGTTAACAGTAAATCATAATTCCAATTCCTCACATTGGTTTATAACTGGTATTTGGTACTATTTAGTAGGAGAACATTCTCAAGGTCACTCGAATGTCGTCCATAAATTATCATCTCCCCATGTTTTCTTTTAAAATCTAATTGGAATATAAACCCATAGCGTTTAATCGTACAGTATGGTATAGATATTTGGATCAAACGATGAAGTGTACATTGATATTCTACTCAATTATGTGGTATAATTCAGTACTGAATATATTAATTGGATGCCTCATTCAGTCAGCCTCATTAAGAGCTTCGTACGTATGGACATCAGTTCAACTTGTCATACTAAATTAACACATAGATAAAACTGTCTATTCAAATCCCATAGTGGTAGAGGTAGTAAAGGTATAAGCAGTAATCGAAAAGATTAACGTTTGGAGATGTTATTCAAGTCAAATAAATTTGGAAAGAGAAAAAAGACACAAAGAGGATTCAGGAGATTAGAATTTGGGAGAACACAAGGAGTGGATGCACCTACACCATTCCAAACGATTTTGAGCCATGTCATTCAAGGTCTCTAACTATCGGTTGCTATCATCTCGCGGATCCCAAACAGATAGTCTACACCTATCAACATGGCTCAGTTCACTTGTCAGTAACTTCATAAATTTGTGCCATGTTTTTTTGACACCCCTAGGCATTGAATACCTAATTAGCAAATCATCAAAATAATAAACATAAATAAACCTTAACTATTGAATATATTCTTACAATGATGACAGTATATGTTTAAATCCCCCCCCCCGCCATATGAATAATGAGAAACAATATGAACTTACCAGATATTTCGACTGGTTTAGTTCTTTCACCATAGACACATTCAATTTTTTGTCCATCTAAGTTTAAATTAACATGATCTGTTTGTGCTAATGATGAATAAATTCGATGTTCAATTTTTAGATTATTTTCAATATCTGTAGTTGTTCCACGCCAACCATGAAATTCACTTGAAGGTCTAGCTTCAAATACACAATAAATCTAACAATAATGAAAAAAACAACACACACACAATTCAAATGAACTATGTCTGTAGAAGAAAAGAAAAAACAATGAGATTATTCTTCATATAAAATCTCTTCTTCTCATACGTATTACTTCTAAATGAACAATGAACCAATAACCATTAAAGGTACGAGAAGAGAACTTATGGTCATTAAACATTCAATCCGTGAAGCTCACAAATGCTCTGGTATGGCCGAGAGTGAGGAGAATCAGCTCTCCCTCTCGAAATGCTCTCACATGACCATGTGCATACAACCACTGACAGAGAAGTCCTACTCACTGCCTTATCTCAACCAGCGTGTTGTTTACGGAATTGAGGGGATGAATAGCGAATGTCCAGCGATTTAACCAGGTTGGTGGATATGAAGGATCCATCTAGGAGAGTTGTAAATCCCTGATTTCAAAGTAATGGTGCACATTGGCTCCAGTATTCTGATGGAACAAGTGGCGTATGAATCAATCGCTGGTCACCGGCTACCATGAGAATGCATCTCCTGACATTGCTCCATTACCTTGTGGTTCAGGCGTTTAGGGTGTGGCCATCTAAGAAAACCACTCACTTCGGTTTAGGCACCCTGGCATTATCCCAACCGTCACACAAATCCAACGATTTATGTGGTGCATATCGTTTTCATGCCTTCTTGTACCATTGTCTATATGTTTAAATAAATAAATAAATATCCTATCTGTGAAAGTCACTGACACGAATACAGATTACGTTGCTGTTTGCATCTAAGAAGAATCTTTGTTAGTTAATCATCGGGAATATCAAGAAAATATATTTTGATCAATCCATATACTAACAAGTATATTGTCATTTCATATATATATAGAGTTGTGATTTCTGCCTAATAGATTAATAATACAGAGTACTTATAGACTTACACGTAATTGTTCACCTTCAGGAATCATTATTTTTGCGCTTCCATCAAGTTCTGGAACAACATAAGTATCCGGTGAATATATATACAACCGGGTAAATGGATCCTCCGGTACTAAAAAATGTAGTAATAAAAAAGTGAAATGATCTTAAGATGCTTCAATAGTGATTCACATAAATATACAACATTTTTTATTAGTTGTCTACCCTATATGTGAGTTATTGTCATGTTTTATACGTACTCTATTCAGTAGTAGGAGTATTCAAGAATGTAGTCTCACATAAAATATTGATCCGTTGTCAAGATTATTAATATAAGTAATAACTCCCGGGGTTTTGTAGATATTACTAAGAACTCATTAAAGAGTTATTGATAACTCTGCTGATTAAACGCTTAAATCGATTCCGTAAGTTCCTCTAATAAGCCCAGATTAATTGAACATGGCAACTGGAACACGAGAGAAAAGGCATGTCATTTTGGAAAGAACGCTTTACCCTAAGGATAGTTTATGTATAAAAACAAAATTAAGGTATTTATAGCATTTCAGATGGCCTTTTGGCTTCTAGAAGGTTCTGGAACCCTCTTAAAGACAGTAGTTGGATAAGTAATTGTCTAATCAGAAATGTGACACGTGACTCTTCATTTTCTAAATATTTCTGAGACACTTCTATTCAATGCTAATTGAATATAAACTGTTTCCCAGTGTTTTAAGGGCCCTTTTGGGCTTTTTGGGGGATTTTCATAGTCATCCAAATAACTGTGATCTTAAACTGTGACAAATTAAATCTAGTTTCAACTTTGTAAGATTCGCATAACAACAAAACGTTTTTAAGTTAGTTCTAAGGAAGCGGGGTGAGACTATAATACCTTCTTGGTATATACATTTGGCTTAAATTTATTCAAAGAAATATCTTCAAAACTTACATTGAATAGGTACTTTATCACTTGGTAATTTGATAGTTTTTGATCCATTTGTTTCAGTATTATTTACAAAACATGTAAAATAACCATCATCATTAAATGGATCAAATTCACCAATACGTCTCCAATCCATTTCTAATCGACGTATAGGAGGTATATCACCTTTTCGAATAATAAGTTTTTGTTCACTTGAAGTAATTGCATGCTTTAAAAAAAACAATCAACCAAAGCATAATTTATTATATAAACTACGTTAAAGGTATGGTTATAGAACTTTTTTGATAACAAACAAGACTTATGTTCTAGTGTGAAGCAGTGACCAATGGAATCACAATTGATTGATCACCAGGTGATAATCAATGTCATGTGTGTCAAGTCATTCTTTGTGTAGATCGAATGCTATCGACCAAGTTGCAATATAGCCATTAGTCTAGGTGACTCGATACTGCGGGCACTATATATTGTGATCACATGGTGGTTGGAGGTAGTCGACAGGAAACCCTGGACCCGGGTTTCGTGCTACTTGGCACTCGTCAACAAGGTGTACCTGTAATATTCAGGGAACTGGCGCTCCCTGACAGATACGATCCCGTGTCACCCAGCTTCACAATCAGAGACGTTACCATTGATATATCTGGACCGCGACCGGTCGACAGCATTCGATCTGCACTAAAAAGGACTTGACAGATATGAGATTGATCACTACGTAGTGATCAATCAATTGCGATTACATCTCAGTCCTACAGAAGGTCGGTCGCGACCCGGATAGCTCAGTGGTAACTTCGCTGACTATGAAGCTGGATGACACGGGATCTAATCCATCAGGGAGCACCAGTTCCCTTAAGATTACATGTACACCTTGCTGACGAGTGCCAAGTAGCACGTAACCTGGGTTCAGGGTTTCCTGTCAACTACCTACAACTACCGTCCAGTGACCAATTGAGCTCAACCTGGCCTGTTGTGAGATAGTAACTCACTGAAGACAATGGTAGACAGTGGCTCAATTTCATGGATTAGTTGAAGTTAGACATTAATACCGTTGGACTACGACTGGCTCAGTGGTCTTAAGGGGTAAGCATTTGCGCGCGAGACCGATAAATTTTGGATTCGAATCCCTTTCGTGACGAGATCGTGGATGCTCAATGCTGAGGAGTCCTATAGTAGAACGAAACGACTGTTCAGTGCTTCTAGGTTTTCAATAGTGATCTAGCTTCAATAGACTCATGATCTCAACTATTAAAATTACTTATATTACTGCCAAATTATAAGTGATATGTACATTCAAAGGTATTTGTAAAATTACATCATGTATTCTATTTGTTGCCTTTAATAACTTGTTTTTTTCAGATGTTGAAAAACGAGTCATCTAGTCTGTGAATTACTTCCATTGGTGAATACAATCAAAGTGATGAATATAAGTCTGGTTTAGGATTATTAAATAACTTGATTTCAAATATCCAGTCTGTTTTGCTTAAAAGATATTTCCACTGTCATATATGTTTATTAATATGCAATGTTTAAAGGATTCAAAGTCATTTATCTTGAAGATAGTGATCTTTATCATTGTGGTGATGTCAAAATACACTTGGTATTGTTTGCTTGTACCTTCCAATTGTTGTTTACGACTGTAGTTGATCAGTGTCATGTTGGCATATGTGCATCCTGTGCAGACTGCCTTGATATTGTTTTAAATTACAAGCATTATAAGCAAAGATGGATAGTGGCTAGCAGTGGAATCCGTGACGCTCGTTTCGTGTCCCGAATACATACATAAACAGATAGATAGATAGATAGATAGATAGATAGATAGATAGATAGATAGATAGATAGATAGATAGATAGATAGATAGATAGATAGATAGATAGATAGATAGATAGATAGATAGATAGATAGATAGATAGATAGATAGATAGATAGATAGATAGATAGATAGATAGATAGATAGATAGATAGATAGATAGATAGATAGATAGATAGATAGATAGATAGATAGATAGATAGATAGATAGATAGATAGATAGATAGATAGATAGATAGATAGATAGATAGATAGATAGATAGATAGATAGATAGATAGATAGATAGATAGATAGATAGATAGATAGATAGATAGATAGATAGATAGATAGATAGATAGATAGATAGATAGATAGATAGATAGATAGATAGATAGATAGATAGATAGATAGATAGATAGATAGATAGATAGATAGATAGATAGATAGATAGATAGATAGATAGATAGATAGATAGATAGATAGATAGATAGATAGATAGATAGATAGATAGATAGATAGATAGATAGATAGATAGATAGATAGATAGATAGATAGATAGATAGATAGATAGATAGATAGATAGATAGATAGATAGATAGATAGATAGATAGATAGATAGATAGATAGATAGATAGATAGATAGATAGATAGATAGATAGATAGATAGATAGATAGATAGATAGATAGATAGATAGATAGATAGATAGATAGATAGATAGATAGATAGATAGATAGATAGATAGATAGATAGATAGATAGATAGATAGATAGATAGATAGATAGATAGATAGATAGATAGATAGATAGATAGATAGATAGATAGATAGATAGATAGATAGATAGATAGATAGATAGATAGATAGATAGATAGATAGATAATTCAAAACGTAATCATCTAAAAAGGAACTTGGTAGCTTACAGATATCATTTCTTGACTCATTGATGATGAACTAAGATTCACTGATGAATCATATTCCGGATTCAAATCCATACAAACCAATCTTGTTGGAAATGTTGAGTCTGGATTATCATAAATAGGTTTAAGAATAATTCTTGGATCCGGTGATGCTAATTTCCGTGAACAAAAAAAATGAACAATAAATTTAAAAAATCAATAATTATGACATTTTTGGTGACATTCAAGCTAAATATTACATCAAAATGTTTTTCATATGGAGTCATTACGGAGGTTACTTAGAAACAAACTCTCATTAGATGTACAAAGTTGTAACTTTGGTATATGAATGTGATACATCAACGTAAATAACTTCTGTTTTTAATTAGATCGAAATTTATAATAAGGTCTGTCGATACTGAAAGGAGCTAGTCCGTGTCGGGTAGAGACAGGTATTTACCTCAGTACGACATGGAAGATGGTCGCGCAATTTCGTGGATTGGTCGATGCTAGACACTAACACCATTAGATACCGGCTCAGTGGTTCAGTAGGTTCATTGGGTGTGGGATCGTGGATGCGCACTGTTGAGAAGTCCCACAATAGAACGAAACGGCCGTTCAATGCTTCCAGGTTTCCAACGGTGGTCTAACATCAATCAGTTCATCATCTCAATCAGATAGTGAAAGGATAATACATAATCAGAACAAATGAAAGAATTGAACTTATTTTGTCTGCTGTCCATTCCATTAACTGATCCATTGTATAAACAGTAGCTAACTGAGTACGATTGAGTTAAAGTTAGCAATTTGAGTTCTGAGAAACTTCAACAAAACCTATGAAAATCAACGCGTTGAATCTAATTTTAGTCAATTTACATCATCTTTGAGATGGAGTCATTCAGATCCGCTTATATAGTCTATGTTCGTGTATTCACTTAACAAGCAGTATACATTCATTAGTAATGAGGGTTTTAACAGTTTAATGAAGACTGGAAATGTTTGGTTATCTTTAGTTTTAGTACATCAGAAGTCAGATACTTTAACAAGTTATATCCTGAAATCCGACATTAAGTGTAGTAATGTTATGCTAGTGAATATACTGCGATCATCCGTGATGATTGGCCAGATATCCGGCATTAGAATGATCTTCATCAACAGTTTTGGATCCAATAATATAATCATTAACCAAATCGTATTACACCGATAAATTGAACCAATCAAGTTTAAGTTAGTGAAAGATTTTGGTCACTACTATGCGCTTACTCAACCATAGTGTTATACATTCATTCATTACTGTAAGTCGAGTATAAGCTGATATATTGTTCAGTTAACAGTTATATAATCTACCCTTGTGGATCAGGGTAATTTTACATTGGTTTTCAGGAGAACCAGACACCATCCGGACTTTCACGTAAAAACCCAAACAGTACAGCTCAACCCCGTTTAGCAGGGGAACCAGACACCGTACAGGCTTTAACGCTACAATCTGAATAGTACAGCTCAATTCTGCGGCGCAACCACACAGGTACCAACCACCCTGGTGGACCAATTGTTCAGTTAAGGAAACCAATAAATAATAATGTGAACTGTAGATAATGAGTCAATGAAACTCCTATTATCTATTACCAATTACATAATCATACTACCCTTCTGAATGTAGAAATATGGTGCCTCTGTTTATCCCAAAAATATTTAGCACAGTTACTATGGTAGCAAGAATTTTGAAACTTTTGTTTATTTAACAAAAGCATTTTAAGATGAATTTAAATGAATAATTCCACGTAAATAGCGATGACACTGGTTGAAGTTAAAAATTTCTTTCCTGGTATGATTCTAACCAAGATAACTACTTTGAAAATCATCGAAGTATACTCTTAATGAATACTTAGATGTAGTAAAGAATAAGTTGAGTATTTTGATGAAGTTTTGTTCTCTGAGCTGAATGGTTTGGTTGTGGAGCTTTCATCGTTCTTCTGAACGACATCATCAGCACAAACTTCAGATAGAAGTGAAATGTTCGAATTTCTCAGCATGTGGTTCACAACTTGTTCTGTACACCTCGATGTTGATTGGTTCTTGAGCACCACCTGAGCTACATATCTTCTCCACCATCTCAATTAGTGGAGTACTTTTTTATGTTTACTTATCATATCAACTTTGAAAGTATACACAACTATAGGGAAACTACCGCTATCCATAAAAGTCAGTGAATATGATCAGTTATAACAGTCAAGATCGTACTTGTAGAGATCAGTTATATAGTATGCAACATCAGGATGTCAATTAAACTTCATCATGGATAACCAAACGCGCAAATGATCAATTCGGTTTAATCCTGTTCTATTTAAGGCATTGTACATCATCTTTGTTCCTAATTTGTTATAGTCATTTAGTTTATATCATCTTTGTAACATACTTATGTTCTTCAAATGTCTAAATAAATTGTTAATTATATTCTATTCTTATTGGCTAAATAATAATTTGTGAACGAACCAATCAGGTATAAGATAACAGGTCTTGGAATTTGGCGCGAAATATCGCTGATGTCAATCTTGACCTCATCAACTATAAATCATAATTCTAATCCCTCACATTTATTTTATAAACCTCCTTTTGGTCCTAGTTAGTAGGTGAATACTCTGAAGGTCATTTTAGCGTCACTCATACTTACTTACTTACGCCTGTTACTCCTCGTGAAGGAACATAGGCCGCTCACCAGCCTTCTCCATCCAACCCTGTCCTGAGCAATCCTTTCCAGCTCATTCCAGTTATTATTCATCCTTTTCATATCTGATCCTATTTCCCAGTGCAATGTGTTCTTAGGCCTTCCACTTCTCCGCTTTCCTTCATAATTTCATGTTAGGGATTGCCTCATGATGCAGTTTGATGATTCCCTCAATGTATGTCCTATTCGTTTCCATCGTCTTTTCCTAATTTCCTCTTCAGATGGAAGTTGGTTTGTTCTCTCTCACATAAAGCTGTTGCTGATTGTATCCGGCCAATGGATGTTGAGTATCTTGTGTAGACAACCATTTACCAATACTTGTACCTTCTTGATGGTGGTTGTTGTAGTTCTCGAAGTTTCAGCTCCGTACACTGTGACTATATTGACGTTCTTATTGAAGATTCTGACTTTGATATTGAATAACAGATAGTTTTTTGAGTTCCATATGTTCTTTAATTGTAGGAATGCGGCCCTTGCTTTGCCAATCCATGACCTCATATCTGTATCAGATCCTCCTTGATCATCGATGATGCTCCCCAGGTACGTGAAAGATTCTACATCTTCCAGAGTTTCAACATCAAGAGTGATTCCATTGCTGTTCTCCGTTTTGAATTTGAGGACCTGGCTGTCTTTATCTGCATTTGTTCATGTGTATTGGATACGAGGGCTAGGTCATCTGCGAAGTCCAAATCGTCTAATTGATTCTGAACTGTCCATTGTATTCCGTGTTTTCCCTCAGATGTCGAGGTCTTCATAATCCAGTCGACCACCAGAAGAAAGAGGAAGGGGGAGAGTAGACAGCCTTGTCTTACTCCGGTCCTTACTTGGAATGCATCTGTCAGCCGACCTCTGTGCACGACTTTGCACTGTAATCCGTCGTATGAGTTCCGGATAATATTGACAATCTTCTCAGGAACTCCGTAGTGTCGAAGAAGTTTCCATAACGTCCTCCTATCTACATTGTCAAATGCATTTTCGTAATCAGTGAAGTTGATGTATAGTGACGTGTTCCACTCAACTGATTGTTCGACGATCGTCACTCATAGGTTGTCCATAAATTAAAATCTCACCAATGATATACAATTCACAATATGGAATGAGTAAATATTAATTATGTAACTTACATATATTAAATTTAATTTCACCAGTTAAATTACTCATTGGAATTGGTTTACATTGAAATCGTAAATATAAACCACTTGTTAATGGATAATTAACACGGAAATTTTCATTTGATGTACGAATCACTATATGAGAAGATAAGAAGTAAAGTTTAGGTAATTAATGTAAAAGTACTCAACTATTGAAATTATTACAATCTAAACACCCCCCCCTAATCTGTTAATAATTTCATGTGCTCATTAGTGACTGACCTTAAGAGGTAATTTTGGAAATTCCAATGAAGTTCAAAAGGGTCTGTTATGGTATAGTAACTCACTGAAGACAATGATTAATGGCGGTACAATATCGCGGATTCATTGAAGTTAGACATTAAAACCGTTTATTTCTGGCTCAATAGTCTATAGTTTAGGTTCTGGGTTCGAATCCCATGGGTCGACATCGTGAATGCATACTGTTGAGGAGTCACGTACTAGGATAAAACGATCGTCCAATGCTTTCAGGTTTCCTATGGTGGTGTAGCTGCAGTTGACTCATGAACACAACTATTAGAAAAACCCTTTCCGATCATTAATGTGGAGTTTACAGAGACTTCTATTTACTGAAGTAAATAATTCAATGAGACAATAATAACTTAAGAATATTGAGGGTAATCGAGAGGAAATGCTGATACACTTCAATAAGACATAACTGCAATCTTAAATAAATAAGTTCTCCTCATATGATTTGAGGTCACTTTATCATCTAGCTTAACACTTTATGATGTAATTGTCGAACTATTCGATTCCTACAGAAAATTCTAATCCTGTTGTATGTTCAAGAAAAAAAAACAATCGTTACTTATACTAAACCTAATCTGATCATAATGATCTAATGATCCAGTAATGTGATCTATAATCGCTTTGCTTAGACACAATTCAAACTGTTAACCTGTTACATGGATTATGGATATGCTTTTTTTTACTTTATAAGTCATTAAGTGTAGAACCTACGTTTCGAAAGCTAATGACAACCAGGATGTATAACGTTTACGAATGAATGATCATGAATGTTGGAATTGCCATCAGGTATCTATATCAGTAAGTCACGTTGTCCGATACAATATAATCGTTTCAAAGTTTCTATCAATCTTAAATGTTGTTTCAACTAACCAATTGACTTAAGTACGGACTGTAAGATTTTAAAGTGGAAAATAACATACCTTTGTTAGTTATATCAGTGGTTTTGTTTAACTGATAATCAACAATTGTCCAAGTAGGTGTTTCACAATGTTTAGCATCAGGAGTAAAACCTCCAACGATAAAATCCCATGTTGGCGGTTCTTCTTCCTTCTCATCATCGTCATCATCAACTTCAGATTCAATTGGTTCAGCTGCTTCAGCAAGACCTAATTCTGTTTTACTACCACTAGTCATTGGTTGAACACGTATTATTGTTTGAATACGTTTAACTTCAACACCATCTCTATCACGTAAAACAATTCCTTCATAAATTCCTTCATGTTGTTCAGCAGCAGCCCAAATATTCAAATTCGTTTTATCTTGTGATGTACCTTCAGGAAGAGTTGAATCAGAATCTAATATCTTTACGTCATCATCTTTCTTTTCTTTTATTGTTTCAGGAAGTGGTCCAATTTTCTTCCAATTAACACTAATATCTTCTTTACCTGGTTTTGTTCTTACTTGCACAATATATGGTTGCATAAATGGAATAGTTATCTCAGTTGGTGGATTAATAATATCATCTGGGGTAACTAAAATCAATAAAAATGAGAATTACTTCAGTGGAAATATATTGAATAAAGTCAAAAGCCGGAAATAGGTAATATATAGAGTAGATTCTGATAGAACCAATCACTATAATACTGACAGCGTATTTTATGCCTGATGACATGCACATTTGTAACTGTAGTCTGTTAGCTAACATTACCACTGAGCTTGTAAAGTGTTTTCTTTACGTTATATATACATACTTTTTCCAATACTTACTTACTTACTTACGCCTGTTGCTCCTAATGGAGTATAGGCCAGCGACGAGCATTCTCCAACACACTCTGTCCTGGATCTTCTTTTCTAGTTCCATCCAATTCTTGTTCATTGTTCTCATGTCTATTTCCATTTTCCGGAGTAATGTGTTCTTTGGTCTTCCACTTATCCTTTGGCTTTGAGGATTCCATGTGAGGGCTTGTCTTGTGACTCAGTTAGATGCTTTTTTCCAATACAGTTTATCTTGTATATAATTATCAAGGGCATTGATGTTCGCTAATAGAGAAACTCTACTTTGTTCAGCTAACATATCTCTTCTTTATAAATCACTTAATATTTCATTGAAATCATTAACTGATCAATGTTCGACTACAAATGAAAGTCTGGAAGTACTAAATGTCGATTTCATCCTACTATAGGACTCCTTAATAGTATAAATCCACAATCTCACACTCAGAACTCGAACTCAGGATCTTCGGTCTCACGTAGGAACACTTAAATTTTAGACCACTGAAACGGAATTCATCAATGTCAATGTCTAATTTTAATCGATCCATAATCTTGCATAATACATTATTCATTGTATAAGATGGATAATTATATCTTATACCTGATATAACTTAAATTTCACTGATCAAAGCTTCAAGCATTCACAAAATCCTATTACAACGTTCATTTGATGGAACAGAATCGATTTCAGACTTTTTTTCCTCACTTTACTTCTTATACTATTGAATCAAAAGTCTGTTAATTTTTTTTACCAGAGGAGGTTTTGTGGAGATGTTAGGAATTTCATTGATTGAAATCATAAGTCAATTGAAGCTAGACCACTATGGTAAACCTGGAAGCACTGGATAGTCGTTTCGTCCTACTGTGGGACTCCTCAGCAATGCGCATCCACGTGGGGTACGGGATACTAGTAAGAGTTCTATAGTTTCTTGTTATAGATATTCAAAAATGAAGTTGATGGATTTACTTGATTAAACTATTAATTACATATCAATTATACTAAAACTTGTGTTATAGAACAATATAAAAATAATCTACTATAGTTGTCAATATAGAACTTACTTTCATCTGCTTCTGTATCTATAATAACTGGTTCCATCATTCTTGTCCATTGAGGTGTATAAACAGGATCTTTACCTATGAAATAACCTATAATTGAATCATTTCCTAATTTAATTGTTTCATATGGTATTGATAATTGAACTGTAAATGCTCCACGTGCAGTATCTGTAATTTCAGTTTTTCCAGGAATAAGAGTTCCATTAATAGAATACCAAATTGTATGATGAGTATCTAAAATTTCAGGCTAAATTTAAAATAATATAACATGATGTTAATGATAATGAATGAAACATTCTCAATGATTTCTAATATCCAATAATAAAATTAATACTGAAAATATGTATTCAACTATGGTTATAATAAGTCAATACAAGTGAGTGGTTGTCTTGTGATACAGTTGAGTGCTTTCCACAATGTATATCCTGTCCACTTCCATCACTTCTTCTTGATTTCTTCTTCCGCTGGGATCTGGTTTGTTCTCCCCAAAAAGGTTCTTGTTAATAGTGTTCGGTCAACGGATCCAAAGTATTTTGTGTAGACAACTGTTAGTAAACACTTGTATCTTCTGGATGATGGCTTTCGTAGTTCTCCAAGTTTCCTCTCCATACAGTAGAACTGTCTTGACATTTGTATTGAAAATGCTGACCTTGGTGTTGGTTGACAGATAGTTGTTTTGGTTTCCAGACGTTCTTCAATTGTAGATATGCTGCTCTTTCTTTGTCGATCCGTGCCTTTACATTTGCATCAGATCCACCGTGAATACAGTAGAAACATAGAGAACTTCGAAAGCCATCATCTAGTAGATACAAATGTTTATTCACAGTTGTCTACGCAAAACACTTCGGATCCGTTGATTAAACACTATCAGAGGAGGAAGAAATCAGGAAGAAGTGCTGGAAGTGGATAGGATACATATTGAGGAAGGCACCCAACTGCGTCGTAAGACAAACCCTCAATTGGAATCCTCAATGCCAAAGGAGAAGAGGAAGACCAAAGAACATATTACGTTGAGAAAGAGAGACAGAAATGAGAAAAAAATGAATAGCAAATAGATGGAACTAGAAGGCAAGGGCTAGGATAGAGTGGGTCGGAAGTGCTGGTCGACGACCTATACTCCATTAGGAATAACAGGAGCAAGTATGTAAGTCATCTCCAATGAATATGGACTTAAACTCTTACATGAGCAGGCTTATAAACGCAATTCGTTCAACTAGATCTGTTTCCGCCTAACCTCGGTCAACTATGTAAACAAAAACCACAATGAAAAACAGCACCAACACAACTTTCAAAGTTTATTCTAAGAAATAATTATTTAATGCAATGTATGACTGCATTGCAACTCCGTCTGAAGCCCCTCTGTGGCTACTGCCCGTCCCAAGCTTAGATAAAGCAGGAGGGTTAGGTATGGGGTGAGCGGCCCAATCCCGTAGAAAACTAACTCGCTAAAAAAACGCTAACCAGGAAAGAAAATAATTCAAACCATTCAGAATCTGCCCTGGGAGTTAGAAAGTCTACATTTAGAAGAGTTATGACGCCTCATAGTGAAAGCCGAGTTCTTTTGAAAGTCATGAGGCTGATGCCCATCATGACAACCAGACTAGACATTAATTTAGGCATATGCAATGTTCGTACAATGTGGGAAACCGGGAAAGTCATCCACATTGCTGAAGAAATGAAAAGATATAACCTGGAGGTGGTTGGATTCAATGAGACACATTGAACGCAGATTGGACAACAAACACTAACTTAAGGTGAGCTTTTGTTATACTCTGGACATGAATCAGAAAATACTCCACATACACAAGGAGTTGTACTAATGCTAGTTACTTCCATTTTGTTTTCTTTAGGTTTCTGTTCATAATTGTCAATATATTTCTGTGTGTAGTAGCATTCAATACAGATTTAAATCAAATAAAGTCTAGTTCTCACATAAAACTGTCTATTCAATTTGTTATTTTAACACAATAAAAACATTTTTTAATTATCAGTATAGGGGTTGTGGAGATTGTTAAGTTTTGATTGAGATCATGAACCGATTGATGTTAGACCACCATTGAAAACCTGGAAGCACTGGACGACCGTTTCGTCCTATTGTGGGACTCCTCATCAGTGCGCATCCACGATCCCACTCGCGGAATTCGAACCCAGTGCCTCCAGTGTCCTTCATTTATTGAAAAACTTACTTTCACTTGACCACTAATTAGTGTTATTTGTGGATTATCTGGATCTTTTTTTATTTCATAAACTGTTAAAACTGGTGGATCAAGTATTGGCGGTGTAGGTAATGGGAATTTTCGATTGATTTCATCATCTTCAGGTACATCAGGTGGTGATGCAACATCTGTACAAGATAATTAAGATAGAAGAATATAAAACAGTGAAATATTCCATAGTTAACAATAAGAACCAGTAATGTCTAAAAGTGTGAAAATTGATCAGTCTCTTGTTGACATATGTGTATTCTGTTCGGATTGCCTCGATATTGCCTTAAGTCACAAGGATTATAAGGAAAGATGGATAATGGTTAGCAGTGGAATCCAGTTTGACGAGCGTTTCGTCCTATTTGGGACTCGTCATCATCTGGATGTACCTGCATCCCAGAATTAATAATTCCCGGAGTGAACATCAACTCTGAGATGCAGATACATCCAGCTGAAGACGAGTTCCAAATAGGACGAAACGCTCGTCAAACTGAATTCCACTGCTTAAAAGTAATGTTCTCATTTTTATAAAGTTACTGATAGAGAAATGAATAACTCACTTAAAACATAATTGTTGAATTGTAAAGTTTGTTTTGACAATCCTATTTTCATGTTATCTTAATCGAACTGAAGTGTTGTTCTCGCAGGCATTGTTATAGATAACCTATTTCATTTGATTACTGATAAGTATTTATAAATGATCTAACTAGAATTTAAGCCATATCAGCTTCTATCTATTGAATACCTTAAAACAACTGTCACTTTGTTTAATACAAGATCACTGATTAACTAATAACATAAACTGTGAATAGAAGTATTCAATGTTAATATTCACGTAAACTGTATCGAATTCATTTTAATCAGAGAGCATAACCACCATAGAAAACCTGGAAGACCTAGAAGCACGGGATGGCTGTTTCGTCCTGCTGAGGAGCGCGACCGTAGTTGCTACCTTGATGTGATGGTCAGGCTTGCCTATCGTGATGAACCAATAGAGCTATACGAGCTGGAACAACTGTTCCTCAAGGTACTACTATGTCAGACAGGTTGGTTGAAGAACGGTAAGACTAAAAGCAATAAACCCAAGGTCCGAAAGCGAAGTCGTACTACTGACTGTACAGAAGTGTGAAGGCAGTAAGGTGTTTCCTTCAGACAACCAGCATGACAGCGATTTTGCCTTCCCACAAGGAGCAGTGGGGTTACAAAGGTCGACCCTAAAAATGCACATCTTACCTTATCCCACGGATATCCATCTCCGGCGGTAAGGTCTCAACGAGTACGGAGCTAACACAAAAATTACTCATACAAAGGTCGTGTGTGACCGACCTCAGGCAGTTGTCCCTTGGGCACTGCGGTTACGCTCTCAGGTCACTAAGACCACCTCTAATCCAGTTTCCTTTTCAGGTACCTTCAGAAGAACCCTTCCACGGTGTGGGCAACTTGGCAGAAATAACTGCCCTTGTACCTCAAACAGCACTCAAGATCACTGTATTCATATTCAGCCTGCTTAGGAGTCGCATACTAGGACGAAACAGCCCTCATTTGCTTCCAGGTTTTCCATAGTCATCTAGCTTCAATCGACACATGAATTCAACTATTTAGAAATAAAATAATTTCAATAACTTACTAGGATCAATAACTACAACATAAAATGTTTCTTTTACTTCAGTTCCAATTCCTTTTGCAATACATTTATATTCACCAGCATCTTCTGGTTTAGCAAATTTAATTTGTAATAAAGCTTCTGATTGATAAGTAGTCAAATTCTCTTTAGTATTATAATAATTAGGTTTAGTTAAATATTGTCGACTAATAATTGGTTGACTAGCATATTCATTATTTGGTGTAATCCATTCATGTGTTACTAGACCACCACGATAGGATGTAGCTTTACAAATTAAATTAATTGGTTCACGTAATTTGACAATAACACGACGTGATTTAGTATCAATGGTAACAGCTGTAGTTTAGAAGAAGAAAAATAAACGAAAGAATGAACAACAACAATACAAAAAAGGGTAACATTTGTAATATATGTCATGTTTTGTTCTCTGAACTGGTTGATTTGGTTCAGCTCAGAGAACAAAACTCCATCTCAATCATCTAAATGAGCTACAAATCTTCTCTACCATGTCATGTTTGTTTTGATAAACGTATTTATTGAGTTCAAATGATTCGCTTTAACAGTAAGTACTTCGTTATTATTTTAAGTATCTTGATAATGAAGTGAAGGAGAATACAGGTATGGACAACGAAGTGATATTTAGCACAACATTACAGAGTTACGTGGTAAAATAGAAAAATCATACTTTAATACTTAATTTGCAAAATGTTCAATAATTGTCTCGAACTTCATTGTACTTGCATTTCTATACTAATTGCTTTCTATTCTCGTTCTTCCTTTCTTGATCTTCTCAATCTTCTACTGCGAGACATTACATTCCTGATTCGGGTTATATACTACTTATGTCAATATAAGTAGCACACACCACAATAATACACTTCCATAATCATAGATTGCTCAAACTGTCATCTTTATTGATAAAATATTCAAAGAAGGGTATCATTATATTTTACTGAGAGTTTAGTGTATGATTAAGTTGGAAAGAGATTAGAATAGCTAAATGATAAACAAAGTGACTCGGTTTAGGGATATTAGAGAATGTAAACCATGTGGATGATTATTCATGCAGTAATTGTTATTTATACTTGATGACTTGAAATCTCTATCAATGACAGAGATGTATTTATACAGTTTCTTCTTCGTAACCCATGGTTTTGTTCACCTTGTCCAAATTATGCTCTCTTAGTCTAACATTCTGAGTTTAATCGGTACTAATATATTTCTAATGACTCAATTTTCATCTGGTTAATTTTCATTATTTATCATTTATTTATTTGAACACATAGATATTGGTACGAAGAGGCACCGAATACATTTTCACCACACAATTCATTTGATTTATGTGTGAGTTATGATACTACCCGGGTGCCACAACCAAACCGAGTGGTTTTCTTAGTAGGCCACATTCGGAGCATTCGACCTAAAGGTCTAATCTACAATGCAGTGGAGCAACGTTAGAAGATGCAGTCCCATAGTAGCCGGTGTCCAACAATTGATTGATACTCCTGGACCCCGTGTGCACCATTGGTTTGAAATTAGGGCTTTCCAACTTCCCTAGGTAGATCCTCCATATCCACCAACCCAGTTAATGCGCTGGACATTCAGTTTTCGTTCTTTCAATTTCGTAAACCCTGGTTGTGAGAAGGCAGTGAGTAGGTCTTCTCTGTCACTAGCTCTATACCTGTAACCATGTAAAAGCGTTTTGAGAGGTACGGCTAACTCTCCTCACCCTCATTTGTACCAAGGCATTAATAAGGACTAGACAATAATGATAATAGTCAATATAGATTTATGAATAAGAATAAAATGAACACTATATAGATTAACCATAATACCAAAACACTAATTGATACAGATGTGAATCCCACACGATATAACAGTTTCGTAAACATTGCAGGTACACCACTAATGATAAATGATTTCTAGGACAAAAACTAGGTTAAAAGTTTCGTATGATTAAAAGGATAAAGTGATCTGATTCTTTTTTCAACATTATAAATCAACTACACAGTGGCGCTTTAATGTCATTCTCTAAAGTACGTGATGATTATGATGATGATGATGATGAAATTGTTTATTTGACCTGCGACTTGGACATAAATGTCTAATCTATTAACCAACATTACTGATGAGGTGTTCCATACTAGGAAGAAACTGCCATCAAGTGTTTCCACGTTTTCAATAAACGGTCTAACATTGATCAATTCATGATCTCAATCTAAAGTTTACAATCTACATAACCTTATACTATTAATTATAATATGCTCACTAGTGACTAACTTCGAGTGGTCATTCGCTGAGTTCTAATGAGAAGCCATGACTAGTGTCGCAAATCTGTATCGAATGTGAGGCTGTTACCTACGGTAAAGAATATTATTATTTACATTGAATTATATGTAAGATTAACTAACCTTTTTGACATGAATCAAAACGTTTCCCACTGTATATATCATAAATATATTCACCTTCAGAACATCTTAAAAAGGTAATGAAATGGATTACATTATTATGTAATCATCAAGTTGGAAATTTCAAAAAATATAAAAATCATATTACAATAGAATTCTAGAATAGAAAGAACATTCAGTCAAATACAAATATGATTTACATTTGATGATCATTGTTAATCTTGATGATTAACCCTAATCCTTGAATACGGGCTGAATAAAATAGATAAGCTTAGGTTTAATGCTGTTTAACATTAATCAATAAAGCTTATCTGTAAAGATCACGTCGATAATCCTTTACATGAGATTCAATTCAGATTATTTATGAAGCAGATTAGTAACCATATTGAGATTTGATTCATATAATTAAATCAATAATGTTTACTACTACTCTGTGGAACAACTAATATCACATACCCATTACTTATGAATATAAATGTTCGCCTTGGAAACTAAATTCCATATAAAAAGATGTTTCGGAGAGGTCATCATCTAACTGAACTATACATTGGAACTGGGTTCTTTTTATTCCCCATAGCCTTTTTATACATTGGATTTGATGATCAGAATCATTTGGATTGTTACGAATTTCCATACTGTATTATAACTAATAATGGTAAGAACTCGTAACTGTTGTAATTGTTGTACAGAGATGCATAAATGACAACAGCAGCTGATAAATATTCTTAAGTCTTGAATGAACTAAAGATGAAACTATAGATTTCAACGTAAAGATTTTTAGGTAATTCACTTGTTTTGAGATCTAATGGTTCTGAATGTAATCTCAAGTACAGTATCCATTGAGGATTGTTAGGAAGTTGTATACTTGGTAAATACAGTTGCCTACTGTTCCACAGTTTTTAGTGGTACTTAAAATGAAGTCAGTTCGTAATGACTACCATCTGCATAAATAAAAGAAAGATTACACTGGTTGAAATCATGAGTCAATTGAAGCTAGACCACCATGGAAAACCTGGAAGCACTGGACGGTCGTTTCGTCTTAGTATGCGACTCATCAACAGAAAACAAAGACTAGTTTTTTTTCAGAAAACCTATTGGACTCGAAAAACATGACTGTCTTAACTAGTCATGTTTTATTACATTTATCTCAGTATAATTCATAATTCATGTTTAAAACAATTTTTAACAAAATCTTATAACTTACTCTTTACATTTATCACCTAAACAACCTCCACATTGAACATCTTCACCAAGAGGTTCTAAACGAATAACCGTTTGTTTTGATAGATCAGTACAACCCTAAGAAATAAATTGTATAGTTTAAGAATATACACTTGAAGATAGACTTCTACAATGATAGATAATATGATTACAGAGAAATCAGTACTGAAAATGAGAAAAGTTATCTGGGCTACTTGTTCCTACCATCTTGATATCTTAACATGTTATCTGTTTCCTTGTTTGTTCTAACACATCATTAGGCCTATTAGTCTCATAAGGTGTTCAGGTGCGTTTATGAAAAGCTCACGACTTTACGTTGCAAAAGTTATAAAAGTTACAATTGCAGCCCTAAACAACAATGAGAAGTTACAATCAAATAATACCAAGTGAATTTAAACTTCACCCTATTGTACAAGAAGGTGTCTATTGAGACAAAAGAGTTCAATCAGAGACATCGTGGTTGTTTGTAGTGTACATCGAATAGAATACACATGAAGATGTCGATTCCTAAACTGCTAACATCTAACTAGTAATCACTCAATACATTATCGTCAGGATAGATGAAGAAACAACAGAAAGTTGTTGAAATAATTTGTTCCAAGAATTCAATATTGTACCAAAAATATAATATTGAATGAAGTTAATAGTAATAACAACAGTCAGTCAGTCAGTAACAACGTAGAACTACGTACGTGCGTATATCAGTTCGAGTTGCCACACCACATTAACACAGAGATGCAGTGGTCGATTCAAATCCCATAGTGCTAGATGTAGTAATCATTTAAACCATAATCCTATTAAACAACTCATCTTTAGCACGATAGTGCCTAGTAGCGGAATCTATTTTCATGCGTGTTTTGTCTTATTTGGGACTCGTCGTCAGCTAGATGTACCTGTATCCCAGAGTTGAAGTTGGTTCCGAGACTCGAACCCAGTACCGTTTGCTTCAAACACCATCGTGTTATCCACTTAGCTACTGAGTCCTAATAGATACCTTCATGTACAATGGGGTGAAGTTTAAATTCACTTGGTATTGTTTACTTATATCTTCTCATTGTTGTTTAGGGCTGCTATTGATCAATTTCTTGTTGGTATATTCGTTGATATTCATTCGTTAGTACTTTAATAAAGAATGATTTAAACAAAATATCATGAATCCATTTTATTACGTTGGTTTCTCATCATCAGCTTAGTACACTCATGATCTTTCTCTACTACTATTATTGATAACACAGAATTCATTTTATATCAAACATGGAACATTTTATTCAGTCTTCTTCAGATTTAGTTTAGTTCCTCACTATATGACACCTATATACCCTTACATTGTTTCATTTAGACGCTAAACTAACCTTGAAAATGCCCACCTAATAACTAAGACCAAATCAACGTTATAAACTAATGTGAGGGATTAGAATTATGATTTACAGTTTATAGTTAGGGTTAGGGATTAAATTTAAGATTGTCATCACGAACTGACATCAGTTATAATACCACAACTCTATTTAGCCAAATGAATGGAAGAATGCCGCGCCAAAATTCAACACCTGTTATCTTGCACCTGATTGGCTCGTTCATAAATTATAGTCTCGCCGCTGTTTCCCTAACTAATCAACATAAGCCAAACAATAATATAGTTGAATTCTATTCAAGCAGTTGTCGATCAGGTAAAGATTAGTCGTGACTGAACAATAAGTGGAAATAGTCATCTTAACGCATATACACACAATACAAGAGAGTGGATTTTAGATGTAAAATGGTTTTCACTACCATTCAATTATAAGTTCACTTACTGACTACTTTGTAAACTCTCATTCTTATATAATCTAATTCTTGATGGTTGATTAGTTGATTCAGTCAAATATATCATGGAATCAAGCATATTGAACTATTGATTCTATAATTTTTAAGCCAAATCTATTCCCTCTTTATCTATCGTATCATTCCCATTGTAGAATCAATCAATGTCTATTCACTATTTATCTATGGTATCATTACCATTGTAGGATCAATCAATGTCTAATCCCTATTTATCTATCGTATCATGCCTAATGTAGGATCAATCAATGTCTATTCAATATTTCACTATCATATCGTTCCCGATATAGGATCAATGAACTCGATCTTTTCCCATGGTGACAATAAGTAACCCAACAACAACAACAACAACAAAAAAGGATTATTTAGATTCATTTACTTCACAACTTGGTGATAATTCACGTTCATTCGATGAAGTTGATTGATTTGGACAATCACATATTTCAACTGGTGCTTTCGCTAAACCTTGTTCATTAGCAAATAATTGACGTTCATTTGTTTTAATTGGTATACTAACTTGTATTGATATACCAGATAATTTGATATCATTTAATGATTCACTATTTCCACTACTTGTTATAATACCAATATTTGTTGTTGTTATTAAGAATCTTAATAATTGATTTCTTGTTAAACTCATTGGTGTATCATATAATGTTAATGGTGTACCAAAACGCCAACCACCTGGCCACCAATTTTCATGAAATTCTATTTCATAACGTTGGGTTGTTAAATTATATGTTGCTAATGTCCATATACGTCCATAACGAGGTGACTGTAAATGAAAAAAAAATTATTTGGAAATAATCATATAACAATACAATATTACACAAGTTGAAATCATGAACCAATTGAAGCTAGACCACCATGGAAAACCTGGGAGTACTGGACGGCCGTTTCGTCCTAGTATGGGACTCCTCAGCAGTGCGCACCCACGAACCCGCCCCGCGCGGGATTTGAACCCAGGACCTGCTGGCTTCGCGTGAGAGCACTTACCCATTAGACCACTGAGCCGGCATACACTTGGTGGTCTAGCTTCAATTGGCTCATGATTTCAACTTGTGAAATTCACTGAAGAAAAAAACGCTAACCAAGATTAACATAAGATATTCTCCGTACTTGAAAATCAATATGATAATCATTGAAAAAACTTCTGATGTATAAAACACTTATTATATATATGTTTATCATATCTAAGAATTAAGAAGATATCACTAGAATTGAGTTTTCATTAACATCATATTAGACCACCATTGGAAATTTGGAAGTATTGGACTGGATTAATTGAAGTTAAACATTGTTACCATTGAATACCGGCTCAGTGTGTTCTACAGCTTAAGAGTTTGTGTGCAACACTGAAGATTTTCTGTTCGAATACCATGTGTGGGATTGTGGATGATCACTGCTGAAGAATCGAAACACATTTTCCAATACTTCCAGTTTTCCAATGGTAATCCAACATTGATCAATTCATGATCTCAATCAAAATTCAAGATTGATGAATTTAGTTCCATGATTTTGTAAATCTGAAATCAATAAAGCACTTAGTGATAAGTAATAATCACTTTATGAATATAACAATCTTATCTGTCTAACAGGATTGTGTATTTCTCATAAAATGTAAATACATCCATAATATCAGAGGAACCAATTTTGAATTAGTCTTCGTTTTTTAAATACATATAGAGAAAAATTACTATAATATCCACGAAATCCCTTTCTGATTATAATCATCATATACTCACTATTGATTAGCTTCAAAAGGTATATTCGGGAGTTCTAGTGAAAAGATGTGACCAGTGGAGTTTAACCAGGTCTGTTCTAAGATAGGAACTTACTGAAGACAATGGTGGATGTGTCACTCAATTTCGTGGATTAGTTGAAGTTAAACATTAACATGGTTGGATGACGGCCGGTTCAGTGGTCTAGTGGTTAAGCGTTTTCGCGCGAAACTGATATGTCCTGGATTTGAATCTCGCGAGGTGGGATCATGGATGTGCACTGTTAAGGATTCCCTCAATAAGACGAAACGGTCATTAAGTGCTCCCAGTTTTTCTATGGTGGTCTAGCTTCAATTGACTCATGATCTCAACTATTGAAATTTCTACAATCTTCACAAAACCCCTTTTAGTGACATATCCACGATACTATTAAATCTAGATGTTAAATTCTTGATATAACGCATACAACTTGAGCACTCAAATGCTAGAACCCTTCAAGTCATAAATGAGAAGATAGAAGACTAGTGAAAGGGATGCTATTCCAAAACAGTTTCAAATACAGTACCATATTCTTAGGTATTTAGTAAAAACGTAATCATCATTATAATCACCTAATCCACATACAGGGGGTTTTAACATTTGTCCAATAACGAAGTTACATGTAGAGATTCTGTAACGTTCTTCCAAAAGATGATTGGATAGAATATCTTCGACTATTTCTGAGTTTTTTATAGCTTCTTCAAGTTCATCTGTGTGCTGTCCTTACAGTTACTATTACTATTTGTTTTATTAATAATCTGATAAACATGTTTATATTAAAATAAACGTACTATTTATAATGTTCTATGATGATAATGTTTAATCGACTTGGGCATAGAAATGTACTCATATCGGTACAACATAGGGGAAGTCCCATTACCCGTAGTCTGGTCTCATAAGGATCTAGGGGTGACAGTGAGTCATGATCTTAGGACGACGGCCCATTGCCGGGAGGTCGCAGCTAAGGGGTTTCGAACCCTCTGGGCTTTAAAACCGACATTCACTAAGTTTGATACTACCATGTTCAACACAGTATACACATCCTTAGTGAGAACTAAGCTTGAGAACTGTGTTCAGGCTGCAAGACTCTGTTTAAAAGGTGACTCAGACATACTAGAAAAGGTACAGAGGGCAGCTACGCGTGCATTCCAGAACTCCGGGGTTTACCATATAAAGAGCGGCTTGAAAAACTGAACCTCTTCACTCTGTCCTATCTCAGACTAAGGGGAGATCTAATTTTGATGTACAGAATACTGAGAAATGATTTTGGACCTAACTTATTCTCTCTTTTTCCTCCCACTAGATCGGGACATCTCAGAGGACATAGCAGGCGAGTAGAAAAGCCAAGAACGAACAAAATACCCGTGGCATATTGGTTTTAACACCGATTCATCAATACTTGGATTCTGCTGCCCGAAGCAGTGGTGTCCACACCTTCGATTGACAATTTCAAGAGGAGACTGGACACTCACAGAGGCATATTAGAAAAGGAATAACATATGCCGTAGGCCTTCTGTGCTTACTACACAAATCTGAATCTGATATAGATATAAAATTCAGTATATCAGTAAAATAAGTACCCAAAAAAGGAGTGGTAATTACCTCAAGTTCTACAACAACACTTGCTTCACGTTGAGTTAATTCATTTGGATTCAATTTGATAGAATCAATTCTGAATGACATTTTACCGCCATATATATATTTCTATAAATAAAAAAAAGAAGAAGGAAATTAAGCGGATATTGAACATAAGATTCTTATCAGAAGTGGTTTTGTGGAGATTCTAGAAATTTCACTGATTGAAATCATGAGTCAATTGAAGCTAGACAACCGTGGAAGTCCTGGAAACACTGCATAGTCGTTTCGTCCCAGTATGGGACTCCTCAGCAGTGCGTATCCACGGCCTCGCCCCCTGCGAGATTCGAACCCAGGACCTACTGGTTTCGCGCGCGAGCACTTAACCACTAGAACACTGAGCCGGCATCCAAGATTCTTATATTTATAAATGAATTATGAATGAATAAAAGTTTTGTGAAGATTGTAGTAATTTATTAATTGAATTCATGGGAAACCTGAAAGTACTAGATGGTCATTTTATCTTAGTATTGATTAAGCGTTTGAGTGCGAGATTGAAAGTCCTTGGTTTGAGTCCTTTTAGTGTGACATCTTGGATGCGCACTGTTGATGAGTTTCATATAAGGACAAAATGGTCATTAAGTGCTTTCGAATTTTTTGTGATAATCTAGCTTAGATAGATTCATGAATTCAACTATTATAAATAATTATATTTAATGGAAATGTTAGACGCGTTGTAAGTTATTTCCATGATTATAAGCATCAAAGACACAAATAATTTCCATGGTGGTCTAGCTTCAATTGACTCATGATTTCAATCAAAAACTTAACAATCTCCACAACACCTAAACTGATAATTACCATGTGCTCACTAGTGACTAGTTTCGTGAGAAAATTCTCGGAGTTCTGGTAAGAAGTCGTGACCAGTGGAGCTAATCCATGTTGAGTAGAAACAGATATCTACCTCAGTACAATGGAAGATGGTCGCGCATTTTCGTGGATTGGTTGAGGTTAGACATTAACAACACGGGATGCTGGCTCAGTCGTCTAGTTGGTTAAGCGCCTGGCTCGAGACTGATAGGTCCTGGGTTCGAATCTCGCGGGGTGCGGGATCGTGGATGCGCACTGCTGAGGAGTCCCATATTAGGACGAGACGGCAGTCCAGTGCTTCCAGGTTTTCTATGGTGATCTAGCTTCAATTGACTCATGATTTCAATCAAAAACGTAACAACCTTCACAACACCTAAATTGAAAATTATTTATCATTGTCCATATTGACTTACATAAATAGCTACATCATTTTGTGTTAGAGATGATGGTTTAGGTGGAATTAGATTAATACCAAAATGAATTATTCCTTTATTATTTAATGGATATTTAACATAAAAATTATCTAATTCACGTTCAATACGTGGATTTCCATCTGGTGTATATTCATTACGTTGTAATCCACCTATATCGGTTCGTTGACCAAGCCAAACATTAAAACCGAAACCAGCTGAATCCTCCTTGTAACAATATAAATAAATCAATAATTAAATATTATAAATAAAGGAAACAAACAAATAATGATGTATCAATGGATTGGTTAATCAAACTATCTAGCTTAAAAGAATAAGACTCCATCAAAATCATTCACCTAAGATACAAATCTACTCTACCATCTCATGAAAGGTTACTCATCAATTACTGAGATATACTTGTAATATATCCGTTTATCAATTAAGGGACTAGTATACTGAGCGGCAGTTCGTTCTGTCTTACTTTACGGCTGCGAAGCAAGGCCATTAAGAGTAGAAGATATTCGTAAGCTACTAGTATTTGACCACAAATGCCTTAGAAATATTACTCGAATCTACCGGCTAAGTAATAGTGAAGTTAGACTCAGGGTATTAGGGGAATGATGATAAATCCATTGATGAGCTTGTAAATCTTCATCGACTGAGATGGTTAGGACACGTGTTACATATGCCTGAACACCGATTACCACGACGTGCAATACTGACTAATGTTGATGGTTGGGAGAAAGTTAGGGTTGGCCAAACCGAAACGTGACATCAGTCCTTGAAGTCACTAACATCTGGTCTGAGTCATATTGGTAGATACAGACCACTTGGTTCGAGTCCTTGTGAATCTCGTAACCAATGGTTGGGGACTCTTGATGACGTGACTCAGAATCGATCAGAATTGCGTCCTCCTTTAAACTGTGAGATTAAAATTGATTTATATCTTTCGTTCCTTACAGAAACAAATATAATATCTGTCTATCTATCTATAGAAAATGCTATACCGTTGTTATATTCCAGAAATAATGTTCATCTGATAAACGACATGATGATGTTTTCCCAGAACAATAACATTGTAAACATTGTCCCATATAATTGAAATAGCCTTCTTCACATTCATCACATTTTACACCAGTGTATCCAGTCTGATTTTAAAAGAAATAGAAAAGAAATAATGTATTAATGTTAGGAGGAAAGGGATTTTTTTATTACATCATATAATCCTCAATTATATTCTAATGAATATCACTTGAAATTGGATAGGGCATACATTACGAAAATGATCAAACTGCATCACGAAGCAAATGCTAACTTAGAATCCTGAATGGAAACGGAAAAGAAGTAGGCCAAAGGACATACTACGTCGAGAATCGGAAGCAGACATGAAAAGGATGGATAGCAACTGGAAAGGATTGCTTAGGACAGGATTGGATGAAGGGTGCTGGTGGGCGGCCTATTCTTCTTGACGAGAGGTAATAGGCGTAAGGAAAAAAAGATATCACTTCGATTGAAGCCATTCTTGTTTTAATTCACATAACATCATGATACACTAGTGAACCCATTAACGTTTAATATGATTCAATATTGATATGTTAATGATGTATTGAACGGACATTGATTTGTGTCAAATATTTAATCTGTAGTTATTGAAGTCAAGAATATCAAGTCTTGTAGCAATTATAATGATCTTAGACCAATGTTTATGAATTCCTGGGTCCTGGGTTCTACTCCCGTGAGCGAGATCGTAGGTGCGCACTGTTAAGAAGTCCCACAATAGAACGAAACGACCGTTCATTGCTTTCAGGATTTCAATGGTGATCTAACATCAATCGGTTCATGATCTCAATGAACAATAATAATCTCTATAACTTCATACTGAAACTGCTTGGTTGATCTTCTGTTCCAGCATGAAACATAATCGACAAATTGCAACTATGACGTGTATGCAGTTAATTTTATACATTCATATTCTTTAAATTATAATACAATGAATGTATGGTACATTTAGTCCGTCGATAATAACACAAATAAACTAAATTCAATTGAAAATCTGAATTGATTGCATAACACTCCTCAATCTGAATGCTTTAAAAGATGAATAATAATTAAATACAATATAACGTAATAAATAGAGCTACAACATTCCATGACTGAAAGTTTACTGACATAGTACCAAATGACAATTAGCTAAAATAAATATGCTCCTCCACGAGGGGTAACAGCCTTAAGTACGTAAGTAAGTAAGTAAGTAAGTAAGTAAGTAAGTAAGTAAGTAAGTAAGTAAGTAAGTAAGTAAGTAAGTAAGTAAGTAAGTAAGTAAGTAAGTAAGTAAGTAAGTAAGTAAGTAAGTAAGTAAGTAAGTAAGTAAGTAAGTAAGTAAGTAAGTAAGTAAGTAAGTAAGTAAGTAAGTAAGTAAGTAAGTAAGTAAGTAAGTAAGTAAGTAAGTAAGTAAGTAAGTAAGTAAGTAAGTAAGTAAGTAAGTAAGTAAGTAAGTAAGTAAGTAAGTAAGTAAGTAAGTAAGTAAGTAAGTAAGTAAGTAAGTAAGTAAGTAAGTAAGTAAGTAAGTAAGTAAGTAAGTAAGTAAGTAAGTAAGTAAGTAAGTAAGTAAGTAAGTAAGTAAGTAAGTAAGTAAGTAAGTAAGTAAGTAAGTAAGTAAGTAAGTAAGTAAGTAAGTAAGTAAGTAAGTAAGTAAGTAAGTAAGTAAGTAAGTAAGTAAGTAAGTAAGTAAGTAAGTAAGTAAGTAAGTAAGTAAGTAAGTAAGTAAGTAAGTAAGTAAGTAAGTAAGTAAGTAAGTAAGTAAGTAAGTAAGTAAGTAAGTAAGTAAGTAAGTAAGTAAGTAAGTAAGTAAGTAAGTAAGTAAGTAAGTAAGTAAGTAAGTAAGTAAGTAAGTAAGTAAGTAAGTAAGTAAGTAAGTAAGTAAGTAAGTAAGTAAGTAAGTAAGTAAGTAAGTAAGTAAGTAAGTAAGTAAGTAAGTAAGTAAGTAAGTAAGTAAGTAAGTAAGTAAGTAAGTAAGTAAGTAAGTAAGTAAGTAAGTAAGTAAGTAAGTAAGTAAGTAAGTAAGTAAGTAAGTAAGTAAGTAAGTAAGTAAGTAAGTAAGTAAGTAAGTAAGTAAGTAAGTAAGTAAGTAAGTAAGTAAGTAAGTAAGTAAGTAAGTAAGTAAGTAAGTAAGTAAGTAAGTAAGTAAGTAAGTAAGTAAGTAAGTAAGTAAGTAAGTAAGTAAGTAAGTAAGTAAGTAAGTAAGTAAGTAAGTAAGTAAGTAAGTAAGTAAGTAAGTAAGTAAGGAAGTAAGTAAGTAAGGAAGGAAGGAAGGAAGGAAGGAAGGAAGGAAGAAAGGAAGAAAGGAAGGAAGGAAGAAAGGAAGGATAGAAGGAAGAAGGAAAGTAAGGAAGGAAGGATGTATGTATTTACGTAATATACCACGCTTTTACATTAGTTTTGTGCATGTATACAAAATAAATTCAAGTGTTTCTAATGGAATAATTTCAATTTATACGTATCCATAGCAAGGTTGAACTTTATAGTTTCAAATTAATTAGCCACTCTGAAGAAGTGGCTGAGATTAAGTGACGAAACTTTAGAAATGCTCATTGAGAACAATCTGTGTAGAAGTTTATTTAATTGATTGAATCCAACCGATGTGTTATGCGACAAGTTTATTTGTTTTTCAGTCATCTGTTTTTCATCCATCTGATATTAATCAACATATGGTCACTAGTGACTGGCTTCAAGAGGCATATCCTGTAGTTCTAGTGAGAAGCTTTGACCAGTGTAGTTCAACCAGGTCTGTTGTGAGATAGTAACTCACCGAAGACAATGGTGAATGTGTCGCTCAATTTCGTGGGTTAGTTGAAGTTAGACATTAACACCGTTGGATGACGACCTGTTCAGTGGTCTAGTGGTTAAGTGCTCGCGTGCGGGAAACCAGTAGGTCCTGGATTCGAATCACGCAGGGAGCGAGGTGGTGGATGAACATTGCTGGGGAGTCCCACAATAAGACGAGTTGGCCGACCAGTGCTTCTAGGTTTTCCATGGTGGTCTAGCTTCAACTGACTCATGATCTTAACCATTGAAATTACTGTAATATCCACAAAAACCCATCTGATATTAAACAAAATAGTTAAAAATTTTATGATGATAATAGTATTGAAGTATTCTAATTTATATTAACAGAAGGAGTTTTGTAGAGATTTTGGTAATTCCAATAGTTGAAATCATGAGTCCGTTTAAGCTAGACCACTATGGAAGACCTAAAAGCACTGGATGGCCGTTTCGTCCTAGTCTGGGACTCCTCAGTACAAAGGTCAGCGAAGGGATCCCTTTTGAACCTGTTCAATCGTATACATTTATACGTTTTTGTTTGTTAAAGTACTAATTCCGTGAGGAAATTTGAACAAACAATAACTAAGATGACGTAATAGAAAGATTACAGTACTAGATTACGTAATATGAATATTAGAAATAGATTTAGTGAATGTAATAAAATGATTACGATCATTACAATAATTGAAGGTCATTAAAGGTCATAGATGTGTAAAAATGAATAAGGTGATAAGTATATAGGAATAAAATAATGAGAATATAAGACATAAGTAAAGGGGAATGCAGTAATAATAATAATTAAGATCAAGGTAACGATAACGGTAGAACGTACTTCTTTTGTACGTATAGTTCTGGTTTGAACTCATGGATAGTAAGAGCTTCGACTATTTTACTAGGAGTTGGATACAAAGAAATCTCAATAGATTTGAACGAATCATATATACAACCTTAAAATCAGATTGTGGATCTGTAAAGTGATTACAGTCGATTAAGTGTTCAAGTATAGAACTCCTAACTGCTTTCCATTCACCCAAACTGGAACATGTTCTCGTATCCGAGTTGAAAGCCAACGCTGGCTACGGTCAATGTACCTTGCTCCACAAGAGCAGGTGAACTAGTAGATGCACATGGAGATGACCAGACGCGGAAGCTTATCTTTTATGGATACAGAAAATAATTTCCTACTAGTGAAGGTTATTCGCAGTTTTGTTGCATTAAATGCTGTTTTAATTGCTGTCGTTAGGCGATTTTTTATTACGTCTGATGTTCGATCACCTTTAAATTCCAGACTTATATAAAGGTTTTTCTTTGGAACGGAACAACTAGATTTCCTGTCACAACTACTTCTATTCATATTCTTCTCTATGAAACGGTCTGGGTAACTATTTTCCGTCGAGGTTTTCTTGAGGAATGCTAGTTCTTCGTTAATACATTCCGTACTACATATCCGATGTATTCGATGACAAAGAGTGAATGAGATTTTTTTCCTGCTTAAAGGAAGCCAGCTATAAAATTTGGTTAGCGCGCTATTCCATGTTTGTTTTCCAAAAATAGATCTTTTTAAGGAACCATTACTCCTTCTCATCAGACGCACATAGAGAAAAGAGATTGATCGATCTCGTTCACTTTCTAACGTGAAGTCTATGAAAGGGTGGCATGTGTTGAGGGTGTAAGATATCCTCTAATTCAATATTATCGTCACAAACGACAAACATGTCGTCCATGTATCTTACGTATAGATGAAATCGACTAAGCATTGAAATGAACTGGTCCTTTTCCAGTTTTGCCATTCAGATCCCGTCTGTTCAGGTTTCATACATCTCAAAAAAAAACAACTAATCAAATACAGATCTCAATAACAAGAATATTCAAACCTTCATCAACATAACTATAGTATTCTTTTCTAAGATAACTTACTTTACATTGACAATCTCCATTATCTGATGTTAATTGAGTTCCATGATAATGACAATCAATTGGTTGTGCTTTAGTATCACATTTTGCATCAACTGGTAATTCCTCACCACTATCTATTGCTAATTGACAACGATCACAATTAGGATTTATTAATTTATTATCTTCACTTATTCGACATTTACAAAAATAATCATCATCAGCTTGTGGATTAAATTGACATGTCTTGACAACACTAAAAGTAGAATCAAATAAAAGCATCAATAATTAAAAGGTGTTTTATGGTTGAATTCATGAGTTAATTGAAGCTAGAAAATCATAGAGAACCTGGAAGCACTGGATGGTCGTTTCGTTTCACTATGGGAATCCTCAAGAGTGTGCATCCACGATCCTGCCTCACGAGATTCGAACCCAGGACCTTTCAGTCTCGGGCGCGAGCGCTTAACCAGTTGACTATATTTTTAATCAATATTATACTGAGTTTATTCGTCAGTTATTACATTCATTGTCAGATCATAATGGTTGAAACACTGAGGATTTAAATGGAGATAAACTGGTCTAAGTTGTCATTAGCCTAACCTAAAGATAGTTTATATCACTAATTAGATAAACAATGAAGAAAAGAAAAATGGATAGATGTTTTCTTCTCTGATTTTGGAATTCTTTCGTCTTCAGTTATAGGGATAGTAGGTTAGTGGAACTGTGTTAATCCTTATAGATTGTTTTCCAGTGAATGTCTAACTTCTCTTTGAAAATGTTCACTGATGGAGCTGATACCACTTGTTCGGGTAAGGCGTTCCAGTCATTGACCACTCAATGAGAAAAAACTGAACCAACTATAAATGAATTAGATAGTGGTTTTTCAACCTTCTTGCCGTGGCGTCGAAGATTATTAGTGCTGGAAGGAGCAAAAAGACACGACGTACTAACAACCAACTCGGAATTAAAGATACAGAGTGCCAATATGAGGTCATCTCGCGTCCTACGATACAACAAGGGGCAAAGGTTTAGGTGTTTTAAGCGCTCGTCTTAAGGGAGTTTGGAAAGACTTCACTAATTTTTTTCCTACACACTGAACACGCTCAAGCGAGTTAGTATCCTTAATTGAATATGGGTCAACTACCTGGATACAGTACTATAAGTATGGCCTTACGTTAGTGGTCTATAAAACTCGGAACATTTCCTCGTCAAAGCATTTGAATGTTCAGTGAAGTGACAATAGCGCACGAAACCCTTTGGCAGCTTCAGCATTGAATCGCGTAGTTGTTTTCAAGTCGAAACTTACTACTGCCCCTAGTCTTTATGTTCCCATATGCATGGAAGAGATTTACCGCCGATTGTATACTGGTAACTGTTACTGTATCCGATGTGCATAAGTACAGTCTTTCTAGAATTAGTTTCTAAGCCCTAACATTAAGACCATCTAATTAATTCGTCTTGGTAAGCTTGAAGATCCAAATAATAATCACTAGCGACTAGCTTCTAGAAGTAATTATGGGAGTTCTAGAGAGAAGTCGTGACCAATGGAGTTCATCTGTATCGGGTGTGAGATAGTTACTCACTGAAGACAATGGAGGATTGATACGAAATATTGTGGATTGGTTGAGGTCAAACACTAACACCTCTGGATGCTATTCTACAGGTTAAACGTTTGTCCGCAAGATCGAAGTTCCTGGGTTTAATCCCCACTTTTGGGGTCGTGGATGCGCACTGTTGAGAAGTCTCATACTAGGACCAAACGGCTGTTCAGGGCTTCGAGGTTTCCAGTGGTGGTCTAACATAGATCAGTTCACAATCTCAATTAAATTGTACCAGAAGTATGACAATTGTTCAACCATGACTTTAGAAAATGATTGGATGGTATTATGAATTGACTTAATTTTGATTTGTAAATCATTTCGTTTCAATTTGAGATTGATATGACGGGATGGAAAGGTAAATTATATTGTTTTAAGTACAATTAATAAGCCACGTGGATATAACAGAAATGGATTAAATTATCGTGTTATTAACACTTTGGATGAAATTTGATTAGTCTTGGTTGGTATATGTGTCATAGATTTTCCTACTAGTGGCATTTCATCACTTCTATGATAAACTACTTTAAGTTCCCTCAAGAGTCTAAAGCTTTTGCGTTTGCTGAGATAAATGAAAGCCTTGGGTTTACTCCACATCGAGATCGTTGATTCATGGTGTTAGGGATTCTCACACAACGTTAGGTCATTTGAGGTAGTCCACAGAGACTCCTAGATCTAGTTTTCATACCATTTGCTACTAATCAACATGGTGTATTTGCCATCTTAAAGGAACTAGTACATTCTGGTATATTCAATCTCGTGTAATCTAACTTTACAGCTCGAGACGTTACTACTGAACTATTCGGATCACGAATCATCTCCTATAGAACTGAGTTCCATACTTAGACAAAACAGTTGTAGAGTACTTACTGCTTTCAATGGTTATCTAGCTAAAGTCAGTCTGTGATGTAAGCTACAAAATGAAATTTTTCCCATATATATTAATTGGAACTTCAATAAAGTGTGGGAAATCAAAGGATTATGATCCTTGGATTTATGTTGGTCGACAAAGCATGGCGTTCCATGACATACCTAAGTAAATAACATTTAACCAAAATGAAGGATTTTACTCTTAAATGCACATAAAATACTGAAAATGGATATGTATTTAAAATTGATTAATCACTAGGTGGTGCTCAATGTCATGTATATCATGTCCTTCTTAGTGAAGTTCAAATCCTATCGACCAAGTTGCAATGTGACCAGTAGTCTATGTAACACAACCTTGCGTGTACTATATTGAGAAAAGTTACTAGTTGAAGGTAGTCAACAGCATAGCTCAGTGTTAATATCACTGACTGTGAAGCTGGATGACACAGGATCTAATTCGTCAGGGAGCATCAAGTCCTTCACGATTACAGTAGCATGAAACCTAGGTCCTATATTTCCATCTTATGAATATATAACATAAGGAGAAATACTGATTACATAATCCTTTTTCTAATTATTTGGAAATTGTAAACATGTGGTATCTAAATTATTCAACATCTGTTAGTAAAATCCCTATTAAAATTACCCACTTATAACTACTTAGGGATAGAATTATTAGTTTCTAAGTTAATTTAATTTTGAATTTATATCCATGTACATAAACTTCTTCAGTAATTGTATATACATACAATGAAATTAGTAGGAGACGGGGGGAGGAGTCAGTTAATTTACAGACAAATTAAAACAAAGTAACTTATCACCTAAGTCCCCCCTTACATAAACATTGTTTGTTGCTACCCTACTTATAAAAAAAAGAGATACAGTTTAAAAACAGTTTCTCATCATTTCCTTTTTATGGAAATTGATTTTAATTATTAAATAAATATGGGAAAGAAATCATGGAATTGTTTTACTCCATTTGATTTAACTTATATTTCCCATATGGAAATAATAAGACAAAATTCCATTCAATTGGTGTTGTTGTTTTTTTTACCTTGTTTCTTCCCATTGCTATTTAGAACTGTAATTTACCAGTCTCTTGTTCGCATATATAGATTCTGTGCGGACTAGTTTGATATTGTTCGAAGTCACAAGCTTTATAAGTAAAGATAGATAATGACTAGTAGTCGAATCCAGTTTGATGCGCATTCCGTCCCAATTTTTTTGAGACTCGTCGTCAGCTGGATATACCTGTATCCCAGAGTTGATGTTCACTTCGGGGACTTGATTCCAGTACTGGTTGCTTCAAACACTATTGCGTTATCCACTTAGCTACTGAGTCCTGATAGCCACCTGCTTGTGAAATGGGGTGAAGTTATATTCAATTGATGTTGTTGAACAATGACAAAATCTATGTTTGTTTGTGTGTGCATAGTGTATGTATGTATTGTATGTGTATGTGTGTGTGTGTGTCTGAATGAATTATTAACATGTGAATTTCTATGGGGAAAACAAATTATTTACAGTCATAAAAATGTCAATGATTAAATATGTAAATGAGTTGGGGTTTTACATTAAACTAGTTTATAGAATATCTTTTATTGAAGTAATTTAGTTTATGGAGACATACTTGCCGTCGTCAATTGATTAGTCTTCAACCTAAGGGGGAAATTTCCTGCTTAATATCAAGTCTACTATTGTAATGAACGAGAACACACAAGTGGGGACAATCGATTGTATTCGAATACGAAGTTGCACAACGTCTCAGTAAAATCTGAGTATCGTCTCAGACTTGATTGTCCCTTCATTTCCACACTAACCATTCTTTGTTCTCGTTCTCTTTTCTTTGATCTTCTTAACCTTCTGTCTCCAAGAATTTCACTTTTGATTGATGATACATACTACTTATATTATCTGTCGACATCAGTAGCCCAAACCAAACTATCAAAATGTGAAAAATCTCGCAGTGGACGTGGTCGTGGATGCGCATTGCTGATGAGTCCCATATTAGGACGAAACCGTCGTCCAGTGCTTCCAGGTTTCCCATGGTGGTCATCCACGATCCTCCCTCACGAGATTCGAACACAGGACCTATCAGTCTCACGTGCGAGCGCCTAACTACTGAACCATTGAGCCGGTTATCATCTTACGGTTTTAATGTTTAATACAGTATTCAATTAAAAGTGAATAACATAACATTCAATGATCCTAGATTACAAATCAAATAACCTATGAGAATAACAAATAACTTACTATGGTAAATTATTTCCGCACATATCACATGGTTGACAATCTGTTATTAATAAACTTTTATCTGGTCTATAATAACCATCTTTACATTGTTGACATCTTGGTCCAGCACGTTTTCCTGGACATTCAATACAATTTCCATCAGTATCACATTTATCACAAGCACAATATGGTCGACATTTTAATGGATTATCAGGATCTTTTTGATAACCCGGTGCACATTTCTATAAATATTAGATAAATGAAAATAGTTGTGATTATTTTAAAGAGTTTTCAAAAGAGACATGATTGAGAAGTTACAATGATGTTTGCCAGTGTACCGAATCAAATGTTTTAGTTGAGATGAAAACTATCAATATGATCATCCTTTGAACCAAGTCGTTCCTATAAGTAATTGGCCGCCTGGAGTCCATCTAGGGTTACTGCCGGTCCCAAGCCCGGATAAAAGAGGAGGGTTGGACATGGGGTTAGCGAGCCCATCCCGTAGAAAATTAACTTGCTAAAAAATGCTTGAATTGTGAATAACCTCATAATCTGATATATCGGCTTCGTTTATGGTATTAAGAAAACTGAAGAACAAACACTCATTTATTTTAAAATGTACCTGTTATAACGGTCAGTATTCCATGTCTACACAAATGAGACATTAATTTACCTTAGACGAATATCTACACTAGATCACTAGGTCAACAAGAACCAATCAACACCGAGGTCTACAGCACAAGCTATGAACCATATATAGAGAAATTCGAACGCTTCACTTCTGTCTGAAGTTTTCTGCTGATTATGTCATTCAGAAGAATAATGAAAGCTTCACAACCAAACCATCTAGCTCAGAGAACAAAACTCCGTCAACACTAGATTCCCTCTCAATGTCTATTCTACAGGACTTTAACACAAATTCAATCAAGAACATTTGATTAGCCTGAGTAGAATGTAAATAGACTTCCACACCGAAAACCGACACAAATCATGGCACAATCCACAATCAATAATAATAACATAAGGATATGAGAATATGTAACTCATCTAACGGCTGTCAGACTAAGCAAACAATTAATCATTATCATCCTCAGCAGGGGTTTGTGGAGATTCTAGAAATTTCACAAATTGAAATCATGAGTCGATTGAAACTAGACCACTATGGAAAACCTGGAAGCACTGGACGGCCGTTTCGTCCTAGTACAGGACTTCTCAGCAGTGCGCATCCACGATCCCGCACCCCGCGGGATTCATTCTCGCCCACATATCAGAACTTAAATTATCAACAATATATACCTGATTTAAAACAAAACAATAACGTAAAGCATCTGTTACGTGATCCTACTTTACTGGAGATGAAAACACAGACCACTAAATTACATTTAAGTAGTTTAGAGATCAGAGTTTCAAGTCAAGATATAAAAGTCTAAGTTTCGATCTCTAATGAGCTTGTGAATGTTTAGTGTTGGGGAGTTGGGTACTAGGACAATACAATGCTTTCAAATATTAAATGATTTCTGTCATGATAGAAATCGGAATGTTTCGGTTAACTAATCTTCATGGTCTACTTAACTTTAATAACGTTTCCTGTAAATAAGCGTTTGAATCAGTAATATAGGACTATTGTTACGGTTCCTGAATCGCAATCTTGATTTAAATACACATAATTATTTATGATGGTGGGATCCAAGAAAATTCCTTGAAAACGAATCTGAAAACGCTGAGACGTTTTTTGTCAGAAACATATAGATTGTGACAAATCACATATCGCATTTCTCATTGGATAATTACTTATACTGGTATTATGTTTAGTAGCATTCCAGAATTTCCTAGAAGACTAAGGTCATCTAAAATGATATAAATACCCTAGAATTTCTGTACATAAATGAACCTTTAGAGTTAAGCGTTTTCCTTTATATTTCACACCATTTTCTCTCATGTTCGAGTTACTGTGTAGATTTAACCTGGTGGGGGTTGCCAGAACAGCTTAGGAAACTGAATCTATCGTTCAATTAGAATATATATATACCTGTGAAGCATCATCGATCAACAAGGAGGATGAGATACAGATGTAAAGGCGAGAATTAGAAAAGCAAGGGCCGCATTTCTACAGTTGAACAACATATGAAACTCAAAACAACTTTCAACCAATACAAAAGTGAGAATTTTCAATACGAATGTCAAGGCAGTTCTACTGTATGGAGCTGAAACTTCGAGAACTACGACAACCACCATCAAGAAGGTGCAAGTATTCATAAATAGCTGTCTACACAAGATACTCAACATCGATTGGCCGGGTACCATCAGCAACAAACATCCTTCTGTGAGAGAGAACAAATCAGCTTCCAGCCGAAGAAGAAATCAGGAAAAGACAATGGAAATGGATAGGACATACATTACGCAAATCGTCAAACTGCATCACGAGACAATCCCTAACTTGGAATCTTGAAGGGAAGCGAAAAAGAGGAAGGTCAAAGAACACATTACGTTGGGAAATAGGATCAGATATGAAAAGGATGAATAACAAGTGGAAAGTGCTGGAAAAGAATTGCTTAGGACAGGGTTGGACGGAGAATGCTGGTGGTCGGCCTATGTTCCTCCACAAGGAATAACAGGCGTAAGTAAGTAAGTGATATATATATATATGTATATATATAAATTAGATAACATACCTCACATGAAAGACCTTCATAACCATGTGGACATATACATTCTTCAATTTCTCCTACCCATTGTCCTGGTACATCTGATTTAATAGCATGTTCAACTTTTATATTAAATAATTCTAATGTAGTTTGATCTTGAAAATATTTTACACGTAAACTAATTTTTTTCACATTACTTAATACTTGCATAAAACCAGATCGACCAATGGTTTGTTCAATTGTATGTTTACATTTATTATCAATATACCATTTATCACGTTCAGTTAATCGTATATGAATTCGATTATCATAACCAGTTGGTATAGCATGAACTAATAAACGATCATTTGGTGGACACCAATAAATTGATCGATCTGTTGACTATATAAAAAGAAGAAGGAAAAAAGGTGAACTATTTGCATCAGAAAGGGGTTTTGTGAATATGATAGTAATTTCAATAGTTGAGATCATGAATCAATTGAAGTTAGACCACCATGGAAAACCTGGAAGCACTGGACGGCGGTCTCGTTCTATTTTGGGTTTCATTAGCAGTGAGTATTCATGACCCTGCCTCGCGGGATTCAAACCCAGAACTTATCAGTTTTCAATGGTGGTCTAGCTTCAGTTGACTCGTTCTCAAATATTGACATTACGACAATCTCCAGAAACCCCTTCTCATACTAATCAACATATGCTCCCTGGTGACTGGCTTCAAGATGTATATCCTGGAGTTCTAGTGAGAAGCAGTGACTAGTGGAGCTCAACCGGGTCTGTTGTGAGATATTTACCCACTGATGACAATGGTGAATGTGTCGCTCAATATCGTGGATTAGATGAAGTTAAACATTAACACAGTCGGATGCCGACTCAGTTGTCTAGAGGTCAAGCATTCTCACGGGAAAACAATAAGTCATGGGTTCGATCCACGAAAGACGGGATCGTGGGTACACACTGCTGGGGAGTCCCAAAATAAGACGAGATGGCCTTCCATTGCTTCCAGGTTCTTCATGATGGTCTAGCTTCAATTTAATCATGAATTCAACTATAAAAATTAATTTACATTCCATAATGTTAGACATTAACACCGTTGGATGACAGCTCGTTCAGCGGTCCAGTGGTTAAGCACTCCTGCGTGAGACCGGTATGTCCTGTGTTCAAATCCCATGAGGCAGGGTTGTGGATGCTCACTGCTAAGGAGTCCCACAATTGGACGTAACGGCTGTCCAGTGCTTATACGTTTTCCATGATGGTCTAGCTTCAACTGATTCATGATCTTAACTATCGAGAAAATATTTCAAGTTTGTTTTATCCTTTTTTTAGTGAAACCCTTTCATTCATTAGAAGTTTATACGTTTAGATGATAAATTTTCTCAAAACTTTTGTCAATGTCATATACAACACATTTAAATGTTTTTCAACAGTTGTCAGTTGTTCTGGTTTGTTTATATAATTTTCTACCTGGTAACAGAATTCTAAATACATTCACTGGTATATAATTTGAAAAAACATACCATAGAAACATTCCATAGAAACAGATATGTGTGTGGGTTTAACAACTTATGCTTCTTAATTATTATTTTTTTTTCTTTACTTAAAATGAACGAACCAATCAGATTTAAGATATTAAGTCTTGAATATTTGGCGCGAAATTCCTTCAATTTGGCATGATAGATCATGTTAGTTCATGATGAAAAGCTTAAATCTATTACCTAACCTTAACTATTAACTATCAACTATACTATTAATCTCTTTTCATTAGTTTATCATCCTTGTTTAGTCTTTAGTTCGTAGATGATGTTGCTTAAATGTCATCCATTCAGTATAGTCTCATTACAAAAACGAACAAAACTATTATGATAAAACCGAATTCCAAATGGTTGTTTCATTCATAAAAACAAAAGAGAATATAGATCCGTTATTAAAGAAACTTACATTCAAGATAATAAATGGTCCAGGAAGATAATTTAAACTTTCACCAAATAGACGAAGATTTAATATTATATCATATCCATAAGATTTCACCTAGAATTGTAAAAAGAGTGGTGTATTAGATAATGAAAATTGTCATAGAAACGTTTTACTATTGGTTTTGTCCCCAAATACCCTGGTATGTCCGAGAGTGGGATGGGCCCGACCTCCCTCTCGAAATGCTCTTACACGGCCACGCGCATACAGCCTCTGACAAGGAAGTCCTACTCACTGCCTTCTCGTGGCGGGGGTGTTGTTTACGAAAATGAGTGGACCAAAAGTGAATATCCGGCTCTTTAACGAGATCCCAAACCAAATCAATGGTGCACATGTGCTCCAGTATCCTGAAGGAATAAATGGTGTATGAACCTAATGTTGGTCATAGGATACCATGAGACTGCATCTTCTGACGTGGGTTCATTGCCTTGTGGATCATACCTTTAGGTAAAAGGCTCCGGGTGTGGCCCCCTAAGAAAACTACCTGTTTTGGTTTGAGCACCCGAGAAGTATTGCAGCTCTCACAACAAATCAAGTTATTTATGTGTCGCCTATCTATTTGGTTCCTCCTTGTACCAATGTTTATGTGTTTAAATAAATAAATAAACATCATACTCATTATATTATCCACTTTATTATCAAAAGAAGTAAATAAAATACACTTGGTATTGTTTGCTTGTATCTATCAAGATCCAGTAGCTAAGTGAATAATGTGATGACGTTTGAAGAGAATGGTACTTGGTTCGAGTCCCATAATGAGCATAAACTCTGGAATATAGGTACGTCAGCTGACGAGTCTTGAATAGGACGATACACACATCCTGATTCCACTGCTAGCCACCATCCATCTTTGCTTATGAAGTATATAAAAGTTTATCAATTTAAATAAAAGCTGTCTGAACTCTTAGATGGGAAAATAGTTTGGAAAATATCTTGTAAGATAATCATTATAATTTTTATTCCCTATTTGCTGTAATTTAGATAACTAATCCACTATGTGGAAGTATATGTGAGTCTGATTAAATGCATACCTGTACCTTAATCTTTCTGCCCTATTATTTGTTGTCAACGTATCGATTAATACTCATACAAGCGAACATAATCGCTGACTTCTCAGTGTGTAAGCTTATCGCTCGTTTGCGAATTTTGTTAATTATTAATAATACGGGGTCAAATCAGTCAGGGAACATCAGTTCCCGTCAAGATTACACGTACATCTTGCTGACGAGTGTTAAATAGCATGAAACCTTGTTCCAGGGTTTTCTGTCAACTATCTTTAATCACCATCTCATCTCAACATGGTACATGCGATGTCCAGTCATCTAGACTAGTGGTCACATTGCAACTTGGTCGATAGGGTTCGATTTGCACTAGGGAGAACCTGATACACGTTAACATTGACCACTACCTAGTGACCAATTAATTGTAAATTATTGATAATTCACTTTATTCCAACATCTCATGTTCTGGTTTCTAGATATTCTCGAGTAAATGCATAGTGATACTAGGAGAATCGGTCTAAAAATATATAAGGTCATCGAGACATTATATTTTGGAGTCATGTATAGAGGACTTAATCTCTACAGTTTGACAAGAGACCTATCATAGTACTTTTAATTTCATTGCTCCACGAACTACTTTTATTTACTTCTCTACAGTTGTAGATGACTGATAGTTTACCTTGAATTTACTTTAAAATCACTCTTTACTATGGTACTCATGATACTCAGAGGATGATGTCACTGAACAATTAGTGATGTAAATAACCCAAATGTCCTGGTACGGCCGAGAGTAGGGAGAGTCAGCTCTCCCTCTTCAAATTCTCTCACATGGCAACGCGCATATAGCCTCTGCCAGGGAAGTCCTACTCACTGCCTTCTCACAACAAGAGTGTTGTTTACGAAATTGGGAGGACGAAAAGCGAATTTCCGGCGCTTTAACGGGATCCAAAACCAAATCAATGGTGCACATGGGCTCCAGTATCCTATAGGAACAAATGGCGTATGAACCATTCGTTAGTCACCGGACACCATGGGATTGCATCTCCTTACGATGCTCCACTGCCTTATGGATCAGACCTTCAGGTCGAAGACTCGGGGAGTGGCGCCCTAATAAAACCACCTGCTTCGGTTTGGGCACCCGTGCAGTATCACAGCCCTCACACAAATGAAATGAGATATGTGTGGTGCATATGTATTTGGTACCTACTTGTATCAATATCTATGTGTTAGAATAAATAAATAAATAAATAAGTATAAATAATCTTGGTGAAATTTCCAAGAATACATATCTTATTTCCAATCATTAGTATGAATGTTCTATTATTTAATTCAATAAACTGAAAACAGAATAAACGAAGATGAATGGTAACTAGCAGTGAAATGTAGGACATGCACTTCTTCGTCCTATTTGGAACTCATCAGCTAGTTGTATAAAATGTACAGTTAGAATACAACCTATTGAGTAGAACTATCATTCTGGTAAATGAAAGACAAGTAAATACAATACTAATTCATACCTTAAAGATGTCATATTAAGAAAGAAAACAATAACATGGTATTCAAATGTATAAAGTAAAGTTCTTTGAATAGTAATTTCTTTCTGTATAATTCAAACATTTATATAAACAACAGATGACATATGTGAATAGTGGTTTCTTCCAAAGAATCAATTTTCTTTCATTTCATATACACTTATAAGTTAATATTCGACTTTAACACAAAGTAATCAATGCCGTTCATAGTACTTTAAATGAATATACTGAAGACAATCATGTCAGTCAGTCAGCCAGTCAGTAACAACAATGAACTTCGAACGTACGTACACACCACATTAGCACGAAAATGCAGTTTTCGATTCAAATCCCGTAGTGGTAGAGGAGGTAAGAGTATAAGCAGTAATCGGGAAGATTAGGGTTTGAAGATGTTGTCCAAAGTGTATAAACCAGTGAAATAAATTCGAAAAGAAAATAAGGGACATGAAGAATTCAGAAGATTAGCATTTTGGAGAACACAAAGAGTGAATGCACCTGCACCATTGCAAACAATTTTGAGCCATGTCATTCAAGGTCTCTAACCATCGGTTGCTATCATCTCGCGGTCCCCAACCAGGTAGTCTACACCTACCAACATGGCTCAGTCCATTTGTCAGTGACTTCATGAATTTGTGCCATGTTTTGGTCTGGCCGTTCCTAGCGTCCTTCCAACCTACTCCTATACCACTGAACATAGCACGTCGAGGCAGTCGGTCGTTGGGCATACGTAACACGTGTCCCAGCCATCTCAACTGATGGAGTTTCACTACTTCATCAATTGATTTGCCATCCTTACCTAGTACCCGTTTCGTAACAAGTGAGTTACTTACTCGATGGTCCCATGATATACGAGCAATGTTTCGAAGACACGTATGATCAAATACTAGTAACGTACGAATATACAACCATCCCAACATTCAATGATTTAATAACCATTATGTAATCTAAAATAATGATTGGTGGCAATAATAATAATAATACAAATGTGTAGAACTAACCCATGAACCTGAAAGATTAAAATCACTTTCAACAAACGTTGCTTCATTAGGAACATCAGGTATACGAAGTATATCTCCGTCAATTTCAGTTACACCTTGACCTTCTTCAACACTTCCATCTTGATTATATGTACTTAATATGATTGGAGTTGTTTTATAGTCGAACATTAGATCATGCTATCAATAGAAAAATAAAAATAAAAATATGAATTGAATATAAATTCACTTGATGTTGTTTGCTTGTATCTTCCCAATTCTTGTTAAGGATCGCAATTAATCAATCCCTTGTTGGTATATATGCATTCTGTGCAGATTGCCTCGATATTTACTTTAAATCACAAGCTTTATAATTAAGGATGGATAGTGGACAACAATGGAATCCATGACGCGTGTTTCGTCCTATTTGAGACTCTTCAGTTGGACGTATCTATCAATCCATTGTCTCAATGTTGACCGTTTCTTTTGTAAATATCAGTCCATCATCTCAGATTTCATTGTTCATACATTTTCATTCAAATTGTTTTCTGTTCCCATCCCTTCTCGATCTTCTACTGAAATACATTCTATTCATGACTATCATTATATACTACTTATTTGTATATAAGTAGCTCACACTACATTATGATATACTGATATACACACATTCATCGATTATCCAATTATTTCTTTTCGATGAATAGAGAAATTGATGTAAAACTATGAAAAATATGATAAACTTATATAACTGTGTTTAATGATCACAAGTATGACTGGTTTTTGAAAAAGAAACAGTTTCGTTGCCACGGCAACAAGTTTTTTTAAATTTCATATATTGATAGAAACATTCATCAGGTATTAAAATCACTTCAAGTAGTTAAGTGTTAAGCAACTATGCATGATCATTCATAAGTGATATGATATGATATGATATCACGAGACAAGCCCTAACTTGGAAACCTGAAGGGAAGCGGAAAAGAGGAAGGCCTAAGAACACATTACGTCGGATAATAGAATCAGATATGAAAAGGATGAATAACAACTGGAAGGAGCTAGAAAGGATTGTCCTGGACAGGGTTAGATGTAGAATGCTGGTGATTGGCCTATGCTCCTTCACGAGAAGTAACAGGCGTAAGTAAGTAAGTAAGTAAGTATGGAATAATTAAATCTTTTAAAATTTTGTCACTAATGAAAATTAATTTTAATGATTGAATTGATGAGATCATTATGGAGAACTTAAAAGTACTGAATGGCACTGCACATTCACAATCTCACATATGAGACTCGAACTCAACACCTTCGATTTCATACATCAACGCTTAACCTCTAAACTACTACTACTACTACTACTACCTTTCAACAGTTTCAATATCTAACTTCTATCTAACTTAAATTGATTCATGAATTCAACTAGGAAAATACCACAATCTACACAAATTCCAATTCTAATAAAAGAAAACTGTTACCAACTGAATATTCCATCTATAAATTCCTTTAATAGACCAGTGTAATTTAGAGATATTTTTCTCTTTTTTCTCTTTCGAATTGAAACCATATGTTTATATTATTTCTGTCTGAATTATTTTAACCTTACCTACCTACCGACCTACCTACCCACACAGATACATAGATACATACATACATACATACATACATACATACATACATACATACATACATACATACATACATACATACATACATACATACATACATACATACATACATATATACATACCTATCCACCTACCTACCTACCTACTATCTACCTACCTACCTACTATCTACCTACCTACCTACTATCTACCTACCTACCTACTATCTACCTACCTACCTACATATCTACCTGTCTACCTGCCTACATACCTACCTACTAATCTACCTACCTACATACCTACAAACCTACATACCTACCTACCTACCTACCTACCTACCTACATACATACATACATACCTACATACATAAGAATTTACACATATCAAATATATTGTAAGAAATCTTAGAGTACATTCAAAATTGAATAATGTAAACTGTATTTATTCCTTTGAAACATAATAATAATAATAATCCTAATTGCTTTTATCTATTTTCTTTTAGTATAATTTTTCTATAATATTACAACACATGGATGTATAGTGATTAGATAATCAAACAAATAAGATAAACAAATATAGTTTATTATCAGAAAGGGTTTTTGTTGTGGAGATTTTAGAAATTTCACGGATTGAAATCATGAGTCAATTGAAGTGAGACCATCATGGAAAACCTTGAAGCAATGGATGGCCATTTCGGAGTTCAACCAGATCTGTTATGAGATAGTAACTCACTGAAGACAATGATGGATTGATTGAAGTTAGACATTAATACCGTTGAATGCTGGTCGGTTCGGTGGTCTAGAGGTCATGAACGAAACTGATAGTTTCTGGGTTTGAATCACGCGAGTTGGGATCGTCGATGCGCACTGATGAGGAAACGGCCATCCAATTCTTCCAGGTTTTTCATGGTGATCTAACATCAGTCGATTCATGATCTCAATCAATATCATATATTTCCTATTAATACTTTGTATTTATTCAAACTCTCATTGAACTGAATTGATCGAAATATAAATACAGTTGAATGTGAAAGTGTAGATGCTTCGGAAAATATCTAGGACTTTTGAACATAGACCAATTGTAATTTTGATAGAGTTTTGTTCTCTGAACTGAAAATTCTATCTAAAGTTTGTGTTGATGATGTCGTTCAGAAGAACAATGAACGATCTACGACTAAACTATCGAGCTCAGAGAATAAAACTCTATCAAAATCATCCAACTGAGCTACAAATCTTCATCATTATCAGTTGTACTATTAAATCGAAATCGAAATCGAATAACAGATTGACTTCAGTAAAGATAAAATTCTTTAATTCAAAGGTTTAGATACATCAATGAATTTAGTGCAATTAACTGAAATATTAAATTTTTTAAAATTAGTAAATGAGGGCAGACGAATATTGTTGTGTAGGGCCCTAACCAAATCACTCGACAGCTTGGTTACTGAATATCGAACAATTCATCGATCCCTGTCTAGGTCAAGGACAACCAACGCGCATCAATTGACCGTATTTCATGGACTGACGCATGCGGTTGTGGTCTCGCTATCTTCACTGTACTCATTCTTACTAATATGTTTCCTTAATATTGTCCTTTGTGTTATACAGTCTTTAAAGCAACCATAGTACTTTGATACGTGGAAGGGGCAATCCACGTTAGATGTTGACATTAAAGTGTGACCTCGAAGTTAGCTGGTTCGTCACACCATTCCCGTCTAACTTGAGTAGGCGTACAATCATTCGATATAGATCATCTACCATAGTGATCTACAGTTTGTTAACTCCTATATCCATTGATATCATTCAGTAGTAATGACATCAGAAAAATTGTACTTTTAATGTTTAGTTAGTTATTATGTTGAAATTGAAACAAGTAAACAGGTAATGATAAGTACTTTTCTGTCAACATATAGTTTGACAAGTTCAATCGATTCTCAACCACTTTTTGTTTTGCCATAATGACTAATACGACCATGACTAAAGCTTAAAAAGGTCAAGTTTCTTTCTGAAATGGATTCCATTTTATGCATACATATATACATTTTCATATGGTACAACTTCACATCAAGTGAATTACATGTTAACTATGAATAACAATCAGTAATTAATCATGACCGACTCTGCCTGGAGTCGCTCTGGGAACTACTGCCGGTCCCAAGCCCAGATAAAGGAGGAGAGTCAGGCATGGGGTTAGTGACCCCATCCCGTCGAAAACTAACTCGTTAAAAAAACGCTAACCAGAAATAATTATTGAAACCTTTTAAACTCTGCCCTGGGAGTCAGAAGGTCTTCATCTAGAAGAACTACGACCCCTCATGGTGAAAGCCGAGTTCCTTCGGAATTCACAAAGTCGATGCCCCTTCTGACAACGAGCGCAACCAATTATTTAGGTACATGGGATGCTCGTACAAGGTGGGAGACCAGGAGAGTTTTCCGAATTGCTGCAGAAATGAGGAGATACGACCTAGAGGTGCTTGGGACCAGTGAAACACATTGGACGAAAGTTGGACAACAACGACTAGCTTCAGGGGAGCTTCTGCTATACTCCGACCATGGAGAAGAAAATGCCCCACATACACAAGGGGTTGAATTGATGCTGCTGTCCAATTAGTCATAATTAGATAATTGTTTATTACGGAACTCAACATCCTCAAATATAACATGGAGAATATCAACCCGAACATACTTGACGAAGAAACTTCGGAAGAGGTGGAAACTTTCATGTACCTGGACAGCATCATCAACCAATAAGGAGAATCTAATGTAGACGAATGGCCAGAATTGGCAAAGCAAGGACAATATTCCTACAGTTGAAGGACATATGGAACATAAAATAGTTGTCGACCAGTCAACATTAAAGTCAGAATCTTCAATACGAATTCTATTGTATGGAGCTGAATATTACTGAGCTACCATCATCAAAAATGTACAAGTATTTATAAACAGTTGTCTATACAAGATACGCAATGTCCGTTGACCGGATACCATCAGCAACAGTCTACTGTAGAAGAGAACAAACCAGCTTGGACCTGAAGACGAAATTAGGAAAAGATGATGGAAGTGGATAGGCCACACATTGAAGAAATCATCAAACTACATCAAGAAGCAAGCCTTAACTTGAAATCCTGAAGGGAAACAGAAAAGTGGAGGGTCGAAAAACACACTACGTTGAGAATTTGAAGCATACATGAAAATGATGATTAGCAACTAAAAAGGATGGAAAGTACTGGTGGATGGCATATACTCCACGATGAGGAGTAACAGAATTGTTTTTGCCTATCTTTGATAATTTCTATTATTTACTTTATTAATAGCTAAAAGTAATATTCAATTCGTTAATTGGGTATAATTTATTCCATGTCTGTGCTTATATTCCCACATGAACGTAGAAGTTATCAAGTAAACTACTGAGTATCCATATTGATATTATTCTTCAGTTCATTAGTTACTGTAAGTTTCTAAACTAAAATGTATGGTCTAGTCACATTTTCGAACCGTTATTAGATTTGTACAACTATTTTACAAAAAAAATATGCACGTAATTTCAATCAAACTAATTCTCAGCACAGCTTAACAACATGTACATTCTTAAGTCCATTGATGATATTTCAAATATCCGTCATTCCAAGATCATGAGCCGATTGATGTTAGACCATCATTGAAAACCTGGAAGCACTGGACGACCGTTTCGTTTTATTGTGTGACTCCTCAGAAGTGCGCATCCATGATCCCGTATACGGGACTCGCATGTGGACGCTTAACTTCCAGCTTATATCGACTGATGAATTCAACTATTAAAGTTATTATTATTATTATTATTATTATTATTATTATTAGTAGTAGTAGTAGTAGTAGTAGTAGTAGTAGTAGTAGGAGGAGGAGGAGGAGGAGGAGGAGGCAAAGGAGAAGGAGGATGAGAAGCAATATTTCCATATAAACAACTTTAAAATGTCAATTTTACTGAAAAACAAATCTTACAGGTGATTTTCGATAACCTTTTACACTTGTACATTTATCTGTTACATTTGAACAATAACATGTTAAACACATATCATCAAACCATGCCGCATCATTAAATTGTGGCGCTTTACAAATACCACCTTCTGTAAATGTAAAGAAAGAAAACAATATGCAGAAGTATATATTAGAATTGCTTTAAATTAAAGTAATTATACATTATTTATTGATTTTGAACACAGAGATATTGGTACAAAAGGGCATCGAATACCCTATGTGCCATACAAGTCACTTGATTTGTATGTGGGCTGTGATACTGTTCGGGTGCCCAGACCGAAACAGTTGGTTTTCTTAAGGGGCCATATCCGGAGTCTTTGACCTAAAGGTTTGATCTACATGACAGTGGAGCAACGTTAGGAGATGCAGTCACATGTTAGCCGGCGACCAACAATTTTTTCATACACCTTTTTTTCCTTTCAATATCCTGGAGCTCTTGTGTACCATTGATTTGAAATTAGGGTTTTCCAATTCCCTTTAAGTGATTATTTTTAAAAAGATCAAATCTGTCATTTTATAGCTTTCTGTATTGTGTAAATGTTGTTTTAAAAGTACAATAATGAGAAGCAGACTGTCGGTGTGATGCTAGTCGGATAAGGACACAATCTTAATAATGTACAGATTTATTAAAAGACTTTTAGTGTCCAATTAACTTTGTTACGGTATCGCACATGTCTGATTAGCTAACTTTTATCCAGTCTGTTTCTGCTACACTTTTATAGTAAGTGAACAGTATTTAAGATGGTAGTTGGAGGTAGTCGACAGTAAACGATGGACATAGGTTTTGTGCTATTTGGAACACATTAGCAAGGTGTACCTGTAATCTTAAATGAACTGATGCTCTCTGACGGATTCAATCTCACACACATGACATTGGTCACCACCCAGTGATCGATCGGTTGTAAATATATTTCAGTTTTACAGGAGGTAATTTGCGGTCCGGATAGCTCAGTGGTAACGTTTCTGACTGTAAAGCTGGGTGGCACAGGTGTGCCAAACAGCACAAAACTTAGGTTTAGTGTTTACTATGGACTACCTGCAACCACCATCTTATCACAACATAGTGCATGCAATGTCGAATCACCTAGACTAGTGGCCACATTGCAACTTGGTCGATATAATTCGATCTACGCTAAGGAAGGACCTGAAAATGATCACCACTACTAACAGGATGAAATGTTTCTAAGAGATGTTTAGTTTCATAATGGTTCAGTCAATATGAAACATAAACTATCTACACATAAAAAAACCCATCAACTACATACATGAAAATAGATCTGTCACAATAGTTTTATAGTTGTTGTCCCGTAAACTCTATTTTCCTTTCCTGTAGTCTAATTGCAGATAATTATAATTACTCTGTAACTGCACTGAAACCTCTTATGCATAAACTATTCTTCATCTTCTTTATTTTTTCTCTTTCCAAATTTATTTCATTGGATTATACTGCTTGAATAGCATCATCAAATCCTAATCTTTCCTATTATTGTTTATACGATTACTACCTGTACTACTATGAGATTTGAATTGACAATTGTATCTCTGTGCTAACGTGACGAATTCCACTCAATTGATTGTTCGAAGATGATCCGTAGTGTCGCAATTTGGTCTGTGCACGACCGATCCCTACGGAATCCAGCTTGTTGATCTTGAAGTTGGGCGTCTACTGCGTTATTCATCCGGTCCAGCAAGTTGAACTGATGTACGTACGTATGAAGTTCTATGTTGTTTCTGACTGACTGATAGGCCTTCTATAATCATTTTCGGAATATAATTTATTTTACTATTGGAACGGGTTTTGTGGATATGATAGTAATTTCAATAGTTGAGATCATGTATCAATGGAAGCTAGACCACCATGGAAAACCTGGAAGCACTGGATGGCAGTTTCGTCTTATTTTGGGACTCCTCAGCAATGCTCATCCACGATCCTGCCTCGCGGGATTCGAACCCAGGATCTATCTAGTACTGTTGTCCAGTGCTTCCAGATTTTCCATGGTGAACCTCAAACAATAGATACTATTTGTTTGAGAATACAATATCAAACAGTCTTTTAACGAATTCTTAATCATGATTAAGAGGCAAATTGAAAAATATACATATATCAAAACTTACTAGCTACATTAACTAAAAAGTCTGGTGCCAATGCACGACCACGATTCACAGCTTCACATGTATATAAACCACTTGCACGTGATTCCAAATCGTATAAAGTTAAATGACTTATTGCCATATTACAATTTATTACTGTATAATTAATAGAATGTTTTACACCTTCTCTTAAATGTCCCCAATTATATCTCCAACTTATAGTAGGAGGTGGTCGACCATATGCTACACATGTTAAAGTTAAATTTTCTGATTGATGACCTATTAAATGTGTTTCTCCAGATGGTTCAATGATACTTGGATAACCTGGGGAGTTAAAAAATATAAAGAATTTTATTTGTTTACTTTGAATTTTTTTCAAAAAAACTGCGGTAATTATTTCGTCCCATTTGGGACTCATCAGTTGGATGTAACCTGCATTCCAGAATTGATGTCCACTTTAGCACTCCAACCCAGAACCGTTCGCTTCAGACTCTATCATGTTATCCATTTAGCTACTAAATCTCGATGGTCACTAGCTTGTGCAATCGGGTGAAGTTTTAAATTATTTTTTATTGGTTGCTTGAATCTTCCCATTGATGCTTAAGACTGCAATTGATCACCCTTATTGGAATATATGCATCCTATGATGATTGCCTCGATACTGTCTGTCTATAACTTAAGGTAATATCAAGGCAATCTTCACAAGATGCATATATCTCAATAAGAGAGTAATCGATTGGTGTTCTGCACTTAACTGGCTGTGCTAGGCGAAAAGCAGGACTAATCATGACTCTAGGCTGCTTGCACTTGTTTTACGCGTCCTTTGTCCGATCGATAAATCATTGTTCTCTAATTGACGGTATCATTACGTTATTTATATATTATGATAGAGGCACAAGGCCACAAGTTATAACAAGAAGAAGAGAATTTTCGAAATTTATTAAGTGATAGACGTCAGTTAACATGTTGGACTGTTGTGACATATTCTGAAATCTTTTGTAATTTCATCTCGAAAAACAATGAAGCATACTTAAGCAGAATGATTGTTGATTATTTAGAAACAATATAGAAACACTTGATCAATTATCGTTTATATCACTTTTCAAACAAGGTTACATAATTGAAATGTACTAACTCATTAGCTAACTTACTGCATTCACTTTCATCATCTCCGTTTGGTTCACAATCTGGCACTGAATCACACATAAATGCTCGAGCTATCATTTTGTCACCTTGTGGACAAGTATAATGTGTACCATTGCATTGATCATAAACACTTGGTGCTATCAGTAAATAAAGAAGATATAACTTGAAAAAGTGACACATATATATTACTAAACATGTATGTAGATTAAAGATTATTTATGGAATGACTACTGAAATAAACAGCTGTATCAAGATATCTTTGAAATTTACTCTTGTTATATCTATGGATATCCACGAAGCTGCGCCACCGTACACCATTGTCTTCAGTGAGCTGATATCTCACAACAGATCTCAACCGGGTCAGTTAGGAGATATCAACTCACTGAAGACAATGGTGTACGGTGGTGCAACTTCGTGGATTGGTTGAAGTTAGACATTAACATCCATTGGATGCCGGCTTAGTTGTCTAGTTGATTAAGCGCCTGGCGCGAGAATGATAGGCCCTGAGTCCGAATCTTGAGGGGTGCGGGGTCGTGGATGCGCGCTACTGAGGAGTCCCGTAGTAGGACGAAACGGCCGTCCAGTGCTTCCAGCTTTTCCATGGTGGTCTAGCTTCAATTGACTCATGATTTCAATCTGTGAAATTTCTAAGATCTCCACAAACCCCTTCTGATATCTATGGATATGTCTAATCGGCTTGTATTTAATACGGAGATATTGAATCAAACATCATATTGTAAAAGCTGATGACTGGTGATAAGAGTTAACATGATCGTCAAAACATTGTTTTGTCAGTTCATAATCAAGTTTGTATAATTTGACTAAGTAGTACTGTGGTATGAGCTACTTATATTCATATAAGTTCATCAATGTACATTTTATGTGCTAACAACTTTATGAAAAACAAATCAATATTGGAATCCCTGAGGTTAGTCTTAAAGAATTACGTTTGGAATGCACCATGTATGTCTATTTTGTCTTTAACAGCACATATTATAGAAAAATTGATGTTATAGCGATAGGTTCACCTCTGGGTCCCATCCTTGCGGATTTTTTTCTTTCGAAACTAGAAAACAAACCTCTCAAATAGGTTATCAAGAAGCTTGACTTCTATTGTCGTTACCTTGATGACACTTTCATTATTGTCGATCAGAACAATTGGAAAGAAAAACTATTTGAACTATTTAATAACAAACATCCAGCAATTAAATTTACATGTGAAGAGGAAATAGATAATAAACTATATTTCCTTGACGTTTTGTTAAAGAGAAAAGAAAGTGGTTCTATCTGTAGAAGTGTGTATAGGGAACGTTCTTCATCAAGCCAATACACACATCTCTTAAACTTTCTAGCTCTTCGTTGTAAGAGAAACTTAGTCAAATGTCTGGCAAACAGAGCTATTGAGATATGTTCAGTCGATACAATTGATAAGGAATTAGTTCTCATTTATGATATGTTGATTGAACTGGGATATCCACAAGGTTTCCTGAAGAAACACTTGTGTGTAACAAATAAGAAAATAGCGATATTGACGACTAGTAAGAAACCTCTTTTCTTGAAGCTGCCATTCAATAGAGATGTAGCTAGTGATGTATTACGTGATGGACTGACTAGAGCAGTAAAGAGAACGTTTAATGCTGACAACTTCTATCTATCGTATTCGATCCGATCTATTATGATTCTCCACCTAAAGAATGTTACCTGGTTATACCAGTTCGATATGTATTTACGAATTCATCTGTTTCTGTGGAGAACGCTATGTTGGGCGTTCTACCAGACAACTGCACCAAAGAGTTAGTGAACACCTCCCTTCGTGGTTAAGAAAAGGTACTATCAAATCAATTTCAATCGTAAAGTTATAAGTTAAGATTTGAGAGCATTCAGCTCTCTTTTTAAAACTTATTATATATTCCTCCATCGTCAAAGAAAGTTTTTTGGTCTAAATTTATCAGAAATGGTAACATTTTCGATTTGTAGTGAACGAGAACACATAAGTGGGGACAACCGAAATGCATTGGAATACATCATTATGGAATGTCTTAGTGAAATCTGAGAACCAAACAGTGAATACTTTATTTACAAAATGTCAATCAATCGTTTCAAACTTCATTGTTCCTTCGTTTCCACACCAATCATTCTTTGTTCTTGTTCTCCTTTCTTTGTAATTCTTAACCTTTTGCTGTCAGACATTTCACTTACGATTGATAATACATACTACTTATATCATCTGTCAATATCAGTAGTACACATCACATTATCACATTATTTAGTCATGTAAAGTTTTATAAAATACATACAGGATATAATTTTACTTACCAAGACAATTAGATTCATCATAATTATTACCACAATCATCTTCACCATCACAATGCCAAAATTGTAAATAACAATTTTTCAATGGTTTCACATCATTCACAATACCACAAACATTTTCATTGACTCCACATTCACCTATGAATTATGTAAGGAACAAAAAAAAATGTGAATCAATAACTATTATAATATGTTGGAAAGTAAGTGAATACAATTACAATTCCATATGATGAAACGTTTGGATTTGGAGTGATCAAAAGTTTTAGAATGATTATGAGATCAATAACGGAACCTTATCTGAAGGTATTTTCACATTTGAAATGTACTACTAAGGAGATGGATAGCGGCTAGCAATGGAATCCAAGGTGAATATTTCATTTTATTCGGGACCAGTTAGCTGGATGTACCTGCATCTCTGAGTTAATGTTCAGTTCAGGACTTAAATCCAGTACTATTCAATTCATAAGCTATGATGTTATTCACTTAGCTACTACCTATCAGAACTCAGTAGCTAAGTGAATATCGTGATGATGTTTGAATTAAACGGTACTAGGTTTGAGTCCCGAAGTGAATATCAACTCTGAGATGCAGGTACATTCATCTGACGAGTCCTGAATAGGACGAAATGCACATCCTGGATCTCACTGCTAGTCACTATCCATCTTTGTTTAGAATGCTTGTGAATTAAGATAATATTGAATCAATACGCACAGTATGTACATATGCCAATAAGAGCCTGATCAATTGCAGTCAGAAACATCAATGAAAAGATTCAAGTAAACAATAACAATAACTGAAGTATATAACTAAGAATTTGAAATGCTCCTTGTGTTAGGTGTTAAGAATCATAAAATGATTTCATATCTGATTGTATATTACACTATCCTTTTGTCATTCATATTTATAACCTTTTCTATGGCAAATATTCGAACAAATTAATGGATGATACAACTATTTCCATAAAATTGACCTCTTCCGTAATTATCAGAAGGGGTTTTGTGGAGAGTTTGAGAGGTTTCACTAGTTGAATTCATGAGTCAATTAAAGCTAGACCACTATTGAAAACCTGGAAGCATTAGACGTCCAATTCGTCCTAGTATGGGACTCCTCAGCAGTGCGCGTCCACGATCCCGCACTCCGCGAGATTCGGACCCAGGACCTACCAGTCTCGCGCCCGGCTCTTGACCATTAGACCACTGAGCCGGACGGCATCCAACAGTGTCAATGTCTAACTTCAACCAATCCACGAAATTGCGCCACCGTACACCATTGTCTTCGGTGAGTTCATATCTCACAACAGACCTGATTGAACTCCACTGGTAACGGCTACTCACTAGCAGCGTAGGATGCCGGCCTTCTCAGTGGTCTAGTTGGTTAAACGCCGGGCGTGAGACTCATAGGTCCTGGGTTCGAATCTCGCGGGGTGCGCGATCATGGATGGGCACTGTTGGGGAGTCCCATACTAGGATGAAACGGTCTTCCGTAACTGTCAAATCCTCTTTCTCTAACTATCTAACTATGTATACAAATTAGGGAGTAATCTGTAATTATCATCATTATTATGATTATTAGAATACGAAAATGTAAGTCAATGGATTTTGGTTGCTTAGCTAAACTGATTTATGTCAGTTATGAGTTTTACACAATCATCAGTCTGTGTATACGCGTAATGAATGTATATTCAGATGGGGGACAACCAACGTATTTTTAATACGAAATTATAGAATATCTTGGTCATATATATGAACCATACATTGAATATTTCGTTTGGACATTTTCATCATTTGTCCTTCACATTCTGTATGATTTTTCAAGTTCATAATTCCTTTCTATTTCCCTTTCTTTTCTCCTCAACCTGATCTTTTTAGCCTTCTTCAACCAGGTTTTCCACTTCTAATTGGAGCTACATACTACTTATGTCCACAGGTATAAGTAGCATACATCACATACTGTCTATTCACGAGTTAGAAGTCATGATAAAATAAATGTCTATATTTCACTAACTTTCAAAGGTCACTCCGTGAACCGAATCTTGATGAACTAGTCCGAATTGTAAACGTGTTTGTTGATTCATAAAATGAAATAATTATTATGGATGGAAAACATTTAACTTACTACATTTTGAAGGAATTTCATCATAACCATCTTCACAATCCACTACTCCATCACAAAATTTTGTCTCTTCTAAACATTCTTGTGAACCACATGGTCGAAATCCTGGTGCACAAACTTCTTGGACGTATAGTTTTGCATAACCTTTGCTATACTTTAAAAGTTTACATGAAATCAAAATAGTTAAACCATGACAGAAGTTAAATAGTTTTGTACTTTAGGAAAACAATTTAATTACAAAATATAATCATTCGTTTTGTGTCAGGGCTCGAATACTGCCAGAGTGCCCAAACTGAGTCAGGTGGTTCTCTTAGGGAGCCACACCCGGAGACTTCTACCTGAAGATATGATCCACAAGGCAATGAAGTAGTCCCATGGTAGTTGGTGACTAACAATAGGTTCATACGCTATTTGTTCCTTTATGGTCCTAGAACCCATCTGCACCACTAGTTTGTAATCAGGGTTTTCAAACTCTTCTAAGTGGATCCTCTGTGTCCACCAACCCGGTTAAAGCGCCGAATATTCGCTTTCGTTCACTCATTTTCGTAAACACCACCACCACCGCTAGAAGGCAGTGAACAGGAGTTCCCTGTCAGTGGTTGTATGCATGTGCCCATATATAAGCATTTCGACACACGCACACACATAGTGGACTCTCCCCACTCTCAGCTATACCAGGGCATTCGGGTGTATGAAATCACCAGACAAACTAAAGGAATTCAACATAATACTTTATATGAATACGTGAATAATTTTCAATAAAAATGATTATTATCAGAATGGGTTTTGTGGAGATTTTAGAAATTTCACAGGTTGAAATCATGAGACAGTTGAAGCTAGACCACCATTGAAAACCTGGAAGCACTGGACGGCCGTTTCGTCCTAGTATGGGACTCCTCAGCAGTGCGCATCCACGAAACCGCACCACCCGGGGCTCGAACCCAGGACCTACTGGCTTCGCGCGCGAGCACTTAACCACTAGACCACTGAGCCGGCATCCAACGGTGTTAATGTCTAACTTCAACCAATCCACGAAGTTGCGCTACCGTACACCATTGTCTTCAGTGAGTTCCTATCTCACAACAGACCTGGTTGAACTCCACTGGTAACGGCTTCTCACTAGAACTTCGGGAGTTTTTCCTGGAGTCAGTCACTAGTGAGCAGTTGATTATTATCAGAATGTGTTTTGTGGAGATTTTAGAAATTTCACAGGTTGAAATCATAAGACAGTTGAAGCTAGACCACCATTGAAAACCTGGATGCACTGCTGAGGAGTCCCATACTAGGACGAAACGGCCGTCCAGTGCTTCCATGTTTTCAATGGTGGTCTAGCTTCAACTGACTCATGATTTCAATCTGTGAAAAGTGATTATATTCTGATTATGTAAAGATGATACACACAATAACGAACACAGCACAACAAGATATAAGCTGAATTTTCGATAACACAAATTCATGATAAGTATCGTTGCTTCACTAACAATAGGTACCTGAAATATAGTAAGGATTACTTTGTTCATTTATAAAGAAAAGTAATGAGATTGTAGTAAGCCCATTCCACTACTGTATTATTTATCTGTTCACTGTCATTAAGAAACTTGATCCACCATGTAATTTTCTGTGAGAGGCTGATTGAGCACATGTCAATGTTTAATCTATTCTCCCATTTGGTTGTAATACACACAGATAATCAATAATTTATCCATACCTGATTAACACTCATAAATATATATATGGAATTTTAACACACCTACACACACACTCTTTGTTACCCTGTGTGCTTGCGGATTTTGCCAATCTCTACAACTGGTGTTCAGGCTTCTGAATAATCTCGAGTAACTCCATAACTCTAGTAGGAGATTTAGCCAGCGTTAAATACTCAGTTAACGGGATATCATTTATTGGAGTCAGATATAGAGGAAACTAGCCTCTGCAAGACTAATGTTGATATGTGCTGCTGATTGACATTCATATGGAAACCTTTACTCAATTGCTAATAATTATGATTAAATTTTGAATATCAGAAAGAATATAAATTAATGAAATCATTAAATGAAGTAGTTTTTAACCCTTCTCATAATAGTTCATAGCCAACAGTTTTACTATTACTTACACCATCTGTACACATGTAAGATATATTATGATCGAATCGACCAACATCTTTAACAATTAATAAAGCTCTACCACCATTTGTTCCTATCACTTCTTCTTTACCAGGACGTAAATCTTGACGATCTGTACGCATCCAGAATACTTTACCACCTTTCATACCGGTAATTGTAGATAATTCACATAAAAATTGTACAGTTGTTCCAGGACGTGCTTTAACCTCTTCAGGAGTTACAGATAAATCTGAAAAGATCAGTCAAAAATATATATAAATAATCAAAGTAAACTTTGAAAAGACAAAGTTCTATTCATTTCGAAAGCTTCTTTAGTGATTAATGTCAGTATTTTATGATTGGTGATCGGTATAATGAAACTTGCAGTCGAATGCTCTACCACTGAGCTATACCCCCATAAAGTGTGGCAACTGGTTGTTGCAATGTGGAAGTGCTGGGCAGTGCAGTATCATACTCTTTAATAATGCGCATCCGAGATCCCGCGCGTGGGATTCGAACTCAGGATCTTCGATTTCTCATGAATTCAACAATTAAATTACTATAATATATACAAAACCCCTCTCTGATTATAACGTTGGGTTGTTGTATACATGGAGACTGGTTTACATTTTGTTCAAATTGTAAACCTAAAGCTTAATATTATAACAGTCCACTACATCATCTTATATAAATGATATTATTTTACTAAAGGTAAGTATTCCTAAGCAATTACATCCAAGATACCCATTTTATCCCAATTTGAACTAGGCAGTTAAACTTACCTATATTCTAGTACTGATCCTTAAACAAAGATTCGAACCTAACATCATTTATTTCAAATTTCAGTACATTATCCAATGTTCTGTTGATTCCGTATAATCACTAACCTATCCAATGGTTATTGGTTTTCATTATGATTGTTTGTATTTTCCAGTTGTCAACTTTATGAACTGAAACTAATCAATTTCTATTCGCATATATGTACATTCCAAACGGACTACTTTTGGTTCGTCATATGGTCACAGAATCCAGGTAAACGTTTTATTGTATTCGGAAATTGCCGTCTGACTATACTTGCAGTCATTAACATTAACAACAAACACATATAACCTTACACAAGACTGAAAATCTTTTGTAGTGAATCTTCTAAATATAACTTCTTTAGTTCAGTGGGGTTTTCTGAATGCACGCATATCTACCTTTCACGTAGAAGTTTATGATACCTTGGTAAATGTTTAATGAATAACGATCGTTCAGCGAGACTATAATTTCATGAACGAATCAATCATATTTAAGATAGCAGGTCACGGAATTTGGAGCGAAATTCATTCAGCCATTTATAGCTAAATAGAGTTTTGGCATTATATATGATGTCAGTTCGTAATGAAAACATCAAATCTAATTTCTAACCTTAACCATCAACTGCAATTCATGATCCCTATTCTTTAAACAGCTTTATAACCCTCATTTGACCTTACTAAGTAGGTAAACATTCCAAGGTCACTTTAGCGTTCATTAAAGGTTGTCTATAAATTATCGTCTCACCAATCGTTCAATAGAACTACATAATATCAGAAGGTGTTTTATGGAGATTATAGTAATTTCAATAGTTGAAATCACATATCGATTGAAGCTAAAGCACCATGGAAGACGCATGCGTGCAAAACTGATCGGTCCCGAGTTCGTATCACGCGAGGGGGGGAACCATGGATGTGCACTGTTGAGGAGTCCCATAATAGGAAGAAACGGTCGTTCAATGTTTTAAGGTCTTCCATGATGGTCTAGCTTCAATGGACTCATGATTTCAACCATTGAAAGAATTAAATAAACTGACTCATTATAAAACATAAATTATCTTCATTTCAAAAACTAACCTCTTGTTTTTACAATTAATTTAGCAGTATCTCTTAAATTTAATGCTCTACACACATATAAACCTTCATGATATTTTTGTACATTCATTATACTTAAAAATGATGTAGATGGTGTTGCATCAGGATTATCAATTTTAACATCATTATGTAGTGAAATTTCACGATCATCACCTTCTGGTATAAAATACCAATCAATTAATTGATTACCATGTTCTCTACCATCTAAACGACAATGAAATTCTGTAATATCACCAGCATTTGCCCATGCTTCATCTTCTTTTGGTAGGATACTAAGTGTTACAATAGCTAATAATGTAATAAATAATATTAAAAAGTATATGTAAGTAATGATTATCAAAGTTTAACTTATTAAATTAAATATGAGCCAACATGAGACTGATCAATTACAATCCTAAATAATAATGGGAAGATACAAGTAAAACAACAATACCAAATGAATTTAAACTTCACCCGATTTCACAAGCAAGTGACTATCAGGACTCAGTAGTTAAGTAGATAACGCGATCGCGTTTGAAGCGAACGGTACTGGGTTCGAGTCGCGGAGTGAACATCGATTCTGGGATGCAGGTACATCCCAAATAGGACGAAGTGGCGCGCATCCTGGATTCCATCCTTGTTTATTAGGTTAGATTGTTTATTAGTTAAATTCAAAAGTCAAGCTAGATCACCATGGAAAACCTGGAAGAACTAGATGGCCGTTTCGTCCCTAGTATGGGACTCAACAGCAGTGCGCATCCGTGACCCACAAAACCCCTTTCTGATAATCATCATCATATACACATTAATGATTAACTTCAACAGGTATTATTTGACAATATCCTCCTCACTCTTTAATTATTTTTTCATATCTCTGTGATTTTATTCATAACTGTTACTGATATCACATCATTTCATTTAACTTCCCTCCTATTATTTTTAATGATTGTGATAAAACCATTTTATTATCGGATTGAGGGTTATGTGGAGGTTGCATTAATTTAATGGTTGAATTCATGAGTCAATTTAAACCAGACCATTATGAAAAACCTGGAAGAACTCAACCGTCGTTTCGTCCTAGAATGGGACTCCTCAACAGTGCGTATCCACGATCCAGAGTGGTTAACACATTCTAAGCAAAGATGGTTAGTGACTATCAGTGAAATCCAGGTGTGCGTTTTGTCTTAACTGAGACTCGAACCCAGTACCGTATGCTCCAAACGTCATTACGTTATCCATTTAGCTACTGAGTCACATTCTTTTCGTGTACTTTGTTTTTCTTTGTTACGGCTTACCTTTAACCTGTATAGTTGACCTTTTAATTTTCATATAAAAATGTTTTAACAAGTATATAATCTGTGATCAGATTGTTCGAAATGTATTGCACAAATGTATCACATAATTCTGAAAACCTTCATCTTCTCATTACATTATCGAAACTTAGTGTACTCCCTTGAACGCTTTTGTACAACAATACAAATACCAACCTTATGATCAGTCTCAATCAAATGTTTTGCAATAGAGGATGATGTCTGTCTATCCTGTGATTTTATTTGATCATTGGAATTCATTTGTTTCTGTTGACATTTGGGTATGTGTTCCTCCACCCTTACTTGCAGATCACGATTGCTCCTCCGGAAGTACGTATTGCCGCACATAAATGTAGACATGATAGACACAATCACTGACATACCGTTTCGGTTTATGGTAAAACATAGACCTTGTCTTTTCAATAATGACAAGTTGAACTACATAAAATATCCTGTTTATGGCTTGTTATATCTTACAATATCATGCAATAATAATCCAAATAAGTAAGAATTGTCAATGTTTTCTGACTAATATATTTCTGTAATAACATCCTTTGTATTATACAGTCTTCAAATCAGCCATAGTACCTTGATACAACCTAGGGGTAAACCATATTAAGTGCTAACCGCTAGGTGTAACTTCGATGTTACTTGTTAGTCACACTATTCTCATCTAACTCAAGTAAGCCCCCCAATCATTCGACAGAGATCATCAACGTTGTGGATCTACACATTTGTATATAACTGGACATTTTATCCTTCAATTTTCACATGATTCAGTCATGATTCATTCATGCTATTAAAATAATTTCGGTCCATTGACAAAATTACAGAATACTGAAATAACACTTTAGTGTAATGAGCCAACTGTCATCTAATAATTTTATAGCCTATAACTGTTTATCATAAACAAACTATTTTCATGTATCTAACTGATTCTAAAGTCATATTTATGTAATTCTCATCAGTAAAAACAAACATTCCCATAAGTGTGCAGTCTCCTCCCTCTCCCCCCCCAACTTGATCTCTCTCACAAGAAATCTTGTTTACATCTTTACATTATGTTATTATTTGAAAGGTCAACATTTTATGAAAAATAATATTTGTACTTATATTTTGACCCCATCACCAACACCACCACTACCATCATCATCGTCATCATCATCATCATCATCATCATCATCACCACCACCCTTAAAACATGTATATTAGTAACCATGATTATATAGAACTTATTTATTAATTAGGAGAATTATACATTATTCTAAGAAATGTTGTAAAATATGACAACATTAGAGTGATTATAGTCATTTTAATAGTGAATTCGTGAGTCGGTCTAAGCTAGACTATAATTGAAAACCTGAAAACATTGGATGGTTGTTTCGTTCTAGTATCGAACTCTTCAGCAGTGTGCATCCACGATCCCCCACAAAAGAGATTCGAACACAGAACCACTAAACCACTGGATTGATTGAAGTCAGACATTAACACTGTTAGTTACTGGCTCAGTGGTCTAGAGATTAAGTGTTCGCGTAGTGAGACCGATAGGTCCTGGGTTTCGAATCTCTCGAGGCGAAATCATTGATGCGCGCTGCCAAGGCGTTTTACAATAGGACGAGACAGCCATTCAGAACTTCCAGATTTTCCATCGTGGTCTAACATTAGTTCGACTGTTAAAAATACTACAATCTCCACAAATCTCCTTACTAATTTCAGTGTTTTTTTATTTCTTTGTTAGTGATATGGATGACTATACGTATGAAATACCCTTAAAGGTTGATGATACAAAATTTCTCTGAAATCTTTCATCACATACAAGTTATTCTACTATCGAATAACTAGTAATTGTTAATCATCCCATTTATGACTTGTCTTAGTCGATTTACTTCCATCTTTAACTAACAGTCATGAATATACTTGAACAAAGACCTGATACTTAGTATGATCTCTATTCCGATGATAATACTGAAATTTTAAATAGCTATGATACATCGTTTTACCTAAATCTTATGCTTCATAGTGTTGACACCTACACGACAACGGTTTAGGTTAGATACTATATACATCAAGTCACTTTAAATGAGTATTCTGCTTTTTTATCTACCTAATACATTAAGTAATTAATAGTCGTTTCTTCCATTTATGGGATTTCTCAGTAGTGTATATATCCATGATGTCATTTAGAATAGATTACAGTAACCTTACTTCTCATAGGAAGTCCATAACCTGTAGATCAGTAATTTGGAATCCTGCAAGTGGGATCGTAGATGCACACTGTTGAGAAATCGCACAATAGAACGGAACAGGTATACAGTGCTTCCAGGTTTTTTAATGGTGATCTGATATCGATCGGTTCATGATCTCAATCAACAATTTGGAATACAATGGCTCTAATATCCAGTTTCAGTTACTTCATAATATATCGTGTTCATATGATTGATGAAACAATCCATATAGTAAGTGTATAGGATGACATATATTGGATTAGAATATGTATATATTCAACTTACTTGGTGCTCTGATGATATGACCTCGTAATTTTTTCGAATTTTGTTGACATTCATAAAGACCTTCATGAATATTTTCCATTTCTTTAATAACAATTACACTTGTTCGTAATCTATCTAAACGATTAGTACCAGTTGGTAATGTACCACCATTGAATGTCCAGACGACCTGAAAACCATGGTGGAGTTTTATGAAAAAACAAACATATCGACGATGACATTATATAATGTATTTAAAATTCACAAAATTTCATTATAAGCAAAGATGAATGGTGACTAGCTATTGAATCCAGGATGTGCATATCGTCTCATTTGGGAGTAATGTATAAAAGAAAGATTGTATATAAGGATATAGTACAGGGAGAAAGAAAGGCATAAAGCAATACACCTATGCCATTGTGATCGATTCTGAGCCATGTCATCCACAGTCTCCAACTATTGATTACGATAGTCACACGGAACCCAATCAAGTAGTTTGCATCTACCAACATGGTTAAGGCCAGAAGTTAGGGACTTCAAGGACTGATGGCACGTTTTGGTTTGGCCAATCCCTAACTTTCTTCCAAACATCCCTAACACTAGCTAGCATTGTGCATCGTAATAATCGGTGTCCAGACATACGTGACGCGTGGCTCAACCATCTTAGTCTATGAAGATTTCCAGTCTCATCACCTGATTTATGATCATTCCCTAATACCCTTCGTTTAACCTCACTGTTGCTTACCCGGCGATCTCAGTAGATGCGAGCAATATTTATAAGACATCTGTGGTCAAATACTAGTACTACTCCAGTCAATCTGTATTCCCAAAAATGTGATATCAAGAGTGTAAATCAAGTATTTTGACACTATATTTCTAAATAAAATTAGTTGAAGAAAATTCTTGGAATAAATAGATATTAATTTATGTTACATGGATTATAAACAAAGATGGATGGTGGCTAACAGTGGTATCCAAGACGCATGTTTTGTCCTATTTTGAACCAGATAGTTCGATTTTATTTGAAGTGAACGATACTGAGTTCGAGTCCCAGAGTGGATATCAACTCTAAGATACAGATACATGTAGATGACGAAACCTAAATAGAACGAAGTTGTGCCCATCTTTTATCCCACCGCTAGCCACCAACCACCTATATAACAGATTGTTATTTTTCAACATAATCATTCATAAAATAAAATGGTTTCATACATTTTCTCCCGTTCCAACAAAATCTTTTTCTAATTCACAATGTAATTCCAATGATTCACCATTACGATAACTGAAAATCTCTGTTGTTGTTTCAGATAATTCTGTAACATAAACAATTGAATATATCAAATAATTAATAAGTTATAATATAAATGATCATTTGATAATTCAACTAAATGCAAACTGCTGAAGAGTCACACAATAGGACGAAATCACCATTCAATGCCTTCAGGTTTTCTATAATGGTCTAATTTCAATTGACTATTAAATTCTAATGATTAGAATGGAGATTTTTGTGGATTGTAGTAATTGTAAAACTTAGATTCAGGTTCCATATACTGAATCATGGATGAACACTGTTGAAGAGTGTTGTGTCCTGATAAGAATAATGAATGGTAACTTTCGGGATCCGTTTGTGGACCAATACTATGTGCATATTTTTTATCGTATAATTGTTATGTAACTAAACTGTTCATATTCATGTCCCTCTTATTGTGAGCTTTATGTTGACCTATGAACTATTATTGTACGATTTACCATTCATGAATTATTCCCTATCTGTTAATCGCTACCTCCCTCATTCACAGCCACTTCTGGCTAATTATTATACAAATGTTATTTTCTATTTTATTGATACGTTGTGGTCGGGTTGATTGGTATATAAACAGAGTATGCTTGAAATACAATGATTTATATCTGAGAGGCTGAGACTTGCATTCTGGATTCAACTGGCTGAGCTAGACAGGGAAGCGGGACCACTCGAAACTCTAGGCCGTTCGTGTATGTTTTACGTGTCATTGATCCGATCGATAAATACGCATCGCTCTTATCTGCAGTCCACAAAACACAACAATTGGCAACGGGGACGGTACGGAGATATGACCGAAATGACCGTCAAGTGATTGCATGTTTTCCATAGTGGTCTAGTTTGAATTCACTTATGAATTCAACTATTAAATTCGAATTGAATAGTCAATTATCATTATAATTCAATGAATCCATGATCATTTAGTTGAATTTGAACTCAATTAAAATGACTGAAATTGTATAGATTTAATAATCTTTTATTTGGTAACTCAATCAAATTATGGTTTACGAATATAGTGTCCAATATGAGTTCAAATATTCCCTGTAATCTGAAACGGAAATGATGCTTGACATATCAATTACTTGTGTCAGTGTACAACATGATTAGTAAGAAGATAATGTCAAAAAAATTAGATGACTTTATAAGCAAAGACGGATAGTAGCTAGCAGTGGAATCCAAGATACACGTTTCATCCTATTTGGGACTTGTCAGATGGATGTATCTGTATCTCACAGTTGATGTTCGCTCCAAGGCTCGAACCCAGTACTATTCGCTTCAAACCCCGTCACTTTATCCACTTGGCTACTGAATCCTGAAAAGCAATAGCTAAGTAGATAACGTGATGGCATTTGAAGAGAATAGTACTAGGTTCGAGTCCCGAAGTGAACATCAACTCTGGGATGCAGTCATTTTAATCATGTTCAAATCCAACTAAATGATCATAGTATGGAACTCCTCATCAGTTCACAACCACGATTATTATTAGTAAGACATAATAATGTGGGATGAAGGCGAAATAAATAAATCATGTATTAGGGAGATAAATAATAGTAATAATAATGATACAAAGATTTGTGAATAAAAATAATAGAGACTACGAAAGGTCATAAATACAACAGTCAAATTAAGTCATTCAACAATAAAGATCACTATTGATTAATTGGTATTGAGGTTAACCAGATGATAAGAAGTGATTGAAACTATTTCTTTTCTACATATAGATCCATTTTCTTAATTCGGATAGATATTGCTTTAGCCATTTGAATCATTTTAAGTTTGACCACACTCATCAGATTCAAAATCAGGACCTTCAGTATTCATAATGATCTAACTTGAATCAACTCATCAATTCAATTATTAAGTAACTACCATCTTCATACCTCCCCCCCCCCGCTATCCAATTGATTGGTTAGTAGTATGTTTAAAACCTACCATTTACAAATATACTATATTACTATTAAAATTCATATTGTTCTCATATCTAGTTACTTAAATGACTACTTATATATATATATATATATATATATATATATATATATATATATATATATATATATCACAGTTAGTTATAGTTACATAATATACCCTTGTGGGCCAGGGTAATGTTACATTGGTTTTCAAGAGAACCAGTCACCATCCAGACCTTCATGTGACAACCCCGAACAGTACAGCTCAACCCCGTTTAACAGGAGACCCAAACACAACCCAGGCTTAAATTTTATAACCCGAGCAGTACAGCTCAATCCCGCTTCACAGGGGAACGAGACACCGTATAGGCTTTAACGCTAAAATCTGAATAGTACAACTCAATCCTGTGACGTAACCACACAGGTACCAAGCACCCTGGTGGACCACTTATATATATATATAAACAAATTTATTTCATTTTCACAGTAATCAAATATGGATCATTAATAATATTCATTAAAATTTGACTCGTGCCAGTTTTTTTTGAAAAATATTGACATAAACAAATATACAAATATATATTACTAATTAGGTCAATAAATAATTAGTAGTATATAATTATAAACATAATCATAGTTTGAAATCAGTTGACAGTTATTTATATATATTTATGATTGTATATAATAAAATTGGCAATGAAATTTGTTTCAATGTTCAACGGATCAATTTGAAAGTATCAATACAAATTAGAAACATATTTATGATTTATGCTTAACATGACATAAATGTGAGAAGGGATTTTGTGGAGAGTTTTTTTTATAAGAAATTTCACTCGTTGAAATCATAAGTCAATTTGGAAGCATTGGACGGTCGTTTTAACCCAAGACCTATCAGTCTTGCGGTTGAGCACTTAACCATTAGACCACTAGGCTGACATCCAACGGTGTTAGTGTTATTACGTAATTCACTGATAGATTAGAAAGGATAAAATTATTACCAATGAACTAGGAGAATTCAACTATATCTATTGTAAGGTAGTGACTTATTGAAGATAATGATGGATGATGACATAACAATATGGCACAAATTTATGAAGTAGATTGAGCGATGTTGCTAGGTGTAGACTATATAATTGAGATTCACGAGATGATAGCACTCGACAGTTAGAGACCATGAATGAGATGGCTTAAAATCGTTTATAATGGTGCAAATGCATTCTCTTAAATTCTAATCTTCTAAATGATTCATTTTCATTTATTTTCTCTTTCTAAATTTATTTCGCTGTATTATACTGCTTGAATAACATCTTCAAACCCTGATCTTTCCGATAAATACTTATACTTTCACTACCTCTACCACTATGAGATTTGAATTGACAATTGTATCCCTTTGCTAATTTAGTATGACAAAGTGAACTGTTGTACGAACGCACGAAGTTCTGCGTTGTTGCTAACTGACTGAAGTTAGATATTGACATCATTGCATGCCGCATCAGGAGTCCAGAGGTTGAGCATTCATGTGTGAGATCAAAGCCCCTGTGTTCGAGTCCCTCTTATACGGGATCGTGCGTTTGTACTGCTGAGAAGTCCTATACTAAGATGAAGCGGCTATTCAGTGCTTCCGGGTTTTCCATGGTGGTCTAGCTTTAATCGACTCATAAATACAACTATTAAGTTATGTTACTTGGTAATTGTAATATGATACCTTGAATACTCATGCATGGAATATTTGTAACGATAAATTATTAAATCGTTTCTTAATATGCATACCACTAAGACATTTAGACCATTGATAGATGTTAGACGTCTATGTCGGAAAACTGTCTCAAGTTCAACTCCTAATGTTAAGATCATACTTGCCAACTATTGAGAAGTCTTATATGAAGATGGCATAGCCGTTCAATGTTTCCTAATTTTCACTGATCATCATTATTTAGTGATTTAAATTATGAAATTTTTAAAATATCTACGATCCCCTCTTTAGTCAGAAGAGGATTATCATCAGAATATCAGTAATGCAGCTTTAACAGATAAACGTTTAATTCAATAACCTTACAAGATTGATAATCAACATTAATGAAATGCCTTTAAACAGGTCATTTATATTGAAAACGTCAAGAGAATAATACTTGTGATGCATTACACACTAACTAGCTATCTAAACATGATTATTTATTTACTTACATATGTGTTTTTCCCTGCTTAATGGAAGTAGCCTCAAATGCCCTGATATGGCCGAGAGTGGAGCGAGTCAGCTCTTCCTCTCGAAATGCTCTCACATGACTACTTGCATAAAACCACTGACAAAGAAGTCCTACTCACTGCCTTCTCAAGGCGGGGATGTTGTTTACGGAATTGAGAGGACGAAAAGCGAATGCCCAGCGATTTAACCGGGTTGGTGGATACGGATGATCTATCTAGGGGAGTTGGGAAACCCTGATTCCAAATCAGTAGTGCACATGGGCTCCAGTATCCTGAAGGGACGAATAACGTATGAACCAATCGTTGTTCACCGGTTACCATGAGACTTCATCTCCTTATGTTGCTCCACTGCCTGGTGCATTAGACCTATAGGTCAAAGGCTCCTGGTGTGGCCCCCTAAGAAAATCATCTGTTTCGGTTTGGATATCCGGGCAATATCCCAGCCCTCACACAAATCGAATGATTCAGAGATCAAAATCTACTTGAAGTTATTTAAATGTAATTCCAGTGAAGTAAGAATTATAGTGACTCACGTGCAATTGAGTTCATTCTCATTTAACTCAGTTAAGCCCTTTTGCTAACTCATTTAGCGGACAAAGACATCCGCACTATAACAACTTATTGTACCCTTATTATTTTGTGCTTGTATGAAATACGTATGCTTGATATTGCTTACGGCCTACGCATTTATTCCCTCTGCTAGTCTTACTACTAGCTGCTTATTTGATTCGATTACTCATTCATTTCACATGGTATATATATGTCCATGTTATTCATATTCAACACACACACACATACACACACTCTTGTCTCGCTCTTGCTCTCGCTCTCGCTCGCTTGATTGTATTCGCTTACCCATATTCACTCACTCGCTCGATCGCTTGCTTGCCTTTCAGCACAACTCTTCTATGCTTGTTTAACGCATCTGTACTTTTGGATATATGTGCGTGGTCTCGTAAAAAACGTAATCCACACTTCGTATTCGCCTTCTGATTAATATACCGTTGGGACGTTATATAGAATGCTTATCAAGACGAGCTGTCTACGAAGTTTAATGATTATATCGAATACCGACCACCACAGAATACTTACCCATCTTTCCAGTTGTACTGAGAGATTTAGGTTCTAAATCAAGTTTAATTGAACCAACAATTTCTCCAGTTTCAGATGAAGTTACTTCACAAGTTATTGATGTATCTCGTTTGACACCATCATCTGGTATATGATCAATAATTAGTTGACGAACTATTGTTTCACTATCACCAATCTTTCCACTTTCCACTGTTGACCATTGATAATTAAATGATACACTTTCTGCTTCATTTGGCGGCATATGACATTGTAAAATAACAGTTGGATCATCAGGATCAATTCTTTTTGAGATGGTAATATATGGAATTGCTGTGAAAGATGAAGGAAATAAATATTTTCATCAGAAGGGGTTTTGTGGATATTATAGTAATTTCAATAGTTGTGATCATGAGTTAATTGAAGCTAAACCACCATGGAAAACCTAGAAGCATTGGACGGCCTTTACGTCCTATTGTGGAACTCCTCAGTAGCGCACATTCACGATCCCACCCACGGGATCCGAACCCAGAACCTATCAGTCCCGCGCGCAAGCGCTTAATCACTAGACCACTGAGCCGGTCGGCATCCAACGGTGTTAATGTCTAACATTACCGAATAAACGATAGCTTGAAAGACTGTCAGCTGAAAGAACAATCGATAGCATTTTCGTATTAATATACGACTACTCTGTAATGTTTATGCACACAGTTTTAACACAACTTATCAATGGCAGTAGAAGATGGTTATATAATAACATGAAATGATTGAAGTTACGAATATACACCATTAAATACTCGTCTTAAGATTAAACGTTCACTGTAAGTACTAAATATCTTAGGTTTCTTAAATTAGGTCAATATCTGCTCAGTCCTTCTTAGTTTCAAAATGTATTCTGAGGTCATTTTATGATAAAGACTATATAATCCATTAATCTCCACAAATCTATTCCATTAAAACTATTTTGTGTTAAGAGATTTTGTAAAGATTTTCAGGAGTTCGAAAGTCATTTTCATAAAGAAATAACAATCAGTCAGATAATTATTGCACATCATGAATTATTTAAAAGGTGTTTTCTTCTTGTTTTGGAGGTTTTTCAGAAGTCTGTTCCGGTACAGTCGAGAGTGAGGAGAAACCGTCCTCTCTCTCTCTCTCTCTCTCTCTCGAAATACCCTCACATGCTCACGTGCGTAAAACCACTGCCAAGTAAGTTCTATGCTCTTGAGACGGGGGTGTTGTTTACGAAATTGAGAGAATGAAAAGCGAATGTCTAGCGATATAACCAGGTTAATGAATACGGAGGATCCGCCTAGGAGAGTTGGAAAACCACATGGATTTCAGGATCCAAAGGAAACGAGTGGTGTATGAATTTACTGTCCGTCTCCTGACATCGCTCCACTGCCTTGTGGATAAGACTTTTAGGTAGCCCCCTAAGAGAACCACCTTGTCCGGTTTGGGCACCCGGACAGTATCCCAGCCCTCACATAAATCAAATGATGTATATGGTGCATATCTATTTGGTGGCTCCTTGTATCAATGTTTATGTGTTTAAATAAATAAATGAATAAATTTACAAAGAAAATGTAATCAAACTCACAGACTTCAAGTAAACTAGAGTGACCCGCAGATGATTATTATTATTATAAAATTTACCATTCTTGAGTTATGTCCAGTCTATTAAATACAGTCTACGACAATCACAGCCACTTTCGGCTAGATCTTGTACAAGTGTTATTTTCTATTTTATGGTACAATGTGATCTGTTTGGCTGGTATATAAATCCAGTATATATGGAATACATGATTCATATCACAGAGGCTGAGATTGGTTTTCTGGACTGAATAGACAGGGCTAGGCAAGAAGATAGGACCGATAAGTACTGTGGGTTGCTCATGGAGGTTTACGCGTCATTGGCGGTATCATTACATAATACATTAATAGGATACAGGGCACAAGTTATACTAAAAACATACACTGTTGATAAATTAAGCAGTTGTTAAGTGTTTTATAGCTTTATGGAATTCTTTAAATAATAACAATTCATGATAAGAATGACTTCAAAAATAAACAGTTAAATGTTCACTAGTTGATAACTCCTCCTATAGCTTGCTCTTTTAGAGTTACTGCCGATCTCCAATCCAGGTAAAGGAGTAGAGTTGGAAATGGGGTTAGTGACCCCTACCTGAAGAAAACTAATTCACGTAAGTAAGTAAGTATGTATGTATGTATGTATGTATCACCAGTTAATAAAATATTATGATAGAAAGTAAATCAAACTTACATTCAATGGATCTACGTGAACGTTTTAAATAAGTATGCTGATCTATTGTTGTATTCATTTGATCAATCCAACCATATTGACATATTGGTAATGGATGTTTAGTATGATGTAATTGTAAAGGATGTTGAAATTTATAATCATATTCATTCACAATTACATTACCCATAGGATATTCCCATATTACAAATGTATATTCATTGAATACATTAGGGCATTGGAAATAGGTTAGATTCTCAGAGGTAATCAATTTTCCAAAATTAATTTCTAGAATATTAAATAAATAGAAAATAAGATAAGTTCAACGGTACTAAAACAAAGATTACTTTATTGCTACCTTGACGTGGTGGTCGAGCTTGCCAATCGTGATGAAGCAACCGAGCTATACAGGCTGGAACAACCGTTCCTCGAGGCCCTGCTATGTCAGACAGGTCTGTTGAAGAACGGTAAGACTGAAAGCAACAAACCCAAGGTTCGAAGGCGAAGTCGTACCACTGACTGTACAGAGGTGTGAAGGCAGTAAGGTGTTTCCTTCAGACAACCAGCATGACAACGATGCTGCTTTCCCACAAGAAGGAGTGGGGTTAGAAAAGGTCAACCCTAAAAATGTACACCTCGCCTTATCCCACAGATATCCATCTCCGACGATAAGGTCTCAGCAAGTACGGAGCTAACACAAAACTTACTCATAAAAAAGTCGTGTGTGACCGACCTCAAGCAGTTGTCCCATGGCCACTGCGGTCACGCTCTCAGGTCACTAAGACCACCTCTAATCCGATTTCCTTTTCAGGTACCTCCAGTAGAACCCTTCCACGGTGTGGGCAACTTGGAAGTGATAACTGCCCTCATACGTCTAACAGCACTCAAGACCACTGTATTCATAATCAACCTCTCCCTCTTCAATTCTTACTATTCCTCTTATTGCTTTGAAGATATAATGAATCAATATCTCACTTACTTACTTAATTACTTACGCCCGTCATCCCTCAGTAGAGAAGGAACATGGAGCGCTCACTAGCATTCTCTATGCAACTCTGTTCTGAGTAATCCTTTCCAGTCGAGATCGTATCTTTTAATCACGAGACGATGTTTCATACATTCTAAATCTAATTATCATCAGTTTGTTTGTTTAATTACATAGTTGACTTGATCTAAGTTTTATGTTCTTGTTATGTAAGCATATTCGTTATTTACTACTAAATTATAAAGTAATGTTGACATTCGAACTTCACCCCCATTGCACAAGCAAGTGGCTATCAGGACTCAGTACCTAAGTGGATAACGCAATGGCGTCTGAAGCGAGTGTTACTGGGTTCGAATCCCGGATTGAGCATCAATTCTGAGATACAGGTACATCCAGCTGACGAGTCTCAAAAAGGACAATGTGGCGCACATCCTGGATTCTACTGTTAGCCACTATCCATCCTTGCTTAAAAATGCTGACATGGTTCATTTCACACTGTCTCAACATTCAAGTACCAATAGGGATGAAATAAACCTGCTAACTATTTAACCGCAAAAAAGAACTTCGAATAGTTTGACTTATTTATGCAGTTTAAAGTCATTTTAGTTCAGTTACTAATCAAAATACAATTACAGAATCTCTATTATGTAATAGTGCTAATATAATAGACAATCTGTAAAACAGTTTGCTTAATTAATTACGAATCCATGAGTCGATCTAAGCTAGATCACCATAGAAAACCTAGAAACACTGTACAGCCATTTCATCTTAGTATAGAACTCCTCAGTAGTGTACATTTACAATCGTTAATGGTGATCTAGTTTAAATTAACTCATGCTAAATTGATTCTCTTCATCATTTAATGGATACTCATTAAATCAATATTTTGTGCAATTGTTTCGATCAAGTACACAAATGAAGATAACTAAAATGGATTACAGGTCGTTTTTAGTAAAATCTGAGAATTATACAATTAAAACTTCATTTGCAAAATATCTATCATTTGTCTCATTCTCGTTCTCTTCTCTTTGATCTTCTTAACTTTCTTCTGCCATAAGTCATTTTACTTCCAATTGATGATACGTACTACTTATGATATCTGTCGATATCAGTAGCATATATCACTACGCACTATATCTATTCAAATGATTTGATGTGAAGAAGAAGAAGAAGAACCTCTTACAACTATATCATTATGTATACCTTGAATTGATTGTTTATATTAACCATCTTACAAAACAAATCCGCCTGGAGTCCCTCCGGGGGCTACTGCCGGTCTCAAGCCCGGATAAAGGAGGAGGGTTGGGCATGGGGTTAGCGTCCCCATCTCGTAGAAAACTAACTCGCTAATAAAAATGCTAACCAGAAAAAATTATTCAAACCTTCTACACTCTGCCCTGGGAGTCAGAAGGTCTTCTTTTAGAAGAACTATGACGCCTCATGATGAAAGCCGAATTCCTTCGGAAGTTACGAGGCCGATGCCTTTTCTGAAAACCAGAGCGACCATTTATTTAGGTACATGGAATGTTCGTACAATGTGGGACACCGGGAGACCCTTCCAAATTGCCGCAGAAATGAAAAAATACAACCTAGAGGTACTTGGGATCAGTGAAACACATTGGACGAAATTTGGACAACAACGACTAACTTCAGGAGAGCTCTTGTTATACTCCGACCATGAAGAAGAAAATGCCCCCCATACACAAGGAGTTGCATTGGTGCTGTCTAAACAAGCGCAAAATGCGCTTATAGGATAGGAATCTCATGGACCAAAGATCATCGAAGCCTCCTTCAAAACAAATAAAGAGGGTATTTCAATGAACATCATCCAATGCTATGCGCCTACCAACGACTACAATGAAGATGCTAAAGATCAATTCTACAAGAGGCTGCAGTCAATCATCGAGAAGTGCCCAACAAGAGACCTGACCATTCTGATGGGAGATTTCAATGCCAAGGTTGGAACGGACAACACTGGATATGAAGACATCATGGGACGTCACGGACTGGGAGGAAGGAACGAAAACGGTGAAAGATTTGCAAACCTATGTGCCTTCAATAAACTGGTCATAGGCGGCACCATATTCCCACATAAACGCATACACAAAACCACATAGACTTCACCGGATCACACCACGCAAAACCAAATCGACCATATTTGCATCAACAAAACGTTCAGGAGGACTATAGAGAACGTGAGAACCGAGCTGATATAGCATCAGATCATCACTTTCTGGTTGCCAAGATGAAATTGAAACTCAAGAAGCATCGGACAACGGGGCGGACAATATCACAAAAGTTCAATACGGCCTTTCTTCAGGATACTAACAAACTCAACAAATTCAAGATAGTCCTCAGCAACAAGTTCCAGGCCTTTCATGATCTACTCAATGGAGAAGGAACTACTGTGGAGAGCAACTGGAAGGGGATCAAAGGGGCAATCACTTCAACATGTCATGAGGTCCTGGGTCACAAGAAGCACCACCACAAGGAATGGATCACTGTTGGTACACTGGATAAGATTCAAGAAAGGAGGAACAAGAAGGCAGCAATCAGTACCAGCCGAACAAGAGCAGAAAAAGCCAAGGCACAAGCTGAATACACAGAGGTAAACAAACAAGTGAAGAGGAGCATCAGAACCGACAAACGTAAATATGTGGAAGATTTAGCAACGACGGCGCAAAAGGCTGCAAGAGAAGGAAACATGAGACAATTGTATGACATGAAAAAAGAAACTCTCTGGAAATCGCCGCAAAGCAGAACGACCAGTGAAAAGCAAGGAAGGCGAGGTAATCACCAACATTGAAGAGCAAGGAAACAGGTGGGTAGAACATTTCAAAGAACTCTTGAATCGACCAGCTCCACTGAACCCACCCAACATCGTAGCAGCACCCACAGACCTCTCAATTAATGTTGACCCACCAACAATTGAAGAGATAAGCATGGCCATCAGACAAACCAAGAGTAGCAAAGCAACAGGATCAGACAACATTCCAGCAGAGGTACTGAAAGCAGACGTTGCGGCAACTGCAAGGATACTCCACATTCTCTTCAGCAAGATTTGGGATGGGGAACAAGTACCAAAAGACTGAAAAGAAGGACTCCTGATCAAAATACCGAAGAAAGGCAACATATTTACAACTGAGGAACATCTGGAACTCAAAGCAACTGTCAACCAACACCAAGGTCAGGATTTTCAATACAAATGTCAAAACAGTTCTACTGTATGGGGCAGAAACCTGGAGAACTACGAAAGCCATCATCCAGAAAATACAGGTGTTTATTAACAGTTGTCTACGCAAAATACTTCAGATCCATTGGCCGGACACAATTAGCAACAACGTACTGTGGGAGAGAACAAAGCAGATCCCAGAGGAGGAAGAAATCACGAAGAAGTGTTGGAAGTGGATAGGACACACATTGAGGAAAGCACCCAACTGCGTCACAAGACAAGCCCTCACATGGAATCCTCAGGGTGAAAGGAGGAGAGGAACACCAAAGAACACATTACGCCGAGAAATGAAGATAGACATGAGAATAATGAGCAAGAATTGGATGGAACTAGAAAAGGCGGAGGACATAGTGTGTTGGAGAATGCTGGTCGGCGGCCTATGCTCCATTGGGAGTAACAGGCGTAAGTAAGTAAGTAAGTAATCTTACAAAACGATCACAGTTTATTTAGTTCGTTAGTTGCTTCATTCAACCGAACTTACAATGAAACTTATGGTTTTCAAATGTTTTACATGAATTGTATTTTCCTATTTTTATTCAATGGTAAACAGATCTATAGAATGTTGGGTTGTATTTGTTTTGTTTTATTAACATACTGATTACTGTATGATTTACAAGCTGAATAAGTTATTATCAGAAGGGTTTTTGTGGAGATTTTACAAATTCCACTGATTGAAATCATCAGTCAATTGAAGCTAGATCACCATGGAAAACCTGGAAGCACTGGACGGCCGTTTCGTCCTAGTATGGGACTCCTCAAACTGCATCACGAGACAACCCCCAACTTGGAATCTTAAAGAGAAGCGAAAAAGAGGAAAGTCAAAGAACAGATTACATTGGGAAATAGAAGCAGATGTGAAAAGGATGAATAACAACTGGAAACAGCGGGAAAGGATTGTTTGGGACAGGGTTGGATGGAGGATGCTGGTGGTTGACCTATGCTCCTCCACGAGTAATAACGGGTGTAAGTCAGTAAGTATAAGTAGCTACTTTAAATATATGATAAACAGGATATTGACTCAAATACTGAATTAATATAACAAAACTATTCATACCTGACATAAAATTATGTGACCATATTTCAATTTTTTGCACTGGTAAGTTACGATGTAATGATGTTGAATGTTCGGAACAGAAGTAAGTACCTAAATCATCAATTGTCAATCTATCAATGTATAAATTGGGGCTGGTTTGTCCATTAATTTTTAAACCAGGTAATCGATACCAGACGACGCTTTTGTTATTCCAATTATTTTGAGAAGTTGTTGGATTGCATGTCACTGTTAATTTCTCACCTAAAACACCTTCAACAATTTGAGTTTCTTTACGTTCATAGACAAATGTTTCATAAGCTAGAATTCAAAGAAGAAAAATGAATAAAAATAATGATGTATTGTTTCAACATAAATAATTTTCAATAGTTAAGATCATGAATCAATTGAAGCTAGACCACCATGGAAAACCTGGAAGCATTGGACGACCGTTGCGTCTTTGTATGGGACTCCTCAACAGTGCGCATCCACGACTTCATCTTGCGAGATTCAAACACAGGGCCTACCAATCTCGTGCACGATCGCTTAACCTATAGACCACTGAGCCGGCCAACATCCAATGGTGTTAATGTTCACGAAATTGACCGACACATTCACCATTCTCATCAGTAAGTTACTATCCCACAACTGACCCGGTTGAACTCTACTGGTCAGTGCTTCTCACTAGAACTCTAGGATATAGCTCTTGAAGCCAGTCAGTAGTGGTGGTGGTCTATCTTCAATTGACTCATGATCTCAACTATTGAAATTACTGTAATATTCACAAAAAATCCCTTCTGATAATCAACGTAATCAACACTTCTTATTCGTCATCTGATTAATACATCGTTGAGGCGTTATCTAGTAACGGTCATCAAAACGAACTGTATAAGAAATTTAAAGATCATACTGAATAACGACCACTACAACTGGTCACATTTTATTCACTCATTAGTTTATTCACATGAATATAGACTATATTTGTATAATTAGCTTATGGAATTTCATACCCTTTAACTGCATTAACCGTATTAAAATGACATTTGATTGTCTTATCAATTCATCTGATCATATTGTTCAACAACGAAGACATTCCAATAATGACATTAGTTAATATCGGGAACTTGTTTAGTTTGTTTAAACTTTCTTAACGTCACTGCCAAAAGTTGCTTTGGAATACGGTAATACATGAAAGTACAGTATGATAAAATGTACCAGTTAATTCGGTTTAGCTGGCATAAATTCAAATGTATAAAATACATTTAATATTATTTCATCCTAACTCCATCTGGAACCCTTCTTGGGCTACTGTCGGTCCTAAACCTGGATAAAGGTGGAGGGTTGGGCATACGGTTAGAGACCCTATTCCGTAGATAACTAACTCGCTTAAAAAACGCTAACCAAAAGAAAAAAATATAATTCGAACCATTATCTCATCCTGGATAAATGATTCAGATAGACATTCTTTGAAGTATGTAACTCAATTAATGAATGAGAACATAAATAATTGGCCTTATATCTGACTCCAGTTAAATTGAATGAATGATTGTTATAGAAATATGCCTGTCAACTAATCCTCGTATATAATCATCGACTAGACTTGAGTTAGTGAATATAACGGAATTAAAATAAATCAAATACGAGAATGAATATTGAATACGTATATTTCATACCGCCGTTGATCTAGATAAACAAGCGAAGGAACAAAGTGAAGAGAAAAGAGAGAGAAGAGAGATAAGATGACACTCGGTGCAATAACTGAATTAGCCAACTGGATCTAACCACTCATGAATCAACAAGTTACAGATATGTGATGAATAGGATATGATGTACACACACATACGCTCACATAATAATAACAATCAAGGTTCAGAAGTGAAAAGTTAACATGATCACAAATCAGAAGGGGGTTTGTAGTTATTATAGTAATTTTCAGTAGATAAGATCATAAGTACTGGATCCTGGGTTCAAATCTCACGGGGCGGGATCGTGGATGCACACTGTCGAGGAGTCTGAATGATTTGTTATTACCAAAGATACAAGTTTTTGTAAAATGAAATAGAGTAGAGGATAAACATCCACAATCTTTTATTATCAAATATATATGTGAAACAGGTCATAAAATTGATCTTAACACGACTTTTGTGATGTTGTATAAAAGTGTAAAAGGATATATACTAAGTTCCCTTGGTATTATTTGTCTTGCATCTTCCCATTGAGGTTTAAGACTGCAATTGATCAGTCTGTTATTGGCATATGTTCATACTGTGCGTATGCCTCGATATTGCCTCAATTCACAAGCTTTTTATAAGCAATGATGGATAGTGGCTAGCACTTGAATCCAGGACGCCAAATAATACCTAGTGAATTTAAATTCACTCCATTGCACAAGCAAGTGGCTATCAGGACTCAGTAGCTGAATGGATAACGCGATAGCGTTTGAAGCGAACGGTACTTGGTTCAAGTCATAGAGTGTGCATTAATTCTGAGATGCAGATACATCCAGCTGACGAGCCCTAGATAGAACGAAACACGTGTCCTGGATTCCACTGCTAGCCGACGTATACTAAGGTTTATTAAATACTAACTCCTTATTTATGTATTCCAAAAAAGTTTATTTCCACTTTAAATCTACCCTGATAATACTAGCTCATTATCTATCATGATGAGGATTCAAATTATTTTCACTTTCATTTGTTGAAATCATGAGTTAATTGAAGCTAGACCACCATGAAACATCTGGAAATACTGGACGGCCGTTTCGTCCTAGTATGGGACTCCTCAAAAGTGCACATCCACGATCCCGTACCCCGCGGGATTCGAACCCGGGACTTTATTATCTTTGTCTCCTTTCATCCTTCGTTTCTAGTTTAACGGACCTTTTTTATTTCTATATATAAATGGACAGATTGTCTGAAATGTATTACGCCCATATATCATCACACGATTATGATAAATTTTGTCTTCTTCTTACACTATTGAAAGATGAAATTTGTCTTTTTCAATAATCTAGTTCAATAAACGAACAGTAATGATCGAAACATGTAAACCTTATTTTCTTCCATACTATATAATGAAAATATTTATTGATCATGGAAGTGATGAGTACTTCTTCTTATGAAATGATGAATCTATGATTTCTTCTAACAACATTTGATAATGAGACGATAAGTTATTGACGATCTTTGAATGACGTTAGAGTAACTTTGAAGGTATCCACCTAATAACTAGGAGTAAAATGAATGTTATAAACTAATATGAGAAACTAGAATTGTGCTTTACACTTAATGATTAGAGTTAGGAGTTATGTTTATGGTTTTCATCATGAACTGTAACATCAATGATAATAGCAAAACTTTATTGAACCAAATAGATGAATGAAACATTTCACGCCAAAATTCAAGAGGTCGGTCGCGGCTCGGACAGCTCAGTGGTGACATCTCTGACTGTGAAGCTGGGTGACACGAGATCGAATCCGCCAGGGAGCATCAGTTCCCTCAAGATTACAGGTACACCTTGCTGACGAGTGCCAAGTAGCACGAAACTCGGGTCCAGGGTTTCCTGTTGACTACCTCCAACCACCATCTAAATCTCAATATATAGTGCACGCAGTGTTGAGTCACCTAGATTGATGGCCACATTGCATTATGGTCGATAGCATTCGATCTGCGCTAATAAGGACTAGACACGCATGACATTGATCACCATCCAGTGATCAATCAATTGTGAAGACCTATAATCTTAAATCTGATTGGTTCATCTATAAACTATGCAATCTCACCTGGAAAATTTTATTTATCTATTTACATTTCACTTTTTGTCCAAATTTATGTAAACTACATTTTCTGTTTGTTTGCTTGTTTGTTATCTCTCTTTTTAGTGAAACCATAAAGAAAAAGGGTTTTTTCTTAAAATTTCCCATAGTGATAACAGGTAGTAACATATGAATGACTAAAAAAAGACAAATCACAAGAATGATGCACCTTGTAGTTATATTGATTTATACGATCAATCACTAGGCCCATATATATATGCATTGGTTCAAGTTGCTATTACTTCATTCATATTAGCACAACATGATGTATAGAGATGGTTACTTCAATGGTGATCATATTTAAAAAGAAAGATTGTATATAAGGAAGAAAGAATTAGTTTATAGAAAGAAAGGTATCAAGTAATATTTGAAGAAAAAACAAAGAGTGTATACACCTATATCATTGTGATCGATTCTGAGCCAATGTTATCCATAGTTTCTAATCATTGGTTAGAGATTAATAGTTATACGATACTTAATAATCTTTCAATAAATCAATCAATATTCGATGTATCTTAGTTTCTTTGTGTTGTTACGTTTTTTTTTCTCTTTTGCAGAAATGTCATGAATTGAGAGGAAATGTGTAAAACAAAAAGTAAAAGAGAGGAGAAAAGCCAAAAACATTAATTCATTGATTTTTTCTCTATTCCCTAGTTTATAAACAAAATAAACTTACATATATGACAGCTTATCATGGCAACAACAAGAAAATTAAAAAAAATTTGTTCAAATTATCAACTAAATTATGGTTGCTAAGTGGGGTGTTTGCGCGCGTGTGTCTGTATGTGTGCGTGTGTGCTTATGAGATGTGACTTAAAATATTAAAATGTCATCTATAAGAATGTTTCTTTTAAATACAAATAACATTTTATATGAAAAGTTGGATAGTGGCTAGCAGTGGAATCCAAAATGTGCGCCACTTCGTCCTATTTGGGGATCCTTAGCTAGGTGTATCTACATCCCACAGTTGATGTTCACTCAGGGATTCGAACTCAGTACTTTTCACTTCAAACGTTATCATGTTATGCATTTAGCTATTGTTTCGTGATAGCCACTTGATTGTGTAATGAGGTGAAGTTTAAATTAAATTGGTATTACTTGCTATTGTCTTACTTGAATCTTCCCATTGATGCTTTTGGACTGAAATTGATCAGTCTCTTATTGGCATATGTACATACTGTGCGTATTGTCCCAATATTGCCTTAATTCACAAGCATTATACTCAAAAATGAATAGTGGCTGGCAATGGAATCTAAGACGAGGGCTTCGTCCTATTTAGAACTCGTCAGCTGGATATACTTACACCCCAGAGTTGATGTTCACTCCGTTCGTTCCAAAAGCCATAACTTTATCTAATTAGTTACTGAGTCTTTATAAGAGACTTGATGAACTGAAGTCCTAAACATCAATGGTTAGATTAAAAAAGAAACAATACGAAATGCATTCATACTTCACCCCACTGAACAAAAATGTAACTATTAAGACTCCATAGCTAAGTGGATAACAT